AAAAGGGTTGACATAGGAAAGTTAGACGTATGAAGTCCCAAATGCTATGAATGAGGCAAGAACATTTTAAAATAAGTATCTGGAGATACCTAATAGGCCTAAATATAACGTGTTGAGACATATGTGTGTATACTGTATGTTATAATTTAACGTGTATATGTTAATGGTGTCTAGACAAAAATTCATCCTTCTCTTTCTTCTTTAGGCCATTAAATTTATACCCCTTATGTCTGTCTGTAAGCATTGGTGCCCTGATATGATATTATAGATTTCTACCCTATGATAACCTTACTTAAGACGGATTAATTTAAACCCAGGCTGGAATAATAACATACGGTAGATTGCAACTGCAGCATTTAAAAAGCAATAATCGATCGCATTTCAAGAGTTAATTCTTTTTCTCAAAATTGTCTGGATCTGTGGTGCAGGATGAAGCTTTTACTGCCAATCCTTCAGGCAGGGTAGACCAGCTTAGAAACAAAGCCCTGGCAAGCTAGAGCCCTCCTTTCTCGAGCGAAGAAGAAGTTGGCATAGCGGAACTGGGCAAAGCTTGTGGTGCTGTACCTTCTCTCCCTCTTCTGCCCAGTGAGCCTGGGAGGGCCCTGCTTGGCTGGCTTCCAAATGCTATCCGGTTCCCCAAGATTTGTGGTGGGTGGGGGTGTGTTTGGGGATTGTTATGTGCGTTGGACCTGGTCTTTGGGTGTTAAGTGAATTTCGTTCCCTCCTCCCATCCCATCTCCTAGGGGATATTATCTACAGAGAAAATAAGTAGGTGAAAAGTCAGGCCTCGTCTTTTTATGGCAGCATCAGAATGCTGACAGGTATACTGTGTATACATGTACAATGACAATAAAGTTATTATTATTATTAATATTTAAGGAAGGTGTTCAGCTCTCTTTACCTACACAATCTGTAAGCTACCTTTTCCCATCACGGTCATCTCTCTCCCTGCTGGTCTGCAGTTGCTCCTGTGATGGATGTAATGAACATAAGTTTGCCAGCATCTGGTGTTGCGCTTCGCAGGATCTTTCTGGCCACTCGGAGGAGAGACCCGCAGGAAACCTCTTGTAGGCTAGAAGGGGGTTGAAAGGATGCAAGGAAAACGTATGTACAGTTGCCAAGAAAACAGCATGAAAAATTCATTCACACAGTCCTGGGCAGCTGAGCTTACCTTCAATGGGACACCCCACCTCTTTATGTTTTGAGAAAATCCTCATTCGTTTCTGCTCATTTAGAGTCAAAGGTTTCAAAACGGCCTTCCCGCGCTCCTGCTTTTATGGCTGAAATTGAGCAAAGCCAACGTTTTAAGTCTGTTCTTTGCAGACGTGAAGCATTTGGGGAGTTCCTGGGCTCTGGGTATATATCTGGTCCCTCCCTTCGGTGTCTCCAGCCAAACTTTACCAGCCAGGTTTCAGTTTTCTTTCTAGGAACGTGGCTCACTTAGAGCACAGTGGTGCAGTCTCTTAACATTTTTACATTTTGGTATACCAAAATGGCTTTGCGTAGGGAAAAAAAAAAGTTTCTAAATAAGAGGTGTGCCAGATAACAGCCGTTAATAATATCAAACATGCAAGGCCAGGTGGAACAGGGGTAGTCCCTCCCCTTGGTTTACAATGGAAAAACTCACACAGTCTTAAAGTAAACGGTCTGCTTAATTCAGGAAAAATATCCTACAAATACGGGACATGTTTGTTCCTCCATCCAGACCATCAAGTATGATTTTCCAAAGAGCATTAACCGAATAGAGATGTTTGCCCCCGCCTTCTTGGAATTCTTCTTTCTATTTAAAGTCCATTTAGTGGCGAAGAGGGCACCACCATCCCTTTCAAACCTCCAAAGGTAAAAGCTGTAATGATTGCTTTCATGAAAAGGCATGCTTTCCTACTTTTAAAGAGTTGCATGGAGGGTAGGTTTTGCACAGATCCGTGTAAAAACATCTGCATTTTGCTCAGTTGAACTCTCCCTTTGTCGAGCTCTTGAATTTACGACTTCTTTTGGCCTCCATTCAGGGTGGGGTTTTTTTTGACAGCGTTTCAGAGACGGAAAGAGAATACTAATGTGCTCCGTGCAAAACAATTCATTCTATCTAAACACTTGGGTGCGTCGGCCACGTGCTGCAGAAGCGTTCCAGGCTGTTCTTTCCTGCCTTTGCCTTCAAATTGGACTTCTCTGTGCCAGTACCCAAAAGAGGTCACTCTTCATCCCCAGCTTCGTTGAGGCAACGGGGTTCAACGGAGGGGCAGAGGACCCTGGCAGGGAGCCAAAACTGCTGTGCTCTTAACTTTGGACTCCTGGAGTGCTGCTGTTTCTTGACCATTTTTACTGGCTTTTCCCAGCCCTGTTGATCTTCATTTACGTTCCTCTAGACTTCTCCTGGTTGAGACCCCAAGGAAGTTTCTGCATAGCTGTCTATGGAGATTCTCAGTCACCCAGGCCATGGTCGTCCGAATGGTGCTTTTTTTCAAGAGGCAACTGTGGACTTTCTTGTTTTTTTCTTTTGAAGACATTTCGCTTCTCATCCAAGAAGCTTCTTCAGCTCCGACTGGATGGTGGGGAATAGAAGGACGTATACTCCTTGCAGACAGTTGGTCATTTGCATTCTTTTAGAGAGTCCTTCAGGCCCCTTGGAGATTTATCTGTGTCCTCAGGGTCACCTGAGTGGTGCAAATGGGTTTGGAACTGCTGAAAGGATCTGTACTGTATATTGGAGGTAGATGATATTGTACTCCTCCTTCTCTTTTGAGAGGCTGTTCAATTTTGACGTAGATGGCCTTTTTGACAGCTGGTTTGAAAGAGGGATCAAAGAAACCCACCTATGTCAAAACTGAACAGCCCTCTCTCAAAAGAGGGGGAGGAATACGATATTTATTTATTTGTTTGTTTGTTTGTTTGTTTGTTTGTTCGATTTATATGCCGCCCTTCTCCGGAGACTCAGGGCGGCTCCAATCTACAACACGGATCCTTTCAGCAGTTCCAAGAAGGCTCCACACCGATTTGCACCACTCAGGTGACCCTGAGGACACAGATAAAGCTTCAAGTGGTCTCTAAAAAAGGTTGCAAATGACCAGCTGTCTGCAAGGAGTATAAATTCTTCCATTCCCCACCATCCAGTCAGAGCTGAAGAAGCTTCTTGGATGAGAAGCAAGACATCTTCAACCCCCCCCCCCAGAAAGTCCTTTCTGCATTGCTGGCAATTCAGAGGGAAAGGAGGGTGGGGGGGCTTGACTGGTCTTGCATTTTCCTGGGACCCGGCGAGGTGCAGCTTTCCTCCCTCTGCTTTTAAACAGAGAGCCCCCAGGGTTGGCAGGAAGCCTCAGGGTGGAGACCTGGTCCAGGATTTCCTGCAGAAAATAGACAGTTGCCTCCATTCATCAACAGGGTGGGAGTTGGCCTCCTGGCAGAGACGATACAAAAAACACAGATATCTACTGCAAACCCACAGAAAGATCTGGAAATCGATAAAAGTTATGAGAATTGAGGTGGATTATCTGTGCAGGAAATCTATATCAGGTCGTCCTCGACTTAATGGCCACAATTGAGCCCAACATTTCTGTTGCTCGGTGCGGCAGTTCTTCAGTGAATTTTGCCCTATTTTACAACCTTTCTTGCCACCGTTGTTAAGTGAATCGCTGTATGGTTATGTTAAGCGAGTCTGACTTCCCCAGTGACTTCGCTCCCAAGAAGGTCACAAAAGGGGGATCACGTGACCCCCCACCCCACCCGGGGAGACTGCAACCGTCATCGACGTGAGTCAGTTGCCAAGCGTCTGAATTTTTGAACATGTGAGTATGGGGATGCCGCAACGGTCATAATACGAAAAACGGTCATAAGTCACTTTTTTCAATGCTGTTGTAACTTTCAGCGGTCACTAAACTATTGTAAGTCAAGGTGGAATCGTTGAAACTAGGGGAATTTTCTTTTGGGTTTTTGAGATTGTATGAAAAAATATAAAATGTGATTTATGAAAATTAACTGGTTGTCAATGAGAGCTCTGCAGATTTCTTTAACTCCTTTTTAAATATAGGTAGCCTTCGACTTAGAGCAGTTGTAAATGCTTACTTATGGTTGTAAGTGTGAAAAACGAAGTTACATCACTGAAAAAGTGATTTATGACCGTTTTCACACTTATGACCGTTGCACCATCCCCATGATCATGTGATTTACATTAAGATGCTTGACAACTGGTTCATATTTATGACCATTGCTGTGTCCCGGGGTCATGTGAATCTCCTTTTGTGACTTTCTGATAAGCAACTGAGGAAGCCAGATTCACTTAACAGCTATGTGTCTAACAACTGCAGTGATGAGCCACGGTGGCACAGTGGTTAGAGTGCAGTACTGCAGGCTACTTCTGCTGACTGCTGGGTGCCTGCAGTTTGGCAGTTCGAATCTCACCAGGCTCAAGGTTGACTCGTCCTTCTGTCCTTCCGAGGTTGGTAAAATGAGGACCCAGATTGTTGGGGGCAAGAGGCTGACTCTGAAAACCGCTTAGAGAGGGCTGTAAAAAGCACTGCGAAGCGGGATATAAGTCTTAAGTGCTAGTGCTTGTGAAGGAAAGGGAAAAAAAAGGAAGGAAGGAAGGAAGGAAGGAAGCCATACATAGTGGTGGACTTGTTACAATGCAATGTTGCACGCTATCTCTGCCCACTGCTAGGAGTTCAATCCTGACCGGCTCAAGGTTGACTCAGCCTTCTATCCTTTTGAGGTGGGTAAAATGAGGAGCCAGATTGTTGGGGCCTGACTCTGTAAACTGCTTAGAGAGGGCTATAAAGCACTGTGAAGCGGTGTAGAAGTCTAAGTGCTATTGCTATTCACTTAACAACTGGGACAAGAAAGGTTGTAAAATGGGATAAAATTCACCTAACAAATTTCTCACTTAGCAACGTAAATTCTGGCTTCAATTTTAGTCGTGCTGTGGTCATATTTGTTTCCAGTTGCTTTAACAGGAACCACTTGGTATCTTTTTTTTAAAAAAATGTATTTTCTGTTCACTTTTGCAGCACTATTGAAACTGTACTATGAATGGTGAAACAAGAGCGGAGGTGGTAACTTCACCACCTCCAACAGCGCCACATAAAGAGAGATATTTTGACAGAGTTGATGAAAATAACCCTGACTACTTGCGAGAGAGGAATATGGCCCCTGATCTTCGCCAGGATTTCAACATGATGGAACAGAAGAAGAGAGTATCCATGATCCTCCAAAGTCCAGTAAGAATATATAATCATTTCCCCCCCCCCCCAATGCATGACCAAACGAAGAAGCATTTATATAACAAGTTAGATCCTAAGAATGCATAGCAATGCAAGAAAAAAAATGAGAAAATTTAATTAATTTAATTAAAATGCTCTGTGTTTAAAAGAAAATTTCAAACAAGATAGATTTAATGTGTGACCGAAGCCAGAAAAGTCTCTTAAAGTGCACATGTGTGTGCTCCCTTGAAAAGTACTGTTTGTCTCTTGTTTTGTAGTTCAGATTTCTAATGCAGTTTCATTTGGGAAATGGTTCTGTGTGGGTGAAAAAGCCTTAAATAACTCTTGAATCCATTCAGCAAGCATTATGTATTTTTCTTCTTGCTGTTGTTACTGAACCAAAGCGGTGATAAAATACCAGAATATTACACTCTAATACTGCAGTACATGGACTTTAGAGAATTAAGGGGTGATACAGGGCAAATTTTTTCCTACATAAAGATTGGTAAATCAATGTAATTAAAGCTACACAATATTCTGTGACACCCTCCCTCCTTGAAAAGTCCTACGGATACTCGTTGATTTACTACTGTTTAATGATGGAACAGAATTACAACTGTCTCAGGAAAGATGCTTTATGGCCTATAAACAACTTCTGGCCATCGGGCAAACGTTGCACACGCATCCCGAGATCACTTGATCTGGATGATCAGCAACATGTTCGCACTTACCACTGTGTGTCAGATACCCTGTAATTATGTGATTGCCAATTGCAGTCTTCTCTGCTGGCTTCCCCATAAAATTATTGGGGAAACCAGTAGGGAAGGTTTGTAAGCTGCTGCCACCTGCTGACAAGACTCCCTCCAATCTCTGGAGGCTAGCTGAAAGAGTTGCTTCCTGAAGGGCGCTGAAATTCCCTCAAGAGAATTTCCTTCAGAGTTGCCTGCTGAGGAGAGGTGAAATTCCCTCAGAGAATTTTCCTCAGAGTTGCTTCTGAGGGGAGCTGAAATTCCCTCAGAGAATTTTCCTCAGAATTGCCTCTGAAGGGAGTTGAAATTCCCTCAGAGAATTTTCCTCAGAGTTGCTTCTGAGGGGAGCTGAAATTCCCTCAGAGAATTTTCCTCAGAATTGCCTCTGAAGGGAGTTGAAATTCCCTCAGAGAATTTTCCTCAGAGTTGCTTCTGAGGGAAGCTGAAATTCCCTCAGAGAATTTTCCTCAGAGTTGCCTGCTGAGGAGAGCTGAAATTTTCAAGCCAGATCCTGAAAATTTCCGCTCCGTTCCTGCACCCACCGAAGGAACCGGCTTTTACGCAAGGAGTTGGACACCAAGTCAAGTCCACGGCTCCTTCAAGCGGCCTTTTCACATGCACTGTTGCTCTGTTATTAGGCATTCTGTGAAGAGTTGGAATCCATGATCCAGGAACAGTTCAAGAAAGGGAAGAACCCTACAGGCCTGCTGGCTCTACAACAGATTGCAGACTTCATGACGGCCAGCGTTCCCAACGTCTACCCACCAGCTCCACAAGGAGGCATGACTGCCTTAAACATGAGTGAGTCTGAGAAGAGGGGGAAGGGCTGACAGGTAGTCCTCAACTAACGACTGCAGTTGAGCCCAAAGTTTCTGTTGTTAAGTTTGTTTTATGTTTTATTTGATTTATATACCGCCCTACTCCCGAAGGACTCAGGGCGGTGAACAGCCACAAGATAAGACACATAAATACAAAATTTAAAAGCAGAATAAAACCAAATTAAACAATTTGGCCAAAGACAGATTTAAAACACCCCAATAATTAAAAACAGATTAAAATGTGCATTTTAAAAGGGGGGGGGAGTGAGTTTTGCCCCCATTTTACGACTTTTCTTGCCACAGTTCTTACATGAATCACTGCCGTTGATAGACATTAGTAACACAAGGAAATCCCCATTGACTTTCCTTGTCAGAAGGTCTCAAAGGGGGCTCAACATGACCGTGGAATAAAGCGACGGTCGTAAATAAGAACCGGTCGCCAAGCCTCTGAATTTTGATCCCCTGTTCGTGGGGGATGCTGCAAAATCCGTAACTCTGGAAAAACGGTCCTAAGTCACTTATTTTCGCAATGCCCTTGTAACTTTGAACGGTCACTAAATGGACTGTTGTAAGTCGAGAACCAACTGTAGTAGTTTTGCATTTTAGCAATGATTTTAATTGCTAAATCAGAGAGAGAGACGTTCCCTATTAAACTGCGTTTTTGCCGGTATCTTTTCTTTCAGGCCTCGGTATGGTGACCCCCGTGAACGATCTGCGGGGATCAGATTCCATCGCTTACGAGAAAGGAGAGAAATTACTACGGTGCAAATTGGCTGCTTTCTACAGACTGGCCGATCTCTTTGGCTGGTCGCAGCTTATTTACAATCACATCACTGTGAGTATTGCAGTTCCCCAGGAGAAACAAAACGGGGGCGGGGGGGGGAATTCCAGTCACATCCAAAGCAATAAAGTTATGACCCGCATAAAACTAAATTATACAAAATTGTCTTTAGCCTGTTCTCTGGGCAGTCGTTCTGCGTGAGAATGCCCACGCACCCTCACCCCCAGTGGGACAGATTCTCACGTAGAACGACTGCCCAGAGATAGGGGACATCTGCTTTTCTCTCTCTCTCTCTCTCTCTCTCTCTCTCTCTTTTTTTAAAGGCAAAAGACAATTTTGTATAGTTTTGTCTTTTGCCTTATTCATGCTGGGAGCATGAACTGGGAGAACCTGCCCCACTGTTTTGGGGGTGGGTGGGCATTTCCTTTCCTTAGAAATTGCCACCTCCTGGTGTAAATTGCCAGGTCCAGTATTCAGGTGCCTGTTCAGGGTGAGGAATCTAGTAAGCACAGCAGAATAGCATTCTCCTTCCCTCCCTCCCCTTTTCTCCCGTCCCTCCCTCTCTCCAGGGGTGGGTTCTACTTACATTTACTACCGGTTCGAACAGGGCCGCAGAAGCATTTTGACGACGGGGGGGTCAGTGGGCGGACTCTCCCGCCGGTTTTACTACCGGTTCTATAGAACCGGTGCTAACCAGGGGCAACCCATCATTGCCTCCCTCCCTCCCCTTTTCTCTTCTCCCTCCCTCCCTCTTTGTTTCATTCCCTTTCCTCCCTCCCTCCTGCCCTCCCCTTTCTTTTCTCTCCTTCCTTCCTTCTTCCCTCCCTCCCCTTTTCTCTCTTCCCTCCCTCCCTCTTTGTTTCATTCCCTTTCCTCCCTCCCTCCTGCCCTCCCCTTTTCTCTTCCCCCCTCCCTCCTTCCCTCCCCCTTCTTTTCTCTCCTTCCTCCCTCCCTCCCTCCTTTCTGTCTCATTCCTCCCTCCCTCCCTCCCTTTTTGTTTCCTTCTTTTCCTTCTTTTTCCTCTTCGTTTCCTCCCTCCTTCCCTCCCTCTTGAGGAACAGGCCTATTCCATTAGCCTTTGTCCTTAAGGGTAGGTATTAGGTTTGCTGTTTCTGCTGAGATCCAAAATAGGGATCCTCTCTGCTAAAGCCTACTTGCAACTACTGATGCGGTTAGCGAGTATCCAGCATCGTTCTGCAGAGGAACCAAAAGGGAAATTCAGGTCAGCTTGGGGAGCTTGCAAATCAGCAGAACTCTTTTAGATCTATTGATTTTTTTCAATCTAGCTGAGTTGTGTGCATTTCAGATTTTGGCTCTCACAGCTTTACATCTCCTTCCTTCCTTCCTTCTTCATATTTGCAGGTCAGAGTAAACATGGAGCAAGAACATTTTCTGATTGTGCCTTTTGGACTTCTCTATAGTGAAGTTGCTGCTTCCAGCTTGGTAAGTGAAAAATTAAAAAAAACAACCTTGAATGTCTTACTCATTGAGCCAATTGGAATCAAATCTTGGATTGGGGCCTTCTTATTTAAGCCTTCATTTCTCAAATACCACCCCTGCAGTCACATGATCTGGATGTTCGGCTAACCTGTTCGCACTTACCACCACCAAGTACTCTGTCAAGTACTCTGTAATTATGTGCATGCCACTTGCAATCTTCTCTGCTGGCTTCCTGCACGAAATCATTGGGGATGCCAGTGTGGAAAAGTGTGCACACTTCCGCCACCTGCTAAGAAGACCCTCTCCCTTCTCTGGAGACTGACTGAAAGAGTTATCTCCTGAGGGGAGCTGAAATGCCCTCAGAGAATTTCCTTCAGAGTTTCCTCCTGAGGGAAGGCCAGATGCTGAAAATTTCCGCTCCATTCCCGCCCCCACATTTAAATCTTGGATTGGGGCCTCCTTATTTAAGCCTTCATTTCTCAAATACCAAGGCAACGCTACACATGATGACAGCCATCGGCCTGCTTTGCTTCCTGTGGGGGATAGTTTTAACACGATGAGTTAACGATAAGCTCAACCTAAGTGCCTACTGAATTGCTGGGGACCGTGTGTCCATCAACATCCAACAGACATCTGGGACACAGCATCCTGGTGGACCTATTTACTCCACGGGGTCCCTCTGGATTCACCTGGACTCCTCTGTTGCTTGTGAGCTCCTTTCAAATTTTCCTTCAGGCTCATTCGTGAAGCCCTGTCCTGTTCTTCTATTTCTTCTTCTCGTCCTCCTTCGTGATATCTTTATGCAATTTTTTATTTTCACCGAGGAGCCTTTAAAAATGATTCGCCCCGTTTTCCTCCTGCCACCATTTTAATAGCTGTGACTCAGAGAAATGGGATGGGGGAACTTTTAAGTCTTTCCAGGAGCCCAGCTCAGGTGCACCTTGAGAAGGATAAGGAGCTGTGCTAAAGTTGGAGCCGTGCTAAAGTTAATGTCAGTCTTCCATGGGCATCAGAAAGTAAATGTCGCACAAATATGATACAAAGAAACATCACAGTCTAGTTTGAATGTCCACACTGAATCTATAACTGGATGCAACTGGTCATGAAGCCAGTGCTAGCCTCTGGAAGCTTTCAAAATGTTGACCTTCACAGGACAAAAGCCTGTCCTTGAAGGGAGCAGGGAATATCTGCTGGATGTCCCAGGTATCTAGGGCAGCGGTCCCCAACCTTTCTGACTCCATGGACTGCGGTGGCGGGAAGAGGGGATGGTTTCGTGCGTGATAGCGCCACTTCCATAAATGGAGCTTTGTGTATTCGCCAATTGCTTGTACAGCTCGGTTCTGTTGTCACCTAGGCCCAAGTAGTTATTACCAGACACAAATCAGTCCTAAACAAACATATTTTATTAGAACAGCTGAGAATTACTTCATTCTCAGCTTAGTCCAAATTAATTCCAAAACAAATCCTTCAGAAAAAGTCCTTTGGTCTTATCACAAACCTTTGTCCTTTTGGCATCCTGCCAAAGGCTTTTCTTGGCAAAGCCCCACAAAGTTCAGAAACAAGAGATGCCAACAAGAAACAAATGTAGCAATGTTGCTTTCCTACAAAGAGCCGTTGCTGCTCTTTTAAGCCTGGGGGGTTGGGGGGCCCTGATCTAGAGGGTTGACAGGAGGCAGCTGAACCGGGGAGGCTCCCTTCCTCTAGAGAAACCATACCATCCTCTCCGAATTTTCTGGAAGGTGAGAAGAGGCCTCTGGGTTGAGTGCTGCAGAGCTGCTAACGTCAGGCAAATGAGACCGGTTCTCATTCTTACTCTTAATTTTGTATTTTTATTTCTGCTCCTGGATGTTGATACGTGCCGCTGTTGTTGCTCCCTGGGCTGTGGCTCTTGTTCTTATTTATGCCTTGACGGAAGCGGTTTATAAACTCATCAATAAATAAACAGACGCGGCTCATAAAAAGATAACTTGATTGTTGCTAATGAAAAAAATAAGCCATCTTGATGGCGGTCCCGACTTAAGCTTTCAAACCTTGTGGAAGAGCTCAAAGTCCAGATATCTTCCCAAGTCAAATTGCACACATTGTGTAAAAGTGGTTTGAATTATAATATCATTACCGGATTCCTGTTTCCAAGATGCCTCGCCCTAGAGCCAAGAAAGAATGTGAGAAAAATAAATTATCCAAATGTCCTTGGATACTCTATGGGGTTTCATCTAAACAGAAAAAAAATATCCCTAACTGTAAAAACTTTTCTGCAGATCAGCATCATAAATACTCAACTTCCATTCTCCCTCCCTCCCCCCCCTCCCTCTCCCTCCTTCCCTGCCGTGCATGACTACTGAGGTGTCAAAAAAAGTTACTACAATTCTTGGTTGTATAAACAGAGGCATAGAATCAAAATCACTTGAAGTATTAGCACCGCTTTATAGAACCTTATTTAAGGCCACACCTGGAATGCTGCATCCAGTATTGGTCACCACGTTACAAAAAAGATATTCAGACTTTGGAAAAAGTGCAAAGAAGAGCAAGTAAGATGATCAAAGGCCTGGAGACTAAAACAAATGAAGAACGGTTGCAGGAATTGGGTTTGCTTAGTCTAGAGAAAAGAAGGACCAGGTGGGACATGATAGCAATGTTCCAATATTTGAGGGGCTGCCACAAAGAAGAGGGGGGACAAATTAAAGCACCTGAAGGCAGGACAAGAAAGAATGGATGGAAACTAATCAAGGAGAGAAGCAACCTGGAATTAAGGAGAAACTTCCTAATAGTGAGAACGATTAACCAGTGGAACAGAAGTTGCCTCCAGAAGTTGTGGGTGCTTCATCACTGGAGGCTTTGAAGAAGAGATATTGTCTAAAATGATATAGAGTCTCCTGCTTGAGGAGGGGGTTGGACTAGAAGACCCCCAAGGTCCCTTCCAGCTTCTATTCTATTCTATTCTATTCTATTCTATTCTATTCTATTCTATTCTATTCTATTCTATTCTATTCTATCTATTCTATTATTATATTCTCTATTCCATTCCATTCTATTCCATTATTCTATTGTATTGTATTCTATTGTATTCTATTCTATTCTATTCTATTCATTCTATTCTATTCTATTCTATTCTATTCTATTCTATTCTATTCTATTCTATTCTATTCTCCATTCCATTATTCTATTCTATTCTATTCTATTCTATTCTATTCTATTCTATCTATTCTATTCTATTATTATATTCTCTATTCCATTCCATTCTATTCTATTCTATTCTATTCTATTCTATTCTATTCTATTCTATTCTATTCTATTCTATTCTATTCTATTCCATTCCATTCCATTCCATTCCATTCCATTCTATTCAATTACTATATTCTCTATTGCATTCCATTCTATTTCATTTTCTATTCTATTCTATTCTATTCTATTCTATTCTATTCTATTCCATTCCATTCCATTCCATTCCATTCTATTCTATTACTATATTCTCTATTGCATTCCATTCTATTTCATTTTCTATTCTATTCTATTCTATTCTATTCTATTCTATTCTATTCTATTCTATTCTATTAATTAAGTTAACAACTTTCCTCTATTCCTCTACTCTATTCCTCTACCCTACCCTACCCTACCCTACCCTACCCTACTCTACTCTTTTTTCTATTCCACCACACCCACTCACCCAATTCCTATTGTCTTTCAGGTGACCGGAGTCTCTTTCCCTCCTGCAGGCAGAGAGTTAGAATAACTTCGGCCTCTAACCCCGTCTTCTGTTATCAGGTCAAAGTCAACTTCCAAGGGGACGTCATTGATCGCGGAAGCACTAACCTGGGGATCAACCCAGCTGGCTTCACGTTGCACTCGGCCATCTACGCCGCCCGCCCGGAAGTCAAGTGCATCGTTCACATCCACACTCCCGCAGGAGCAGCAGTAAGAGAGTTCTCTTGTCCTTCTAGCTCGGAAATAGCAAAAACGTTCATCGCAAGCCACCTAGTGCAGGCAGTCCTCGACTTACGGCAGTTCGTTTTAGTGACCGTTTGAGGTTACAATGGCGTTAGGGGGGGAAAAAACGACTCACGGCCATTTTGCACACTTTATGACCGTCGTGACATTCCCACGGTCACCTGATTTGCGTTCGGGTGCTTGACAGCTGACTCACATTTATGTCCGTTGCAATGTCTGCGGGGGTCAGGCGATCCCTCTTTTGCGACCTTCTGACAAACCAAGTCAGACTAAGTCAGTAACAGTCGGGTTACTAATTTAGCAACTTCGGTGATTCACTTAACAACTGAGGCAAGAAAGGTCGTAAGGCGGGGCAAAATTCACTTAACAAATTTCCCACTTAGCAACATAAATTCTTGACTCGGTTGCGGTCGTAAATTGAGGACTACTGGTCATAACAAAGGAGACGGGCTATCAGCATAGGACAGGGATGGGCAGCAATGACAATTTTACGATCTGTGAACTTCAAATCCCAGAATGCCTGAACCAGCAGACCTATGCTGGCTCAGGCATTCTGGGAATTGAAGTCCACTGGTTGGAAAATTGCCATAATTCTCCACCTCTTATTTAGGAGAAGCCGAGTTGCCAAAAGGCCAGATCAGCTGCATGATAATGAACCATGCCTTCCATTCATCTACGGTTTGAAGATGGATATTCCCAGCAGAGTGAAACAATTTTCTGGACTGAGCCCACAAGCCCACAAGTTTTCCGTACTTCAGTAGATTACAGATTTTCAGAATATACTGCATTCCCAACTTTACTCTTTTTTTTTCAATAATCTTTTTAACACTTTGGGTAAATATTAAAATGGGTTCGATATTAAGGAAGCCAAAAACGTATAAGCCTGTTTCTCTGAAATAAACATTTCCAACCTAGACAGGTTGAAAGGGGATTTTTGCTACACAGCTTCTGGCCTGTCCAGTAAAATAATCACTTGTTGTATTAATGCTTTCTTGAAACCATAGAATAATAAGTAGGGCTGTATTACTATTATCCCTTTCCTATTTCCTATAGCATCTTATGACTATCACTTTGTTGTTTGTACCTTATGATTTATGTTGATTGCTTTAGTTAATATCCTATGAGTATCACTGAAGGTTGTATCTTATGATTTATGATTGTATTTTATGATTATTTGTGATTTATCACTGAGAGCTTATGCAGCAGAGACAGATTTCTTGTGTGTCCAATCACACTTGGCCAGTAAAGAATTTTTTTTCTTTTCTATTCCTATTCCTATTCCTATTTCATTCATTTCATTTCTATTCTATTAATTCTATTTCTATAGTCTATATATTATATATTCTAATCTAATTTAATTCTTTATTCTATTCTATTCTATGCTATTATTCTAATTCTGTAACTATTCTAATTTCTAATTCTATTCCATTCCATTCCATTCCATTTTCTATTCTATTCCGTTCTGTTCTTAATTCATTCCACTATTATTCTATTCCATTCCATTCTATTCTATTCTCTATATTCAGTATTCTAATCTAATTCTTCATTCTGTTCTCTTCTGTTCCATTCCATTCCACTGTACTCCACTCCATCCCTATCCATCTTATCAGGATTTTTCAAAATGGCTGCTCTCAGTCACGTGCCTCGGTTTTATTTTCCTGTTAGTTTTTGAGAACTTGCTTCCTCCTCAGAAATGAGGTTTAGAGATGTCTTTTCCAGATGAGAGAATTGTTCCACCCCGCTCAAAAGTTGTGTTTCCTTTGAGATCCGACATTTATAGGTAAGATGATAACCGATTCATATACTGCTGTCAGTAAAATCCGTGATAACATCCTCAGGTATCTGCGATGAAACGTGGCCTCCTGCCCATCTCGCCAGAGGCACTGTCTCTCGGAGAAGTGGCCTACCACGATTACCATGGCATTCTCGTGGACGAGGAGGAGAAAGTCTTGATTCAAAAGAATCTGGGCCCCAAAAGTAAAGTGAGTATCTACACCATCCCATTTTCAAGGATCTGACAGAAAACATGGAATTTGTCTGACTCCCAGCGTCTTTGTCTCTGTCCTCGGCTCCTCCAGGTCCTCATACTCCGAAATCACGGCTTGGTATCCGTTGGAGAAAGTGTGGAGGAGGCTTTCTATTATATTCACAATTTGGTTGTTGCGTGTGAGATCCAAGTAAGCAACGTTATTTCTTGATTTATCTATTTCAAGTTGGTTTGGGAAACCGCGTAACCCAAAATCACGCCTGTGGAAAAGGCGTAGCAGAATTTGAATTTAATATCGAGCATGTGAAGGTCCCGACTGACGATCCCAACTGAAGTAACCACGGCCGAGATGATCCAATCTCTGAATGCAGAACTTTATTGAGTACATCATTCCGCCACCGATGAGGGCAAAACCAGATCTGAACATTTCCCGCGCAAACCCACATAGTCAAAATTCAGGTTCTCCCTCCCTCCCTCCAATTTGATCAGCTCACATTGTCCAATGGAGCTGCTGGTATTGTTGTCAAGCACGGCTGGCATCTCAATGTCTGGAACCTAAGTTCCATCTCCCCCTTCCTTCTCCCCATAGTTCGTTGGCAGTCTGAGAAGCGGTAATAGTTGCGACAGCAAAAAGCAGCTTTTGACGCTTGGCAGGAAAAAAAAAACCTGCCATATTTTTTTGTGTGTGGATTTAATTAAAGAGATAAATCCTACTAGAGGGCTTGTAACGTGGCATGCAACCCAGATTAAACCGGAAGGTTGGTGCTTGATTTATTTCTTCTAATTATTATTTGCTGTTTACTTTGCAGGTACGAACGCTGGCCAGCGCAGGAGGGGCAGACAATTTGGTCCTGTTGGATCCCAGCAAGTACAAATCCAGGCCTCACTGCCACGAGTCTGCCGCGGGGGAGGGCACAGTGCATCACCCCAAATGGCAAACTGGAGAACAAGAGTTTGAAGCCCTCATGCGAATGCTTGACAATTTGGTAAGCCTGCTGCTCCTCTATAGAGTCCGTCTAGGTGAGATGGGTAGCTGTACAAATATAAGAGGATGGATGGATGGATGGATGGATGGATGGATGGGACAGACAGACAGACAGATAGACCTCTCTTAATATCACGAAGCTCTTATGGCTGACACCCTCAAGGTTTTGTTCTTCCTTAAGGAGGAGTTTCTCTTCCCCCACCCCGGTGGATTTGACTCCGCTAGTCATTGCGGACTGTAGGGGGCGCTGCTCATTTCCGTTTCAAGGCCACTGAGCCAGCCCTGTCCGAAGACATGTCTGTGGCACGTGGTCAGCATGAAGTCGCAGAGCGCTGTTACCTTCCCACCAAAGTGGTATACCTATTTATCTACTCGCCTTTTGCATCCTTTCCAACTGCTAACGTTGGCAGGAGCCGGAGCAAGTTAACGGGAAGCTCACTCCGTCATGCGGCAATCGGGTCTCGAACGGCTCCCCAGCCAACAAACCCAGCGTCTTAACAGCTGAGCCACTGCGCTGCCCCTTAAGGAGAACGCAGTTGAGAAACACAAGATTCAAAGCTTCATCATTCACCGCAGTGCCAGAGGAATCTTTCAGCAACACTTAATGTTCCTTTTTCTCACAATAGAAGATAAGTTATCTGTAGCCTCAGGGTTGAATTTGTGGTTCAGGGTTGAACTTATCCAGCTAGTTGGGGTAACGAAAGGGCTGTGAGCAAACAGCCAAGCCCAGAGAGCGCTAAGAAGTCCACAATTCATTTTCTTGGGAATAATATCTGCAGAGTTTACTTCCACCTTCAGGGCAACGTCCTTCACTCCTGATTTATTTGGTTTGTTCACGGGAAAGTAGGACCACAAGGAAAGGCCTTGGCTGCCACTTATAAAAGCCTTTAGAGATTCTCAGTCATCCAGGTCATGGTTGTCCCAAAAGTTGCTTTTTCAAGAGGCAACTGGACTTAATCTTGTCTTTTTCTTTGAAGAAGTTTTGCTTCTCATCAGTGGTGAAATCCTAATTTTTTTACTACCAGTTCTATGGGCGTGGCTTGGTGGGCATGGTGTGGCTTGGTGGGTGTGGCAGGGGAAGGATACTGCAAAATCTCATTCCCACCCAACTCCTGGGGGAAGGATATTGCAAAATCCCCATTCCCACCCCACTCTAGGGCCAGCTAGAAGTGGTATTTGCTGGTTCTCCGAACTGCTCAAAATTTCCGCTACCGGTTCTCCAGAACCTGTCAGAACCTGCTGGATTTCACCAATGCTTCTCATCCAAGAAGCTTCTTCAGCTCTGACTGGATGGTGAATGGGAGGATTTATATTCCTTGCAGACTGCTGGTCATTTGCATCCTTCAAGGATCCTCTAAAAGGACGCAAATGACCAGCTGTCTGCAAGGAATATAAATCCTCCCATTCACCACCATCCAGTTGAAGCTGAAGAAGCTCCTTGGATGAGAAGCGAAACGTCTTCAAAGAAAAAGACAAAGTCCAGTTGTCTCCTGAAATCCTAACCATAGTTACTGCAAAAGGGGTTAGTGAGGAAGGGGGCAGATCCTCCATACAATCCATTATGCCTTCCAAAATCAGCAGGAAAGGGTGGAAAATTCCACAGCGCTCCATGCTTCAGGCCAGAGACATCTCTTGCTACACATAGATGTTAAGAGGACAATAACGTCACAAAGAACATGGGCCCAGGCAGCTGTTGCCCCAAGGATGGGGGGCAGCTCTGGGCTGATCAGACTCAGGAGAGCCCAGGCTGAAGGCAAGACTGAAGAACCAGCTCAAAAGGAAGGCAACACAACAACACAACAAGGAGTGTTGTGGTGCAGTGTTTAGAATGCAGTATTGCAGGGTAACTCTGCCGACTGCCAGCAGTTCAATCCTGACCTGCTCAAAGTTGTCTCAGCCTTCCGTCCTCCTTAAGTCAGTAAACTGAGGAGCCAGATTGTTGGGACAATATGCTGACTCTATAAACTGCTTAGAGGGGGCTGTCTAAGTGCTATTGCTAGTCCCTTCCTTCCTCTCTCCCTCCCTCCCTCCCTCCCTCCCTTCCATGGTGCGCAGTGGTTAGAATGCAGTATTGTAGGCTAACTCTGCCCACAGCCAAGAAGTTTGATCCTGACCGGCTCGAGGTTGACTCAGCCTTCCATCTTTTCCAAGGTTGGCAAAATGAGGATCCAGATTGTTGGGGGGGGGGGGCAAGAGGCGGACTCTGTAAAACGCTTAGAGAGGGCTGCAAAGCACCGTGAAGCGGTATATAAGTCTTAAGTGCTTTTGCTATTCCTGATGAATCCCGGGCATTGTCCTTGACTGAATGTTCTCCTGTGGTGTTTCTTCAGGGTTACCGGACTGGCTACCCGTATCGATGCCCTGCTCTGAGGGAGAAGACTAAAAAGTTCAGTGAGGCGGAGATTCCCGCTGCCGTCACCGGCTACTCTCTTGCTAGTGACGGGGACTCGGGCACTTGCTCTCCTCTGAGGCATAGCTTTCAGAGACAGCAGCGAGAGAAGGCAAGGTGGCTAAATGCCAGCCGAGGGGATGACCCAGCTGAAGAAGGGCAGGATGGCGGTGGCGGCGGCGGCGGCAGCCCCAAGTCGAAGACTAAGGTGTGGACGAACATTACACACGATCACGTGAAACCCTTGCTGCAGTCTCTCTCGTCCGGTGTCTGCGTGCCAAGCTGTATTACCAACTGCTTGGTCTGTGCCTACCTTACTGTTCATAGTTAGATGATGTAGAGCGACCGTTGGCGGCAACTGCTGGGAGGCTTTGGACGCAAAAATGAGCCTCGCGGGTTTCCCAAACCCTCTAAAACCTTCTGATCTCTCCTCCCCCCCTCCCCGGGTGGTAGCAGGAAAGTCATTCCTCACGGGCGAACCGTCCTTCCGTGGGTCCCGGGTGTTATGCCCGCCGCTTAAATTCCTTTTAAGGTGGACAGATACGGTGTCGTATTCTCTCTGGGCTCAATCCCCTGCTTTTACTTTATGAACGAATGATCGGGGCTGTCTTGGCCTTCCAGTGGCCCAGCCTTCTGAGGATCCCAGTCCTCTTGGCATCCTTCTCCACAAATGCCATGGCTCTTGACCTCCTTTAGGCGGTTTTCTACCCGAAGCCAGAACCTCCGTCGTAGTTTGAGATTTCAGCCGAACCCTGGGAATCTGAGCCGCCGTGCGCCCTCTTTGCCTTTTCACATTGGTCCCGAAGCCTCCCAGGGTTGACCCCCACCCTTTCTGCATGAAATGTTGCATGTTAAATAGGTGGCCGTAATTGAAGAGTCTTTCCTGCGGGATTAGCCGGGGTGGGGTGGAGTGGGTGGAGGCGGCATGATAAATTTCGGCTCAGGTGTGGTCCAGAAGGGGCTTGGCGGCACTGCCTCCGAAGGGCCCTTCGGCCTTGACTTCAGGGCCAACAAGGCCGATAGCTAACAGCTGCTTGGAGATAGTGATGTCAAAGCCAGATGTGCATGTGGCTGGCGGGTGATGCTGGATTACTCTAGAGCTGAGCAGAAAAACCTGCAGTCCTTCAAAGCTACACAAAGGACAGCACAGTTTAGGAGTCTGCATAAAGGAGCCATCTTTTAAATGTAACTACATTTTCAAGCCATCCTTGAAAATGTAGTTACGTTTAGTTCCTGTTTTCCTTTGCGTCTCTCGACGCAAAGCCCAATGCTCCCTAATTTTGGGGTCTCTGCCTTTCAGGATTATTATTGGGGAATGTAATTGCTCTTATACACACTTAATGAGAGAACAGAGGATAGAGTCTTTTGATTATGGAGTGATTTTTCTTCCTTTTTAAAAAAAAATGCTACTACTGTCAAGACGTTGAAATATCACTTCTTCGGGAAATAGCAAAATCAAAACGTGCGTAAGAGTTTTGTGTTTTCTTAAGCACCCAAATCGAGCTGAAGATCTAAGACCAATGAAAACTGAAATTACCACTGGAATACAATCTGATTTTGACATATTAATAAAACAGCTTTCAATCCCTATCCAGTAACTTCTGGTGTGTATATTTGATTTTTTAAAAAATGTTTTTTTTTAAATCCAGTATGCTAAGGTTCTTAACGTTGTTGCTAAATATCTTTAGTAAAAAGCTGGAGTAATTTTTATGTGAAAAGATAAGAACCAGTGAGTATCCATAGCTCCATGTTCATTCTATTTTTTTACTTCATATTTGCAAAGCATTTTTAAATTATGTTGCTTTTTAAGGAGTTCTATTTCTGGCTTTTCGTCTCAGAATTATTTTTGGGAGGAGTAGTATTTATACAAAAGTGTAAAACGGGTTTGATTCAGAGTTGAGAGCTTACCCATGCAATAAGTTGTTTATTAACGGGGGCCAAACATAACCTTTTGAAAGAATAAATCTCATATTCATATTGGTAGGACAAACTTACCTTCTATAAGCTACTAACTTTATTGGTTAAATTAAGCAACCTCCTGCAAAAATCCCTTTTGTAAATTGCTTTTTTTTTCAGCTTTGGAGATGTGTTATTATTATTATTATTATTATTATTTTTAAATATATGAAGCCATAAGCTTTATATAAAATGACGACATCACCAAACTCTTCTGTTAGGCTGCTCCATCTATCTGTCTGTGTAAAAAACGGTTTTGGACTTTTCTACTCTTTTGAGTTTTGTTTTGAATTTAAACTTTGGTGATGCCCACTCTTTCTTCATGGGACAAAATAATCCACCTAGCCTGGTTATTATCATGCTGCTTTTCATATTTCTGTCATCTCGTGGTTTCTGTTCGCTTTGATGTTATTAAGATATCCGGGAAGTGAATCAATGATGTGGACAGTTAATAATTGTTGAGCCAAAATTTCCATTTCTGGGGTTTTATATTTCCATAATCGGGACAGTCCCATCTGGATTATCGTGCCCAGTGCAGGGTTAAGAGGGATTAATTCCAAGAAGCAAAGCTTTACATCGGAGGTGTAAGACTGGTGGACATCAGCTCCCAGAACTCCCTGGCCTTCTGGGGAAGTCCACAGGTCTTAAAAGTAGCCAGGTCTCAAAGCTTTACATCAGGGGTGTCCAACCTTGGCAGCTTTAAGACTCGCGAACTTCAGCTCCCAGAATTCCCCAGCTGGCTGCCTGGGGAATTCTGGGAGTTGAAGTCCACAGGTCTTTAAAGCGTCCAAGATTGGATGCCCCTGCTTTACATTGCCACGGGCACCTCTTTTGGGAGGGTCTTCAGCTTACAGCCTCAAATTCCTTTAGTGGCCTACGGCTAAAGAAGACCTCGTGCATCTTAGCACCCCTTCCAGATGCCCCATTTTTTTCCTGGGGTTTGGCAGTTTGATCGTGGGACACGTCCCACCCAGCCAAGCAGCTGTTCCAAAACAAAGGACAGCTTTTCTTTGGTCCCCCAAAGCCCAATCATTGCTTCAATTCTCCTTCGTCAAATCTTGCATGATCTCCTGTGCGATAACGTTGCTGTTTTGAACAGGCCGAGCATTTCGGAGGAGCCTTTGTGTTTTTTTAACACGCCCGTTTTCCGTGCTGTTGTTTACAGTGGACTAAAGAAGAGGGTCACAGGACTGCCTCATCTGCTGCCCCAAACCTCTTTGTTCCCTTGAACACGAACCCAAAAGAGGTCCAAGAAATGCGGAACAAGGTTGGTACCGGTCGGGACACGGGTCCGCTTTTGGATCTGGAGATGTGGGGGAGATGCGCCGTCCGGCTCACGGACCATCGGGGACCCCTCTGGACAAGGGGGACAGAAAGGTCAGGCTGCAGTTTGGGCTGCGTAAGGCTGACTGGCGCTGGGCATGGGTGCTCAGGAAGGTGCCCGGCCATTGGGGATTATGGTTTGGGATCGGTACAAGCAGTTCTCGATTTACAACAGTTCATTTAGTGACCGAAGTTACAACAGCACCGGAAAAAGTTACTTAACAACTGTTTCTCGCACTTATGACCGTTTGCAGCATTCCCCACGATCAGGTGACCAAGAATTCAGACGCTCGGCAACTGATTCACATTTACGACGGTCGCAGTGTCCCGAGGTCACGTGATCCTCTTTCTGACCAGCAAAGTCAACGGGGGGAAACCAGATTCACTTAACAACCGGGTGACTTAATTTATCCACTGCAGCGATTCACTTAACGGTGGCGAGAAAGCTCGTAAAACGAGGCAAAACTCCCTGAACATATTTCTCACTTAGCAACATAAATTCTGGGCTCAATTGTGGTCTTAAGTTGACCTGTATCAGAGAAGGGAGTGTTAGACTTTGGCAGCACCGGAGGTGGGAATCCAGATTTGAACTTCATTTGCCCGTCCGGAGTGAAACAAATCAGGGTTTAGCGCAAAATCCAAGATCTTCCGCATGCTTTTAAAAAGGGTTAACCAGGTCGAATGGATCTGTAGCTTCCGTCAGGTTGGAACAAGCCCTGACCCGGAACTACCATGCGGAGAGCTCGTCTTGTTGGCTGGGCCTGCCTGTGGCTTAACAGGTAGTCCTCGACTTAACGACCAGAATTGAGCCCAACATTTCTGTGACTTAAGTGAAACCTTCATTAAGTTTGAGTTTGCCCCATTTTTACGATTTTTCTTGCCACCGTTGTTAAGCGAGTCACTGCTGTTGCTAAATCAGTGACAGGGTTGTTGAGTGAGACTGGCTTCTCCGTTGACTTTTCTTGTCAGAAGATTGCAAAAGGGGATCAAATCTCACACACACACACACACACACACACACACGACACACGGGACACTGCAACTGTCATAAATACGAGTCAGTTGCCAAGCGCCTGAATTTTGATTGTGTGTCCCTGGGGATGCTGCAATGGTCAGAAGTGTGAAAAAATGGTCATAAGTTGCAACATCACTGGAAAAAAAAGAGAAAGCCGTCTCTTTTTTTTTTCAGTGATGTTGCAGCTTCAAACGGTCACTAAATGAATTGTTGTAAGTCAAGGACTACCTGTACTTGACACTAGGCCTTTCTCCCTCTCTCTCTCTCTCTCTCTCCCTCTCTCTCTTTTTCTTTCTTTCGACAGATCAGGGAGCAGAACTTGCAAGACATTAAAACGGCCGGTCCGCAGTCCCAAGTCCTTTCAGGGGTCGTCATGGAGAGGAGCCTTGTGCAGGTGAGAAGGCAACGCAGCTTCCGGTGCCGCTCTGCATGAACGCGTGGCCTCTTTTCTTGCTGTGGCCTCACGTAGCCCTGTGCAGCTTAAAACTTTAACAGTAGACAGAGAGTAACCCTTCGTCAGGTAAGTGCGAAGGGCAAGCAGGTGCAGTCTTTACCACCCCACGGAAGGTTCAACCACGCAGAGGGAGGCTGGCCTCTAGCAGTGTGCTGGTCACGGGGCATCGGTTCCCCAAACACGACAAACCCTCTGTATTTAAATCAATGATTCTTTTTATTAGGAGCGCCAGCAGCCCCGGCAAAAAGTTTCTCTCTCACTGCAGGCTAACAAGTCTGTCCGGCAGGGAGATGAATAATTGTCTGCCATACCTATTCACTTCCACCCCCTGCCTTTTATCCCCAGAGCTAGGGTGGGACTTTGCTAGCAGCAGTGGCTCTTCCGTCCCAAGGACCGGCCCATAGATTTCCACTGCTCTCCTCTCCCCTGCCTTCTGTAAATCCGTGCGTCAGGCACTGGACCCAGCTGTTCCTCCTCTTCCTCATCAGCCACCTCCAGACCTGGGGGCTGTTGACTCTCCATCTGAGGGCTGACGGACGGCCCAGGCTCCCCCCCTCTCCCTCTCTCTGCCAGCTCCATTCCCCCTTCCCCCTCGGAGCTCTCCGGTTGCCTTGATGCTGACCTTGATTCCCACACCACCTCTTCATCTGATTCGGCTGCTGGAGGGGCCGGCGGCCGGGATGGCTCGCAGGGACACCTTCACTGAAATGGGTGCATTTTTTCAGTGGGGTGGTAAAAAAAGCAACAACAACAACCCTTTTAACCTCAAAAAAACGAAAAGTGAAATCCATCCCGTAACTTTGAATCAACCCGCATTAAGAGATGCAGGTTACGTCCAATGTTCTTTCTACTTGCTTGATGGCAACGTGGCTAGGATATTCAGGCAGAATTCAGGGTTGCTTTGCATGCTGCTTCTATGGCCGCCGCTTGTGTGTTTGACACACTCTGAATATGTTTCTGCATGTCGTCTTTTTTTTAAGGCCATGTCGTAATGCTTTTGAGCCGATAATCTAAGCCCGGGTTTGGTTTGCTCTGTCTACTCAATTTCCTGTTTCAGGATGCTCCCCTCTCAGACTGTACGGAAACAATTGAAGGGCTCGACCCCACAGAGCAGGCCTTTAGTCCAGCTAAATCTGTCTCTCTTAGAAAGGTACTGACCGCTCTGTCCTTCCGCTCTCAATGCTCTTTCGCTTTTAACCTCCTTTTTACCCTGGTTGATCGTTTCTCTTGCTTGAGGTTACAAAGGGACCTACACGTCGGGTGCGAGTTTGAGGCTTATAACAGGGGTCCCCAATCCCCGGGAAACAGCCCATGGTCCATTCGGAAGCGGGCTGCGTGAGTGGCACGCGTGTGCATCTCAACTAACATAAGCATAAGTGAAAAAAGCAAGGTTCTACATTTAGGGAAGAAAAACAAAATGCACAGGTACCATATATGTGGTAGCTTGCTCAATAGTAGTAACTGGGAGAGGGATCTTGGAGTCCTAGTGGACAACCCTTTAGATATGAGCCAGCCGTGTGCAGCAGCTGCCAAAAAAGCCAGCACAGTTCTGGGCTGCATCAACAGAGGGATAGAATCAAGATCACGTGAAGTGTTAATACCACTTTATAAGGCCTTGGTAAGGCCACACTAGGAATTCTGCATTCAGTTTTGGTCGCCACGATGTAAAAAAGATGTGGAGACTCTGGAAAGAGTGCAGAGAAGAGCAACAAAGATGATTAGAGGACTGGAGGCTAAAACATACGAAGAACGGTTGCAGGAACTGGGTATGTCTAGTTTGATGGAAAGAAGGACTAGGGGAGACATGATAGCAGTCTTCCAATATCTCAGGGGCTGCCCCAAAGAAGAGGGAGTCAACCTATTCTCCAAAGCACCTGAGGGTAGAACAAGAAGCAATGGGTGGAAACTAATCAAGGAGAGAAGCAATTTAGAACTAAGGAGGAATTTCCTGACAGTTAGAACAATTAATCAGTGGAACAACTTGCCTCCAGAAGTTGTGAATGCTCCAACACTGGAAGTATTTAAGAAGATGTTGGATAACCATTTGTCTGAAGTGGTGTAGGGTTTCCTTCCTGGGCAGGGGGTTGGACTAGAAGACCTCCAAGATCCCTTCCAACTCTGTTATTCTATTCTATTCTAAGCAGAGGGCTGACGTGTACGCACGCGTGCAGCTCAACTTGCGCAAGCAATGGGCCAGTTCCTCCCTCCCCCCCCTCCGCTGGCCCGCCAAGCCGTAAGGATTGGCTTAGAAGATTCTTTAAATACTTTCCTTTTAAACATGGCTTACGTCAGAGTAATCTCCCAAAGAGCCACAGGTTTAACCAGGAATAATCCTGCTTGATACCCGGAAACAGAAGTGTGCGTTAATGGACTGCTGGCTATCCATTTGTGGGTTACCTGAAGTCTTTTTACTACATGCCATAGCAATTAATCCGTGGAACAACTTGCCTCCAGAAGTTGTCGGTGTGCTCCAACACTGGAGGTTTTTAAGGAGAGACTGGATAGCCATTTGTCTGAAATGGTACAGGGTTTTCCTGCCTGAGCAGGGGGTTGGACTAGAAGACCTCCAAAGTCCCTTCCAATTCTGTTATTCTGGTTGCTATCCTAGTTGAGGCAGCTTTGGAGCAGTGGTCCATGAGAAAATGTTGGTGGTCCGCAGAAAAATTATTTGCATTTTTTATATTGCACTAAATCAGGGGTCCTCAAACTACGGCCCCTGGGACAGATACGTGCAATGAATGTTTATGTTGCTGCAGAGAGTCTCCCCCTTCAGAGTCTTTTGTGTAGGATGGAGGGGGACAGAAATTCCAACTTGGGGTCTGCTTCGGCCTCCTGGTGCTGGGGTTTGGGCGAAGGCTGGAGGGAAGCGCCGCTGGTGGTGAAGAGGCAGAGTTCCTGTTGGGGCCCTAAGGAGCCCAGGCAGGCAAGTGAGGAGTGCCTGGGAGGGGAGAGTAGCGGCCACCAAGGCGCCCCTCGATGCAAGTGACATCGAGTTGACCACACCCACTCAGTCAAATGACCACCTGGCCACGCCCACCCAACCGGTCATTAGGCAGATCATATTAGTGGTCCACGGGATTTAAAATTATGAATTTAGTGGTCCTTGAGTTCCGAAAGGTTGGTGACCCCTGCTTTAGAGGACACATAAGGAAGGGCAGTACCACCCGGGTAAACGAACAGGAGGCGCAAATGGAAGTGTAGCATAGGCCAAAGGGGAGAGATCGTTGTTGGCCAACTGAGAACTTGAGAAACTTGTGGATGGGGAAATGGTTCCTCTCAAAATCCTTGCATGGCACAACATGAAATTATTCAGGAAGTCACCAACATCTCTTGGATAATGTCTAGGATTCGTAGAGCTCTCCTGCCTGGGTTAAACTCATTGTTTCTAACTTCACCGTCAGAAAAGAATTGACGGTAGAAACCATCATCCGCTAAGAAGAACTTGGAAGGATGGCCATGACACGTAGCCCTCGAACACAATTGAGCCCAACATTTATGTTGCTAAGTGAGAAATTTGTTAGGTGAGGTTTGCCCCATTTTACGACTTTTCCTGCCGCGTTTGTTAAGCGAATCACCGCCCATTATTAAATTAGTAACACGGTTGTTAGGCGAATCCGGGTTTCCCCGTTGACTTTGTTAAGGAATTCGCAGAGTAACCCTTCAGTAGCAAGGGTGTGCACATGAAAGCGATTGAGAGTAGGTACGAATAAACACAGTCAACACACAGATACACTGAGTTGTGTTTACTTTCAGGAAATAGTAAGGCACAGTCCAATAAACAGTCCAGGTCATACACATATAAAGCAGGAGATAGTCAAAACGACAGTCCAGGGATAATCCAATAACAAAGTCTTCTTACCAGTCGTCATAGTCATTCACAATAAACAGTTCTTCTGGATTTGCAAACAGTAGCATACAGAGATACAGAACAGCAAAGAGAAACAAACCATGTTTCTACCTCCCTCTTAAGGAGATTGGCTACAGAGCTAACCAATCAGGACACAGTATGATGCAATACAGCAGTCTTAAAGCTATATTGATGGTTTATATATGGCCAACCCAACAAGTTAGGTAATAGTCATTTCCTAACAGACTTGGCTCGTCAGAAGGACGTAAAAGGGGAATCACATGACCGTCATAAATACAAATCGGTTGCCAGGCGTCCGAATGCAAATCACGTGACCATGTGGATGCTGCAACGGCCATAAGGGTGACAAATGGTCATAAGTCACTTTTTTCAGTGTTGTACGTTCGAATGGTCACTAGCAAAATTCTTGTTAAGTCGAGATCTACCTGTATCTTCTACCAAAAAGTATCTGCAGAGCAAAATGGATTTGTGGGCTGTGGTTGAGCATAATGGGAACCACATGATGCATTTGTGCAGTGAAGCACTGAACATGGAGGATATTCAGGGCCTGAATGGCTTACCATATCGTCAGAGAAGATGTAAGAAGGGACGTGGTGGGTCAGTGACTAAGACACTGAGCTTGTCGATCGAAAGGTCGGCAATTCAGCAGTTTGACTACCGCATAACGGGGTGAGCTCCCGTGACTTGTCCCAGCTTCTGCCAACCTAGCAGTTCGAAAGCACGTAAAAAAAATGCAAGTAGAAAAATAGGGACCATCTTTGGTGGGAAGGGAACAGCGTTCCGTGCGCCTTTGGCGTTGAGTCATGCCGGCCACATGACCACGGAGACGTCTTTGGACAGCGCTGGCTCTTTGGCTTTGAAACAGAGAGGAGCACCGCCCCCTAGAGTCGGGAATGACTAGCACATATGTGTGAGGGGAACCTTTACCTTTACCTATCAGGGAAGCCCGTAGTAGAGGATCAGGCTATCTGTCCATCGGCTGAGGTGTAAACAGATGGTCTCAGAGGTCCAAGTAGGACTGCAGGAGCAAATGAAGAAAACACGGTCAATGTTTGGGGACCATCTGTGACCCAGTCCTAAAACTACAAAATTGTTCTGACGGTTTTGTTAGGAAGCCTCTCAAAAGATGCCCGAGTTGAGTTAAATTGAGTGTTTCCGCACCCTGGGAAAGTAAAGTACAGTTTCTTGCAAAATTTCACAAAATACTTGTCTGCCGTTTTGGCAACGAAAGGCGGTGCAACCCGTTCCTAAGCCAGGGGGGACAATCCGTTGTTCGGATGGGCGCGTTGTGTTTTGCGGGTGGTGTTAAGAAGTCGAGGTAACAAACACTAGGTTTTGGAATGGTTAAAATTCAAATTCCCATGATGTATTAGTAGGACCTGCGTGAATTTCTGTTCATCTTCCGTGGCAGTCACCCAAACTGTATCGGGTCATAGAGCCTCTGATGGGGTTAAGGGGTGCTTCTCTAGAGGGGTGGGTGGGTATTTCTTCTCCCGTTCTTGGCCGAACGTCCACACCAATCTTGATTCATTAGAGTTTTGACAGTGGCGTGATGGTTCATTTTTCCTTCTGCCTTTGCTATTCGGCCCCATCACTTTATTCGTAACCCTGCATTCCCCCCCTTTTCTCTTGCTTCTCTTTTGCTCCCTTTCCATATCTTAGCCCTTCGGAGAAAACTCTGAGAAGGCCAGCTCGTTTTGGGGGTCAGTCTTAGCCAGGCCTTTGCGATTGGGATCAGGGTGCTCAGCTCTCTCCAACCAGCCTATGTTCCCCAATACAAAATGGCTGTCAGCGTCTCACCGCTGGCATAGAGAGGAGAGAGATAAACCCTGAACTTTTGCCTGCTAAATCCCTTTGAAGCCTGGTCATCGTGGAAATGAGGGGAGAGACATTCCTGTGAAATGACGAGATAAGAAGTCAGTGGAGTGACTTGGAAGATAGCCAATGAGAAGCAGATAATTGGGGATCTGAAAGGGAGGGATTGAGGGACAAAAGGACAGTCTTGTCCGCATCGAGTCATGATCTGGTTGCTGTGCTCAATTAAAGAGAAGATTTCCTTAAAGATTGGCAGTTTGGAAATTCATTTATTATGAGATAGCATCGAAGTCTGACAATGGCTTTGGTATTAGCCCTTTCGCCTGGATTGAAATCTGAACAGCCTGGTATAAATTATATGCGGTCATTCCTGCAAGACACTTTCCAGTGTCCAAAAACACCCATGGAATCGTAGTGGTGTGTTTGAGATCTGTCATATCAGGAGATAACCCGGAGGACATTATGAGAGAAAGTTCCTTATAAGTTATCAGTAGGAGAACTGTGATTCTAAAAAAAATGAATTGGTTTATCTGCTCTTGTTTCTAACCTGGTAAGGTTAACATCAGTCAGCCTTGAGAATTTTGGCATGGTCCCTCCTGAGCTTCTTCCTCCATCCACTATGCAGCTGTGGGCTCTGCTGTCTCTTTATCTGACTGGTACCCAGGCAGCATCTCTTCGCCCTGTCTCCCAAGGTCCTTCTAACATCCCATTACAGTCTATTTAGAACACTGTATACAGTAGTGGCCAAAATTGTGGAAACCTTTTGGGAAAAGTTTATTTTTGAGGTTTGATGGCTAATAACACCGCTTTTTTTTTTTTTTTTGGAGTTTCAAGAGAATCCTATTTCACTGCTGGAATGGCCTGGGAATAGCCCAGACCTTCACCCAATGGAAAATCTATGGAGCCGATTAAAGAAACCTGTTAGTCAGAAGCGACTCAGCAATAAAACCCAGTTAATAGAAGCCATCATTCCATCTTGGTTTCACATGAGAACAGCTGCAGAACTCAAAGACTTGGTTCCCTCCATGGGAAGACGTTGTAAGGCCGTCATTCATGCTAAAGGTTACCCAACGAAGTATTAACTGACATGGGGTTCATTTTTGTATATCTCGTTTTTTCTACGTGTTTCACTTTTCTTCTTTATACTGTAACTGCTATTCTCATAGCAAATCCTTCATGAAAGTTATTGCATTACATTCTTGATTCAATGATCTTTCCATCGATATATAATGTTATGGTACTGCTCCAAAAAAAGTGGTGTTATTAGCTAGTTTTTACTTTTCCCAAAAGCTTTCCACAATTTTGGCCACTACTGTACAACCTGCAAGGGAGTTGTTAACGGGTGCCAGTTTACATTTTCAGTTTGACTTTTTTTTTTTTCTTGCAGAAATTGGATGGGACAGAATAATAGGCCCAGACCTTTACAGATACAAAGCTTTGTAACCTTAACCTCTTTATCTTTCTTTCCACCTACCACTGCTTTGGGCAGCCGTGATTACTAGCGGGAATTCTCTTTCCATTGTTGTCCAGAGAGTGCTGCTTATCCCACTTCAGAGGCCAGCCAGGAAAAAAGCACTCGTGTATTTATCCAGTCAGTTGATTCGGTCAATTTATTTGCCGTGTTTATAGTGCAGCTTAATCAGAAAGCTGTTACTAGTTTGTAATAATTTAATTTAACAAAACCCCATTTTGTTGTTTCTAAAATTTGCCTAGTGCCAGATCAGCAGGGCAACCTCTCCTCTCCATTCAAAATTAAACTCTACGGGGACGTTGCTTCATTAGCGTTGAGCGCTTCCCATTTCTCCTCCCCCACCCCAGTGCCTCCAGCGTCCTGTACCCCAGACGGTGAGAGAGCTTTCTCTTCTTCTGCTTTAGGGGGAGCTGGTGACCGCCTCCAAGGCCATCATCGAGAAAGAGTATCAGCCCCGCGTCATCATCAGCACCACCGGGCCCAACCCTTTCCACAAACTCACGGACCAAGAACTGGACGACTATCGCCGAGAGGTCGAAAGGAAACAGAGGCAGTCCGAAGGTTTGTGTGTGTGTGTGTGGCATCAGTTGGGCACCTTCACCTGTGATCCCATCGCACCTGGCTGAAGGAATACGTGGCATTGCTCCCAGAGCCTCCCATGGGCCGATGCTTGGGCACCTGTGAATCCATGCCACACATTTTGTCTAACCACACCATTGTCAGAAAAGTTCTCTCTGACTTATGGCCCAGAACAGTGGTGGCTAACCTTTTTCTTGTTGTGTGCTAAAAGAGCGCGCTTGTGGCACCCATCATGCAATGCTCCCCCGCTGCACATGTGAGCACGACCCCTCGCTCCCCCGCCCACCCACCCCCGTTTTGGGCCTAGCAGGCCTCCCTGCAGCCTCCTGGGCCCCAAATCAGGCCGTGCGGTGGGGGGCATGCCACGCCCCTTGTGCTCCCTATGCCCCCCCCATGCATGCGCGTGCAACCCCCTGTGCATGCACACCTGTCTCCTGCATGCCCCCTGCCCCCCACGCATCCTGAAAATCAACTGGCCGGCAGGAGGCACACGCACACATGCGCGGTGGAGGTGAGCTGGGGACGGCTCATGTGCCCTCAGAGAGGACTCTGTGTGCCAGCTGTGCCATCACGGGCCCAGAAGGGGACCCCACGGGGCTGCCACTCTTTATTTATTCGTCATTGTATTTGTTTCCAGAAGCTTTTTACTTTTCCTGCTCGGTGTGAACGAGAAGGGATGCTGTTAACGGCACCTTTGCAAAGGAGAGAAATAGCTGCCGTTACAGGCAGTCCTTGGCCAGAATTGAGCCCAACATTTCTTGTGGCTAAGTGAAACATTTGAGTGAGTTGAGTGAGTGAGAGTCCATTTTACGACTTTCCTTGCCACGGTTGCAGAGTGAAATCACTACGTGGAGATGCGGCAACGGTCGTCAAAGTGTGATAAACGGCCATAAGTCACTTTTTCCGGTGCCGTTATAACTTTGAATGGTCACTAAAGGAACAGTTGTAAGTTGAGGATTACCTATATGCAGTAGCAGGATTTTTCGGCTGGCTGGAGTTCCCACACAGCCTTGCATACGTAACCTCTTGCGGTAGCCTTGTTGGAGAACACTTGGGCTTCAGCTTAAAAGGCGCCTGGGGCCTCAATTTCTATTCGCACTAGGAGCCGGCCTCCAAGGAGGATTTTCCTAACTTATAGGTAGTCCTCGACTTACAACAGTTCATTAAATGACTATTGAAAGTTACAGCGGCACGGGAAAAAAGTGACAAGACCGTTTTTCACAGTTACGGTCTTTCCACCATTCCCATGATCGTGTGATCAAAATTCAGATGCGTGGGCAACTGGTTCACACTTACGACCGTGGCTGTGTCCCAAGGTCAGGTGATCCGCTTTTGCGACCTGATGACCAGCAAAGTCAGTGGGGAGCCAGATTCACTTAACAACCGGGTTACTAACTGAACAACTTCAGCAATTCACTTGGCAAGAAAGGTCGTAAAATGAAGCAAAATCCACTTAACAAATGCTTCGCTTAGCAACAAAAACATTGGGCTCAATTGTGGCCGCAAGTCGAGGACTCCCTGCATTTATTTTGTTTCACGGGGAGCTTGATTGATTTTTATTTTTTATTTTAAAGAAGAATTCAATTGTAATCTGTTTTGCGCAGAAGATTGTGAAGACGCCAGACAGCAGGGAGATAGGAGCTCTCCGGACCAAACTGTTGCTTCCACCCCACCCAGCACTCCGGTCAAACTCGAGGAAGGTATGTGTTGTGTGAATTGCACCCGAGGCGTTGCGTTTCCATCCCTTGGAGACAAAAAAACGCAAGGACAGCACTAAGTTGGAGCTAAAGGGAGCTCCCAAGAAAATTACCCCTCCAGAAAATCTCGGTGGAAACATTCACTCCACTCTCAGTGGCCAGGAAGGGCAATTAAAGCTTTCCAGCATTTCTCAAAAGCATCCCCAATCCCTCCGACGAACCCACTAGCTCCCCCTTTTACGTCCGATCCATAAGTTACCCTGCACGGTCCTTGAACTGGGAGAATAGAATTGGTTCAAAGCATACCCAACTTCTCTCGGAGGCCGTTTCCCCTTTTTTTCCCCTCTCCCTTTGATGGAGCTTCATCAGTTCACCGGTTTGGGAAGAATCCCAGGCTAATGGCCCTCAGGTGTAGCCACTGGGTTTCCCAGCCCATTCCTAACAATGCCCAGCCTTGTGTCGGTGTGTCTCTGTGTGTGTTTGCTTTTTCCGTTCCTCAAAGCTCTGTACTGAAATGTCGTCTTTTTTGTGTGCAGCCGTCCTTGGGGCCTCCGTCCCTCTTGTGCGATTTGCGTATCAAGATCTAAAGCGCCCCTTCCCTTTTCTGATTGATTAAAACGGACCCTGCTTAGATAGAGGTAGTCCTCGATTTACGACCACAACGTTGGAGCCCAACGTTTATGCTGCTGAGTGAAACATTCGTCGAGCGAGTTTTGCCCCGTTTTTTTTTTACATTCGTGCCACTGTTGTTAAGTGAATCGTGGCAATTGTTAAAGTAGCCACACGGTTTTTAAACTGAATCCGGCTTCCCCGTCGAGTTTGCTTATCAGAAGGTCATAAAAGGGGATCACAAGACACCCCCCCCCCAGACACTGTGACTGTCATAAATATAAGTCAGTTGCCAAATGCCTGAATTTTGATCCCGTGATCACGGAGATGCTACAACAATCGTTAAGTGGGAACAAAGGTCCTTAAGTCACTTTTTTCCAGTTCCCGTTTGAATTTTGAAGGGTCACTAAATGAACTGTTGTAAGTTGAGGACTACCTGTATTTGACCAGCTGACTCAGTAAAACAAAGCACATGCCTCCTGAATGAGTGGACGGACATGTTCAGTTTGGGCATTGAAAGTTTTGGCCTTTGACACAGAGGTTCCAGATCTGGAAGGACCTTTACTCTCCTCTCTGGGGATTAAATTCGGAAAGGAAGATCTGCACTTCTGTGGGTTTGCATCATAATTCTGTCTGTTCGCAGCCAATGAAACAATGCGTCATACAGAGTATTCGGTCCATGTTTTTCAATTTACAATATCTTTTAATAAGGCTGAGATCTGATCCGATCCGATCTGTTCTTCCCGTCCTCAAATTTTCCAGCATAAAGTTTCTTGGTAGTAAGATACATATATTGCATTAGAATTGGTCCCTAAGAAATTATGGAACTAAATAACCAGGCTGTTAAAGATGGTTTATTTCTTGTTTAGCTCACAGGGTGAATGAATCCTTGCATTATGCTTAATCCTGACGCTTTTGGAAGTTAGTTACCAAATCAGAAGAAACTCTATAAAGCAGGGGTGGGAAATTATAGCAACTTTACCACCTGTGGATTTTAACTCCCAGAATTCCTGAGCCAGCCTTGCTGGCTTAGGAATTCTGGGAATTGAAGTCCACACAGGTGGTAAAGTTGCCATAATTGCCCATCCTTGCTCTAAAATCCTGAGGACTTCCAGGGCACATCCCTTGTGGTTTTCTTGGCAACAGCAGAGAAATAGCCCTAGCACTTATCATATTTTTCGGAGTATAAGACGCACCTTTTTCCCCCTAAAAGGGGGTGAAAATTTAGGTGTGTCTTATACATTGAATGTAGCCCCGCCCACTGGCCCCCACCCTTTGGCCTCTGCCTTGCAGCAGTTACCTCCTTGCAAGCAAACAGCAAGAAAAAAACAGCTCCTTTCAGCTTCAGCACAGCCTAATTAGCACAAGTTGAATGGATCGGCCTCCCGACTCTCAGCTGATTTGCTCTCAGCTGTTTTGCACAGGCTCTGCTGCTTGCTGCAAGGAGGTAAATTGCTGGAGCAGATTTTTTTTCCCCTTGTGCTAATCAAGCTATGCTGAAAACGAAAATGAAAGTAAAGCAGGCTGTTTGCTGCAACAAGGCAAAATTAGGCGTCTTTTTCCTCACCAAAAAAGGTAGGTGCATCTTATACTCCGAAAAATATGGTATGTACTGCTTCATAGTGCTTTTACAGTCCTCTCTAAGCGGTTTAGAGTCAGCCTCTGGCCTACAACAATCTGAGTCCTCATTTTATTGACCTGGGAAGGTTGGAAGGCTGAGTCAACTTTGAGCCGGTCAGGATTGAACTGCTGGCAGTTGGCAGAGTTAGCCTGCAATACTACATTCTGACCACTGCGCCACCACAGAAGTAAGGGAAGGAGAGGGAAGGAAGGAAGGAAGGAAGGAAGGAGGAAAGAGAGAGAGAGAAAGAAAGAAAGAAAGAAAGAAAGAAAGAAAGGAAAGAAGAAAGAAAGAAAGAAAGAAAGAAAGAAAGAAAGAAAGAAAGAAAGAAAGAAAGAAAGAAAGAAAGTCTAGCAATAGCACTTAGACTTATATATCGCTTCACAGTGCCTTTACAGCCCTCTCTAAGCGGTTTACAGAGTCAGCCTCTTGCCCCCCAACAATCTGGGTCCTCGTTTTACCGACCTTGAAAGGACGGAAGCTTGAGTCGACCTTGAGCCGGTCAGGATCGAACTGCTGGCAGTTGGCAGAGTCAGCCTGCAATACTGCATTCTGACCACTGTGCCACAACAACACTCCTTGTTGTGTTGTTGTGTTGCCTTCCTTTGAGCTGGTTCTTCAGTCTGGGTTCTCCTGGATGTGATCAACCCAGAGCTGCCCCGCTTCCTTCCTTTCCACCACCCCACCACCATCCGGGCAATAGCCGCTTGGGCCCGTGTTCTGGTCACTCCTGGCAGCTTTCATCATCGGAGGCTTTGCCTTCAGCCCGGGGATGCTTCTTTCCACCCAGCCCAGTAGAGAATGGAGCGTGCAGGATGGGATAAAGGAGAGAGGAAGAGGAGCCAGCATCTCTGGGTCGCACCTTCCCTAAGTGTTGCTGTAATTGGGTCTCCCCATTTCGGTGTTTTATTTTAGAAAGATGTCGGGTCTCTGCTCAGGGAGGCCTAGGCCCGAAACATCTTTCAGTGACATTTTGTGGCTTGGTGGACCGTGTGTGTTTCCTTGTCTTCTTCGCCCCCTGGGTATGGCCAGCCATCTGTGATGAAATTATCCGTGTGTCCCCCCCCCTCCCCATTTCATTCTGTGACCTCTTAAGAATGGTCGTAGCCATTCTTCTTCTCCGACTTCAGTGGCTGTGATGGATGCATAGACTTTTTTCTCTTTGTGCTTTCTTTTTTTTTTTTTCCTTCTTCCTGTGGCTGCCTTACAAACAGGAGGTGGATATGCTAAAGAGTACCTGTTGCCATAGTAAGTACCACGGACTTCCCTCCTGCTCACCCTGCCTTGTTTTTCTCTGCTTTGCTTCCTTTGTTATGATCTTATTTTACTTTATTATTATTATTTTGTTTGCCTTTCCCTCCCTGCTCCGATGTCTTCCTCATGGTGTGGATTTGATGCGTCAGGCGCTTCGCATACTTTTTTTTTTTTTGAGTTTGCTTAATTCTTTCATTTGCTTGGCCAGCTTCAGCAGATCGGAGGCGCATCTAATTTGGAGCCCAGATTAGATGTGTGTAGCCGTGGTTGGGTCTTGGCGCTGTAACCCACTTTCCCCAGAGGGAAGGAAGACATTGGCTAGGGAGGTGATGCTTCTTACAACATAACAATATCGTCTGAACCTTGGAACCTCCCCTTAGGAGAGAAATACCAACACGCTAAATAGGCACATTGTGTTCATCACAACGCTTCTATTTTGCCAAGTGGCCCATCTCCTGTGCTCAGAAGGACAGGTCAACCTTCCTTCTGGGCATCAGGTCCATCGCAAATGATGCTTCAAGTAAAGAAACCAGTTAATTGCATTTCTCTGGTCCTCAACCTATGACCGTCGTAACTTTTGAGTCCTATCTGTATGTGTACGGTGGCAAAACTCGTCATAATTTCTATAAAGTGGAAACCCGCCATCCCTTTAAATCTATCGGGATGGCTACATATTTCATGTAAGTTATCAAGGATGCATATTAGCGCCACTTAATTTATTAGGTCCCAGTTTTTCTTCTTAAGGCTCTCCGCTTAGAAAGAGAACATCCCTTCAGGTATAATCTAATAAACCAGATGATGGTTTATGAAGTAATTTTTTGATGTTCTCTATAGCCTTGCCACCAGGCGTTTTATATCCTAATTATAAAAGTGGCTGTTTTTCTGTCCAGAGCACTTTAAAAAAAAAAAAAAGGAAAGCAGGAAAGGAGAGTTAAAAAGAGGACTTGTGAAGTATTTCCAGCAAAGCTAATTGAGCTTTTAATTTGCCAAATGGCTTTTATCCTTTCACTCCGCTTTTAAATTACCTAACAAAGTTGTTGTTGTTTTTTAAACTCCTAACAGTGTTCGGTTTGCTGAGTTCGAGGTCATTATGACCCCTGTGCTAACAAATTCTAAACTTGAAACGAAAATACACAATGTGCAGAATTGTTTGAATACAAATAAATTTTTTTAAAAAGGTAAAGGAGAGAACACAGTAGGACATCCCACAGAACGGTAAAAAAATTCGATGACGATTCTAAGACCCCCAACTTCTGCTTTGAAAACATAAAGAGAACGATCTGGCTAGATCTTCCCATCTCCTGATTCACTCGTGTTTTAAATGCCGTATACTTAATAATGAGCGTAACCTGGAATCTTTCCAGAATCTCCTACGCCTTTCTTTTTTTTTTTTTTTTTTTTTTCTTTCTTTCTGAACACGCCCTTCCTCTTAGAATCACAAGATGGCCTTTTTCCTGGCAGGAGAACCAGGAAATGTCTTTTAACAGAGTGAACAATATAAACTCTGAGTTCTGTTGCTTTGATCCAATGGAACAAGGTCATGAGCTGCTCCGTTGCTCTTCCTTGCAACTGCTCAGGTGTCTGGCTGAGGGGCGCCCCAACCCTTCATTTTTTTTCTCACTTCATCTAAGCAGAACGTCCAAAGGTTCCCTGCAGAGTTGGGTGTTCTCTTCCCCCTTTGCACATTAAGAGCTGGCTCCAAGGGCCAGCCCAAAGGATGCTTCTCCCCCTCTCCTTCCTGGGGGGGGGGTGTTCTTCCCCTTCTCAGCCCCCAGAGGGCTCTGGGACCCCACACAGGTTTGGGTTTGATCCCACGCATGCAGCTTTGCATTATCAGCCTTTCAGATACCAAAATTAGCTGACGTTTGCTTGGCTGGCCACCAAGCTGCCTGTTGGAGTCCCTGCATTCCTTTATAACACGGGTGGGCAACTGTGACCCCCTTTAGGACCCGCGAACTTCCAACTCCCTGAGTACTTTGGGAATTCCAACTCTGGAAGTCCACAGGTGCTAAAGGGGCCATTGTTGCCCACCTCTGGTTTATAAAAACGGAAGGAGAGAGAGAGAGAGAGAGGTGTGCACACCTGTCTGAGAAAGGCCTACCTGTTTCAACCATTGCTGATTTCAGAGGGAGGAAGGGAGGGTTTTCCTAAGCCCCCCCCCGAAAGAACTAAACCGTGCCCACAACTTTGCCATTCCCTGATCCACCAAAAAACGGGGATGGCAGTTGGTGACTGTCCAGGATTGTTCCGGACGTTTGGAAAAAGTCCCTCCTGTTCCTCAAGAGAAATTGAGGTTGGGAGCACCTGGAGCAGCCTCCCAGGCCTTGTATCCAGGAACTCTTCCCTCAGACCTGGAAGCAGCTCTGGGTGAGGGTGAAGGCCGACGTCAGCCTATGCTTGTGAACCCCACAGTCTGGGGACCTCCTTAGGCAGAGGTCCCTGAATTTTTTTTTTTTTTGCTCTGCCAGTGATGCAAGTATTTCTACCGGTTTCCCCAAAAATAAGATCTATCCTGAAAATAACCCCTAGCATTTTTACATGTGTGCCTAATATAAGCCCTACCCCCAAAATAAGCCCTACTTAACAGTCTGCGCAGCCGCCTGCCCACCCATTCAATCTGGTTGCTCGCAGTGCCGTAGCCACAAGGCAGGATGGTGGTGGAGCTACCCTACATGCTCCGCACTGGCTTACCTCAGGGCCCCCCACAGCCAGACCATCCATGCCCCGACGCCTGCCTAGTGGTGGCAGCACCAGCCACCATGTGCGGCCCATGTGGCCACCGGCCTACTTCTCCTTGTTTGCAGCCGCAACGGAGCAGGTGGCTGAGCGGTGTGCTGATGCCGCAGCTGCGAGGCAGGTGCCAAGGCATGGGTGGCCTGCCTGTGGGGTCCCTGAGGTAAGCTGGTGGGCATGTGGGACAAGTCCACCCCATCTTGCCTTGTTACCATGGCACTGGTTCATCACTCAGCCTCCTGCTCCATTGTGGCTACAAGCAAGCAGAAGTGGACACGGGGTCCTGCTGGATGGGGTTGTTGGAGCTGCTGCCACGAGGCAAGGCAGCTGTCAGAGCATGGGTGGTCTGGCTGCGGGGGCCCTGAGGTAAGCCAGCTCCACCTTCCCCTGCGAGCAAGCAGAAGAAATGGGCCTCCTGTACCTGGGGGAAAAAATAAGACACCCCCCCTCCCCAAAATAAGTCCTAGTGATTATTTTGGGGCCAAAAAAAAATAAAATAAGACCTGGTCTTATTTTCAGGGAAACGGGTAGTTCTTCGGGATGTAGAGCGTCAAGCTTAGAGGCCACCAGTGCCATCACCTTCCCCTTAACCATTCCACAAGCACAGCTCTTCCACGGGGGAGGGGGGAGGATTGGTGCCATCAACCAGGGTGGCACAGAATGCCAGGTACCCCGGAGCTGACCCCAAAACCTCCCATTACCTTGAGGGCAGCCGATCCCCTGGGAAAGATTCGGGGAAACCACCATGTGATTTTCCACATTTCCACCCAGAAGGCAACTGAGTTAACATCTTGAGCTTAAGATCACCTCTCTTGTCCCTTCCCCCTGCAGCCAGGAAAGTCCCTAAAGCAAGCAAGAGCCCCTCCCCCTCCCCCCCCAAATTGGGAGCATCCACCCTTTTGGGGTTCTTTGCATGTATTTTAGTCTCGCAATGGCGGAATGGGCCAACTCGCCACGGCCAGCTCATTGTGGGACAATTGACCAATTCTATTTAATTACTTAAATAAATTTAATGTTTGCCCTTCACATTTCATTATGTCCCTCCTTTTTGCATCCTTTCTTTAATTGTTCTACTCCACTATTAATATTAATGTAACTCTTGTCCCCACAGCGAGTTGGCCATGGCAAATTGTCATCAGCCCCGCAATGCTGCAAACCTTGTCTTGCAAAACGAGTCCCTTTGAGAGGAGACGGCTCAAGTTACGTGTAAATATCCCCAGGGAGAATCTGGCCAGCTTCTCTCTCGGGCCACATAGGTGGGATGGGGCTGCCCAGGATTGCAACCCCTTCCCCTCAGAGGCCAATTGAAGAAAGTGGGTGCAAAGAAGCCCCCTCTTCACCCGTCTCTCCTGTCACTTGCTCCCCCAGAACGGCTGCCTGTCCAGACGGGCCATGAAGGCGGCGACAGCAGCAGCGAAGCGGCCCCCTCCCAGCCAAGCCTCCCAGACCTCACCGCTCCCGACCAGCCTTCCGAAGAAGTCTTTGGGACGGAGGATGAAGACCCCGACCTTGCCGTCCCCCAGAAGGAGGGTCCTCCTGAGAGCCCCCAGCCCTGCCCCTCCTCGAGCGGAGAGCCTCCCCCTTCTCCCCTGGCCGAGGAGGGGGCAGCGGCCGAAGCCGGCAGCGAGGAGTCTCCGGGGAAATCTCCCTCCAAAAAGAAGAAGAAGTTCCGTACCCCGTCCTTCCTCAAGAAGAGCAAGAAGAAGAGCGACCCCTGAAGACCCACCCCACCCCAAAGAGAGGGCCCTGGTCTTTACGCATCTTCCCTTTATTAATCCCTGGAATATTATCAGATTCTTCCCTGTGCTTTTTGTTTGGTCTTTTTCTTGTTTAAAAAAAAAAAAAAGGACAAATAACACTATAGCTTGACTGTTTTTTGAGTTTATAACTGGAATTTAGCAAGCAGAAGATGCTCATTCTGTGTGTGCAAAAAAAGCAGCCGAGCTGGGGAGCATCCCGAGCATGTGAAGGAGGAGAGGCTTTCCCTGGTGGGAGCCCCTCTGTTAAAACGTTGAAGTTCTTCCCCTTCCCTCCCTTCCTCTGGCTTCCGATGTGAAGGCAACGCGCTCTGCTCACTCCCACGTCCGCTCTTGCTCTTGTGCAGGTGGCTTTGCGGCCAGCTGGCCAGCGGAGCAGAGCCCATTTCTGTGCAGGGGAAGGGGGGGCCCTCGTGACCGCTTCCTCTGCCTTGCCCCTGAGGCTTTCCGGCCACGCTCTGCCTTGCTTGGTGTCGTAACATCGCTGAGACTGGAGCCTATTTTTGTGTCTTAAGAATGAAGTAACTTTGTGGCATTTTCTTGCTCATCCCCCCTTGCCTGTTTTCTATTCAGTTTAATAATAACCTTTTCCACAGAATAATCTGCTATTTTACTAATTTGTTTTCTAGCAAAGCATTGTACTCAAGTCACTTATACCGATGAAAGATAAGTTCACGTCCTTGGAAAATAAAATGTATTCCTAGCAGGCACAGACTGGCTCCCTTCATTTATGCGGGTCCCGTCTCCTCCAAGATAGCGCCAGGGACGGATGTGGGTGCCAATCCCAGCACCAGGTGCTCATCCAAATCCCAGTTTCAGAAATCGAGCGAGAGAACGAAGCCATTCCGAAATCCATAAATGTCCCCAACCCTTTTTTTCTCTTTGACATAATGGAGGGACAGGACCAGAAATTACTCCACCTTGTTCCAAGCCAACCTTGGATGACTCTTAAAAAGCTCAGTACCAACCCATCGGATGACTGGTGGAGACCATATATTTTATTCTGTAACCATGCTTAAAAAGGAAGCTCCACTGAAAACTTAATTTTGTTTTATTGTATGAAAAAAGAAAATGGAAAATACTCCTCTCAACACACCTCCTTACGCAGTGTAGAAAATATTACATTGACATTTCGGCAATACAAAAGAAAGGAAGGATAATTAGACATATACCCATCATCGTTTTAAAATTCAAAATAACTCAGAAGTCCATCAAAAGGGACTGGGCTATGGTAAGACACTTAGTGAAATACACAAACTCGGGGCCAAGGTAGAACTCGACAAAAGTGCCTCCAGAGGATGTATCTGGTGTGGTTCTTCCTCCAATCCATGCCTCTTTCGGGAACCAAAAAAACCCCCAAAACCTTGAGAACTATTTTGATGCAAGCACTTTTGTCACCTACGCATGGCGTCGGACCATCTATTTTGCAACCCCAACTTTCAGAAATGTAGGACAAGGACTGCATTCTAGGACAAGAGATTGAGATCCTATCGATTTTTCTATTTTATCTAATTACTATCCTTTCTGAGAATCCATGTAGGAATGGACTTTTGCTGGTTTGTGTACTCAGGAAGCAAAAAAAGGGGGGGGAACAGTGGTGAAATCCTCTGAAGTCTGCTACCGGTTCTGTGAGTCTGCTACCAAGTGTGCACTTCGCACGCATGCACGCTTGAGGTGCGCCTGCACTAAAAAAGGAACATTTTAAAGCCTTCCAAGTCTGTAAAGGTAAGTAGAACAGCGAGGGGGTGGATCTGTTGTGCCACGTGATTTAGATTAGCTAGAAAACAGGAAACCCGACAATTCTAATTTAAATCATGCGTCACAGATGATCGCCATCCAGCTGATTGTCGGAAATACCGGTTCGCCTGAACCGGTAGCATTTTTTTACTACTGGTTCAGGAGAACCGGTTTGAACCGGTAGCATTTCACCCCTAGGGGGGAATGAAGACATAATTAAAAGAACAAGGTCCAGGAATCAAAAGAGGGAAGAGGCACAAGCATACGAGGAAAAGGGAAAAGGCACAAGGACGCTGAAGAAAAGGGAACAGGCAAAAGGACACTGAAAAAAGCGGGAAGAGGCACAAGGATGCTGAAGAAAATAGGGAAGAGGCACAAGGACACTGAAGAAAAGAGGAAAGAGGCACAAGGATACTGAAGAAAAAGGAACAGGCACAAGGACGCTGAAGAAAAGAGGGAACAGGCACAAGGATGCTGAAGAAAAAAAGGAAGAGGCACAAGGATGCTGAAGAAAAGAGGAAAGAGGCACAAGGACGCTGAAGAAAAGAGGGAACAGGCAAAAGGACACTGAAAAAAAGGGGGAACAGGCACAAGGATGCTGAAGAAAAGAGAACAGGCACAAGGACACTGAAGAAAAGTGGGAACAGGCACAAAGACGCTGAAGAAAAGAGGAAAGAGGCACAACAGGGACACGAAGAAAGAGCACCAATCTAAGTGAAGGCAAATGGGGAGAGCCTTATGGGACACAGGCAGTAACGACGTTCATCTCAAACTTAGAGATGCCAAATCCAAAGTTAGGTCACGAAAGATGACATTGTTTGGGTCTCACAGCCTCATAGCAAAGACCTTGTGGGCCAATCTGTGTGAACGTCCCGCTTTGAACAAGAAAATTCCCAGGTGTTTCCAGCTGGAAGGAAGTGGACTTGGGTTGTTGGGGGCTTTGTTCATCGCGGATTGAGCAAGTTGGTATCTTCACCATCCTATTTGTAGGAAGGCAGCTTTATCCTAAGGCCCTTTTTCCATGGATCATTGCTCAGACCCTGGCACACGCACGCACGTGCGCACACACACACATGGAAAGACCCAGACTGGAAAGCAGGACCTCTGCTCAAATACAGGCAAAGATGGTGGAAGGCTGCTGTGAAAAATACACCAACGCCCCTAGTTAGTTCTTCCAGGATCAACTCGATTTCTTGAATTCAAGTTGAATTCTTGAGTTTCTGGGGGAAACCGCCATCCGAGTAGTCTATTCCTGTTTGTTTTGCTTTGGCATGCACCGAAGCAGGATGAAGGGCAGCAGGAACAAAGAGGCCCAAATGGTGAAGCAAACTTCCGCTCCGGCCAGCCAGTACACTGCAATCGAAAAGCCAATTTTAAGGACATTTGAGCAAATTTCCCCAGGAGGAGAACCAGTGTACCACCACCACCACTCCGCAACGAATTCCCAATCAGGAGTGTGACAATGGGGAGAACTGCTTCGTTTGGCCAATAACTTTTGACCTCTGGAAACCGCCACCAACTACTTCCTCTTTCTGAGTGACAGGCACTTCCTCCCATGCCAGTTACCTGTTGCCGATGCCACCGGCCCAAGAGCCCTCGCAAGGGCACCCAGACTTCTTAGGATGCCCATCACGGTTCCTTTTTGGCTGTCCAGCCCTGGAGGGAAAAAGAGAAGAGCTTTAGGGTGGTTTCCTCACTAGGTTTTGCCATTTTAATAAAGGAGAATATTTGCAGCTCGGGGTTGACATGAGGAGTCCTTGCTGCTCTCTGAGCTTGCTTGTTTTCCTGCAGACGTTTCATGGCCCAAACTAGGTAACATCATCAGTGCTAGAAGAGGGTGGGATTTGCAGAAAGGAGGAGGAGTCGGAGTCCTTGGTGCTCTCTGAATTTGCTTCTAAAACTGCTGTGAAATTGCTAATGCAATGACCAGAAACACCTTTTAAGGAAACTGATTCACGTCGGTTCTCGAAATCTGCACGCAGAACAATATTTAGATTATGAATTAGCTGGTCTCCCAGCTTGAGCTGGTCCCCAACTTATACAGCTTGATATCCTGGCAGGGGAAGGGAGAGGGAAAGCAGCCCACCGCTTCCACAAGTTAAGCTCTGTGTGTGTGCGTGTGTGCACACCGATCCGTCACTTGTGTGGCCCAGTTCCAAATGGGCCATGGCCCAGTAATCTGCAGCCTAGAGATTGGGGACCCCCCTGCTCTAAGTAGCTCCCTTATTCTCTTGTGCTTACTGAAGTGCCTAAATGCAAAGAGATGGATAGAGGCTACACCACGGGCCGTTGGTTCCAGTAAATGCAGGACCCGGAGCTTAGCAGCTATGCAATTCAGCTCCAGAGCCAGAAATGAGGTATCTGAAGGCCGAAAAATGGGATATCTGAAGACCATAAAATGGGACATCTGAAGGCTGTTGGCTTACCGTAGCTGGATACCACCGTAGACAAGCAAGGGACGACTACAGCTGCAGCTGCAAGCGAAGTAAACAAGGGCCGTTAGACTGGAGAGCATACAACTTTGCAAGGGACAATCTCTACCACAAGCCTGCCAGAGCAGCCCATCACCACCCCCGGAGCACACTTAAGCATGTCTTTACTCTGCTATCTTATTTTTCCTCAAGGTTGAAGCCAAAGTAGTTGCAGTTCTCCTCCCTAATTAACCTCCTTCTCTTACTAGTGCCGTACAAAGAGTTTACAAGAGGACACCTTCCCTTGAAGCATGGAAGCAGCCGCCTCACCAGCAAGAGATGCCCCAAAAGTGCTTTTTCAAAAGGCAAGTGGACTTCGTTTTCCTCGAAGACATTTCGCTTCTCATCAAAGAAGCTTCTTCAGTTCTGAAGAAGACATTCAGTTCTGAAGAAGGTTCTTCGATGAGAAGCAAAATGTCTTCGAGGAAAAACAAAGTCCAGTTGCCTTTTGAAAAAGGACTTTTGGGACAACCACAACCTGGACGACTGAGAAGCTCTCTAGACCCAGGATGGCGAACCTATGGCATGCATGCCCGAGGTTGAACGCAGAGCTATCTTTCCAGGCACGCAAACTGTTGCCCAAGTCACCTGCAGCTGCACATGCACGCACACCCAACTGGTGTTTGGGCCTCCAGCGGGCATGCATGCAATTCAGGGGATCTAGCTGGTCTTTGGAGCTCTCCTGCGCATGTGCGCGAGTTTGCACATGCACATGAGAGTATTTGTGCGCAGCGTGAGCATGTGTAGATGCGTTCACCGCGTTGCCTATTGCGCAGCACACAGGGTAAGAGCTGCGCATTAGCACGGATAGCACGCGCACACACGAAATGCGTACCTTTTCAGCATTCGGTGACTAAAAGGTTTGCTACCACTGCCGTAGACACTAGCAAGGGGCCATTTTCTGACAATATAATTCTCTCTCTTTTTTTTTTTTTGGTCCTCCTTTAATAAATAAATATTATTGACAGCTCTGATCAAATGTCGTGCTTAACAAAACGGGCCTTCCTAGGATTACCGATTCCTGAAAACCCCCAATAATCTCTTGGTATTCCCAACAAATAGGAAAGCTCCAACAGAAGTTGAGGTCCCGAAAGTTAGTAGTAAGTTAGTAGTAAGTTCCATCTAGTAGTAGTGCAGATGAGTGTAGAGTCCGCAACACAATCCTTTCAGCAGTTCCAAGAAGGCTCCACGCCCATTTGCACCACTCAGGTGACCCTGAGGACACAGACAAACCTCCAAGCAGCCTCAACGGCTCTCTAAAAATGATGCAAATGACCAGCTGTCTGCAAGGAGTATAAATCCTTCTGTTCCCCGCCAACCACTCAGAGCCGAAGAAGCTTCTTAGATGGGAAGCAAAACGTCTTCAAAGAAAAACCAGAAAGTCCAGTTGCCTCTTGAAAAAAAGCACTTTTAAGGGGGGAAAAATCCCCTCTATATTTTGTACGCAAAGAAAATTTTGTACGCAATGAAGTGTTCATCCCTTTCATTGTCTTGAAATTGTAACTTGAAGAAATCTATGAGTTCAGCATAGCACATTTTTCCTGATTTTCACTGACAAGATTTGTGCGAGAAACTTACCGAAAGAGTAAAACAACAGTCCTGCACCGAGGATGATAATATTAGTGCTCCAGCCGATTAAAAGGAAGCCAGGAGCTGACAGTATGATTGCCTGTCCAGGAAAAATTAAAATAAGGAGTCAGAAATCTTCATTGGTCATGCTTTTCTTGCCACAGTCGTTAAAGCGAATCACCCCAGTTCTTAAGTTAGTAGTACCTAGTGGTGGGCCACGGACCACAGGTTGGGGACCCCTGCTTTAAGATACCCAACTTAGATAATAGGTGTCCTCCACTTACAAAAGCTCACTTAGTGACCATTCAAAAGTTATAACGACACCGAAGAAAGTGACTGATGACCATTTTTCACAGTTGCAACCTTCGGTCACATGATCTAAATTGAAACGTTTGACAACTGGCTCATATTTACGACGGTTGGAGGGTCCCAGAGTCATGTGATCCCTTTTGCGACCTTCCCATAAACCAAGTCCATGGGAAACCAGATTCACTGAACAACACGGGTTACTAACTTAACAACGGTGGCAAGAAAGGTTGTAAAACGGGGCAAAATTCACTTAGCAACTGTCTCGCTTAGCAACAGAAATTTCGGGCTCCATTGTGGCCGTAAGTCGAGGACTGCCTGTACAAATCTTTTCAATAAACAAACTCATTCACCAATGGATGGTTTTGTCCTTTTTGGGGGGGGTGCATGTGTGTGTACACGCTCAGCAGGGAACGCAAAACTTAGCGCCAGAATTAAAATATTTCATTTTGAGCATCCTCGAAGCAGAAAAAACAGAAGGGGCTAAAAAGAAACTCACAATTTTAACCATCCGCAGTTCTGCTCCTGGCGGAATCCGGCGAGTGTAGCCTCCTTGGATCACAGCCATGGTGACACCGATGAAGAAAAACATCTTCCCTTGTTCCAGACTAAAGACAGAAAAACACAAAAAGAAAGAGCCGAAACACAAATTGTGGTCACAGCCGATGGACACAGCTGGTTGAGGTCCAGAAAGGTCACCCCGCTTAGGGAAGCACAAATGTGAACAGAGGTAGTCCTCGATTAATCACCGACTGAAGTTACAACAGCCTCTCGACCGGTTGCAATTATGGATCAGCGTCTTTGATGGCTTCCCCAGAAAGTCACTGGGGAAGCCGGCAGGAAAAACTGCTTTTGCCTGTTAAGAGGACTCCCTCGCGTCTTTGAGGACAAGCTGAAGTGCCCCCTGCAATCCATGCCTGCTTGGATCTCTCCAGCCAGAGTCCAAGTGGGCGTGGAGCCCCAAACCCTTCTGTCCCTGCCTTGGGTGGACACTTCCAATGTCCACTCTTCCCACCCGGATTTCGGCAATCAAAATCGAAGCATGCACAGAGCTGGGGTCCTTCCCGCTTCCATGGAGCTCTCTGCAGAGGCAGGGAAAGAAGGACCTCAAACTCTGGGACTGTTTCAACCTTGGCAGCCAAAATCCAAGCAAATCCTTCTCACCTGTGTGGAGGTGAGTCCCGAAGAGGCAGAGAGAGAGAGAGAGAAAGATTTTAAGCTCTGAGGTTGCTACAAGCCAGGAACTCAAAAATCCCTCCCTCCCTGCAGCTCCGCAGGCTCCAAGAGGGATTCCATTGGCTTAACGATCCATGCGATCGCTTAACGATGGGAACTAGGAGTATTCTATTGTATTCTATTTCTATTCTATTGTTCTGTTTTGTTCCCTATTCTATGCTTATTGTCTATCCTATCCTATCCTATCCTATCCTATCCTATCCTATCCTCTATTTTATTCTTATACTAGCTGATAACCTGGTGTTGCCCGGGTATTTATGTATCCCAATCGTTACAGGCTTTTAAAAGTATATGTACAGTATACACATTATAAAATAAAATCATACACAAAATCACTATAAGTCTTTCAGCCCCACCCCCTGTTCATCTGGCTGCCCACGCCCACCAGTAACCACTATCATGGCTGGCAGCGTTGGGGCTGTGCATGGCTGGCCGCCGCAGTAACCACCTGGGCCAACACCCATCTGGCAGCAATGGTCCTCCTCTCCATCCGGAATGGCCCAGCAGATGTTGCGTGGCCGCTGCGGAAGGCCACCGGGACCAATCAGCTGGGCGGGACAGCTGCTATATTCACCCTGAGGGGTGTCTTACCCCCACAATATTTTTTTCCAGAGAGTAAGTCATCTGTGTACCAAGTTTGGTTGAAATTGCTCGAGGCGTTCCAGAGTTATGCTGGAACATACATACACACAGACACAGCCATTTATATATATATAGATAGATTCTAATCTAGTCTACTCTAGCTTAGTCTAGTCTCTATTTTATTTTTATTCTCTAGTCTAGTCTATTCTGCACAACACAAATGAATAGACTGATTTTATAAAATTAAACTCCCTTGATCGAAAGGTTTTGAGGCGATGAGTGTTGCAGGCCAGATAACTACCTGCTGAAGTGGAAGTGTTGATGGACAAGAAATCCCAGTGTGTACTCCAGGCCAGAGAAAAGGAAAAGGTACAGGAAATACACCAAGCCCAACATCTGAAGACCTGCAGGAGGAATAAAACGACCAAGGCTGATTTGTAAACATCAACAAAACCTTTTTTTTTGCAAACGATGGGTTGGAATTGGCTTCAGCTGTGGAATTGTGAGATCAGGGTCAGGAATTCTGACAATTGTGGTCAATAGGTCCTACTGAATGATTGTTTTTTGCAAACAAGACAGATTCTCCAGCGTCAAACCCGATTCTGGGATTTCATGGAAACACAATAGCGGCAGTGGTAGAATTCAAATTTTTTTACTACCGGTTCTGTGGGTGTGACTTAGTGGGCCTGGTGTGGCTTGGTGGGCGTGGCAGGGGAAGGATACTGCAAAATCTCCATTTCTATCCCACGCCAGGGGAAGGATACTGCAAAATCCCCATTCCCTCCCCACTCCTGGGAGAAGGATATTGTAAAATCTCCATTCCCACCCCACTCCTGGGGGAAGGATATTACAAAATCTCCATTCCCACCCCACTCCTAGGGGAAGGATACTGCAAAATCTCCATTCCCTCCCCACTCCTGGGGGAAGGATATTGCAAAATCCCCATTCCCTCCCCACTCCTGGGGGAAGGATACCACAAAATCCCCATTCCCTCCCCACTCCTGGGGGAAGGATATTGCAAAATCTCCATTCCCACCCCACTGGGGCCAGCCAGAGGTGGTATTTGCCGGTTTTCTGAACTACTCAAAATTTCCACTACCGGTTCGTCAGAACCTGCTGAATTTCACCCCTGAATTGCAGCCATAATACAATTTACCGTCACAACTGAGCCCAAAATTTATGTTGCTGAGTGAGACGTTCGTTAAGCGAGTTCTGCCTCATTTGACGGCCTTTCTTGCCACTGTCGCTAAGGGAAGTTATCGCTCCAGTTGTGAAGTTAGTAACACGGCGGTGAAGTGAATCTGGTTTCTCCCTGGATTTTGCTTGTCAGAATTTTGGGAAAATTGGGGATCATCCCACGACACTGTAACTGTCATAAATACGAGTCAGTTGCCAAGCATCTGAATGTTGAACATCGGGTGAATTGCCCCTTCCTTGAAAGGGGCACAGCTGGGCAGCCAAGGGGGAAAGAGTCCTTGGGAGACGGAGAAAGTTAAAGGGGGTTACAGTGCCCGCTGAGACTCCAAAAGACTCGATCCTGGCACATTTCTTCAAATCTGGTCGTGAGAGGGCTTGGCTGATCTATCTCAATGGCTGGCTGATTTCCCTCAACCTCATCTCACTATCTCCATTTATACCGGCTCCCGTTGGTTGGAGACCCAATGCCATGCAAAGGGAAAAAGATCCCGGAGAGGTTTCCAGGATCATTCCAAAGAAGAACCCAATGGATCCTAACGGTAAGGATAATTAATCAGTGGAACGACTTGCCACCAGAAGTTGTGGGTGCTTCATCACTGGAGGTTTTTTAAGAAGAGAGACTGGACAGTCACTTGTCTGAGATGGTATAGGTTCTCCTGCTCGAGCAGGGGGCTGGACTAGAAGACCTCCAAGGTCCCTTCCAGCTTCTATTCTACTCTACTCTACTCTACTCTACTCTACTCTACTCTACTCTACTCTATTCTTCTAATTCTATTCTATGCTATTATTCTAATTCTGTAACTATTCTAATTTCTAATTCCATTCTATTCTATTAATTGTATTCTATTCTATTCTATTCTATTCTATTCTATTCCATTCCATTCCATTCCATTCCATTCCATTCCACTCCACTCCACTCCACTCCACTCCACTCTACTCTTCATTATCCTATTCTATTCCTGTATTGTATTGTATTGTATTCCAATTCTTATTCCATTCCATTCTATTTTTAAAAAAGTGCCATGGTCATAAGGCAACCCGAGGACAGAAAACGGAAAAAAGACTTACTGTCTCTGGAAGCTCCTCCATTCTTCTGACGTACTGCAGAGAAGCGGAACAAGGCCCAGGGGCTGATCAGGTTGAAGGCCGACTGAAAGCCAGATACCACGGAGGACACCTGCCCAGAGGCAGAAGAGAGATTGAACAGATTAACAAGAGTTGGAAGGGACCTTGGAGGTCATCCAGTCCAACCCCCTGCCCATGCAGGAAACTACGCCGCCTTTGGTATAACCTAAGAATGCAAATGGCCAGCTGTCTGCAAGGAATATAAATCCTCCCATTCCCCACCATCCAGTCAGAGCTGAAGAAGCTTCTTGGGATGAGAAGCGAAACGTCTTCAAGGAAAAAACAAAGTCCAATTGCCTCTTGAGAAAAAAAAAACACCTTTGGGATTTAAGACTTAGGGATTTCAACTCCCAGACGGCATCCGGGAGTTGAAGTCCACAAGTCTTAAAAGTTCCCAAGTTTGGAGATCCCTGGCGTAGACGGTCCATCCGATCTGTCCCACGCAAGTCCAACCATCTGCTTCCTCCTTCTGGAAGCATTTGACGTCCAAAGAAGGACATCCGTTATTTTGTTTTCCGATTCTTTTCACAAAACGTATGATTACCCGTTTTTCCTTCGGCAGTGTCTCTGGCAAGCAGGTGAAGATAAACAGGAAATCAGCCGCGGCGAAGATGGTGGCAAAGATGGCGGCTCTCGTGTAGAAGACTTGGTCCTTCTCTGTCTCGAGCGCGAGGAAGGCGCCTAGCATCGGCCCGAGGGTGAAGCCCAACGAGAAAGCTAGCCCGATCATGGCCTGGAAGGAGGATTCAACGAACGTCCTTTAGCTAACATGCCTACTTCAAACAAGCTTCCAGAACAACAGAGCAACTGGCCAAAATCCTTCATGGTGGTAGGTGGCCCCCGTTTCAGACCGGTTCGCAAGAACCGGTAGTAAAACCGGTGGGAGGCTCCGCCCACCAATCCTGACATCAGGAAGCTTCTCTGCAGAAGTGTGCATGCACGAGCGAAGCGAGTACATGCTTGCGGGGCCCCGTTGCGAACTGGTAGTAAAGGTAAATAGAACCCACCCCTCATCCCTCACCTGATTTCTCCTGAGTACGCCCCGTTGTTCATAAGTATTTTCAGGTACACAAAAGCAATGCTTTTTTAAAAAAATGTGGGTGCAAATTTATTTCTTTGAGTCACATAGAGTAAGGCCCTCCACCGATCCACAGCATTATTAATCTTGCACTAGATAATTATTAATTATTAAATAATTAATAATATTAATAATATTATATTATATTATATTATATTATATTATATTATATTATATTATATTATATTATATTATATTAATAATATAATTAATGTAATATATAACTAATTATAATTATTAGTTATAATTATATTGCATTAATTACATTAATATAATACAATATAATTAATGTTATACATCATGTTATATATGTTATATATCAAAGAAATTTATTTCTTTGAGTCACATACAGTAAGCCCCTCCACCTATCCACAGCATTATTAATCTTGCACTAGATAATTATTAATAATTAAATAATTAATAATATAATATATTAATTATATTATATTATATTATATTATATTATATTATATTATATTATTATATTATATTAATAATATAATTAATGTAATATATAACTAATTATAATTATTAGTTATAATTATATTGCATTAATTACATTAATATAATACAATATAATTAATGTTATACATCATGTTATATATAATGTTATATATCAAAGAAATTTATTTCTTTGAGTCACATACAGTAAGCCCCCCGCCCGATCCACAGCATTATTAATCTTGCACTAGATAATTATTTATTATTTAATTATAATTAATAATATTAATAATATAATTAATGCAATATATAATTATAATTATTAGTTATAATTATATTGCATTAATTACATTAATATAATACAATATAATTAATGTTATACTTTATTAATTATATGATAATTATTAATAGTTATTGATAATGCATTAGATCAGGGGTCAGCAACCTGTGCTCTGGAGCCGCATGTGGCTCTTTCACCCCTCTGCTGCGGCTCCCTGTCACTCAAAATATGCATCAGAACCACCAATGTGTGACACCTGCCGGCACACGATTTATTGAGCTTTTCGACCCCCGGTAGGCCAGCCATGGATAAATCCAAGAAAAGAAAAGTTTCAGAAGAAAACAGAACATTTAATTCAACTACATATGCTAGTTCTGTGGCCGCTCAAGAAATAGTCAGGCACGGGAAGGGTTTTGTGGCTCCCGGTGTTTTCTTTTCTGTGGGAAACGGGTCCAAATGGCTCTTTTGAGTGTTTAAGGTTGCAGACCCCTGCACTAGATCCTGGACACAAACAGTTTCAACGTCTTCCCTCAAGGTGGCGCTACAGGGCACCGCAAGCCGAAACAACTAGAGCCAAGACGAGAAAACCAGAACTGCAGTGATTCAACTTCACAACCGTGGCAAGGAAAGTCATAACGGACTTATGACCGTTGCAGCAGCCCCAGGGTCATGTGATCAAAATTCAGACACCCCCACCCCCCGCCCCGGTGACTGACTCATATATATGCCGGTTGCAACCTTCCGAGAGGATCACATGATCCCCTCCTGCGACCTTTTGATGAGTGATGTCAATGGGGAAGCCAGATTTACCTAACAACCAGAAGCAATTCTGTTAACAACTGTGGTCGTACAACGGGGCGAAACTCACTTTAACAAATGGCTCGCTTAGCAACAGAAACTTTGGGGCTCAATGGCGGTCGTTCGTCGAGGACTACCGATAGATTGTTGAGACGCTAATTCTTTGTCCTTACTAAGCTAGCATCCGAGAAGGAGGACTAACCCAATGTGATTTGTTTCTGAAATGGTATATTTCCTGCCTGAGGAGGGGGTTGGACTAGAAGACCTCCGAGGTCCCTTCCTGCTCTGTTATTCTCTTAAAAATAAGAAGGACTCACCATGCCTTTGCTTCGAGCTTTCGGACATTGAAGATCTGCGATGACGGCCGTGCAAAGGCTGACGTTCCCTTTGCTGATCCCGCCAAGGATTCTGGAGCAAAGGAAGAGTTCAAAACTCCTAGAAATGGCCCACAGAGAATAGGACGCCATCAAGCCAAGCTGGAAGGGGGGAGAAAAAAAAAGAGATTTTGGCATTCTCAGACAAGAGTTTGCTGACGTTGGGGCAGCTTCTTGCGTCAGACTTCGATGCTATCTCAAAATAAATGAATTTCCAAACTGCCAATCTTTAAGGAAATCTTTTCTTAAATTGAGCACAGCCACCGGATCATGACTCGATGCGGACAAGACTGACCTTTTGCCCCCCAATCCCTCCCTTTCCGATCCCCAAATATCTGCTTTTCATTGGCTATCTTCCAAGTCATTCTTCAGACTTCTTGTCCCGTCATTTCCCAGGAATGTCTCCCCCCTCCTCATTTCCACGACAATCGGACATCAAAGGGATTTAGCAGGCAGAAGTTCAGAGCTTATCACTCTCTCTCTCTCTCTCTCTGCTCTCTATGCCAGCGAAACGCTGACATCTTGGTTTGTTCCACTCGGAGGGAACGGCTCAGATAGGTACGGCAAGTCCTCGACTTAACAACAGTTTGTTTAGTGACCAAAGTTACTACATGTTCTGACCCAGCTCCCCAAACCCGACAAACCCTCTGCAGTTGAAGTAATGATCTAGCAGCCCCAGCAAAAAGTTTCTCTCTCCCCGCAAGCTAACAAGTCCATCCGGCCAGAAGATGAATAGATGTCCGTCATATCTATTAATCTCCGCCCCCTGCCTTTCATCTCCAGAGCTAGGGTGGGGCTTCACTAGCATTGGTGGCTTTTCCGTCCCGAGGACCGGCCCATAGATTTCCATTGCTCTCCTCTCCTCTGCCTTCTGTGCATCCATGCGTCAGACACTGGACCCAGCTGTTCTGTCCTTCCGAAGTCAGTAAAATGAGGACTCAGATTGTTGGGGTCCAGAGGCTGACTCTCTAAACTCTTAGAGAGGGCTGGAAAGCACAGTGAAGTGGGATCTTCCTTCCTTCCTTCCTTCCTTCCTTCCTTCCTTCCTTCCTTCCTTCCTTCCTTCCTTCCTTCCTTCCTTCCTTCCTTCCCTCCCCCCCTCCCTCCCTCCCTCCTTCCTTCCTTCCCTCCCTCCCTCCCTCCCTCCCTCCTTCCTTCCTTCCTTCCTTCCTTCCTTCCTTTCTTTGGTGGCACAGTGCTTAGCATGCAATATTGCCGGGTAATTCTGCCCACTTTCTGGAGTTCGATCCTGACCGGCTCAAGGTTGACTCCGCCTTCCATCCTTCCGAGGTTGGTAAAATAAAGACCCAGATTGTTGGGCGGGGTAAGAGGCTGACTCTGTAAACCGCTTAGAGAGCGCTGTAAAACACTGTGAAGTGGGATATAAGTCTTAAGTGCTATTGCTTAAGAGGCTATTGCCTCCTCTCTGATTGAAACCAACCTACCGCAGTGACGAGCAGCGCCGGTCGCCTCCCGAAGGAATCTGAGGCAGCCCCGGTGAGTGGCGAGGCCAGAAACTGAAGCAGAGAAAACAGGGAGCCGATGAGACCTGGAAGAGAAGATCGGAGGCGGGACGGTTCCGTGGGTTGCAAGTCGTCTTCCTCCCGCTGACCTCAACTTAGTTTACCTCCCTTGTTTTCCACCGCTAAGTAAAGTATTTAAAGCAGGAGTGTCCAACCTCTTTAAGACTGGTGGACTTCAACTCCCAGAATTCCACTGGGAGAATTTGCTGGGGGATTCTGGGAGTTGAAGTCCACCGGTCTTAAAAGTTTGCCCCTACTCGAAAGCCGTGCTTCTAAAAAAGGGTCAAAGGGGAACGCACGTCCAACTTGCCGTGGCCAGCTCACCGCGAGAGAACTCGCCGCGGGACGAGAGTTACACCAATACCGAAGAAACGGTGGAATAGAATCCTTCAAGGAAGGAGGGCCGAGATGAAAGATGAATGACAAAAAGCGAAATGAAGTTTTAATTCTTTTAAATAAATTAAATTGAAGCGTTGAATTTCTCCCACGGTGAGTTGGTCATGGCGAATTGTCCCGTTCCATGCTGTGGCTTCCTTCAGTGGTGAAATCCAATTTTTTTTTACTGCCGGTTCTGTGGGTGTGGCTTGGTGGGCATGGCAGAGGAAGGATACTGCAAAATCCCCATTCCCTCCCCACTCCTGGGGGAAGGACACTGCAAAATCCCCATTCCCTCCCCACTCCTGGGGCAAGGGTATTGCAAAATCTCCATTCCCTCCCCATTCCTGGGGGAAGGATACTGCAAAATCCCCATTCCCACCCCACTCCAGGGGAAGGATACTGCAAAATCCTCATTCCCACCCCACCCCAGGGGAAGGATACTGCAAAATGGGGTATTTTAAATTCAGCCAAATTATTTAATTCGTTTTTATATGATTTTAAATTTTTGTATTTATGTGTTTTTATCTTGTGGCTGTTCACCACCTTGAGTCCTTCAGGAGAAGGGCGGTATAGAAATTTAATAAAATAAAATAAATAAATAAATAAAATCCCCATTCCCTCCCCACTCCTGGGGAAGGATACTGCAAAATCCCCATTCCCTCCCCACTCCAGGGGAAGGATACTGCAAAATCTCCACTCCCACCCCACTCTGGAGCCAGCCAGAGGTGGTATTTGTCGGTTCTCTGAACTGCTTAAAATGTCCGCTACTGGTTCTCCAGAACCTGTCAGAACCTGCTGGATTTCACCCCTGAGTTCCTCCCTCCGTGTCTTGCAACATCCCCATTTCTCTGAACACCAGGGTTGACCACCAGCCTGGCCAGAGACCCCAAATGCCCTTCAGGCAGAGGGTGAATGACCTTCAGACCAGGCGCCAACTAAGGCAATGAAGGGAATTTCCTACCTCCAAATAAGACGCTGTTGTACTTCCTTTCTGGCGGAATGCCAAGGCTGCCACTGAACCAGTCCACGCCGGCTTGCACCCTCCTGTAGAGCCCATCCTGGGGAAGAAAGAAAGGGATTGGGCAAGGGGGAGGGGTTAGGGGAGCCATCTCCAGCCCCATTTCTTTCTGCCAGAATTATTTTGCTATTTATGGCATTTGAGGGGCTGCCCCAAAGAGGAAGGGATCAATTTATTCTCCAAAACACTAGAAGGCAGGACAAGAAACAAGGGATGGAAACTAATCAAGGAGAGAAGCAACCTAGAACTAGCATGCGCGCGTCAGCCAACTGATTTTCCGGGCCCACCGGAAGTCAGAAAATGGGCTGTTTCCGGCCTCTAGAGGGCCTCTGGGGGGGGGTGGGAAGGCTGTTTTAGCCCTCCCCAGGCTCCTAGCAAGCCTCTGGAGCCTGGGGAGGGCAAAAAATGGGCCTACCGGGCCCACCATGCCATCGCATGCCAAAAGCGAGGGTGGGTCGCATGTGCATGTGGGAGGACAGGGCACATTGAATTATGGGTGTGGGCACGCACGAGCGCGACCCGCCCCCCATGTTCTTCCCGCTTTTGGCATGCAACGGCAAAAAGGTTAGCCATCACCGGTATAGGGTCTCCTGCTTGGGCAGGGGGTTGGACTAGAAGTCCTCCAAGGTTCCCTTCCAGCTCTATTCTGAATTGAGTTCTAGTCCTGACTTCACAGGGTTGTTGTTTGGGGTGGGGGGAAATAGGAGGAGGAAGATGTGTTGGATATATTTGAATTGTTTTTGGAAAAAGGTGGGATATCGATCGATCGATCGATTGAATCATCCTGCCAAGATGGGAAACGCGCTGTTCTGTCGTTTTCCTGATCCCAGAAGCATCTTTTCCTCCCCTAAAAAACATCACTTCAAACATCCACCAAGTGCCAAGTGCATCCTCTGTATCGCAGTCTTCTCCTCCCTCCCCCAATACATCAAATAACCTTCTCATCTTTCATCTCTTATCTATAAACAAAGCTTCAAAGCTTCATCCTTCAGTCCCTGATGTCAGCAAAAATCCGGAAGGGTTACCGGAGAGAACAACGCATCTATTTTAGCCGTGATCAAATAAGTCTACTTTACATTCCTTCCGCTTATGTTACTTTTAATCTGAAATGGTTGGTTTTTTTATATTCTTTCAGTAGAGACGTTCAAATTTCTAGGTTCTACCGTATTGCAAGATCTAAAATGGACAGCTAACATCAAAAACGTCATCAAAAAGGCACAACAAAGAATGTTCTTTCTGCGCCAACTCAGAAAGCTCAAACTGCCCAAGGAGCTGCTGATAACAGTTCTACAGAGGAATAATTGAGTCTGTCATCTGCACCTCCATAACTGTCTAGTTTGGTTCTGCAACCCAACAAGACAGACACAGACTTCAGAGGATAATTAGAACGGCAGAAAAAACACTGGCTACCAACCTGCCTTCCATTGAGGACCTGTCTACTGCACGAGTCAAAGAGAGGGCTGTGAAAATATCTACAGACCCCTCACATCCTGGACATCAACTGTTTCAACTCCCACCCTCAAAACGATGCTATAGAGCACTGCACACCAGAACAAATAGACACAAGGACATTTTTTTCCCGATCACTCTGCTAAACAAATAATTCCCTCAACACTGTCAAACTATTCACTAAGTCTGCATTACTATTAATCTTCTCATCGTTCCCACCACCCATCTCCTCTCACTTATGACTGTATGACTGTAATTTTGTTGCTTGTATCCTTACGATTGATATTGATATTGTTTCCTGATTGCTTGTTTGTACCCTATAACTATCATTCAGTGTTGTACCTTATGATTCTTGACGAACGTATCTTTTCTTTTATGTACACTGAGAGCGTATGCACCAAGAAAAAATCCTCGTGTGTCCAATCACACTTGGCCAATAAAAAAAATTCTGTTCTGTTCTGTTCTGTTCTACTCAGTATCCTGTGACTATCACTAAGTGTGGTGTCTTATGATTCATTATGAACATATCTTGTCTTTTATGTACAGAGAGCATATGCACCGAAGACAAATTCCTTGTGTGTCCAAATCTTGGCCAATTGACTATTAATGACTATTAATTTCCTTTTATTTCTAATTTTTTTAAATTTATTTGTCGAGTACATATTAGATAATATATATAAGCATGAATTGAATGCATAAAATGTATTCTATTTACTTTTAATCTTCTGAAATAAAGGCCCTAAACTTGATTTCTTCTCTCTCTCTCTCTCTCTCTTTTTTTTCCTTCGTCCCTTCTCACAAAATTCTTCACAACTTTAAAAGATCTTTCCATGTGTGTTTTTCCAGGAAGGGGTTGCTGGAGTGTCCTTACAACCTTGAGGTGTTCGTTGCACAGTCTGCAAACAACAGCCATGTTGCAAGGTGTCGCTTTCTCGTTTCGGTCTGGCGTGTGTCCTGACACTTCCTTTCTAAGATGAGGGAAGAGTATCGCACTCCAGCGTTCAGCTTCACCGTTTCAGCCGTTGGGATACTTCCTTATTTTAAGTTTCACGATTAGGAAACCCCGTGCCCATCATTCCTGCTCCTGCCCACTGCTTAGATGAAGTGGCAAAATAAAATGTTAAAAAAAGAAAAAAAAAAGAAAAGAAAAGAAAAGACAAGACAAGACAAGACCAAGGCAAAAAACCACACACAGTTAAAAAAAACATGGCAAGAACATTCAGCCGGTTGCAGAAATACTGCAAACCGGCTGAATCCAGTTCCTCTTACGGCAGTTCATTTAGTGACTGTTGACAAGTGACGAAAAAGTGAGTAATGGCCGTTTTTCCTACTTAACGACCGTTGCAGCATTCCCCAGGGTCACGTGATCGGAATTCAGTCGCTTGGAAACGGATTCATATTTGTGACGGTCGTAGTGTCCTCGTGGGAGGAGAGGTGTCTCGTGAAAGAAGGCAATACTGGGTTTGTTTCCTCTTTACATTTTTCCTCCTCTTCCCCTTCCTCTGCTATTTTGCCCTTACTTTCATCTGTCTTTGTATTTTCGTATTTTATGTTTTGGGAAACTGATAAAACGATGAACAAGGTGCTGCGAAGCCTGGAGCAAAGCAGTAACTATATTGAATTCCGCTGTATAATAAAGTGCGATATTAATGCAATATCAGGGGTTTTCAATACAATTGTATAGAACAGGGGTCTGCAACTTTAAAAACTCAAAGAGCCCTTTGGACCCGTTTCCCGCAGAAAAGAAAACACCGGGAGCCACAAAACCCTTCCCGTCCCTGACTATTTTTTGCGCAGCCACAAAACTAGCCTATGTAGTTGAATTAAACGTTCTGTTTTCTTCTGAAACTTTTCATTTCTTGGATTTATCCATGGTTGGCCTGCCGGAGGGTTGAAAAACACAATAAATCACATGCCAGCGAATGTCGCACATTGGCAGTTGTGATGCATATTTTGAGTGACGGGGAGCCACAGTAGAGGGGTGAAAGAGCCACATGCGGCTCCAGAGCTGCAGGTTGCTGACTCCTGCTATAGAATGTGAGGGAGCTGTGTTTTTATTTTTTATTTTCTTTTTAATGTATAATGTACACTGAAGATGGCACCTAACTTCGTTGTGCGAGGTGCAACGACCATAAAGTAAACTAACTTCAATTCAATTCAGTTTGGAAGGGTCAAACAATTGGCAACTCCAAATCTCAACCAAAAAATACTCGTCTTACACATTGGCAAAAACAACCAGAATGCAAAATACAAGCTAAGTGGACATGACTTTGTAGATGACCCTCACTCTGTCAAGGACCTTGGAGTACTCATCTCTAATGATCTAAGTGCCAAAGCCCACCTTAACAACATTGCCAAAAAGGCATTAAGAGTTGTTAACCTAATCTTGCGTAGCTTCTTCTCCGGTAATATCACACTACTAACCAGAGCATACAAAACCTTTGCTAGACCAATTCTCGGATACAGCTCATCTGTCTGGAACCCGCACTGCGTATCGGACATTAATACAACTGAGCGAGTCCAGAAATATTTCACAAGAAGAGTCCTCCACTCCTCTGCTCGACACAAAATACTTTATGCCACCAGACTTGAAATTCTGGGCTTAGAAAATTTAGAACTACGCCGCCTTCGGTATGACCTAAGCGTAGCTCATATAATCATCTGCTACAATGTCCTACCTGTCAATGACTACTTCAGCTTCAACCACAACAATACAAGAGCACACAATAGATACAAACTCAAGGTGAACCGCTCCAAACTCGATTGCAGAAAATAGGACTTCAGCAACAGAGTGGTCAATGCCTGGAATGCACTACCTGACTCTGTGGTTTCATCCCCAAAACCCCCAAAACTTTAACCTTAGACTGTCTACTGTTGATCTCACCCCATTCCTTAGAGGTCTGTAAGGGGTGTGCGTAAGCGCACCAGCGTGCCTTCCGTCCCTGTCCTAATGTTTCCTCTATTTGTATCTATTTCATGTATTCAATTCATGCTTATACTTATATATATTATCTAATACCTGTGTTTCCCCGAAAATAAAATCATGTCTTATATTTTTTTTGAACCCTGAAATAAGCGCTTGGCCTTATTGCCATGAGCTCAAAAGCCCGATTGGGCTGATTATCAGGGGATATTTTGGGGGAATTTTGGGGGAAATTCTTATTTTGGGGGAAACAGGGTATCTGTCTATGTCTGTCTATCTGTCTATCTGTCTATCTATCCATCCTTCCTTCCTTCTTTCCTTCCTCCCTCTCTCTCTCTCTCTCCGTCTTACTATTTATCTATCATCTGTATCTATCATGTTTCCCCGAAAATAAGACCCTGTCTTATATTTTTTTGAACCCTGAAATAAGCGCTTGGCCTTATTGCCATGCACTCAAATGCCCCATTGGGCTTATTATCAGGGGAGGTCTTATTTTGGGGGAAACAGGGTATCTGTCTATGTCTATCTCTCTCTCTCTCTCTCTCTCTCTCTCTCTCTCTCTCTCTCTCTCTCTCTCTCTTTCTTTCTTTCTTTCTCTATCTAATCTCTCTATTTATCTATGTATCTATTTATATCTATCTCTATCATCTATCTATCTATCTTTCTCTCTCTAATCTATCTCTATTTATCTCTATATCTATCTTTCTATCTATCTATCTATCTCTTTCTTTCTTTATCTAATCTATTTATATCTATCTATCTATCTATCTATCTATCTATCTATCTATCTTTCTCTCTCTCTCTGATCTATCTCTATTTATCTCTATATCTATCTTTCTATCTATCAATCCCTATCTATTTCTTTCTTTCTCTTTCTTTCTTTCTTTCTTTCTTTCTTTCTTTCTTTCTTTCTCTATCTAATCTCTCTATTTATCTATTTATCTCTATATCTCTATCTATCATCTATCTATCTATCTATCTATCTATCTATCTATCTATCTATCTATCTATCTATCTATCTATCTATCCGTCTTACTATTTATCTATCATCTGTATCTACCGTTTTTTCCCTAAAATAAGACCCTGTCATATATATTTTTGACCCCTGAAATAAGCGCTTGGCCTTATTGCCATGCCCTCAAAAGCCCGATTGGGCTTATTATCAGGGGAGGTCTTATTTGGGGGGAAACAGGGTACGTACTTGACAAATAAATAAATAAAATAAATAAATAAATAGGACGCGAGGGAGGTGTGTTTTTGTTCTATTTTTATTTTCTTTTTCATGTATAAAGTACCCTGAAATTAGATGGCACTTAATTCCGTTGTGCGAGGTGCAACGATGAAAAAGCAAACCAGAGTAAAGTAATTTCAATTCTCACGGACGCCGTCCCTGCTTGTCCTCGCATGTTTTAACAAGGGCAAAAATGTTTGGATTTTTGAATGCGGGTTCATTTTTTCAAATTTTTTTTTTACTCACGTCATTCTGGCTGAAATGATCTAGGATGGAAGGCAGGAGAGGCAGAATCAGGGTGAAGCCCAGGAGGTCGATGAGCAGCGAGAGAAACACCGCGAAAATGACGCGGGAGGAGTTTTCCTCGGCCTTCGCAACGCCTTGGTCCTCTCGTGACATTTTCTGGAGGAAGATCCTTTCTTCCACGATGGTCTCCAAATCACCACTCCGGCTGGGGGATTCTGGGAGTTGAAGTCCTCAGGTCTTATCGCTGAGAAGGTTGGAGAGCCCTGAAATACAATGAGGGGCATCGTGGGGTCTGGATTTACGAGCCAAGGTGGCGCAGTGGTTAGAGTGCAGTACTGCAGCTACTTCAGCTGACTGCTAGTTCAGCAGATCAGCGGATCAAATCTCACCGGCTCAAGGTTGACTCAGCCTTCCGTCCTTCCGAGGTGGGTAAAATGAGGACCCAGATTGTTGGGGGCAATATGCTATTTAGTACACTGTCGATAGTTGTAAGCCGCCCAGAGTCCTCGGCGAGTGGGCGGCATAGAAATATGACTAATTAATTAATTAATTAATTAATTAATTAATTTAGTCCCCCAGTTCACACAAGTCGGACAAGAGTGGGCGGGGAAGAAACAAAGCTGGAACTGAGCAGAGATTCTTAGCCTGAGCTGCTAAGTTTTTACAGGTAGCCCTCGATTTACGACCGCAACCGAGCCCCAGATTTCTGTTGCTAAGTGAGACAATTCGTTAAGTGAATTCCGCCCCTTTTTTTTTTTTTTTTTGGTGACCTTGCTGGCTGCCCTTCATTAAGTGAAGTGCTGCCGTTGTGAAGTTAGTAGCACGGTTAAGTGAAACTGGTTTTTCCCTGTTTTTGATTTTGCTTATCACAAGGTCGCGAAGGAGGATCCCCCGGGGACGCTGCAACCGTCATAAATGTGAATCGGCTGCCAAGCGTTAGGATAATTTTTTAAAATCAATTTTTATTGATTTTTCGCCCCCCCCACATTCACCCGCGTATTTTATGAACAGGGTATCATAACTTATACAATTTATCTTATTCAAATACATTTTTACTCGGTTAAGATTTCTGCCAAAATCTTCTTTTTCCATTTTTTTTGATCGTATCTTAAAATTTCTACGCTCATTTGTATAAACGACATCTTCCTTCGCCCTCCAATTCTAATTTCTCTGTACAATAAAAAAAAGATGAAAGGGAAGAAAGGCAACCCCGAACATGTATAAATGCACTAGGGTAAAGAATGAATGATTAAAAAAAATAAAAGAGAATAAATAGGAGTAAAAACTAGAGAAATTAGAATTTGAGGCCAAGCGTCAGGATTTTTTTGATGACGTGGCCACAGGGATGCCGCGGCGGTCATAAGGGTGAGAAACGGTCCCAAGTTGCTTTTTTCCAAGCTGTAAATTGAGGACTACGTGTGACTGTGTGTGTGTAAATTTATTTATTTTTATTTTATTGGTTCGATTTATATGCCGCCCTTCTCTGAAGACTCAGGGCAGCTTACAATGTGTTAAGCAATAGCCTTCATCCTTTTGTATATTTTATACAAAGTCAGCTTATTGCCCCCACAATCTGGGTCCTCATTTCACCTACCTTAGAAAGGATGGAAGGCTGAGTCAACCTTGAGCCTGGGGAGATTCGAACTTGCAGTAATTGCAGGCAGCTGGTGCTACTTAACAGCGCTTTAGTCTGCTGCGCCACCAAGGCTCCTTAGCAGCCTTACAGTTACAGTAGGTGAAACAGGAACTCAAGACATGCTCCAGAGAGTACCCAGAAGCGGAGTAGCAATTTTAAATTTCCCCAAGGAAAGATAAGGTGGCGGGCACCGTTGGGTGCCCCACCACCCCACGCCAGGGGTCTCTGCCAGCCCGGAGACTCCACCCACCCCACTCCGCTTCCCAAGCACAAGGCAGCCTCTCCATCTCCCCTCAAAGCTAGGGGCTACTGAGCTGGCTGGATGAAAAATGGAATGGGTGGGGGCTTCATTCCTGTACCCCTCCCTCCCTCTCTCCCTCTCCCCCCCAAGCCATCTCAATTGCACCCCCTTTCCACCCCACCCCCAATCCCTGCTCCTTTCCTTCTATGGACCTAGAAGGGCTGGGAGACTGGGAGACACCCCCCCCCAAACACAGAGGCTCCAGGGGCAGACTGGATGAAAAAAAACTGGGTCGGGGGTCTTTCATTCCTGCCCCTCTTTCCCCCCAAGCCTTCTCGCTTTGCACCCCCTCCCCGTCCCACCCTACCTCATCCCAATCCCTGCTAGATGCCTCCCCTTTCCCTCCTCCTGGGGGACACAGGCCGTGCCAAGAGGGATCAGGATGGTTGGGAGACCCTAACCCCTCCCCAGGCTCCTGGGCAAGCTGGATGAAAACGGGTCGGGGATGGGGTCCTTCATTCCTACCCCCTCCTCTTTCCCTCCCTCCTCCCTGCTCCCTCCCTCCTCCTCTTGCCGCCCCTTCTCCTCCCCCCTCCCCAATCCCCCTCCCTCTCTCCTCTCCTTGCCGCCCCTTCTCCTTCCCCCCCTCCCAGCCTCCTCCCCTTCTCTGCCCCCTCCCCAATCCCCCTCCCAGCCTCCTCCCCTTCTCTGCCCCCTCCCCAATCCCCCTCCCAGCCTCCTCCCCTTCTCTGCCCCCTCCCCAATCCCCCTCCCAGCCTCCTCCCCTTCTCTGCCCCCTCCCCAATCCCCCTCCCAGCCTCCTCCCCTTCTCTGCCCCCTCCCCAATCCCCCTCCCAGCCTCCTCCCCTTCTCTGCCCCTCCCCAATCCCCCTCCCAGCCTCCTCCCCTTCTCTGCCCCCTCCCCAATCCCCCTCCCAGCCTCCTCCCCTTCTCTGCCCCCTCCCCAATCCCCCTCCCAGCCTCCTCCCCTTCTTTGCCCCCTCCCCTTCTCCTCCCCCCTCCCCAATCCTCCTCCCAGCCTCCTCCCCTTCTCTCCCCCCTCCCCAATCCTCCTCCCAGCCTCTTCCCCTTCTCTCCCCCCTCCCCTTCTCCTCCCCCCTCCCCAATCCCCCTCCCAGCCTCCTCCCCTTCTCTGCCCCCTCCCCTTCTCTGCCCCCTCCCCAATCCTCCTCCCAGCCTCTTCCCCTTCTCTCCCCCTCCCCTTCTCCTCCCCCCTCCCCAATCCCCCTCCCAGCCTCCTCCCCTTCTCTGCCCCCTCCCCTTCTCTCCCCCCTCCCAATCCCCCTCCCAGCCTCCTCCCCTTGAGAGGGGCCGGGATGGAATGGAATGGGAGACCACCCGGAAATCCCCCTCCGGAGCGGGAAGAGAGCCTGGGGGTGGGCGGGGGGGGTGCTGACGCCCCCCACCCCCCTCTAATATCCCACCCAGGAGAGCTCACCTCCGCTCCCGCAGGCGGAGAGCCCGACCAGCCCCGCTTGGAGGAGAAGCTCCGCGATGCGCCCCGGTTCCTTCCTCCGGGGGCTCAGCCCACCTCCAGCCCGGCTTCCCCCGCCTGCTTGCCCGCCTCCACTCCACTCCCAAGGCCGGGTAAGCTCCTTCCTCTTCCGGCCCAGTCTCAGAAGGGGGACCCGGAGCCTCGGAGCATCCCAGCGGCCCCGCAGCGCATCTTCCCCCGGAGCTTTGCCCCGGGAAGACACCAGCGGAGGGAAGGAGGTTGGGTTGGGTTGGGTTGGGTTGGGTTGGGTTGGGTTGAGTTGAGTTGAGTTGAGTTGAGTTGAGCTGGGTTGGGTTGGGTTGGGTTGGGTTGGGTTGGGTTGTTGGGGGGGATCCCGGTTAGAAAAGACCCCGAGAGAGAGAGAGAGAGAGAGAGAGAGGGAGACCCCCGGGCTGGGCTGACCTGCGAGAGGAGGGTCCCAAGCTCTCCGGAGATGCCCGGACTGGAGGCGGCCGAGGAGCGGGATCTCCGCGGAACGGCCCCAGCGATCGACTTCCGCGAGGCGTTGGCCGCTCGCGGCGATCCCAGATCCTTTTCTCTCCTTTAAAGAGAAGGGTAGGAAGGGATCTCGGGAGGTCATCTAGCCCAACCCCCTGCTCCCCTGTACTAGGGATTCGAACCGCCGAACTGTAACAGCAACAGAGTGGGAAGGGACCTCGGGAGGTCATCTAGTCCGACCCCCCTGCTCCCCTGTACTAGGGATTCAAACCACCAAACTGTAACAATAACAGAGTGGGAAGGGACCTTGGGAGGTCATTTAGCCCGACCCCCCTGCTCCCCTGTATTAGGGATTCGAACTGCCGCACTGTAACAGCAACAGATTTGGAAGGTACCTCCAGAGGTCATCTAGTCTGACCCCCCCCCCCCCCGCTCACAGGAGACATGTACTAGGGATTCGAACTGCCGAATTGCAACAGAGTTGGAAGGGACCTTGGGAGGTCATCTAGTCCGACCCCCCGCTCCCCTGTACTTGGGATTTGAATAGACACTCTCAATGGGGTCTCAACATTAGTGGACAGGGCTAGTCCTTGTTTTACGACACTTCCCCCCTCCCCGATTGAGCCCAAAGTTTCTGGGGTTCAGGGAAGACTCGGGTGAGGTCTGCCCTGTTTTTCTTGTCGTTAAGTGTGTGAAAGTCCATCGTAAGCCACATTCCTCGTTATTTACAGGGGGTCCTTGACTTACGACTCCCAATTGAGGCCAAGGTTTTTTGGGGTTGAGGGAGATGGCTGGTCTCAGGTGAGGTGCGCCTTGTTTTTCTTGCCGTTAACTGTGAAAGTCCGTCGTAAATCACGTCTCATTTATTTACAGGGGGTCCTTGACTTATGACCCCCGATTGAGGCCAAGGTTTCTGGGGTTCAGGGAGATGGGTGCAGTGGTGGGTGAGTTGCTACCAGTTCAGTCCGGTTCGTGCGAACCTGTAGGAACGGCAGTGGGAGGCTCCGCCCACCACGCTCCCGTTGCAAACCGGTAGTGAAGGGAAGTGGAACCCATCCCTGGATGGGTGTCTTCAGTGAAGTCTGCCCTGTTTTCTTGCCACCGTCATTCAGGGAATCACAATTGCTTCTCTTAGTAACCCGCTTGTGTGAAGTGGAAATCTGGATCATGTGACATCCGGGACACTGCAACCGTCATAAGTATGAGTCAATTGCCAAGCGGCGGAGTGGTCGTAACTGTGAAAGTCAGTGGCAACTCACATTTCTCATTAATCGTTCGAACATTGAACAGTCACTAAATGAGCTGTTGTAAGTCGAGGACTGCCTGTATTTATAGTGTATTTATAGCTAGTCCTCGACTTATGACCACGATGGAGCCCAAAATTTCTGTGGTTTAAAGGTGACGCGTGTCTTAACTCAGTTTTGCCCCATTTTTCTTGCTACCGTTGTTAAGTGAATCACTGCGGTTCTTCCAGTTAGTCAGATGGTGGTTAAGTGAAGCTGGCTTCCTCTTTGCTTGTTGGACGGCCACAAAAGGGGATCACCCTGGGACACAGCAACGGTCATAAAGACGAACCAGTTGGCCAGTGTCTGAATTTTGATGACGTGACTATGGGGAGGGCTGCAAAAGTTGTTAAGTGTGAAAAACGATCCTAAGGCACGTTTTTTTTTTCAGTGCTGTTTGTAACTTGGAACGGTCACTAAACGGACTGTTGGAAGTCAAGGACTTGCTGTATTTTAGGAAAATGTAGATAGCTGCTTACTGGCTGATGGCAACTCTTAGGCAGCTTACAGAAAATATAAATACATTACATATATTACAAATATATTTGGAAGATTTTAAGCTAGGATTTTAACCAGAAGTTTTAAACATTTTAACTAACTTAACTTATTTAACATGACGCGGGAAAACACCCGAGATTTTAATTTTTTGCATATACACACCCGCAAAAACTTCACATATCTATATATGAATAGATTGTAATATTTATCTATCATCTATCTATCTATCTATCTATCTTACAAACTATTCTAAAAATACGAGTTCCAGGTATATTAGTAAAAAAAGAAGCAGACATACTGCGAACTCCGGTACTTAAAATTTTAAAAATTTTTAAAAATTAAAATTTTATTTTACTAAGCTTTCATCAGCCATCTGCTGACATCGTCAGAGTATTAAACTACCATTACAGATATATATATATATAAAGTGTTTTTCTATCGAAACACCTGGTCTGCCCCAATATGGGAAGGAGCCTTCTGCTTCCCTTTTCACCTTTCAGCTCCAATCCAGAAGGCCTCAAGCAGTCGCATTCACGACAAACCATTTTATACCAAATTTATATTTCGCTGATAAAGAAATAAAGGGAGACTAGTATAGATCTATTTCAAGCTTTTTAGCTCTCATCAGCTAGCCAGACCCTTACTCAGATTCAAACTTTTATATATATATATATATATATATATATATATAGCTCTCGCCTCACAATCAGGAGGCTGAGTTCAACCCTAAGTAGAGGCAGATATTTCTCTCTCTGGGCACGATGAGAATATATCTGCCGAACAAAACTCCGCACCGGCAACAGGAAGAGCATCCGGCCATTAAAACATTCAGCTCCATTCAGTTGCCTAGAGTCCATCCCGCAAGGGATTATGAGGGTCATTAAAAGATGATGATGATATAGCCATGTGTATATGTGTGTCATGTATGTCTTTGGGTAGATATATATTTTCTCTTGACCGCAGGCAACAAAATTTCATTTTTAATGTGGGCCGGTGTGCTCACAGTGAAAAAGAAAAATGACAATAAAAGTTACTTTCTCTCTCTCTCTGACTTGGCAAGATCTAACACACCTCCTCAGTAGCATTGCCCTTGCTCTCCGTGGGATCCTTGCCACCAGATCCCTGGATCTGGTGCTCACCGGCCCTCCCTCCATGTGTAATCCTGCCCTTCTGAGTAACCTCTGCCTTTCCAGTCTTGGAATCCAACATGCGAGTTGCATCTCATTGCACCCGGGTTTTTGCCCTTCCTGCATTAAGACGGGCGCCTCTCTGCAGTCCGCCAATCCGCGGGACGAGTGGCCCTCCGTGCCTTGAAGCTGGTGCAGCCTCTGACCATGTGCAGAGTGGCCTTTTGAGTCTATCACTAGAAAAGGGATAGACTCAAGGACTGCCACGCATTCTGGAAAAAAAAGGCCGAAGTATTAAAACGGAGGCAAAATAGTATCAAATATATTATACAATTTTATTTAGAAATGATACTTTTTTTTAAATCCAGAAAAAAAAAAAACTGTACCCCCTATTTAAAAACGATCAAAACGTTCCAGGAAATTCTAATCATTTAAATATCCTTGTTTGTCTTCCGAGGTATTATTATCTGGGAATAATTTAACGCTTTTTCCTCTTGAGTGCTTTCCAATCTCCTTCCTGCTGAGCGAGGCTTTGGAAGAGTTGCTTCACTTTCCTTTTTCTTTCAGAATCCCTGAAAAAAAAGCAAAATAAAATAAAATAAAATCATCAAACCGCGATTGTTATCTTGAAGGCAAAAATGCAAAGTATCTCCCTCCCTCGAGTTTAGAACGTAGCGCTGCTTCTCCTGTGGTTTTATTAATGGCCGAGGAGACAGAAATCTTTCAGGATCCAGTCTGTACAGGATCACAGATCTGCCAGTGACATTTACGGCCTGGATCGCTTTCGGTTTTTAGGAATCCCGTAAACCATTTGATCATGTGGCAAATGATTTTATTTATGTATAGTAGAATAGAATAGGTTAATGACGGTTGGAAAATCTGCCACTTTGCTTATCGGTCTCTTTTTAATTCGGGCCCCTTTATCGAGTCCGTCCTTTGTACTTCTATAATTGTCTGGTTTGGCACAGCAACCAGAGAGACACGAACGTCCAACGGATAGTGAGGACTGCAGAAAACACAATCGCAACCAGCCTGCCTTCCATGGAGGATCTGTACAATGCAGGAGCCAGAAAGAGGGACGAGAAAATCTGGGCTATAAAAACCACGTATAGTAGAGCTGTGCGGTTCTTTTAGCATCTTAGGACCGTCACTTTGTGGTTTGCGTCTTACGAGTTATGTGGATCGCTTTTATTTAGTAGCTTATGACTATCACGGAGTGTTGTATCTTAACGATTTATGGTGATTGTATTGTGATTATGATCATGATTTATCAGTTTGTGGCTTGTATGTACACTGAGAGCATAGGCACTGGAGACAAATTTCTTCCGTGTGTCCAATCACACTTGGCCAATAAAGAATTCAATTCCTATTCCTATTCCATTCCAGTTCTCTAATTCTATTCTATTCTATTCTATTCTATTCTATTCCATTCCATCTATTCTATTCCATATTCTATTCTATTCTATTTCTTCATTCCTTCAATTCTACTCTAATTCTTCATTCTATTCTATTCTATTCTATTCTATTCTATTCTATTCTATTCTTCTATTCTATTCCATTCCATTCCATTCCATTCCATTTTCTATTCTATTTTTTTATTCTTTCCATTCTTCATTCTATTCTATATTCTATTCTATTTCTTCATTCCTTCAATTCTACTCTAATTCTTCATTCTATTCTATTCTATTCTATTCTATTCTATTCTATTCTATTCTATTCTATTCTATTCTATTCTATTCTATTCCCTTCCCTTCTAATCTAATTTTTCATTCCTTCTATTCTTCATTCTTTCTATTCTCCGTGCCATTCCATTCTAATCCTATTCCATTCTTCTCTTCTCTTATCCTACTCCATTATCCTATTTCTATTCCATTATTCCATTCAATTCTTCCCAGCCTATCCTAATTTTCTATTCTATTCTATTCTATTCTATTCTATTCTATTCTATTCTATTCTATTCTATTCTATTCTATTCTATTCTATTCTATTCATTTCTTCTATTCTCTATTCTATTCCCTTCCCTTCCATTCTAATTTTTCATTCCTTCTATTCTTCATTCTTTCTAGTCTCCATTCCATTCCAATTTAATCTAATCTATTCTATAGACCAGCAACCATGAATTAGAAACCTCGTATCTCATAGACAACAAACCCCCCCCCCCCTCCCCCCAAGCGAAGACCGTTTCCCGGCCACTGGTATTTTCCCCCGTTTTTCTCACGAAACCCAAACCCGCGGGGGCTACCTTTCCATGACTTCTGCAAGCTGCATCTTTGCCAGGAACTGGTTGTCCCTGCGGATCTCGCGCACGGCCCCCTTGAGCTCACGCCTGTGCTTGTGCACGAGGCGCTGCCGTTCCTGCTCTTGCTTACTGCTCCCTTGCTTCCGTCCAAATTCCAGCCTGAAAGGAGAAAAAAACGACTTGTCAAAAATGGCGGAGCTCCCAATTTCAACTCGGGGAGGATTGGGGGGGGGCGCATTTCCGCTGCCTGGCAATTTCCGGGAAGTGGACCCCCGACTCGATTCCGTAGTTTAGGGGAAAACCCGTAAGAAATGGAACCTTTCCAAAGTATCTAAGCTTTAATTGCTTTTAGTGACTGGTATTTCTCTCTCTGGGCACACTGCTGAACAAAACTCCGCACTGGTGACAGGAAGGGCATCTGGCCAGTAAAACAATCTGCTTGCTCCATTCATTTGCCCAGGTTCCATCCCGCAAGGGATTATGGGGATTTTAAGAGAGGATGACGACTACAGTATTCAACATATGACTTTGATAGTTTGAATAAATTGGCGGCAGCAGGAGGAGGAGACACTGGATTACCGCCAAACCGTTTCTGCCTCGCATAATCTGGATTTCAGAAGCCCCAAATCAGGACATTAAAAAAGAACTGTCAGCCGAACTGGGCTTTTAAAATTTAAATGATGAAATGTTACGCGTGATTTTTTTAAATTTCCATTTAAAAATTTAAAAATTTAAAAATTTCCGCAGGATTGGCAGTTGGGGATCCGTTTTTGAGATACTCACACCTTCACTATTTTGGGAGTGTACAGCTTCAAAGGAACCGGTTTCCTCTTGTCGCAGACCAATGGGCTGTACGGCCTCGGGACGTCGAGTTCCTCCAGGACGCTCTGGTGTAGCTCCTAAAAGTTCCCAAGAGATTTAAAATGCACAGCAGGAATGGAAAGATTTCGTGCTAAATAAAGGGGGGGGGGGGAAGGTGGAAAGGATTTTGAAGGTTTTGTTTTTTTCCCCCAGAGTATAGGTCAGTGATGGTAACCTTTTTGCCGTCGCGTGCCAAAAGCGGTGGGACCGCGGAGGGAGGTTGCATGCATTCCCTTTTTTTTTTTAATTTTAATTTGATTTTTATTATAACATATAGTGATACATTCGGTACATTTTCGGTTCATTGGTGCAATTATATACATATATACATCTACATGCATTATTACTTGTCTTTTATTTGATATTGTTTCTTAAAGCTAGATTTAATTTCAAAACACTTAAAGATAATAGTGCTCAAATCTCTAAGACTAAATATAATACTATTCATATGGATGTTGTTAATTAATTAATATTTAATCTCTATTTCCTTCTTTATTTATTTCAGGAATGAAAAGATTTCGTGCTAAATAAACTGGGGGGGGGGGAAGGTAGGAAGGATTTTGAGGTTTTTGTTTTTTTCCCCCAGAGTATAGGTCAGTGACGGCTAACCTTTTTGCCGTCGCGTGCCAAAAGCGGTGGGACCGCGGAGGGGGGGGGTTGCATGCATTCCCATACCCATAATTCAATGCGCCCCACCCCACCACGCATGCCCGCGCGACTCCTCCCCGCTCCTCCCACTTTTGGCACGGTGGGCCCGGTAGGCCTGTTTTTTTGCCCTCCCCAGGCACCAGAGGCTTTTTCTAGGAGCCTGGGGAGGACGAAAACTGCCTTCCCCACTCCCCCGGAGGCTGGAAACCACCTGTTTCCCGACTTCCGGTGGGCCCAGAAGGCCCGAAAATCAGTTGCACATGCACGCTGGAGCTGAACTAAGGCAACGCTCGCGTGCCCACCGATATGGCTCCGCATGCCACTTGTAGCCCGCGTGCCATAGGTTCGCCATCACGGGTATAGGTAGTCCTCGACTTAAATCAGTTCGTTTAGTGACCGTTGGAAGTGACCATGAAAAAAGTGACAGTTTTTCACACCTACGACTGTCGCAGCATCCCCTACAGTTACGTGAATAAAATTCAAGATGCTTGGCAACTGACTCGTATTTATGACGATCGCAGTGTCCCGGGGTCCCGTGATCCCATTTTACGACCTTCTGAAAAGCAAAGGGTAAGTGGGAAGCCAGATTTACTTAAAAGCCGTGTTAATAATTTAACTGTGGCGATTCCTTTAATGACGGTGGCAAGAAATGGGGAAATTACTCACCGAACGACGGTCTCACTTAACACCATAAATGTTGGGCTCAATTGCGGTTGTAAGCTGAGGACTACCTATAACTGAACAGTCTCCATGTATGTCACGGGGTGTGGAATGGCCTTGGGAGGCGAAGGGGGAGCCACAGACAGGACAAGTGGCATACAAAAGATGCCTTCGGCCCTCAGAAGAGGGCGGAAATGTTCCAGAATTTTCCACAGACTAAAAAGAGAGGAGGGCAGGAATATTTTCAGCGTTGCAAGATTTCGGTTAATTCAATCGGACACTAAGCTATGACTCCTTGACTACCTCGCAGGGCTAATGTTCTGTCCAATTTGGGCATTTCCTGTGGTGTCTCAAAACTCTCAAATGAGCCATGGTGGCCATCAGGTCTGGAGGTGGCTGAGGAGGAGGAGGAGGAACAGCTGGGTCCAGTGCCTGACGCACGGATGCGCAGAAGGCAGAGGAGAGGAGAGCAGTGGAAATCTACTTAGCGAACAGTCACTAAGCAGACTGTTGTAGATACAGGTAGTTGAGGACTACCTGTATTTAACCTCACTAGAAGCAGGTAGAAAACCATGGGAGCAGGCAGCAGGTGAGCATCTTAAACCAGGTGTGTCCAGGTGTCCTTGGCAGCATCAAGGCTCCAAGGGGGAAGGGCGAATGGAGCTGGCGGAGAGAGAGACAGAGGTGGAGCCTGGGCCGTCCGTCAGCCCGCAGATGGAGAGTCAACAGCCCCCAGGTCTGGAGGTGGCTGATGAGGAAGAGGAGGAACAGCTGGGTCCAGTGCCTGACGCATGGATGTACAGAAGGCAGAGGAGAGGAGAGGAGAGGAGTGGAAATCTATGGGCCAGTCCTCGGGATGGAAGAGCTGTTGTCATTTGTCATGGTCATATTGTCATTTAAAGTGACAATAAAGTTATTCTAAGTCTTATCAGTACAGGGAAAATGGAAGGGGCTACAAGGATTATCTAGTCCAACCCTACAGAGAAACCAGTAAACCACAAAGGAGAAGCGGTTGTTTTAGTCTCTCCTCAAAAACTTCCAGCTATAGAGAACATCGGTCCTCTTGGGCCACAAATGTCGCCACCGGAAAGATTTTCCTTTGTATTTACGTGAAATATTGGTCGCTCAGGTCTGGGGCAGCTACTCCTCGGCTCAAGACCACAACGGAGCCCCAAATTTACGCGGCTCAGTGAAACGTTCGATGTTGGAAGTGAGGTTTTGCTCCGTTTTTCTGGCCGCATGGCTTCAGCCGATCGTTGCCATTCTTACATTAGCCACGCGGTTGTTAAGTGAATCCGGCTTCCCCATGGTCGTTGGGGGTCGATCCTTTGAACCCAAGGGATACCACGACTGTCATAAATGCGAGTCAGCTGCCAAGCATCTGAATTCTGGGTGACCCGGGGGATGCCGCAACCGTCGAGAAGGGTGAAAAACGGTCACACGTCACTCTTTCCACTTTTGGTCACTAAATGAACTGTTGTAAGTCGAGGATGTTTCTGGGGGCTACTTTCTGGGAGGGTGGACAGGAGTTCTCGGCTATTTGTCAGGACAACCCCCCCCCCCCCACTTCTTACTTGAAGCTGGGCAGGATACTTGGCTGCCTGAAGTACGAGTGAGGAAAGCAGCAACCGGACAGGACTCAAAATTTCACGGAAGGATGGAAGCTCCCCGTAAAGAACGGCGCATCGTTTCACCAGAGCCAGAGCCAGGGCCACGCATGACAGTCTGCAAAAGACAACAAGCAGGCAGATGCAGTAGTTGGCACAGTAGTTAGTAAGCAGTACTCAAGGTTGACTCTGCCGCCTGCCAGAAGTTCGATCCTGACCGGTTGACTCGGCCTTCCATCCTTTCCTAGGTCGGTAAAATGAGGACCCAGATAGTTGGGGGCAAGAGGCTGACTCTGTAAACCGCTTAGAGAGGGCTGTAAAAGCACTGTGAAGCGGTATATAAATGCTATTGCTATTGCCCTTCCTTCCTTTCTTCCTTCTCCCACCTCCTTTCCTTTCCTATTGCTTAGAATGCAGTATTGCAGGCTGACTGTCGACTGTCAGCAGTTCGACCCTGATGGACTGCAGAGACCGTCATTTGCAACTAATATTAGAAAGATTTTGGATATCACTATGAAGCAACTTCCAAAATATATACCGATAAACAGATGTTGGTTTCATGATAAAACAGGTTCAAATATATCTCTGGATTGTAGAATTGGATACTCAAATTTACTTCCATCTTGCAAATGCTTTGCACAGCAACAATGCCAAATTTCAACACAAACCTATTGTACTTCTACAAAAAGGACGCCAAGGAAAGAGATGAAAATGTTTTGTTATTCACCATAAAGTCAAAATAGTTTCTAACGTTTCCCAAGAGAAAACTGATTTATTTCATGCATTTATATCTACAACTTGTTATCTCGTTTTCTACTCTGTCACTTCCAAGTCTGATTGGCGTTTTTAATGGCTGCTTAAGATTTTTACGGTGTGTTTTTATTATATGCCACCGAGATTCACGTTCTGGGAGGTGAGTAGCTCTATAAATGTGACAGACAGATAGATATAACATACCTCAGATTATTCGTATCTATTTTGCTTTTTCCTTTTGATCTACTTAAAATGTGGAGCGAGATGTTTTGTTTTTCCCATGTTTCTGTCCCTGATTTTTCACAGACCACAAGCAAGTTGGAATGTTTTCCTAGGGACACAAAAGGAGGCAGCAAAGAATAACCTGAAAAGAAAAAAAAAGATGCAAATGTTAGTTTTCCTCTCAGAATACTCATTTGTATGCAGCCATGCAGACATTGCTTGCTATTTTTAAAATCTATATAAATGTGTCAAACGTTTTCCTGCACTTAGAAGTCAGTGAAAAGTTCACAAGGAAAGAAAGGGGGGAGTTTATAGATACAGCTGGTAAACACAAGAGAAAACTACTTTTATATTAAGTATTTCATACTGTTGGACAATTCTTACAACCAATGTTTAGCTATGTTTATGAAATGCATGTTATTTTATAGACTGCCTGCTGTTACAATTATTCTATTCAAATACATACCTACATATATATCCTGTTCCCCCCAAATATATATATATATATATATATATATATATATATATATGTATGTATGTATGTATGTATGTATGTATGTATGTATGTATGTATGTATGTATGTATGACAGGGTCTTATTTTTGGGGAAACATGGTAGATACAGATGATAGATAAATAGTAAGATGGATAGATAGATAGATAAATAGAGATAGATTAGAGAGAGAGAAAGAGAGAGAGAGAGAGAGAAAGATAGACAGACAGACAGACATAGACAGATACTATTTTCCCCCAAAATAAGACATCCCCTGATAATAAACCCAATCGGGCTTTTGAGCACATGGCCATAAGGCCAAGCGCTTATTTCAGGGTTCAAAAAAAATATAAGACAGGGTCTTATTTTGGGGGAAACACGGTATATATCATCTTCTTTTAACAATCTCTTGCAGGGTGGACTCTGGGCAACTGAATGGAGCTGAGTGTTTTAATGGCCGGATGCCCTTCCTGTTGCCAATGTGGAGTTTTGTTCAGCAGATATATTCTCATTGTGCCCAGAAAGTGAAATATCTGCCTCTAGCTAGGATCGAACTCACAGCCTCCCGACTGTGAGGCGAGAGCTCCACCTCTTGGCCACCGCACCACTCTGCCCCTCTGAGTGCTATTATTTATTTGGTCTTTAAAATTTCGAAAGTCGGTAATCTCTGTTTTGCATATATTATACATATATTATACATATATTATATAATAAAAAAGTCAATATAAGTAAACCACTTTTAAGATGTCTGTCAAAAATTGTGTGTACAGGTAGTCCTCGACTTACAACAATTCATTTAGTGATCGTTCAAAGTTATAACGTCGCTGAAAAAAGTGACTTATGACCATTTTTTTCACACTTACGACCACGGCAGTATCCCCATGACCACGTGATTAAAATTCAGACACTTGGCAACTGGCTCCTGTTTATGACGGATGCAGTGTCCCTGGGTCACACAATCCCCTTCTGCAACCTTCAAGGTCAACGGGAAAGCCAGATTCACTTAACAAACGGCGTCACTAAGTTAACTTTTGTAGCGATTCACTTTTCAACTGTGGCAAGAAATGTTGTAAAATGAGACAAAACTCACTCAGCACGTTTCTCACTTAGCAACATACAATCTGGGCCCAATTGTGGTCGTTAAGTCGAGGGCTACACATGTACTGTGTCTTAAGAGGGACCTTTCAGGAGTCCTGCCAGTGGTTATGGTAGTCGTGGTGCCAGGAAAGGGTTAAAGGGGGGGGAGAGAAGAGCAGGAGGGACACCAGACAATGCCAGAATCCTACCTTGAGCTTCCTTGCTAGGTATCGCCAGGTGAAGGACTCCCAGGAGAAAATTGACCAATTCTGGGACAAATCTTTGAGACAGGGATGTGTAGTCCAGGTAGAGACAGCAGACAAACAGTCCTTTCACAACGTCTTGTTCCGTTCTTACGGCGCACTAGAAAAAGAGCCAGAATAGAAAACTTAAGGGACGTCTAAACTCCAAGATGCAAGGCGATCCAACCGGTCGGTCCTAGAGGAGATCAACCCTGACTGCTCTTTAGAAGGCCAGATCCTGAAGAGGAAACTCAAAGACTTTGGCCACCTAAGGAGAAGGAAGGACTCCCTGGAGAAGAGCCGAATGCTGGGAACGATGGAGGGCAAAAGAAGAAGAAGGGGACGGCAGAGAACGAGGTGGCCAGATGGAGTCACTGAAGAAGTTGGCGTGAGCTTCAATGGACTCCAGAGGATGGTAGAGGACAGGAAGGCCTGGAGGAACGTTGTCCATGGGGTCGCGATGGGTCGGACACGACTTCGCAACTAACAACAGCAAAACTCCAAGAGTTTGAATTTACACCAGAATTCCTAATGGCTACTCAGCCCAGGGCGTCCCATGTAGCAGGACAGCTGAGGGACAGCTGGTTGCAAAACCCCGCCCTTCCCCCACCTTGAGGCTAGGTGTGCCACACTGAAGACAGGTGAAGGAGACAAGGCAGGTATACATAAATCTAAGCCCAATGCCAAGGGCTGAATTTTGACGTCTCTTAAAATTTGTTTGACTTGGGCTTCGCATGCGTGACCGTTGATGGGTTTTTATTCTTTGCCGATAGTGCTTTTAAAATTGGGTTGTTAGCTGCCCCCAAAATCGCATTTGTGACATTGGCAGCTCCACAAATTCATTTAATTAGTCAATAAACACATTGGAAAAAAGGGAGGATTAGATGAGTAACCTAAAAGGTACCACCTGGCTGAGGCCTAAAATCAAATGAAATCCTTGTTAGGGTTTGCCAAATGAAAGTATTAATGAATGTTGTTTCATTTTCATCTTCATTTATCTATTGGCTCTGCAACCCAACAACACAGACAGAGACTTCAGAGGATCATTAGAACTGCAAAAAAAAACAAACCATGGCTACCAACCTGCCTTCCATGGAGGACCTGTATACTGCACGAGTCAAAAAGAGGGCTGGGAAAATATCTACAGACCCCTCACATCCTGGACATAAACTCTTTCAACTCCTACCCCCAAAACAACATTATAGAGCACTGCACACCAGAACAACTAGACACAAGGACAGTTTTTTCCCGAACGCCATCGCTCTGCTAAACAAATAATTCCCTCAACACTGTCAAACTATTCACTAAGTCTGCACTACTATTAATCTTCTCATCGTTCCCACCTCCCATCTCCTTCCACTTATGACTGTATGACTTTGTTGCTTGTATACTTACGATTTATATTGATAGTTTCCTGATTGCTTATTTGTACCCTACGACTATCATTAAGTGTTGTAATTTACGATTCTTGACAAATGTATCTTTTCTTTTATGTACACTGAGAGCGTATGCACCAAGACAAATTCCTTGTGTGTCCAATCACACTTGGCCAATAAAAAAAAAAAAAATCTAAATTCTAATTCTAATTAAGCAAATGTTTTTTGTTAGGAAAAATGGTGAAAAAAAGAACCTACCTTTGTAAGTAGTTGGCTCATGTAAATCAAGGACGGTGTTACCACCGGGTGCCAGAAATCAGAAGTTGGAAAAAGAACGGTAATAATTTTCAAATACAGGAGCTGAAAAATATAAAGATTGTGCATTATTAATGTAATTCCTTCTGTGTTTAAAATAAAGTTAGGGTTTACTTTTGTGGCATCTGTTGCTCTGGTCTCATTGGAAGAAAAGAGCACAGATCAATGCTGTGCAGGTAGTCCTCAACTTACGACTTACAATGGAGCCCAGGATTTATGTTGCTAAATGAGAAATTTGTTCAATGAGTTCCCCGCCCCCATTTTTACGATGTTTTGTCAAGGGAATCACTGCAGAAGTTAAATCAGTCACCCAGTTGTTAAGTGAGTCCGGCTTCCCCATTGATTTTGCTCTTCCTGTTTAATACAGGATTGGGATACTCGGGCAACGCCAGGTTATCAGCTAGTATAATATATAAATATCTATATCTATATATACCATGTCCAACTCAGGGAATGTTAGCAGAGCGTTTCTTTCTGCGATCTCTTCCATGCTGTGTGTGGCCTCTTGAAGGAGGAGCTTCATATGATCGCCGGCTGCTTTAGGAAACATCTGGCAAAGCTCATAGAGGACTCTGTGAATCCGGAGATGATAAAAGTCAAGAGTCGGAATTACATTTATTTATTTTTTAAAATACGTTTATTTATTTATTTTTAAGTTTTTTATTTTTTAGACAAACAAACATTTAATACATCAGTTTTCTCTTCCCTGTGACATCTCGGTGTTATTGTCCAAACTTCTTTCTTTTTCTGTATAGTTGTCATTACTTCTATCTTGATCCTTATCCAGTCCACAATATTAATTCATGATTAATTAATTAATTCAACTCATCACATATTTCTACATACTTATATAATTAATCATTTATATCTCTTCCCCAACCAATAATAAAAATCATTCCATATTTTAAAATATTCTGAGTCTTCTCTATCTTTAATCATCAAAGTTAATCTATTCATTTCTGCACAATCTTAAGGTTTTTTTTATTACTACTTCTTCCAAAGGTATTTTCTCCGCTTTACGTTTTATTTTTTTTAAAGGCAGCATCTTCTGGGGCAAAAATGATCTGAAGTCGAGATGCAGCTGCGCACGTAGGTTCTGACTCCAGAAACGGATGTTTGCCCAGCACCAAATCGATCGGCTTTTAAATCAAGATATTAAGAACGAGCTCTGGATAAATTCAGACGTCGGAAATTGCTTCTCAGTAAAATGCGTCACCTAAGAATCCTTATTAGTGTCAACAAGCCTTATTAAGATTGGGATCTGGAGGGTGGAGGGAAAAGGCTTCCCTTGAAGATCAGAGGGAGCCAAGAAATATTTGGAATAGGATTCACATCTTAATACAGAAGAATCTCAAAGTGACTATAAAGATAACGCCAGATGTTTTTCTTTTGGGTTTAAGGGATAAAAAACAACAATTTGGGACTTTGATGTTATGTGTATTGATGGCGTTGCCCTCCCCCAACACACCATTGACCTTATCTCAACAACAGCAGTGACACAACTGATATTGACTGCTGCATGGGTTGGGCCGGAGGAATTCTGAAAAAAGCAACACAATCACAACCTCAAGCAGCCCAGTTGCAGCACTTGGAAGATGCTGATTAAAAGGAATAAATTCCAATTTGGCTGCAAAACTCTTGCATATTTTGCGTTCAGCTTGGCCCAATCCAGCAGCTGAAATCCCTATGTGTCAGGTGCCGTACTCACATGATCAGCTCGTCAATGGATTTCAGTTTTGGCGGCTCCTCGCGAGCCAGCTCGCCAACGTACTCCACAAGGAACGCGAATAGTTTCTGTGGAATATAATTTTTAATATTATTAATAAATGGAGTCTCCAATCACTGCATTTGTTTCATTCAACACCAAACGCCCTCCAGCTCTTTGATTATTACGCCTGACGGCAAAAACTCACTTCTAACTTGGCTTTGTTCCCTACGGCGAGACTGGGATGGTTCGTCTTCCGAATTCTCTGTACGATGTCCATTTGTTCTACTGTGGTTCTTCCCAACAGTAAAGACTGAAGCTGCTCGTACGATTCAGGCGCTATTCAAACCATGAAAAATATTGGGGGAACTTGAGAAGTTATTTCAGAAAGTAAGTTCAAAATGGTCATCCAGGTAAAACAAGGAACAAACGATAACTTGAATGCTATGAGAAATACTAACGGAAAAGCAGTTCCGTTTCTATCACTACATGGCAGACGAAACATTGTTCTTTGTATATTTAGGTGAATGATCGTTATCTACAACAGAGATCTCCAAAACCTTTTAAGACTTGTGGACTTCAATTCCCAGAATACCTCCTTCCCAGGTTGGTAAAATGAGGACCCAGACTGTTGGGGGGGCAAAAGGCTGACTCTGTAAACCGCTTGGAGTGGCTGTAAATCACTGGGAAGCGGAATATAAGTCTAAGTGCTATGGCTATTCCTTCCTTCCTTCCTTCCTTTCCTTCCTTTCCTTCCTTCCTTCCTTCCTTCCTTCCTTCCTTCCTTCCTTCCTTCCTTCCTTCCTTCCCAGTGCTTAGAATGCAGTATTGCAGGCTAACTCTGCCGACTGCCAGTAGTTTGATCCTGACGGGCTCCAGGTTGACTCAGCCTTCCATCCTTCCAAGGTCAGCAAAATGAGGACCCAGATTGTTGGGGGCAAGAGGCTGACTCTGTAAATCATTTAGAGAGGGCTGTGAGGCACTGTGAAGCAGGATATAAGTCTAAGTGCTATTGCTATTATCCTTCCTTCCTTCCTTCCTTCCTTTCCCTTCCCTTCCCTTCCCTTCCTAGTGGTTAGATTGCAGTATTGCAGGCTAACTCTGCCCACTGCCAGCAGTTCAATCCTGACCGGCTCAAAGTTGACTCAGCCTTCCATCCTTCCGTGGGTAAAATGAGGACCCAGATTGTTGGGGGTCGAGGCTGAGTCTCTAAACTGCTTAGAGAAGGCTGTAATACACTGTGAAGTGGGATATAAGTGCTAAGGGCTATTGCTGTTTAAAAAACTCCGCACCTGCTGAGGCTGTCCAACCCAACCGATTGTGGCAGAATAGAAATAGAATAAGCAAGCAATACTGAACGATATTCAAGCTCGTGGGGAAACTTGTGGTTCTAGACGCTGCTCAACCTTTTGTTTTTTTTCCTGGACTGAGTTTAGGCTGAGAAGGTCTGTTGGCCTTTTTTGGGGGCTGCTGTTCCTCTCCCGAGTTTTAAGGTTGTGATTTCACAATTCGCTTTATTATTATTATCTGTAGAGTTGTGAATTTGACATTCCCAGAGGCTTCTGATCAGGGCAGCAAAAATAAAATGATCGGGTTTTGTTTTGTTTTGTTATTTTTCTTACCAGCAAACAAATACGGCAACTCCAGCTGAGCAGCCTCTTTATCTCTGAGGGCGTTTGGCTTCTTGACTGTCTTTTGGCTTTTTGGAAACCTCTTTCCCGGGACCGTCTCTTTGTTGGCGTCACCTTCGGAGGGATCGTTAACGCTTTCGGTGTCAGACTCTTCTTCGCTTTCTTGATTCTCACTGTCCTCCTCTCCATCTTCATCATGCTTGTCATTCTGTGAAGCAACAGAGATCGATTAGATAGCCTGGGCTTTAAAACAAGATCCATGACTAATCAAGGAAACAACTTTGCTCTAATCTGGTGGGATCCTAGACACGCCTAGCCAGCGAGGGGCAGATAGATATGACCCACTAGAGCAGGGATGTTATTTGCCCTCCCCAGGCTCCAGAGGCTTTCTAGGAGCCTGGGGAGGGCGAAAACAGCCTCCCCCACCTCCCCAAAGGCTGGAAATGGCCGGTTCCCGACTTCCGGTGGGCCTGGTAAGCCCATTTTCCCCCCTCCCCAGGTGCCAAAGGCTTTCTTGGAGCCTGGGGAAGGCGAAAACGGCCTCCCCACTCCCCTGGAGGCCCCCCCGGAGGGCAGAAACAGCTCATCTCCCAACTTCCGGTTGGCTTGTTTTTTGCCCTCCCCAGGCGCCAGAGGCTTTCTTGGAGCTTGGGGAGGGTGAAAACTGCCTCCCCCACCTGCACAGAGGCCGGAAACGACCTCCCAGAGCCTCCACGTGAGCCCTGTACTTACCTGGCATCCAAAATGGGTCGTATGGAGACTCCTGGGGGGGGGGCAGCGTAGGCAGGTCCAGCTGAAAATCAGCTGGCCGCACACACGCTTGCGTGCTGGAGCTGAGCTAGGGCAACGTTCACATGCCCACAGATACGGCTCTGTGTGCAACCTGTGACACCTGTGCCATAGGTTCACCACCACGGCACTAGAGTCACAGTGCCCAATCTTTTTTGCACCAGGGACCGGTTTCATGGGAAAATAATTTTTCCACGGACTGGGGAGGGGGTGGGGGAGGAATGGTTTTGCGTACAAAGGTGATCCTGCGCATGTGGAGGTAAAGCTTCACTTGCTCACCCACCAGATGTGCGGCCCAGTTCCTAACAGACCAGGGACCAGAACTGGTCCGTGAATCAGGGATTTGAGAGCTTCAGATTGGAGTTCCAGATTAAGAGCAGCCTCCAGATTAATTGCAATAGCACTTAGACTTATATACCGCTTCACTCTCTAAGTGGTTTACAAAGTCAGCTTCTTGCCCCCAACAATCCGGGTTCTCATTTTCCCAAACTTGGAAGTATGGAAGGCTTAGTTAACGTTGAGCCAGTCAGGATTGAACTGCTGGCAGTCAGCAGAGTTAGCCTGCAATACTGCATTCTAATCACTGGGAAGGAAGGAAGGAAGGAAGGAGGAAGGGAGGGAGGGAGGAAGGAATAGTAATAGCACTTAGAGTTATATCCCGCTTTACAGTGCTTTACAACCTCTCTAAGCAGTTTATAGAGTCAGCCTCTTGCCCCCAACAATCTGGGTTCTCATTTTACTGTCCTCGGAAGGACAGAAGACTGAGTCAACCTTGAGCCGGTCAGGATCGAACTGCTGGCAGCGAGCAGAATTAGCCTGCAGTACTGCATTTTAATCATTTCGCCAAAATGGCTCTTGCCATTAAACTGGGCCTCTGCAATTTGCCATGATCATTCGGGGATGGGCACAATATTTTGCGTCAGGGAAGCTGTGAGTTCGATTCTAGGTAGAGGCAGATATTTCTCTCTCTGGGCACAGTGAGAATATATCTGCCGAACAAAACTCCACCAACTTCACATTGGTGAAAGGAAGGGCATCCAGCCAGTAAACACTCAGCTCCATTCAGTTGCCCAGACTCCACCCCACAAGAGATTATGGGGTCGGTTAAAAAAAAGAAGAAGAGGATCTTAAAAGGATGAAAGGCATACACCGTAGGACAGCAAAGGTCGGTCGTCTTTGGTCAGGAGAAACCCGTCTGCCAAATCGTCAGCCGATAGGTGCTTCGGTTTCTTGCTGCTCTCCTTTTGTTCCTCTCCTTTCATTCGACGTAAGCGGTCAGCCTGCATGGGAAGGAGATCCCGGGACATCCAGTCAGCCCTCCTAAGTGGCCAGATGACAACAGCCCCCCTGATAAGAGCCACGAGGAAGACACCTCAGGTGCTGGCCACCTGAAAAATCCCTTGAAAACATAAATGCTACAAATGCTCTTTTTAGGTACGCTACCTCTTTATTCCCAACATGGATCTCTACCAAATACACTACAACACTGTGAGGATTTTAACTGTAGCATAATTCAGTTAGGGGAGAAAAAAGTGGGGGTCTTTCCCCCCATAGTTTTCCATTTTTTAAAAATCCTGCTTTTTAGCCAAATCCCAGTTTGGGTTTCATTTCTGTTACTTGGGTTCAATATGAATACATTAAATTTGAGTCAGCAGATCTCAATGGAAGAGGGGTGGATCCAGAATGGGGGATGAAATCCTAGGCCAGGGGGTCTCCAAACTTGGCAACTTTAAGACTTGTGGACTTCAACTCCCAGAATTCCTCAGCCAGCTTTGCTAAGACTCCACAAGTCTTAAAGTTGCCAAGTTTGGAGACCCCTGTCCTAGGCAGCTAAACCGCTTACCCCATTCTGTAACGTAAAGGGGTCAATCAGAGTAACTCAATGCCTAGAGAAGAGCTAGTTTTCAAGACTCCTTGGAAGCCAGATAACACGGTCCTCTTGCCTGCAAAGTAACACAAGACTGCCAAAGGCAGCTGTGGTTGTAGAACAAGTTTTAGCTGTTCTCAGCCTAACAAAAAAGTAATGAGTACCCTGATTTTTCCTTTGATGAACAGGACAATCCTGCATTAGTAGTGCAGAACTAATCCTATACAGACAAAAATAAGCATAAACACAGTTGTTGAAAGCACGTCAAAGGTTAAGTAAACCACAAGTACATGTTATACCTCTAATTGCTGGAGTTTCTCTTGCTCTTCTCTTGCCAGTTCTTCTTCAGTTTTCATCCTATCTGAGGGCTGCGTCTTCATTTCGAATCCGAGCTCTCTAACCAGCACGTCGTATTCATCTGGCTGCAAAATTCAACAAAGGCGCAAATCATTTGTAGCTCTTGGGATGGCGGTGTGTCAAACGGAACGAGCTTTGGTGAGCAGAAAATCAAAATAAACGCTGCAATTCGTTCACTCAAGACATTTTATTCCACGTTAAACACAGTAAGTGTTTGATTCTAGCAATACGTTTAGTATTCCCCCCCCTTACGTCACTTTAGAGATCACATTATCTTTTTTGTAATGTGGTAACCAAAATTGGATGCAGCATTCCAGGTGGGGCCTTAACTAAGGACTTACAAAGTGGTACAAATATTTCACGTGATGTCGATTCTATGCTTCTATTTATAAAACCAAGGATTGTATTAGCTTTTTTGGGTGCTGCTGCACACGGCTGGCTCATGTTTAAGGGATCGTTCACTAGGACTCCAACAGTAACTCTCAGTGTTATTGTTTTTGAGCCGACAAAAAGAAACATCTCTTTTAATCTCTTTATAGTCGACAAAGAGAAACATCTCCAGATTACAAAACTCTCACAATACTAGACAACATGGTATCAACAGTAGAGACCTTCAAATTTCTAGGTTCTACCATATCTCACGACCTACAGCTAACATAAAAAACGTCATCAAAAAAGCACAACAAAGAATGTTCTTTCTGCGCCAACTCAGGAAGCTCAAACTGCCCAAGGAGCTGCTGATAACAGTTCTACAGAGGAATGATTGAGTCTGTCATCTGCACCTCCATAACTGTCTGGTTTGGCTCTGCAACCCAACAAGACAGAAAACAGAATTCAGAGGATAATTAGAACTGCAGAGAAAACCATGGCTACCAATCTGCCATCCATTGAGGACCTGTATTCTGCACAAGTCAAAAAGAGAGCTGGGAAAATATTTACAGACCCCTCGCATCCTGGACATAAACTGTTTCAACTGCTACCCTCAAAACAATGCTATAGAGCACTGCACACCAGAATAACTAGACACAAGGAGTTTTTCCCCAAATGCCATCACTCTGCTAAACAAATAATTCCCTCAACACTGTCAAACTATTCACTAAATCTGCATTGCTATTAATCTTCTCATTGTTCCCATCACTCATCTCCTTCCACTTATGACTGTATGACTGTAACCTTGTTGCTGGTATCCTTATGATTTATATTGATAGTTTCCTGATTGCTTATTTGTACCCTATGACTATCACTGAGTGTTGTACCTTATGATTCTTGATGAACATATCTTTTCTTTTACGTACACTGAGAGCTTCTGCACCAAAGACAAATTCCTTGTCCAATGAAATTCCTTAACCAATGAAGAATTCTATTCTATTCTATTCTATTCTATTCTATTCTATTCTATTCTATTCTATTCTATTCTATTCTTAGATATTCCCCAAATAATTAGGAAACAGAAAGTGGAGCACAAGATAGTATCGTTACCTAGATTAGAAATGACTCATGTGTATACTTTGACATAAACAAACGTAACAATTGTACTAAGAACCCAAGGTTGTTTTATAAAACAGAACAACTTCTAAGAGTCTTTCCACAGGGAAGTTCCTTGTCGCTGAAGACGGTGGAGAAATGACTCAGTTTTTCCAGGACAGCTAGCAAAAAGCACAGCTACTCACAGATAAACAAGCCTACCTTGGGTTTTTCTTGAACTTGACTTTGTGTCTCTGACTTGGAAGTCCTCTGTACCAAGAGCGTTTGGATCTCTCTCCAATCGTTGTTAAGCTTTTCTGTAAGTTCCAGAGTATTTTCCCGCTGAGCCTGTCGCTCTTTCTTTAAAAAAGAAAAAGGTGGGGTGGGGGGAAGGATAATCATATTACTGCTATCCTGTACAATAGGTGCCTAATCTGAATGCTCTTTTTTGTATTTGAACAAGAAGTGAAAGTACAGAATTCAAAAGGAAAGCAAACAATTACAAACACGTATGCAAATAAATTACATCTATAATATTTCACCCCAAAAGCCTGCTAGAAATCAACGCGCCCTAAGAAACCGATTCAAGACTTAGGGGCAACTGTAGCTAAGGATGGAATTTACATCCATTTTTTTAAAAAAATTATTTTTATATGCCGCCCTTCTCCAGAGACTCAGGGCGGCTTACAATTTCTTTTGTTCCGTCAAAACATATGCCTTAGAAAATACCGACAGCAAACAGCACGATTCAGTTTCTTCTGACAGATTAAGAGAATTTCTAAAGCCTTAGTTGAGCAATGCATTCTGTGAAATTAAAAAAAGAATAGTTGAGTTTGGTTTACATATATTTGTGCATTGCTTACTCCACCATAGTACTCAAGTTGAAGAGTATTGGTTTAAAGAGCCTGGTGGCACAGCAGACTAAAGCACTGTTATTAACATTCAGCTGCCTGCAATTATTGCAAAGTTCGAACCTCCCCAGGCTCAAGGTTGACTCAGCCTTCCATCCTTTCTAAGGTAGGTGAAATGAGGACCCAGTTTGTGGGGGCAATAAGCTGACTTTGTATAAATATACAAAAGTATGAAGGCTATTGCTTAACGCATTGTAAGCCGCCCTGAGTCTCCGGAGAAGGGCGGCATATAAATCAAATTAAAAAAAAAAAAAGTGATATGACTATAATTTTATTGTATTAGAGCCTCCATTTTACCTTCCCCCCCCCATTTATATTATCCTTTTTATTAGTTTATAATATAAAATGCAAAAATGCAATTAATAGGAAAAATAGAGAAAGGGAAAAAGAAAGAAAAGGCATTGATTTCTGACTCCCTTTGATGAAGCAGAATAAGATATCAACCTTCAACTTTTTACTTTGATATTAAGACCTTCCTTGACAGTGCTGGAGAATACATGTCAAAGTAGCTACTGCGCGTAATCATTATACCTTTCAGTTTTATAGAAGAAGAACATCAGAGCATTTCAAGTTTAGGATAGTTTACCTTTTCCAATTTGGATTTTGCTATCAGCTCTTCAACAAGTTCCTTCCGTGACTTGGGATTTTGACTTTCTCCGTTCTGCTGCTCTGTGGGTTTTTTCTTAGAAAGGAGTCCTCCAAAATGAGATGCGGTTAATTCCTCTGGAAATGCAAGATTTATGAATTGATCAGGATGTAAATAAATCCCGAGAACTCAGCACATTCATATCCCTAATGTTGCTTTAGCATTGTTAATAATTTACCGGAGCAAAAATTGAAGGAGAGCGTGACTAAGCATGAGGGAGAGCAGAACTGGGAAGATCCACCTCAAATGACATTGATTACTGAAAGTTTTGAAAGTATCAAATTTATAAATGAAACAGAATTCTAATAGGTTGCATCCCATATGTTATTCTTTTGTAACTACTTCTACTGGCACTTCGAAATTTCATTTACAATATACAAGAGTTGTTAGAGGTCTTATTAAATCACAGTTGCATGTTATAAAGAATGTACAATCCACTCCAATTATTTTTTCCCCACCTGATAACATTCCTTTTTCTTCCGTATCGCTGTCACTATCAACAATATCATTAAGTTTCTCGATGTCTGCTAGAGAATGGCCATAGTGAGTTAAGTCTTCTTCTTCATTGAGATTATATACGTTTTTCTTTTCAAACGTTTTCTGAAATACAACCAAACATATGAATGAGGGGTGTTTGTTAGACTGAAGGAATTCCTATCGATGAAGCTTCTGAGAAATTTATTTTCATTGCCGTTTTGAATTTCCTTGGCACTGGGGCTGCTGTTGGCAAGATAGGAGCTATGGCACACAGTCGTGGCTTAGAGAGGCCAATATGACCTTGATTTGGGGGTTCCTGGTGATGTTTTTATACCAGGAAATATTTCTTCCTGCTGGTTTCTGGATTGTAACAGTATAACAGAGATGGAAGGGAGCTTGGTGGAGTTCTAGTCCAACTCAGGCAGGAGACCCTATACCCGTGATGGCGAACCTATGGCACACGTGCCACCATGCCAGCTCAGCTCTGGCGCACATGTGCGTGCCGGCCAGCTGATTTTCGGGCTTTCTGGGCCCACCAGAAGTAGGGAAATAGGTTGTTTCCTGCCTCTGGAGGGCCTGGGGTGGGGGTGGGGTAGGGAAGGCCCGTTTTTCTTTCTCACCTGGCTCCAGATCCTCTCTATGCATCTATAGACTCCTAGAGAGGCTCTGGAGGCTGGGGACAGCAAAAACTGTCACTTCCTGTCCAACCGGGAGTTGGGAAATGGGCCGTTTCAGGCCTCCGAGGGGGTGGGGAAGGCTGTTTTCGCCCTCCTCAGATGCATAGAGGACTAGAAGACCTCCAAGGTCCCTCCCAACTCTGTTATTCTGCTCTTCTATAATTCTGCTTTCCTTCCACCCTTCCTTCCTTCCTTCCTTCCTTCCTTCCTTCCTTCCTTCCTTCCTTCCTATCTATCTATCTATCTATCTATCTATCTATCTATCTATCTATCTATCTATCTATCTAATTTCTCTCTCTCTCTCTATATATATATATATATGTATATATCTGTCACTGGACGTTTTTAAAGAAGAGACTGGACAGCCACGTGTCTGAAATGCCGTAGGGTCTCCTGCTTGAGCAGGGGGCTGGACTAGATGACCTCTGAGGTCCCTCCCAACTCTGTAATTCTGCTCTTCTATAATTCTGCTTTCCTTCCTTCCTTCCTATCTTCTACCTATCTCCCTACATCTACCTCCCTATCTATCCTCTATCTATCTGTCACTGGAGGTTTTTAAGAAAAGATTTGGACAGAGTTGGTCCCTTCCAACTCTGTTATTCTATTCTTCTATAATTCTGCTTTCTTTCTTTCCTTCCTTCCTATCTATCTATCTTCTACCTATCTACCTACATTTATATCTATCATCTACCTACCATCTATCTATCTATCTACCTACCTACCACATCCATCCATCAATATCTGTCTTTCTGTCTCTCTCTCTCTCTAATCTCTCTCTTTCTATCTATCCATCTCTCTCTCTCTCTTTCTTTATACGAGCCAGAAATAGATCTATATAAGTCTCTCACCTGGCTGCCAGAAAGAAAAAAGCCCAGAATCGAGTGGATGTGATTCTACTGAGCTAGGGCTGCAGAAAAACCTTGGTTAGGTAGGAAAAACCTGGCTAGAGGATTTGGACAGCCACGTCTCTGAAATGCCGTGGGGTCTCCTGCTTGAGCAGGGGGCTGGACTAGATGACCCCCGAGGTCCCTTCCGTGGTTCTTACCTGCCGCTCCAAGGCGAACCTCCGCTCGGCCTTCTCCTCGGCGCTCATCCCGCCATCGTACTCTCCGAAACGCCGGTCCCTGAAGACGCCGCTCTTCTCCCGCTGCTGGAACTCCTTCTGCAGGCTCCGCTGGCGCTGAGGGAAAAGGCGGGAGGGAGGTGAGGGGAGAGCCCGAACGCCCCGCATTCCCTCCCTCCTTCCCTCCCTCCGCTTACCTTCGCGTGGGCCCGGGAGCGCGCCACGCCCGGCAGCCCCACCGCGTGCCGAACCCGGCGGCCCAAGACGGGGAATTTCTCCCGGTTGACTTTCACCTCAAAGGGGTTCTTCGAGCAGGCCGCAGCCGGGCCTCGCCGCGCCATCTTGCTCCGTCGCGCTGGGTCGAAGCGGCGCCCGGTGATGACGTTGTAGGAGACTCCGCCCCCAAGGGGGTGTGGAGAGGGAGAGGGAGGCCCCGCCCCGCCCTCTGGAACGGCTTCCCTCGCGCGTCGGGGGGCGTGGCCGGGGGCGTGGCCGGCGGAGGACGCGCCCCGCCCACCCGCTCCTCCCACCTTCCCCCCCCCCCCGCGCTCTTGCCATGGCCGCCATGGAGAAGCTGATGCGGGCCTTCGAAGCGCTGCGCTCCTTCCAGCAGCAGCAGCTGCCGCCGCCGCCGCCCCAGCCCAGCCCCGCGCCCGAGGAGCCGCCCGCCCGCCCGTGAGTGGGGAGACCCCCAAACGGCCCCCCTCCCTCCCGCCCTTCAGGCCTGCCCGGGGGGGGCAACAAGTGGGGGGGGTCCCTGGAAGAGTCTCCCCCCCCGCCCCTTGGCTGCCTCTGGCCCGGGGGTCCTGGGTGGTCGTGGGGAGCCGGCCCCGCCTGTCCTTCATCGCCCCCCCAGGCAGGGCTAAGCCCCGAGGAGGGGGGGCAGACCCCCCCCAGTTTGCCCCCCAGAAGGAGGGGGCTCAGACCCCCCTGGCGGCCCCCCCCCGCAGGGCTAATTCCCTAGGAGACCCCCCAGCTGCCCCCCCCAGAAGAAGGGAATTTAGACCCCCCTGGCTGCCCTCTCTAGTCCCATAAGAGTGGGGCTCAGACCCCTCCCCCGCTGCCTCCCCAGGCAGGGCTAATTCCCTAGGAGACCCCCTAGCTGCCCCCCCCAGAAGGAGGGGGCTCAGACCGCCCTGGCTGCCCTCCCTACAGGGCTAATTCTATAAGAGGGGGGCTTAGACCCCCCTGGCTTTCCACCCCCCTGGGCAGGGCTAATCCCCTAGGAGGAGGGGGCTCAGACCCCCCAGAAGGAGGGGGCTCAGACCCCCCTAGCTGCCCCCCCCCCGCAGAGCTAATCCTCTAGGAGGAGAGGGGTTCAGACCCCCTGGCTTCCCCCCCCAGGCACGGCTAATCCCCCAGGAGGAGGGGGGCTCAGACCCCCCCAACTGTCCCCCCAGAAGGAGGGGGGCTTAGACCCCCCTGGTTGCCCTTCCTACGGGGCTAATCCCATAAGAGGGGGGGCTCAGACCTCCCCCCGCGCTGCCTCCCCAGGCAGGGCTAATTCCCTAGGAGGGGGGACAGACCCCTCCGACCTCCCCTCCTCCGCCAGTGCTAATCCCCTAGGATGGGGGGGCTCAGACCCCCCCCATGACTTCCCCCCCAGGCAGGGCTAATCCCCTAGGAGAGGGGCTCAGACCCCCCCTGACTGCACACACACCCCTTCTCCCAAGGCAGGGCCTTTTCCCTTGAGTTGGAGGTTGGATGACGTCTCCAAAGCCCGTGAGCTCCTTGATGTGGAAGAGTAATGATTGACAGTCAGACCAAAAGAGAAGGGCTTCGTTGGGGGAAATAAGTATGGGGTTGCCTTCCTTTTAAGGATCAGACGAGCAGGTTTGGCCTCCTCCTGGATGGCGTTCTGAAGACCTACGGCAGACCACTTGCCCTGATGGTCCTTCATCAGCCACGGTGGACAAATTCTCTTTTTCCACCCAAGTGAATGCGCTAACTAGTCCTGTACCTCCAAGGCATCCGTGGTTAGAGAAATGACATTAGGGGCTGGAATATCATGCAGGCCAGGAACTCTGGAATATCCGGGAGAACGGTGGGAGAGTGTTAACCCTGTAACAAGCTATGTTGGATCAGTGGAATTTGTGGATCCGAATCGTGGCTAGTTCAGGAGATGCCGGATCAGGGACGGTGATTGACCAAGTGGGCAAGCCAGCAAAAATGATCCCCCTTTAATCTCCTGCTATCAGGAGCTATTGATAAATGTAGAAATGTTATTTCTAAGCTAAATTCCAGTTTATTTCTTAGCTAAATAAGCTAAGGGCCGTGGTGGCACAGTGGCTAAGATGCTGAGCTTGTCGATCAAAAGGTCGGCAGTTCGGTGGTTCGAATCCCTCATGCCACGTAACGGGGTGAGCTCCCGTGACTTGTCCCAGCTTCTGCCAACCTAGCAGTTCGAAAGCAGGTAAAAAATGCGAGTAGAAAAATAGGGACCACCTTTGGTGGGAAGGGAACAGTGTTCCATGCGCCTTTGGCGTTGAGTCACGCCGGCCACGTGACCACGGAGACGTCTTCGGACAGCGCTGGCTCTTCGGCTTTGAAACGGAGATGAGCACCGCCCCCTAGAGTCAGGAACAACCAGCACACATGTGCGAGGGGAACCTTTACCTAAGCTAAATTCAATTTTATGCAACTATTTGAAAGAAAGGATTAAACTCTTGCTAATTTCAGATTTTCACAAGGTCCCGTATTGATTGGTATGGGCAAGGTTTGCATATCGGCAGCTCCAGACTGGGCCGTGGTGATGCACTTTGGGACATCAACGGCTGTTTTTCGTTTCTGAGTGGGCTGGAGCAATTCCCAAAGCTCCATTCTTGCTCCAGGCAGTTGCCAAAAGCAGGCTGGCAGTGGGTTTATGGATGGAAAACAAAGAATGTGATAATGCGGGGCCTAATTTAATGGTTTGTGTGTCTTTATTTTAGAAAGAAGGAACTGTCCACCTCCAAGAAAGACCGAGTCAATCATTGCCTAACAATATGTGAAAACATCGTGGCTCAGAGTTTAAGGTAATCAAAGGTTTTCTGAACACTGTGGCTGAAAACAGCGGGGGTTTAAAAAAAGATACGCTTCAGGTAGTCCTCGACTTAGAACAGTTTGTTTGGTGACTGCTCAAAGTTACGACTTATGACCATTTTTCACAGTTACGACCTTTTGCAGCGTCCCCAAGGTCACAGGATCAAAATTCAGATGTTTTCTTGGCAACTGACTCGTATTTATGACGGTTTCACATGACTGTAAAACATGCATTTCTTGAGCTGCTGGTGATTAACGCTACGTGTCCCTCTCGTGGCTTCGGAGAAAATCCTGGCTAGGGAGCGGGGCATCACCCCTTGCGAATGGGGTTAGTCCGAAGAGGGGAACTGTGCAACTTACTAGACTGAACCTTCCTTTTCCCTTCCGGGCTCCAAACGGAACAAGATCATAGCTTGTTCGCACCATTTTGCCATTGAAACTGTGTGAGCCAATGAGGTGGCCCCATTTTGCCATTGAAACTGTGTGAGCCAATGAGGTGGCCCCATTTTGCCATTGAAACTGTGAGCCAGTGAGGCCATTGAAACTGTGTGAGCCAATGTGGCGGCCCCATTTTTGCCATTGAAACTGTGTGAGCCAATGAGGCGGCCCCATTTTTGCCATTGAAACTCTGTGAGCCAATGAGGCGGCCCCATTTTTGCCATTGAAACTGTGTGAGCCAATGAGGCGGCCCCATTTTGCCATTGAAACTGTGAGCCAGTGAGGCCATTGAAACTGTGTGAGCCAATGAGGCGGCCCCATTTTTGCCATTGAAACTGTGTGAGCCAATGAGGCGGCCCCATTTTGCCATTGAAACTGTGAGCCAATGAGGCAGCCCCATTTTTGCCATTGAAACTCTGTGAGCCAGTGAGGCCATTGAAACTGTGTGAGCCAATGAGGCGGCCCCATTTTTGCCATTGAAACTCTGTGAGCCAATGAGGAGGCCCTATTTTTGCCATTGAAACTGTGTGAGCCAATGAGGCGGCCCCATTTTGCCATTGAAACTGTGTGAGCCAATGAGGCGGCCCCATTTTGCCATTGAAACTGTGTGAGCCAATGAGGCTGGGTTTGTTTCCTAACTGGATGCAACATCTTCATTTCAGAAATTCTCCAGAATTCCCCAAGCTGTTGGGGATCGCCATGGAACTCTTCCTCCTCTGTAGCGATGACGCGGAGTCCGATGTCAGGATGGTCTCCGATGAATGTCTCAATAAAGTGATAAAAGTAAGTGGTTTGCTTCTTTTTTAAGGGCCTAGAAATACGTATTAAATTCAGAAAAAACAGAGGGCTGAAAAAACAGTCACTAAACGTACTGTTGTAAATAGAGCCAGGGGGTGAAATGCTACCGGGTCAGTCCGGTTCGCCCGAACCAGTAGTAAAAAAAATGTAAAAAAGTTCCGACGATCAGCTGGGCGACGCGTGATCGTCAGAACTTTATTTATTTTTTACTTTTTAAACATTTTTAACTACTGGTTCTCTGGAAAGTAAACTTTAAAATGAAAAAAAAAAAAAGTTCCCACGATTGCGCTATTCTTGTCGGGGGTAGATGCCACTTGTAAACTCATCACATATTTTTGAAGTTTAGATTCTTGGGAGTCTACTGCAAGGAGAGGTATGCTAATAGGTCATGGCTGGCAGAGGAATTCTGGGAGTTGAAGTCCACAAGTCTGGAGTTGCCAAGACATATACCTCTGCCATAGACATTCTTTCGATTCCTTGTAGTAATTTTTTATTGCTATTAAATAAACAATAGAGATAAGAAATAAGCCCTCTCTATGCTTTCCTATTCAGGGGCCAAAAACCCATTGTAATAAATAAATCTGCTAATTTAGGACATGATGTTGGAATGATGCATGCATTGTTAATACCTACACTCAATTCCATTCTAGGCCTTGATGGATTCCAGTCTTCCTAGATTACAATTGGAACTCTACAAAGAGATTAAAAAAGTGAGTTCTTTTTGACACAAAATTGCATGCATAGAGTTTTGTTCGCACGTATAGAGTTTTGCACAGGAATTTGGGATCGTAACTCGTTGCCAGGTTAAGCCATGAGCAACGAACACTTCCTTTGAGGGGAGAGGATTTGGGCGGGGGGCGCGATGGGATGGCTGCAAGTTGCAGGCTGGTAGACTGGTTGAGGAAATCTGGGAGTTGAACTCCGTACATCTTAACAGGGGCCAAAGTTGAGAGATGGCTGTCTTAGAACGGCGGTTTCTGAAACATTTTGGTCTTAGGACTGTGTTACCTTCTTTAAAAAGACTCACACCCCCCCGAAGAGCTTTGCTTTAGGTGGGTCGTATCTATCAATATTTGATGCATTAAAAATCAAAACAGAGAATTTGTAAAAGTATTCATTTGACGTCACGGAATCCCCTAAAACAGGGTCTGCGGGCCACATGTGGCCCATGGGGTGTTTAGATCTGGCCCGTGGGCCCACCCTGGAAACAGCAAAGGACTGGCCCGTGGTGCCTCCGCCAGTGAAAATGGAGCTCGGGAGGGCAACGCGCAGTCTTCCTGGGCTCCATTTTGGGCCGTGACGGCCACCTGCAACCCTCTGCCAGAGTAAACAGAGGTCGGGGAGGCTGTGTGCGGCCCGCCTGGGCTCTGTTTTTGGCCGCGATGGCCTCCTGCAGCCTTCTGCCAGTGAAAACGGAGCCGGGGCGGGCTGCAAGCAATCCTCCCGGGCTCTGTTTTCACTGGCAGAGGGCTGCAGGTGGCCATCGTGAACACCTTGCCCTAAAAGGATCTTGACTCAGACCCTAAATCACGCTTTGACAACCATTGATTTAGAGTTTTCAAGAAGAATATTTGTGTTTTTGAAATCTGGTTGCATTGCATTGCCTCCAGCTCCAATATAGACCCACGAAAATCACTTTGCCATAGGTTTATTTTGTCCCAGAGTCTCCAGAGTCACACAGCAGAGAGGCAGAGGAACAGGAGGAGCCTGTTCCCAGTACGTACATGCACAGGGCTGCCAGAAGGCAAGAGCAGCTAAAGCAAAAAGGACGACTCGGGAGTAAGGCCAGGAGATGATTGGCCCCTCCCATAAGGCTTAAAAGAGCAGCAAAGGCTCGTGGGCTCTTTGTAGGAAAGCAACGTTGCTAAATCTGTTTCCAGTCAGCGTCTCTTGTTTCTGAACTTCGTGGGGCTTTGCCAAGAAAGGCCTTTGGCAGGGTGCCAAAGAAGTCAAAGGTTTGTGATAAGGCCGAAGGACTTTTTCTGAAGGACTTGTTTTGGAATTAATTTGGACTAAGCTGGGAATGAACGTAATTCCCAGCTGTTATAACAAAATAGGTTTGTTTAAGACTAAATTGTGTCTTATAATGACTAAGTGAGCTTAGGTCACAACACTGACAGGTGAGTCTCTCTTGTCCATTGCGTTTTGCAGAACGGTGCTTCCCGGAGTTTGCGGGCTGCTCTGTGGAGATTTGCGGAGCTTGCACACCTTGTTAGACCTCAGAAATGCAGGTGAGATGGTCTCCTTGAGAACAAGAAGAGAGCTGGGGGATTCTGGGCCAGCAGCTTTGGGGTCCTGTTCTTTGGGGTGTTACCTGTATGTTCCTGGAGTTGGACTGTGACCTGGCTGGCTGGCTGGCTGGCTCCCATCTGCCTAGCCAGCTGTTGGCATGCTGTAAAACAACTTACCTGGCGTTTGATGTTAATAATTTGCCCCAGTATATAATAATCTTGCTGGTCCCTTTAATGGTCTTAGGGGACTGGAGGCTAAAACATATAAAGATTGGTTGCTGGAATTGGGTATATCTAGTTCAGGGGTCAGCAACCTGTGGCTCTGGAGCCGCATGTGGCTCTTTCACCCCTCTGCTGCAGCTCCCTGTCACTCAAAATATGCGTCATAACCGCCAATGTGCGACATCTGCCGGCACACGATTTATTGAGCTTTTCAACCCCCCGGTAGGCCAACCATGGATAAATCCAAGAAAAGGAAAGTTTCAGAAGAAAACAGAACATTTAATTCAACTACATATGCTAGTTTTGTGGCCGCTTAAGAAATAGTCAGGCACGGGAAGGGTTTTTGTGGCTCCCGGTGTTTTCTTTTCTGTGGGAAACGGGTCCAAATGGCTCTTTGAGTGTTTAAGGTTGCAGAGCCCCGGTCTAGTTTAATGAAAAGAAGGGGCCAGGGTTATAATAGCAGCATTCCAATATCTAAGGGGCTGCCACAAGGAAAAGAGGGGTCTGTCTATTCTCCAAAGCACCCGAGGGCAGGACAAGAAGCAACAGGTGGAAACTAATCAAGGAGTGAAGCAACCTGGAACTAAGGAGAAATTTCCTTACAATGAGAATAAGTGATCAGTGGAGTGACTTGCCTCCAGAAGTTGTGAATGCTCCAACACTGGAAGTTTTTAAGAAGATGTTGGATAACCATTTGTCTGAAGTGGTGTAGGGTTTCCTGACTTGAGCAGGGGGGTTGGACTAGAAGACCTCGAAGGTCCCTTCCAACTCTGTTATTCTGTTAAGTTAGGTCTGGAGGCAGGGCCCCCTTTCCTGTTTGCATTTTCTCCTGCACCCCTCCTGTACCAAGTCACGAAAAGGGAGTATCCCATCCCAAGCCTTTTGAGTGATTTTTTTTTCTCTTGCTGCAGGCCGTACTTTGTGAACCTCCTGCCCTGCTTAACCCGGGTCAGCCGGCGGCCCGAAGAATCCGTGCAAGAGACCCTGGCTGCGGCGATGCCCAAAATCATGGCAGCGTTTGGCAACTTCGCAAACGACAGCGACATCAAGGTAAAACATTATCGTAAGCTTTAACGCCACGCGTACAGACGGACAACACAGTGTTGGAAAAGAGAGTGACCGTTTTTGTCAGAGTTTGTTGCAAAAAATCAAATCCAGAACCACACACCGATAAACTGATTCAGCAGGATTCATTAACTTCTTTATATACAAGAATATATAATACCGACAGCAGAGAACAGTTCATTTCAGCTCAGATCAGCATACAAATTCAGACGCACTGATTTCAGTTTCGTTTCTCTGCCCGGACTCAGAAGCTGCAGACTAAGAAACGTCCTGGCTCCAGTCTGTCTCAGCTCCCAATTGGCTGACTTAGTTGCTATGCCTGTTCATTGGCTGACCTTGTTACCGTGTCTTCCCAGTCATGAATATACTGACAGTTTTGATGAGTCAGTCCGTGAGGGGCTGCACGACAACGAGTTCAGGGCTACTTGGCTGATTTAGTTCTATTAAAGCTTTTCCCAGCTTTGCCGAAGTTTCTGAATTAGGACCAGATTTTGGAGAGAAGCAGGCTGTTTGGGACACCAGATCCCGAGCAGCAGGCCGTCCCTGAATAAGTCCCTGAATAAGTGGGATCTTTCTTGTCTCATGCTTGGTTCCATAAGTGGTCCCACCACATAATGGCCTTTCTGGCTTCCCCATCTGAAAGTTCCTGGACTCTCCCTGTAAGAAGGAAGCTAGGAACGGGGGAAAGTCCTGGCTTTGGCACTAGGACAGTGGTGTCACCTGGAACGCAGGAGAAGGGGGCAGCAACTTGGTTCCTAGTGTTCTGTCCCCGTCTCACACACGCACACAGTCAGCCAGGGGTTAAATAAAACTGGCAGACAACAAATTCTTTTGATAAGAGGATTGGCAGCAACCCAGTAGCTGCTTGCCAAGAACTTTACTCATAGAGGGAGGGGTTGTTCCTCCACCAGATAAACCAAAACAATATACACACAGTCAAAGAATTGTCAAGTCCAGTCCGTATTAAATCCGAGGCAGATAATGTTGTTTCAGAGATACAGTGTGACTCGCTAGTAGTTTAGTTTTGTCCGTCACAGTCTCTGAATGGCCACCTCACCCCCTTTTATCCCCTGTGGGGTGTGGTCCAGTGACTCAGCCTAATCTCTGGCACGCCTCCTTTTCTGCTGCGTGCGCTTGTCTCTCTGACGCTGGCGTGGATCCAGCCAAGACTTATCTCTGTCACTGTCCGACTGCGAGGAGATACCTGGCTCCTGGCCAATCTCTTCTCCTTCGGGAGACACCTGAGGCATTGCCAGAGAGGAGCGTCCTGGAGAGGGAGGCCTGGCCAACTCCTCCTTCATGTTCGGAGCCTTCTCCCTCCGATAAGTCGGCCTTGGGGGTCGGAGTCATAACACCTAGCTGAAGTCGTGGCTGCAGAGGTGGGTTTGATATAATTTTACCGCCGGTTCGCCGCGCACCGAAAATGTGAGTGTGCGCACCCTCGCTTTCGCGCACGGCCTTCCGCGTGTGCACTTTGCTCGTGCGCGGCTTGCACACATGCGTGCAGCTTAGAAAACGTGGCTAAATAGGACGGCATAGCGCGTGGGCTAAATAAGACGGTATAGCGCCACTACCGAACCGGTCCGAACCAGCTGAATACAGCAGTGGGTTCCTCTTACCTTCGCTACCAGTTCGGAAACAGGAGCGCCCACGCGCGTTTTTGCTTTGCTCGCACGTGGCGCTTCTGCACATGCGCAGAGTGTCCGTGATGATGTCCAGGCAGGTGGGCGGAGCCTCCTGCCACCGCCACTACAGGTTTGTCAGAACTGGTAGAAACCCACTACTGGATGAATACCAAGACTGCATGGCTGCCTCTGCTTACTTTTGCTCCTGGTTTAAGGTGAACTTTTCAATTTTTTTTAAAAAAACTCCAGAATGAAGCCCATAAGGCAACGTTGGAGGCTGTCATAAAAGCAGCTAACCAAACTTTCAAGGCCCTCGGATGACGGATGAGATTGTCTTCCTCAATGTGTTATAGAGGCTATCCGGGGCTGAGGATACATTATTCGTCCTATTGGAAATGATAAGAAGCTTTATTTGAGGTTTTTTTTTAATGTCAGAGTAGCAGTAATGGTTTTGCTCTTTTTTTCTTTTAAACCTTGGCCTTGATTTCGTATTCTGTAGAGAGAGCGTGTCTGTCTACCCTTAACCAGACTTTGAAAAAGGAAACTCAGACGGCGCAGAAACATTTTGTTGATTTTCTTTTCACTTTAGGTTTTATTGAAAGCTTTCATAGGTAATCTTAACTCCAATTCTCCAACCATCCGTCGGACGGCGGCCGCAGCCACGGTGAGCATCTGTCAGCATTCACGAAGGACGCAATATTTTTACACTCGGTTGCTTCAAGTATTGCTAGGTAAGTGTCTTAATTTATCATCCTGCTTCATGTTTGCTGGATCTTTATTGCTCTCTCTCTCTCCTCTCTCTCTCTCTCTCTGTCTCTCTGCCTCTCTCTCTCTCTGTCTCTCTTTTTCTCTTTTCTCTCTCTGTCTCTGTTTCCTCTCTCTCCTTGTCTCTCTCTGTCTCTCTTTTCTCTTTGTCTCTCTTTCTCTCTGTGTGTGTCTGTCTGTCTCTCTTTCCTCTCTCCGTTTCTCTCTCTCTCTGTCTGTCTCTCTTTTTCTCTTTTCTCTGTCTCTGTCTCTCTGTTTCCTCTCTCTCCTTGTCTCTCTGTCTCTCTTTTCTCTTTCTCTCTCTCTCTCTCTCTCTCTCTGTGTGTGTGTGTGTCTGTCTCTGTCTTTCTCCTCTGTCCTCTCTGTCTCCTTTCCTCTCTCTGTCTCTCTTTTTCTCTTTTCTCTCTCTGTCTCTGTTTCCTCTCTCTCCTTGTCTCTCTCTGTCTCTCTTTTCTCTTTGTCTCTCTTTCTCTCTCTCTGTGTGTGTGTGTGTGTCTGTCTCTGTCTTTCTCCTCTGTCCTCTCTGTCTCCTTTCCTCTCTCTGTCTCTCTTTTTCTCTTTTCTCTCTCTGTCTCTGTTTCCTCTCTCTCCTTGTCTCTCTCTGTCTCTCTTTTCTCTTTGTCTCTCTTTCTCTCTGTGTGTGTCTGTCTGTCTCTCTTTCCTCTCTCCGTTTCTCTCTCTCTCTGTCTGTCTCTCTTTTTCTCTTTTCTCTGTCTCTGTCTCTCTGTTTCCTCTCTCTCCTTGTCTCTCTGTCTCTCTTTTCTCTTTCTCTCTCTCTCTCTCTCTCTCTCTCTGTGTGTGTGTGTCTGTCTCTGTCTTTCTCCTCTGTCCTCTCTGTCTCCTTTCCTCTCTCTGTCTCTCTTTTTCTCTTTTCTCTCTCTGTCTCTGTTTCCTCTCTCTCCTTGTCTCTCTCTGTCTCTCTTTTCTCTTTGTCTCTCTTTCTCTCTCTCTGTGTGTGTGTGTGTGTCTGTCTCTGTCTTTCTCCTCTGTCCTCTCTGTCTCCTTTCCTCTCTCTGTCTCTCTTTTTCTCTTTTCTCTCTCTGTCTCTGTTTCCTCTCTCTCCTTGTCTCTCTCTGTCTCTCTTTTCTCTTTGTCTCTCTTTCTCTCTGTGTGTGTCTGTCTGTCTCTCTTTCCTCTCTCCGTTTCTCTCTCTCTCTGTCTGTCTCTCTTTTTCTCTTTTCTCTGTCTCTGTCTCTCTGTTTCCTCTCTCTCCTTGTCTCTCTGTCTCTCTTTTCTCTTTCTCTCTCTCTCTCTCTCTCTCTGTGTGTGTGTGTGTGTCTGTCTCTGTCTTTCTCCTCTGTCCTCTCTGTCTCCTTTCCTCTCTCTGTCTCTCTTTTTCTCTTTTCTCTCTCTGTCTCTGTTTCCTCTCTCTCCTTGTCTCTCTCTGTCTCTCTTTTCTCTTTGTCTCTCTCTCTCTCTCTGTGTGTGTGTGTGTGTGTCTGTCTCTGTCTTTCTCCTCTGTCCTCTCTGTCTCCTTTCCTCTCTCTGTCTCTCTTTTTCTCTTTTCTCTCTCTGTCTCTGTTTCCTCTCTCTCCTTGTCTCTCTCTGTCTCTCTTTTCTCTTTGTCTCTCTTTCTCTCTGTGTGTGTCTGTCTGTCTCTCTTTCCTCTCTCCGTTTCTCTCTCTCTCTGTCTGTCTCTCTTTTTCTCTTTTCTCTGTCTCTGTCTCTCTGTTTCCTCTCTCTCCTTGTCTCTCTGTCTCTCTTTTCTCTTTCTCTCTCTCTCTCTCTCTCTCTGTGTGTGTGTGTGTGTCTGTCTCTGTCTTTCTCCTCTGTCCTCTCTGTCTCCTTTCCTCTCTCTGTCTCTCTTTTTTTTGTCTCTCTGTGTGTCTGTCTGTCTCTTTCTCTCCTCTCTCTCTCTCTCTTTCTCTCCTCTGTCTCTCTTTCTTTTCTCTTTGTCTCTCTGTCTCTCTCTTTTTCTCTCCTCTCTCTGTCTGTGTCTCTGTCTGTGTCTCTCTTTGTCTCTTTCTGTGTCTTTCTCTCTTCTCTTTGTCTCTCTCCCTGTTTCTTTTTCTCTCCTCTCTCTCTCTCTCTCTCTCTCTCTTTCTCTTCTTTCTGTCTCTCTCTCTTTTCTCTTTTTCTCTCTGTGTTTCTCTGCCTCTCTGTCTCTCTCTGTGTCTTTCTGTCTGTCTCTTTCTCTCCTCTCTCTGTCTCTCTCTTTTTCTCTCCTGTCTCTCTCTTTTTTTCTCCTGTCTCTGTCTCTCTTTCTCTGTGTGTGTGTCTCTCTCTGTCTCTCTCTCTTTTTCTCTCCTCTCTCTCTCTCTCTCTCACACACACACACACTTTCAACTATACCTCCCATTCTTTGCGTAAAGATGTATTTCTGAGGAAATACCTGCCATAAAACTGACTTTCTGGAGCCTTTTATGAGGTTGACAGATAATAACTCGAGCAAAGGCTAAGAAACAATGAAAGCCATGTAAATATTGGAGCCTTAAAACCACTGCAGAAGGTTGAAATTTGTGTCACTTTCAATTGAATACGTCAATTATTAACATTAGAAGACGTCCAAATGTCCTTTGTTGAAACGCTGATTTTTACAGTAGGGGAAATAGTTCTACCAATTCTTTAGCTAAACTTTAACATCTTAACCTCTGTTGCTATAACCCGAGAGCCAGCTTGGGGTGGCTGTTAAGGCACCTGGCTAGAAACAGGGAGACTGTGAGTTTTAGTCCTCCTCGAGGCACCAAGTGACCTTGATCCGGCCACTAACTCTTAGCCCTAGGAAAAGATGCAATGGTAAACTTCTTTTGAGAAATCTTGCAAGAAACGGGCAAATCTTGCCTGGGCAGCCACTAAAAGTCAGGATTGGCTCAAAGACACCTCCTATAACTTAGCGTAGAAGTAGGGATCTGTTCCCTCATTTGGGCATTTGATAAATATTTGTTTTAAGTTGCGAAGTCATGTCCGACCCATCACGACCCCATGGACAAGGTTCCTCCAGGCCTTCCTGTCCTCTACCATCCTCTGGAGTCCATTTAAGTTCACGCCGACTGCTTCAGTGACTCCATCCAGCCCCTCCTTCTCTGCCGTCCCCTTCTTCTTTTGCCCTCCATCGTTCCCAGCATTCGGCTCTTCTCCAGGGAGTCCTTCCTTCTCATTAGGTGGCCAAAGTATTTGGGTTTCCTCTTCAGGATCTGGCCTTCTAAAGAGCAGTCAGGGTTGATCTCCTCTAGGACAGACTGGTTGGATGGCCTTGCAGTCCGAGGGACTCGCAGGAGTCTTCTCCAGCACCAGAGTTCAAAGGCCTCCATTCTTTGGCCTTCTCGGCCTTCCTTGTGGTCCAACTTTCACAGCCAGACATTGCAACTGGGAAAACCATCGCCTTGACTATACGCACTTTTGTTGGCAGGGTGATGTCTCTGCGTTTTAGTATGCTGTCTAGATTTGCCATAGCTTTCCTCCCCGGGAGCATTATATTATATATATTGACAAATATAGCTGGTGTAAAAATAAAGAGTTGTATTTGGGGGGGGAAACAATCTCTGTCTTGCTCAAAAAATTGTTTGCTGGTTCCAACTGATTTTTCCAGTGAAAGTTTTTTTTTTCTTTTTCCTTTTGAGCATCCTCTTTCCCCCCTCCCTTTAAAAACACGATCAAAAGGTAAGGCAGTCAGACAGGGTGCAGAAATATACTCTCTGACCAGCATATTTAAACAACAGGTGTGTCCATGTGCCCATTCATCAGTAAATCTTGGTAGGTGTGTGCACCAGGCAAAACAAATTGACCAACCAGATAACAGGGTTTTTTTTAAAAAGGACACACACACACACACACACACAGGAAAGATCTCTCTGGCTCCCATCATCCACTGGCTCCTCCAGCACTCCCTTCTGCGCTGAGCTCTCTCTGGATAGCTGGTGTGCTCTAAAGCAGGGGTCTCCAAACCTTGGCAACTTTAAGACTTGTGGACTTCAACCCCCAAAATTCCTCAGCCAGAAAAGCTGGCTGAGGAATTCTGGGAGTTGGAGGTCCACAAGTCTTAAAGCTTTGCTGGCTGAGGAATTCTGGGAGTTGAAGTCCACAAGTCTTCAAGGGAGGGGAGTCCCCTCGATCCTGGTGGGAGGGTGGGGGGTGTCAGCGAGCCTTGTGAGGGGCTGGGAGAGCGGGGTTGTTTTTCAGCCGTTCCAATCGTCTTTGCAGGACTGTTGTGTCCCACGGAAGAAGAGCACCCCAGTGTCTTGATTCTCGGGGTGTTGCTCACCTTGAGGTACCTGATCCCGTTGCTGCAGCAGCAGGTGAAGGACACCAGCCTGAAGGGCAGCTTCGGGGTCATCCAGAAAGAAACCGAGATTTCGCCTTCCTTGGATCAACTCATCCAGGTATCCGTTCGCTCAAGAGCCCCCGTGGCTCAGTGGTCAGAATGCGGTATTCCAGGACCCAGATTGTTGGGGGAAATATGTTGACACTTAGAGGGGCTGTAAAGCCCTGTGAAGCGGCATATAAATCTAAGGGCTATTGCTATTGCCCGTCTTTCCTTCCTTCCTTCCTTCCTTCCTTCCTTCCTTCCTTCCTTCCTTCCTTCCTTCCTTCCTTCCTTCCTTTTCATTTCCTTCCTTCTTTCTTCCCTCCCTCTTCCTCCCTTTTCAGTTCTTTCCTTCCTTTTCATTTCCTGACTTCCTGTTCATTCATTCCTTTTCATTTCCTTCCTTTTTGTTTCTTTTCTTCCTTCCCTCCCTCTCTCTTCCTTCCTTTTCATTTTCTTCCTTCCATTTCATTTCCTTCCTTTTAATTTCCTTTTCATTTCCTTCCTTTTCATTTCCTTCCATCCTTTTGTTTCTTTCCTTCCTTCCCTCCCTCTTCCTTCCTTTTCATTTTTTCCTTCCTTTTCATTTTCTTCCTTCCTTTTCATTTCCTTCCTTTTCATTTCCTTTTCATTTCCTTCCTTTTCATTTCCTTCCTTCCAATTAGAATACAGTATTGCAAGCTAATTCTGCCCATAGCCAACAGTTCAATCCTGACCATCTCAAGGTTGACTCAGCCTTCCGTCCTTCCTTCCGAGGTCGGTAAAACGAGGACCCAGATTGTTGGGGGCAAGAGGCTGACTCTGTAAACCGCTTAGAGAAGGCTGTAAAGCCCTATGAAGCAGTATATACCCTGTTTTCCCGAAAATAAGACATCCCCTGATAATAAGCCCAATCAGCCCTCCCTGAAAATATTTAAACACAGAGCTGGAAATCTGGTAAAATAGCAAGAGGAGCCCCATCTTGCTCCACGCACCCCAAAATAATAAGACCCCCCCCCCGAAAATAAGGCCAAGCGTTTATTTCGGGGTTCAAAAAAATATAAGACGGTCTTATTTTCAGGGAAACACGGTAATTCTAATTACTATTACGCATTCTCTCGCAGTGCTGCTGCAGGTGGGGTTCACCCCCCCCAAAAATATAGGGAAATATTTCCAATGCACGTCACGGAGGGGTGCAAAAGTGGGAATCTCAACTGTGCTCCTTCCCCTTCCAGGTGTACGAGCTGAGTCTCCATTACACTCAGCACCGGGATCACAACGTCGTCACCGGATCCCTGGAACTGTTGCAGCAGCTCCTCCGGACGCCTCCCCCCAACCTCCTCTTGGCCCTCACGATGCGCGGGGGGCTTTTGCAAGCGGGGGCAGCCGAAGATGAGATTGCCGGCCGCGGCCGCAGCAATAGCATTGTGGAACTGATTGGTAAGCGATCCTACAGGTTGAAAATGACGGGAGCCCGTAAGAAATACACATTAAAGCTTTTCCCTGAAGAGTCCCACCACAGAAAAAATAAATAAATAAATAAATAAATAAATAAATAAATTTATTTATTTATTTATTTATTTATTTATTTATTTCTATCTATCTATCTATACCGCCTTTCTCCCGAAGGACTCAGGGCGGTGTACAGCCAATTTAAAAACAAGCAAACACTTTAAACACTTAAAAGTCGGTTACCCAAAGATTTAAAAATGGCTTTGTGGATTTTTCTGGCGTCGTTTAGGGTTTATGCTCAGGATGAGGTGAAGGGTCTCTTACGTTTCCTTATTTCTCTGCATGCTAAAATTGCATCAAATTGGAATAAATTGAAGATCGGTCTTTATTTCCCCTAACTGACGGTATCTTACAAAATGTCTTTTTTTCCCCCTCTCCTTTTGGATTATTGAAAAAAAAAAAAGGAATTGATTTGTGCTCGACGGGAGACAAAGCCACTGATTTTCCAAAATAGTCCGTTGCCGAAAACAATTCCTTAAAAAACACTGAATGTCAAATTCACTGTTGCTGCGTTTCTCAGAGATTGTTATGATTCCTTTATAATATTTAGTTTTTACCTGTTCCTTGATTTCTTTCTGTAATTTGCAGCTGGAGGGGGGTCTTCCTGCAGCCCTGTTTTTTCCAGAAAACAAAAAGGTGATTATATCTAATGAAATCTGTGTCTGGTCTTCTATATTTTCTCGCTTTTTTTCATTTCTTTCGACTTGGAAAAACTTAATTTGGTTGGTTCTTGGTCCTTCGTTCTTTTTTTTTCTTTTTTTTCCCCTTTCACCATATATCTATCGTTGCTGCTCTTTAAAAGAATCATAGCTTATTGTTTCATTCCTTGCTTTTCGCTGTTGCTAAAATTATAGAAGGTATCATAATGAACTCCTGGAGAAAAATATCTACCGATGTGGTTGCAAATAATCAGAAGTGACTCGAAGGCACGTAAACAACAATAGTGAATTGATTTGGTTAGAATACTCCTTTCGATACAATGCTTTGGTTAGACAAAGTACGTTATTTATTTTCCTACAAAAAAAAAGAAAAAAAGCCCGCTTTTAAATTAATTGTATTTCCTCTGATTTGAATTTCTGTGGCATTTCCCTAGTGCATTGCTATATCGTTTTAAACTAAATTATAAATAGGTAGGTAGAGAGAGAGCGAAAGATGGAGATGGAAATGGAGATGGTGATCCAGGTAGGCCTCAATTTATGACCACAATTGAGCCCAACGTTTTGTTGCTAAGTATCGCAGGCTAACTCTGCCGACTGCCAGGAGTTCGATCCTGACCGACTCAAGTTTGGCTCAGCCTTCCGTCTAAGTGTTATTTCCCTTCCTTCCTTCCTTCCTTCCTTCCTTCCTTCCTTCCTTCCTTCCTTCCTTCCTTCCTTCCTTCCTTCCTTCCTTCCTCCCTCCCTCCCTCCCTCCCTCCCTCCCTCCCTCCCTCCCTCTCCCCTCCTTCCTCCCTCTCTCCCTCCTCTCCTTCCTCCCTCCCTTCCTTCTTCCCTCCCTCCCCTCTCCCTTCCTTGCTCCCTCCCCCTCGCCTTCCCTCCCTCCTCTCCTTCCTCTCACCCTCCCTTCCTTCCTTCCTCCCTCCCTTCCTCCCCCTCCTTCCTCCCTCCCTCCCTTCTTCCCTCCTTCCCCCTCTCCCTTCCTCCCTCCCTCCCCCTCTCCTTCCCTCCCCCCTCTCCTTCCTTCCTTCCTTCCCAGTGGTTAGAGTGCAGTATTGCAGGCTAACTCTGCCGACTGCCAGGAGTTCGATCCTGACCGACTCAAGTTTGGCTCAGCCTTCCGTCTAAGTGTTATTTCCCTTCCTTCCTTCCTCCCTCCCTTCCTCTCTCCCCCTCTCCTTTCCTTCCTTCCTCCCTCCCTCCCTCCTTCCCCCTCTTCTTCCTTCCTCCCTCCCTCCCTCCCTCCCTTCTTCCCTCCCTCCCCCTCTTCCTTCCTTCCTCCCTCCCCCTCTCCTTCCCTCCCTCATCTCCTTCCTCTCACCCTCCCTTCCTCCCTCCCTCTCTTCCTCCCCTTCTTCCTCCCCCCTCCTCCCTCCCTCCCCCCTCCTCCTTCCTTCCTCCCTCCTTCCCTCCCTCCTTCCCCCTCTCTCTTCCTCCCTCCTTCCCCCTCTCCTTCCCTCCCCCCTCTCCTTCCTTCCTTCCTTCCCAGTGGTTAGAGTGCAGTATTGCAAGCTGAGTCTACCCACTGCCAGGAGTTCAATCAAGGTCGACTCAGCCTTCCGTCCTTCCTTCCGAGGTTGGTAAAATGAGGGCCCAGATTGTTGGGGGCAAGAGGCTGACTCTGTAAACCGCTTAGAGAGGGCCTTTAAAGCACTGCGAAGCGGGATATAAGTCTAAGGGCGATGGCTATTGTCCAGTGGTGAGTCGGCTATGGCGAGTTGTCCCTTGGTCACGTTTGGCCGTCGCGAATTGACTGTGCCGAGGTGTCCGATTCCGCTTTACCATGCTGACCGTCTGCTCCTTGGCATTCCACGAGTCGAGCAGGGGCCATTCCTGATGCAGAGTCCTCTTTAGGGTCAAAAATACCCGAATCTGTTTTGTTCATTCAAGGTTCCCTTCACGTTGAAATGCGCCCGGTTCATTGTTTTAACCTCGCACAATCGAGAGCATTCTCTTTATTTTTCGAAGGGCCTCTTCAAGAAGCTGTGATTTTGAAAAGTAGTTTGAAGAGCACTCTTGTTTTGTGAGCCGTGCCGTCTCTTTTCTTGAGTTCTGCCTACTTGTGCAGCCTCTTCATTTATACCCATAAATTGGACTTGTCCTTTTAACCCCCCTTATTATCCTTAAGTCACGCGAGGGCTGATCCGAGAAAGTCATAGTGTGGGCAGCCCCTTTCTCTACGAAATGGCCCCCCTGCCCTTTATTTAAAAACCATTTCAACCAGTGCCTATCACCTCCTGCAAAATGGGGCCAATGGGTACATTCCAGATTTTCAGCCCAAACTTTAAAAACAGGGTTAATGATTAGAAGCAGTCTTAAATCTGGCTGGGATAATTTGAGTCCTCCGTACCTTCTCAAGAAGGACGGTGGGAACTGGGTAGAGCCGTGATGGAGAACCTATGTGGCACGCAGAGCCATCTCTCCGGGCACGTGAGCTGCCGCCTGTTGCTCTTCTGGGTTTCCAGCACGCCGGCCAGCTGATCTTCACAGGCGCAGGAGCAGGGGTGAAATCCAGCAGGTTCTGGAGAACCGGTAGCGGAAATTTTGAGCAGTTCGGAGGACGGCAAATACCACCTCTGGCTGGCCCCCGAGTGGGGTGGGAATGAGGATTTTGCAATATTCTTCCCCTGGAGTGGGGAGGGAGTGAGGATTTTTGCAGTATCCTTCCACTGGAGTGGGGAGGGAATGGGGATTTTGCAGTATCCTTCCCCTGGAGTGGGGTGGGAATGGGGATTTTGCAGTATCCTTCCCCGGAGTAGGGTGGGAATGGGGATTTTGCAGTATCCTTCCCCTGGAGTGGGGTGGGAATGAGGATTTTGTAGTATCCTTTCCCCCAGGAGTGGGGTGAGAATGGGGATTTTGCAGTATCCTTCCACTGAAGTGGGGAGGGAATGGGGATTTTGCAGTATCCTTCCCCTGGAGTGGGGTGGGAATGAGGATTTTGTAGTATCCTTTCCCCCAGGAGTGGGGTGAGAATGGGGATTTTGCAGTATCCTTCCACTGAAGTGGGGAGGGAATGGACATTTTGCAGAATCCTTCCCCTGGAGTGGGCAGGGAATGGAGATTTTACAGTATCCTTCCCCTGCCACGCCCACCAAGCCACACCACGCCCACCAAGCCACGCCACAGAACCGGTAGTAGAAAAAAAATAGGATTTCACCACTGTGCAGGAGTGCCGGAAACCGAAAGAGCTGCCGCCCGGGGCGTATGCGTGCGCCAGGAAGATGATCTTCCGGTTTCCGGCACGCATGTGTGCGCTCCTGTTTTGGCACTCGGTGCCAAAAAGGTTCGCCAACACGGGGTAGAGGATCCAATCGATTGCTTTGTGCTGCCAGAGGAAATGGCAGGCAAGAAAGTATAACCAGAAAGTGGTAAAATATTATATAATGTTGTTATTTATGTTTTGTATTTTACCGTTTGGTGTATGTGTATATTCTCTCTCTCTCTTTTTTTTTTTTCCTTTTTCCTTTTTTGTCTTTTTCTATTATGTTTTTGGTTTTAAAAATGTAAAATATTCAATAAAAACTATTTTTTTTTTAAAAAAAAAAGAAAGTATAACCAAAAAAAGAGGAACAACTTTGCAAAAAAGACAATCGCATTCTTCGCACGGAGCGTCTGATTAGATATTAGGAATATTTATTTGTTTATTTATTTATTGTTAAATTTCTTGCCTTGATTTGTCAGCCAAAGTACTTTCAGGAGAGGAGAGCCTGGAAGAGGATTCCGAAGCCAGGTCTCAAGCCAGCCAGGTGGGCTTTGCAGGTAGGTTGCTTGGCTTCTCGGTTCCGGTGAGAGTGAATGACCAAAGGTTGCGAAATAAAATCTTTTGAGTTGAGCAACGTAACATGAATCTCTCACTTGCAGAACTATAGAAAACTACATCAAGGCTTCACCGGCCTTCCATGATATGTTTTCATATGGAAAAGCTGTTTAGCCATATCTATATCTATATCTATCCTATCTATCTATCATCTCTCTCTCTCTCTCCATCTCTATCGAATCTCTATATCTATAGTCTGTCTATCTAATTATCTATCTCTGGTATTTATTTCTATCTTTCTATCTATCTATCTATCTATCTATCTATCTATCTATCTATCTATCTATCTCTATCTAATTATCTCTGGTATTTATTTCCTTCTCTCTCTCTCTCTCTCTCTCTCTCCATCTCTATCTCTATATCTCTATATCTCTATCTATATATCTATAGTCTGTCTATCTAATTATCTATCTGGTATTTCTATCTATCTATCTATCTATCTATCTATCTATCTATCTATCTATCTATCTATCTATCTATGTCTATCTAATTATCTCTGGTATTTATTTCCACCCCCCCCCCCTCTCTCTCCATCTCTATCTCTATCTCTATAGTCTGTCTATCTAATTATCTGGTATTTATTTCTATCTCTATCTCCATCTCTATATCTCTATAGTCTATCTAATTATCTATCTCTGGTATTTATTTCTCTCTCTCTCTCTCTCTCTCTCCATCTCTATATCTCTAGTCTGTCTGTCTATCTAATTATCTGGTATTTCTATCTATCATCTATATCATTCATCTATCTATATTATATATATATATATATCTCTATCTACATTACTGTTCTAGCCAGGGTTTTTCCTACATAAATCAAGATGTTTGTATTGCCATAGTTAAGTGACATCCCAAATCACTATTTTCTAGGCTTTATCAGACATTTAAGCAGCATTATGTTGTCTGCTGTAAGACTTAAGGGAGACTAGAATAGATCTATTTCTGCCTTATTTGGCTTCATCAGTCAGCCACACCCTCATTTTATGACTCCTCCCTGTAACGGTCAAATATTTATATAGACCTACAAAAAAAGAACAAAATAAATTATATATATACATACATACATACATACATACATACATACATACATACATACATACATATATACAATTGTTTTCTCAGGTTTTTGCGGGTGTTTGTATGTAGGTCTTTGGTTATTCGGGTCTTCTCCCACGTAAAATTGGAAGTGTCTTGGCGACGTTTCGACGAAGTCTCATTCGTCATCTTCAGGCTGGTGTTCTCGGCTTCGTGCTTCCAGGACCAGAAGCACGAAGCCGAAGACACCAGCCTGAAGATGACGAATGAGACTTCGTCGAAACGTCGCCAAGACACTTCCAATTTTACTGGGAGAAGACCCGAATAACCAAAGACCTACATATATATAATTATATCTATATCATCTATCTATCTATCTATCTAAATGGGATGTTGGAAGCAAAGATGCTGCCCAGAAGGGAACTCATACCAGTTCTCTGGCTGTGTTGCCTTCGTGCCACGCCCCGGGTCATCACACCCTCCTGAATTATTCGATAAGCTTTCCAATTTTATTTTAGGTTTTTTGTTTGCAGTTCTGCTAGTTTCTGGTTTTTCCTTGTGTTCTTTTTTTAAAAATTTTGGCTTTTCTTTATCCCAAGTGCTTCCAGTAAGGGATCTTTTGTGGAAAGAGAAGCTAGAAAATTTCCATAAACAGCACCCACCATAATTGCAGAAACGACAATCTTATTTCATTTACGGCTTTCTGGAACCTTCACGCCGTTCCTTTCTCCTTTTAGGGTCTGGGAAAAGCGAGCTGAACAGTGAATTAACTTCCACGCCGGGCGTCTCGCCCGCGGCCAGCTCAGCCTCCGACCCTCCGGGTTGCGACATCATAACGGAGCAGCCCCGTTCTCAGCACGTCTTGCAATCCGAATCGGAGATCTCTGCTTGCGATTTGACGGGCACGACCCCGAAAGCCGATACGGACGACGACATGCTGAGCAGGAGCTCCAGCCAGATTAGCGCCATCCAGTCCGAAGTGAACGACGGCACCTCGTCGCCCATCAGCGACAGCTCTCAGACTACCACCGAAGGGCCGGACTCGGCAGTGACCCCGTCCGATTTCTCTGAAATGGTAAGGAGTGGTTCCTAAGGGTTGTGTTCTGACCCAGCTCCCCAAAACACGACAAACCCTCTGAAGTTAACTCAAAGATTCCTTTATTAGGAGTGCCGGCAGCCCCGGCAAAAAGTTTCTCTCTCACCGCAGGCTAACAAGTCTGTCCGGCAGGGAGATGAATAATTGTCTGCCATACATATTCATTTCCACCCCCTGCCTTTTATCCTCAGAGCTAGGGTGGGGCTTCGCTAGGAGTGGTGGCTCTTCCGTCCCAAGAACCGGCCCATGGATTTCCACTTCTCTCCTCTCCTCTACCTTCTGCGTATACACACGTCAGGCACTGGACCCAGCTGTTCCTCCTCTTCCTCATCAACCACCTCCAGACCTCTTGGGGGCTGTTGACTCTCCATCTGAGGGTTGACAGACGGCCCAGGCTCCTCCTCTGTCTCTCTCTCTGCCAGCTCCATTCGCCCTTCCCCCTTGGAGCTCTCAGGTTGCCTTTCTGCTGACCCTGACTCCCATTCCTCCTCCTCCTCCTCCTCCTCCTCCTCCTCTGATTCGGCTGCTGGAGGGCCAGTGGCCGACAGTCCACAACAGGTTGGGTACCCAGCCCACGGAGGAGAAGTGAGCATCGCAAGGATTCCAAGGGATGCTCCTTCGTGTCGTAGGGTGGGGTTAAATCCATAGGGCTTCCAGGTAGTCCTCAACGTACGACCACAATGGAAAGCCAGCATTTCTGTTGTGAAGCGAAACGTTCGTTAAGCGAGCTTTGCCCCGTTTTGCGACTTTTCCTGCCATGTTTGTTAAGCGAGTCGCTGCCATTGTTAAATTAGCAACCCGGCGGTTAAGCGAATCTGGTTTTCCCCACTGACTTTTGTCGGTTAGAAGGGATCCCGGGAGACTGAAACCGTCATAAGTGTGAGTCAATTGACAAGCATCCGAAGGTAAATCACCTGACCATAGGGATGCTACAAAAGGTCATAAGTGGGGGAAATGGTCATAAGTCACTGTTTTCAGTAACTTCGAAGGGTCATTAGACTTAGAACTTAGACTTAGGATCATTCACAAGGTTGCAGGCTTGACTGAGAATTTTTTTGGGGGGGAGGAAGGAAGGATGACATGCAAAGAACGCGGAAGTAACTCTGACGTTCCCCTAACTCGGCGTCTTCCCAGTGCTTTGATTAAATTAAATGAATATATATATATATATATAAAGAGATACAATTTTGGTAAAGTTCACGATTTTTTATTTACGTTTCCATCTAAAACCAGCTTTGCAGCTTTAAGACCGGTGGACTTCAACTCCCCGAATTCCTGAGCCAACAGGCACTCTGGGAATTAAAGTACACAAGTCTTAAAAGTGGTTGGGTTTAATGGGGGGCCCTGATCTGAACTGCTTTGAGAGTTTATTCCGTACACCATTTAGATTCTCGAAGGCGGTGAGAACCAATACTCTGGAATGCAGATTGGGCAGCTGCAGGAGGAAGAAGACGAAACGCCAACGTTCTACACGACGAGACTTTGGATCCGTTCCGAAATTCCTGCCTCGGTACGTTGACACTCTGTGGAAGCAAATACAGATATCGTATTTTTCAGAGTATAAGATGCACCTTCCCCCCCCTAAAAGGGGGTGAAAATTTAGGTGTGTCTTATACACCGAATGTAGCCTCGCCCACCCATTGGCCCCCACCCTTTGGCCTCTGCCTCCCAGCAGTTTACCCTCCTTGCAGCAAGCAGCAAGAAGAAACAGTCCATTTCAGCTTCAGCACAGACTAATTAGCACAAGTGGATTGGATCGGCCTCCCGACTCTCAGCTGTTTTGCGCAGGGCTCTGCTGCTTGCTGCAAAGAGGTAAATTGCTGGGGCAGATTTTTTTTTTTCTTCCTTGTGCTAATCAAGCTGTGCTGAAAACGAAAATGAAAGTAAAGCAGGCTGTTTGCTGTTTGCTGCAACGAGGCAAAAATGCTGGGAGGCAGAGGCAGATTTCTTTTTCCTCTTTTCCTTACCAAACAAGGTAGGTGCATCTTATAGTCCAGTGCATCTTATACTCCGAAAAATACGGTAATCGTCAATTTATGATCCCAACTGAGCCCCAAATTTCTGTTGTTCAGTGAGGCATTTCTCAAGTGAGTTCTGTCCCATTTTACGATCTCTCTTGCCACACTTATTAATTGAATGACTGCGGTTGATAAGTTAGTAACCCACTTGTTGTTATTGTTATTATATTATAGCATAGCATAGCATTGCATAGCATTATATTATATTATATTACATTTATTATATTATATTTATTATATTATGTTGTATTATATATGTTATATTATGTTATGTTATATATATTATTATATTATATTATTATATTATATTATTATATTATATTATATTATATTATATTATAATATTATATTATATTATAATATTATATTATATTATATTATATTATATTATATTATATTATATTATATTATATATATTATATTATATTATATTATATTATACCGTTTTCTCTAAAAATAAGACCCTGTCTTATATTTTTTTGAACCCTGAAATAAGCGCTTGGCCTTATTGCCATGCGCTCAAAAGCCCGATTGGGCTTATTATCAGGGGAGGTATTATTTTGGGAAAAACAGAGTATTATATTATTATTTATATTATTATTTATATTATATTATATTATATTATATTATATTATATTATATTATATTATATTATATATTATATATTATATTTTTTATATTATATTATATTATATTATATTATATTATATTATATTATATATTATATATATTATTAATTGTTATGATATGTTATAACATTATTATAATATATATTATTATATAATTATAATTATTTGTTATTTATTTGTTGTTATTATTATTTTAAAGAGCTTCAGCGATCTCATTTAGCGAAAACTGTGAGCCACAGGAGGGAGCCTTCCAATGGCAGCATGGAGAAGTTTGGGCCTAAGGAAGAAACTGAACTGGCTGACCATGGAATTAAGGTCAGTTTGAGCGGGGAAGGCAAGAGGGCCTGGGGTTGCTCCTGTGCCCCCCAGTTGGCCAGAAGGGAGACCCTCTTATGGGGAAGAGAGAGGCTCTGACTCACAACTCCAAAATTTTCAGGGTTGGGAGACCAACAGTCTCAGCTAAGCATCTTCTCTGGCAGGGGTGGATAATTACAGTAACAAGTCCTCAATTTACAACCACAACCGAGCCCTAACGTTTACGTTGTTAAGCGAACTGCTAGGTTGGCAGAAGCTGGGATAAGTAACAGGAGCTCATCCCGTTACACAGCACTAGGGATTCGAACCGCCGAACTGCTGACCTTTCGATCGACAAGCTCAGCGTCTTTAGCCACTGAGGCACGGTGTCCCTTTCCGGGGGGGCGGGGGGGGGGAACAACAGTCTCTTTTAAAATAAAAGCAACACAGTTGTATTGCATGCCTGACATAACCATATTTATTTATTTGTTTTTATTTATTAATTTATTTATTTTAATTTCCGATCGACTTCACACAGGCCGGATGTGGCCCTGGGAGCCTAAAACGCCTGGGTCTATTTTGAGGGAACATAGTGATGCTTTGGCCCTCTGGACGTTTAACACCAACCCTCTTTGGAAGACTGGTGTCTTTTAATCTCCAATAAAATATAATTGGATTTTGATTTTTGATTTTTTTTTCTGCCGACAGCTCTCCAGAATGAAAGGTGATATCGGGGGCTATAAGGACGGAAGTGCTGCGCCATTAGTCCACTGCGTTCGCCTCCTGTCGGCCTCTTTTCTGCTCACTGGAGAGAAAGGGGGTGAGTCGAGACATGAGGGGTCCCCGCAGAGGAAGACTAAAACCCCTCAACACCTTTCCACCCAGGCCAATTGAGAATTTAAGAGGAACAAAAGAGTTTGAAAATAGGCCGATGCTAAATTAGAACACTCAAGGGTTGCGTTTGGCTTAGAGCAGTGTCCCCAACCTTTCCGGGGAGGGGTGGTGGTGGACAGGGGATGGTTCTATGTGAGCGGTAGGCGCAAGCCTGCGTGTGCGGCCACCGTTTGCACAAATGGAACTGCATACATGAGCGCGAGCGCCAGCCACACAAGCAAGTGGAGGGGAGCGTCCATGCGAGCTCACCCGTTGCTTACACGGCCTAGTTCCAAATGGGTTGAGGTGTTGTGACCTAGGCCCAAGTAGTTATTACCAGACACAATCAGTCCTAATCAAACGTATTTTATTAGAACAGCTGAGAATTACTTCATTCTCATCTTAGTCCAAATTAAATCCAAAACAAATCCTTCATAAACAGTCCTTCGGCCTTATCACCAACCTTTGTCTATTTGGCACCCTGCCGAAGGCTTTTCTTGGCAAAAGCCCACCAGACGCTGACAAGAAACAAATGTAGCAACGTTGCTTTCCTACAAAGATCCCAAGAGCCGTTGCTGCTCTTTTAAGCCTTCTGGGAGGGGCCAAACATCTCCAAGCCTTACTCCAGAGTTGTCCTTTTTGCTTTAGCTGCTCTTGCCTTCTGGCAGCTCTTCGCATGCGTGCACTAGGAACAGGCTCCTCCTGTTCCTCTGCCTCTCTGCTGTCTGCCTCTGGAGGCTCCGGAGTCCGCGCATCGCTCCCAGATGGCCCTGGCCCCATCTCTGCCTCCGACGCAGAGCCCTCATCCGAGCCTTCCCCAGCCTCCAGGACTGGCCCATGTTCCTCCCCAGCTTCTCATTGTCCGACTCTGCTGCCAGCTCTGCAGGATCACAAGGCCCGGTAACAGGCCACTCTTAAGGCCGGGAGTTAGGGACCCCTGGCTTACAGTACATCTCTGTAGAGCAGGGGGGCCCATGCAAGGCCCGCGGGCCGGATCCAACCTGCGGGGTGCTTAGATCTGGGCCAAGGGGCCAGCAAAGGACCGGCCCATGGTGCCTCTGCCATTGAAAATGGAGCTTGGGGAGGTGGTGCGTGGTCCGCCCAGGTTCCATGTTTGGTTCGCGGTGTCCCTGAGCTCCGTTTTTGCTGGCAGAAGGCTGCAGGAGGTCTTTTTCCCTGCTGTTGTAACTTTGAACGGTCGCTAAATGGGCTGTCGTAAGTCGAGGACTGCCTGTCCTGACCCAGCCACCTGAATTTTCTCTTCCTCTCTTCTAGCTCTGGTGCCGGATAAAGACGTCAGGGTCAGCGTGAAAGCCTTGGCCATCAGTTGCGTGGGGGCAGCCGTGGCCCTTTACCCGGAAGCTTTCTTCAGCAAACTCTACAAAATGCCCACTGAAAGTAACAAAGAAGAAAGAGGTAGGTGTCATGTGGATTCTTTTTGAAAAAAAACAAAAAACAAACCAGCCTTTATTTTTACCTTGGTTTAAAACCCAGCTCCCCAAACACCACAAACCCTCTGAAGTGAACTCAAAGATTCTTTTATTAGGAGCGCCGGCAGCTCCGGCAAAAAGTTTCTCTCTCAAGTCCGTCCGTCTGTCCGGAAGATGAATAGTTGTCTGCCATATCTATTCATCTCTGCCCCCTGCCTTTGATCCCCAGAGCTAGGGTGGGGCTTCACTAGCATTGGTGGCTCTTCCGTCCCGAGGACCGGCCCATAGATTTCCATTGCTCTCCTCTCCTCTGCCTTCTGTGCATCCATGCGTCAGGCACTGGATCCAGCTGTTCTGTCCTTCCAAAGTCAGTAAAATGAGGACTCAGATAGTTGGGGTCCAGAGGCTGACTCTCTAAACTCTTAGAGAGGGCTGGAAAGCACTGTGAAGTGGGATCTTCCTTCCTTCCTTCCTTCCTTCCTTCCTTCCTTCCTTCCTTCCTTCCTTCCTTCCTTCCTTCCTTCCTTCCTTTCCTTCCTTCCTTCCTTCCTGCTTGGGTGGATGGGGGTTGGACTAGATGACCCTATGAGGTCCCTTCTGACTCTGTTAATCTATAATCTGATTTCTGTTCTGACCTATTAGGCTTCCTTCAAAAGCATGAAGCAGAGTCTTGGTCCCGGCAAAACCACTTTTATTTGCACGACTGTGAATTCCTTTCATTCACAGTCAGCAAGGCTCGGCAAGCAGTCTTTCAGAGGAATATTTATCAACACAAACCTTATCTCGCTTGGAAAGCTGCCAGATAACTAGGTTCCAAACACAGTGCAAGGCAAAACCTGGCACAGAATCTCTCAGAGTCACGGAACGAACGAATTGTTTCCTGCAAAAGCCCACTTCCCCGTTCGCTCCTCTTTTGTTTCCTATGGGAGGGACCAATCACCTCCAAGGTGTGGCTTTACTCCTGAGTCGACCCTGCTTTCTCAGTTGTTTTTGACTTTGGGCAGCTCTGCATGCACACACTGGGAACAGGCTCCAGTTGTTCCTCTGCCTCACTGCTGTCTTAGCTCCCTCTCTGCCTCCGACGCAGAGCCCTCGTCCAAGGTTTCCCCAGCCCCCAGAACTGGCCCAAGTTCCTCCCCAATCTCCTCACTGTCCGACTCTGCTGCCAGCTCCGTTGCCCGCCGGCGGGGGCCACAACAATTCCTGACCCAGTTAATAACTTACTTCCGTGTGCGGATTTTTCTTTCTTGATTCCTGATTTATTTCTCCAGAAGAGCAGTCCGTGAAGGACATTGTGAATTATATCGACCACGGAGACCCCCAGATCAGAGGGACAACCGCCATTTTGTGCGGAACCATTGTTTATTCCATCCTCGTCCAGTCTTGCTTCAGTGTGGAAACTTGGCTGGAAAATATAAAAGCGTCCACAGGTAACGGGGCTGAAGACCTGAATTTTGCGCCCGAAAACGTCCCGATGAAGGGTGCATGACCTCTGCTGTCCTTTCCCTCCAGGGACGCTGGTGGAGTGTGTCTCCTTACTACAGAAAAGCCTGAAAGACGAGTCTTCGGTCACGTGCAAATTGGCCTGCATAGCTGTGAGGGTGAGGAAATAACTTTAAAACATCACATTGGCGGTTATTTCTTCCCCGTGGCCCACCAAGTGGGCGCCAGGGCTCTTGTGAGGATCTATGACAATTCACCACGGCCAATGTACGACATCAAAGTAGAGTGGTGCGGTGGCCTAGGGGTGGAGCTCTCGCCTCACAATCAGGAGGCTGTGATTTCGATCCTAGGTAGAGGCCGATTTTTCTCTCTCTGGGCATGATGAGAATTTATCTGCTGAACAAAACTCCGCCTCGGCAACAGGAAGGGCATCCGGCCAGTAAAACACTCTGCTAGCGCCATTCAGTTACCTAGACTCCATCCCCGCAAGGCGTTATGGGGTCGTTGGATGAGGATGAATGTGCCACGCCAACTTGCCATGACCAACACACCACGGGCAACTTGCCACGGCCAACTCGCTGCAGGACAACTTGGTGTGGGACGAGAGTTACACTAATACCAAAGAAATAGCGGAGTAGAACCCTTAAAGAAAGGATGCCAAAGAAGGGACAGAATGAAAGGTGAATGGCAAAAATTAAAATAATTATATCAATTAATTTTAAATAATTAAATAGAGTTGTTAAATTGTCCTTCAACGAATTGGCCGTGGTGATTTGGCTGCAGCAAGTCAGCTGTGGCCATGGCGAGTTGGCCGCGGTGAGTTGGCTGCAGCGAGTTGACCATGGCAAGTTGGCCACAGCAAGCTGGTTGCGGTAAGTTGTCCCATTCTGGTCTTGTGATGACCAGAGAAGCCTTTGATCTTCCTTCCCCCTCTGTAAGGGAACCATTTAAAATAATTTTTTAAATAATTTGAATGAAAGATTCCTCACTTCCACCTGGGGGAATCTGTTCTTCCTACTCTGCTGCCCCCCCCACACCTATATACGTGAACATTCTGAGTGATCTCTCTAGGAAAAGTCACTCGGTTGTCTCCGTCATAGGTTGACCTACTGAGTTCATTAAAACTGCTCCTCAAGTTTGCACGCTTCAAATTTGGAAGCCAGCACCTGAGTCTATTTCAGCGAGAGAAGCTCTAATCAACAGAATGAACTGAGTTGGAAAGCACCTTGGAGGTCTTCTAGTCCCCTATGTCAGGTTTCGAGGTCGTCTCAAATAAATTGCATTTCAAACAAAGTCTTTGATGAAAAAAAACCTCCCATTTATTAAGCACGACATTCTAATTCCGACTCCATCGTAGCCAACACTGACTTCCAGACCCAAAACCTTCCCTTTCCGTTCCCCACTCCCCTGCACTCATTGGCCATCTTCCAAGTCACTCTACCCCTAATCTACTGCTCCAGCTCAAAGGAATTTCCCCCCTCCCATCCCATCTCCTAGGGGATATTATCTCCAGGGAAAATAAGTAGGTGAAAAGTCAAATGTCCCTTTCCAGACACCTCTGCTTCTCCTTCTTATGTCAGCACTAGAGTAAATGCAGCTTGAAGTGCTGACACCCTAGACTAGAAGACCTCCAAGGTCCCTTCCACCTCTGTTAATTCTAGGGTCCCCAACCCTAGTTGTAGGAGGTTCATCACTGGAGACTTTCAAGACGGGATTGGACTGCCATTTGTCAGAAATGGTGTAGGGTCTCCTTCTTGGGTGGGGTGGGGGTTGGACTAGATGACCTACAAGTTCCCTTCCAACTCCGTTAATCTGTAATCTGTAACCAGCCAGACTGTGGCTCACTAGCAGGCCGCTGCCTGTTCGGAACCAGGCCACGCAGGGTGTGGGCGAGCGCGTGCACATGTGTTCTGACCTAGGCTTCCCCAAAAAGTACGAAGCAGAATCTTGGTCCCGACAAAACCTCTTTTATTAAACAAACAGTGAATTCCTCTCATTCGCATATCCAGCAAAGTCTTTCAAGGGAGAATTGACAGTCACAGACTTTATCTGGCTTGGACAGCTGCCAGGCCGATATCTTCAAAACTTGGCAAGGAGTCACGAACCAATTAAGCGAACTGATTGTCTCCTGCAAACTCCACTCCCCTTTCGTTCCTCTTTTATTCTCGCTGAGTGGGGCCATTCATCGTCCACCTGTGGCTTTACTCCTGAGTCGACCCTTGTTCCTTAGCTGTTCCCTTCTCCTGGCAGCTCTGCGCATGCGCACCCTGGGAACAGGCTCCAACTGTTCTTCTACCCCACTGATGTCCGACTCCAAAGGCAGCTGACCACTGTCAGACGGCCCTGTCCCTCTCTCTGCCTCTGATGCAGAGCCCTCCCCAGACTCCAGGACTGGCCCATGTTCCTCCCCAACCTCCTCACTGTCCGAATCATCTTCCTGGCACGCACGTGCGCACGGGGCACTTGCTGTTCCAGTTTCTGGCATGCGTGGGCGCACGTGCACTCCCGTTTCGTCACTCAGTGCCGAAAAGGTTCGCCAACACTGACCTATGGCAGTATCATTCTTTTTTTCCTTCTATAGTGACCCAAATGCGTTCAGGATCAAGTCGATTAAATCCTGACGTACCGTATTGCTGAAAGCAATTAAACCTTTCTCTTTTCAGCACTGCATCATGAGCTTATGCGGCAGCAGCCATAGTTCCTTGGGGTTGCAATTACTGGTTGACCTCCTTCTCCTGAGGAACAGTTCCTACTGGCTGGTTAGGACGGAGCTTCTGGAAACGGTGGCTGAAATAGATTTTCGGTAAGCATCCGTACGTTACGTCCCCCCGTCCCACCCACCCCGAAAAATTATATTCTCTTTAACATATAACGTTATGCTTAGAGTGGTGCGGTGGCCTAGAGGTGGAGCTCTCATCTCACAGTCAGGAGGTTGTGAGTTCGATGCTAGTAGAGGCAGATATTTCTCTCTCTCGGCACAATGTATCTGCTGAACAAAACTTCACCCTGGCAACAGGAAAGGCATCCGGCCAGTAAAACACTCTGCTAGCTCCATTCAGTTGCCCAGACTGCACCCCGCAAGGGATTATGGGGTCGTTAAAAGATGATGATGATCTAACGTTATGCTTAATCGTAACAGTGCCTTTCTCTCCTTTTGCTGCAAAGGTTAATCCAGTTTTTGGAAGAAAGGGACAGCAATCTGCATAGAGGGGATTATCATTACGCTGGGGTGAGTAGCAGGTTGAGGCTGAGCCAATGTGGGTAGGGATTTGCATGCTTAGTTTCACGGCTGCTCAGGATGACAGAAAATAGTTACATATGCATCCAAAGAGAACTTCTCTGCCAGCTTATTCTCCTTCGTATAAAGTTTATCTGAGAGTCGGTGTAGTGGAACGTAGTCTGGATTCCTAGGAGGGAGGGGCTGCGCTCCGGAGGAGCAAGAGACAACTCAGTTCAGATAGTTTACATGAGAGAAACAGGATGAAGACAGATCCTCCCTGATTGTTTCCAGAATATAGTTAATAGGTAGTCCTCAACTTAACCACCACAATTGAGGCCAACCTTTCTATCGTTAAGCGAGACATCTGTTAAGTGAGCTTTGCCCCATTTTACGACCTTTCTTGCCACATTTGTTAAGTGAATCACTGCAGTGGATAGGTTAGTAACCCGGTTGTTAAGTGAATCTGGCTTCCCCCCATTGACCCTGCTTGTCAGAAGGGGATCTCGTGACCCCGGGATGCCGCGACGGTCATAAGTATGAACCAGTTGCCGAGTGTCTGAATTTGGATCACATGACCATGGGGAGGCTGCAATGGTCATAAGCGTGAAAAGTGATCATAAGCCACTTTTTTTCAGGGCTGCTATGACTTTGAACCGTCACTAAGTGGACTGTTGTAAGTCTAGGACTACCTGTGTACGTTTAATGTTTTAATTAGTCTGCTTTACTTTGGCAAGATTTCTGCCTGTGGGTGAGGAGGAACAAAGAAAACCGCTTGGAAGAATCTCACAACGTTGTTGTGAAGTGACAGTCGTTCTTGGGGACCCCTGGTTCTGAGACATATGTTGTTATTTTGTTAATATGTTGTTATTTTGAAAATTATAGGTGCGGTCTATAAGCCCCTTAAAAAAATGCTTTTCTTGATCGGCCTCTGCGCTCCTCTTTTCCCCCCACAGCTGTTAAAACTTCAGGATCGGGTTCTGAAGGAAGTGGTCATTTCTCTCCTAGGCGACGAAGATCCCAGAGTCAGGCGTGTGGCTGCAGCTGCTTTAGTAAGGTATTCGTTCAGCGAAACTTAATTTTTCTGCTCTTGCCCTATTTCGACTCCTTATATTTTGCACAGAAAGATAGCATATGGTGTAAATCTGTTTTAATCGTATTTATGAATTTCTCCCCAAAATCCATACAGTTTTAACTGCTGCATCATAAATTTGCCAGTTTACACTGTCAAATGCTTTCTGTGCGTCTAGAAAGATCAGTGCCATTTTTTCCCCTGGATTTCATAATTGCATTATATAATTGCATTATATAATAAATTATTATTATAATAAATTATATAATAAATGCATTTCATACTATTCCAGTGTATCTAGGATAAACCTTACATTGTTTTTATTTACAAAAAACAAACAAACATACTGTAAATCTGATGCATAATTGGAATTACACTTTGGGAATAATAACAACAGCAGGGGTTTAATACGGAATACATATGATGGAAAGACTGCAGATGTATTCCAAAATACATTTATCTCAGAGTTCCCAAAAATAGAAAGTTTATATTCTCATATACGGAAGTATTTGGGTTGTTTCCGTAGCAAAAGCTGAATATTGAATGCTAAGAATGAAAGTGGTTACTTATCGCCATAAAGAAAGGGAAATTAAATGTGTTATAGGTAGCCCTCGACTTATGACCACAATTGAGCCTAAAATTTATGTTACTAAGTGAGAAATTTTTTAATTTGGCCCCATTTTACGACTGTTCTTTCCACACGTGTTAAGCAAATCACTGCAGTTGTTAAATTACGATGCTGCAATGGTCGTAGGTGTCAAAAATGGTCATAAGTCACTTTTTTCAGTGCCATTGTAACTTCGAACAGTCACTAAGTGAAATGTTGTAAGTCGAGAATTATTTGTATTAATGGCTAAATTAAAGCCATTAAGGATCATAAAGGGATCACCGAAGTCGTTGGCTGCCTCTGCGAAAGGAACTTTTTCGGACGTTGTTATCTTACCCACGGGACGCCTGAATGCCAGTAGGCAATTGGGGGAGGCTCCTTTCCTGTCCCTACGCGGTTTATTCGCTCACGGGAATCGAGCCACCGAGCTGCCGACCTCAGCGGAGTGCAGGCTCAGCGGCTTTACCACGTGAGCCCCCGCGGATGCACTATCCCCATTCCACTCCTGCTAGAGATCATCCAGAAGGATGACCAGTGCCATCTCTGACATCTTATGTCCAGGCCTGAAGCCAGATTGTTGTGGGCTGTTGGCCGCCAGCCCCTCCAGCAGCCGAATCAGAGGAGAAGGAGGAGGCATGGGAGTCAAAGTCAGCATCAGGGCAACCGGAAAGCTCCGAGGGGGAAGAGGGAATGGAGCTGGCAGAGAGAGAGAGAGACAGAGGCGGAGCCTGGGCCGTCCGTCAGCCCTCAGATGGAGAGTCAACAGCCCCCAGGTCTGGAGGTGGCTGATGAGGAAGAGGAGGAACAGCTGGGTCCAGTGCCTGACGCGCAGATGCCCAGAAGGCAGAGGAGAGGAGAGCAGTGGAAATCTATGGGCCGGTCCTCAGACGGAAGAGCTACTGCTGCTAGCGAAGCCCCGCCCTACCTCTGGGGAATAAAAGGCAGGGCAGAGACGAATAGGTGCGACAGACAGCTATTCATCTTACGGACGGACGGACTTGAGAGAGAAATATTTTGCGGGGCTGCCGGCGCTCCTAATAAAGGAATCTTTGAGTTGACTTCAGAGGGTTTGTCGTGTTTGTAGATTATCTCTGTTTCATTCAGGGCCTGTGTGTATGACCACCTGTGCCTGCTCAAGCTTTTGTGTGACCGTTTTCTCCACCACGTTTTCCCTCAAAAGGATGCTTGAACACTGAATGGGACTTGCCCTGAGTGTCCCTGGTTTTCTTGTTTTCTCTTAGTGAAAAAGGCCCTTCTCGTTTCTTCTCTCCCTTGTTTCTCACAGGCTGGTCCCAAAGCTGTTCTATAGTTGCGACGCAGGGCAGACTGATCCGGTCGTAGCTCTGGCCAAGGAGCAAAGCAGCGTCTACCTGAAGCTCCTGATGCACGAAACCCCACCGACTTCCCACTTTGCAGTGAGCACCATCACCAGGTAGAGCTGCATTTAGCAGGGAATAATAAAACGCCTCGTTCCGGGAACATCGTTCAGGAGAGAAGCAACCTAGAACTAAAGAGAAATTTCCTGACAGTTAGAACAATTAACCAGTGGAAGCACTTGCCTTCAGAAGTTTTGGGTGCTCCAACACTGGAAGTTTTTAAGAAGAGTGTTAAGGATATTCTTGGCTCATAACCGATGATGTGGGTTATTGAGCAGAGTACCCTTTGAGTAAACACATGAAAAGTGACTGGGAGTGGTTGTGAACAATCACAGTCAACATACAAACACACTGAGTTGTTGTAGTCTTTTACTTTTAGAAAAAGTAAAGCAAAGTCCAAAAACAATCTAAGTCATACACAGATAAGACGAGAGTTAAAAGATCAATCCAGGGATATTTCAAGTACAAAGTCTTCTTACCAGTTGTAGTCATATACAATAAAACAGTTCTTCTTGAGTTTCAAAACAGGAACAAGTTCAATATCAAAACTTGCAATAAATAGTAGAAAGCAACATGTAGCTATGATCAAACACTGATCATGCAGAGAGATCAGGTAGAGAGTTACAGCAAATAATCAGGTAAAATGGTGTAGTATCCACACAAACCATGATCCTGACTTCCCTTAATTACATTGGCTACAGAGCTTAGCCAGTCAGGATACAGGATGATGCAATGCAGTCTTAAAGCAATATAATACCTTTCTGACTGCAAACATACATTGTTGGTTTATATATTGCCTGACCAACTAGTTAAGACAAATAACCATTTCCTAACAAAGAGATTGGACAACCATTTGTCAAAGTGGTGTAGGGTTTCCTGCCTAAGCAGGGGGTTGGACTAGAAGGCCTCCAAAGTCCCTTCCAACGCTGTTATTCCTTTCCTTTCCTTTCCTTTCCTTTCCTTTCCTTTCCTTTCCTTTCCTTTCCTTTCCTTTCCTTTCCTTTCCTTTCCTTTCCTTTCCTTTCCTTTCCTTTTTCCTTTCCCCTTTTTCCTCTTTCCTCTTTCCTTTTTTCCCCTTTCCTTTCCTTTTTTTCCTTTTTCCTTTCCTTTCCATTCCATTCGTGAGGAGAACCTGCTATTTTACTCACCTCTTTCTTTTGACTAAGGATAAATCTGCAGTCGAGTTTCACTTGCATTCTTGTAATGGATGCAAGTTAACAGCTGAATAATACAAAAAATTAGGTTTCCAGCTGCAAACTGAGCGGGGCCTTGGAGTCCTAGTGGACAATCCCTTAAACAGGAGCCAGCCGTGTGCAGCAGCAGCCAAAAAAAAATCTAATACAATCCTCGGTTGTATAAACAGAGGCTCTCCTGGCATGCCTGGAGAGATGGCTCTGTGTGCTACTTCTGGCACACATGCCATAAATTCGCCATCACTGGTATAGATTATCCTGCTTCAGCAGGGGGTTGGACTAGAAGACCTCCAAGGTCCCTTCCATCTCTATTCTGATTCAATGGATGGAAATTAATCAAGGAGAGAAGCAACATGGAATTAAGGAGGAACTTCCTAACAGTGAGGACAATTAACCAGTGGGACAGAAGTTGCCTTCAGAAGTTGTGGGTGCGCCATCACTGGAGGCTTTTAAGAATAGACTATCTGAAATAGTACAGAGTCTCCTGCTTAAGCAGGGAGTTAGACTAGAAGGCCTCCAAGGTTCCTTCCAGCTCTATTCTGATTGAACAGAAGCTCCTTTTGGGGTAGAATAAAGCCTCCAGTAGAAGGGACGTAACCAAGGGTGAAATGTTACCGGTATGGACCAGTTCGCCCGAACCAGTAGTAAAACAAAAATGCTACCAGTTCGGGTGAACCGGTATTTCCGATGATCAGCTGTGCCACGCGATTTACATTCGCTAAAAAGCAGGATTTCCTGCTTTTTAGCGAATCTAAATCGCGCGGCACAGCTGTTCCCCCCCTCACTTTTCTACTTACCTTAGAAAAGGCTTCTTAATCCTCCTTTTTCAGTGCTGCGCAGTAGCACAAAGCGCGCATTTGGCATGGGTCTAGGACTTTTTGGCTCAACCTCTTGGTGCTGCCTGTTTCTCCACCAGGGTTTCGCCTTCGTGTTATTACACCTCGGCACTTTGGGCCACGGCCCCTCCATCACAGTCCCTTCACCATTGCCCATTCGTCGCAGTACAGTTCGCGTCGGGCTTTTGGGAGCACAGGACAGTTCGAAGCCAGCCAATCGGTGCAGGGCCACGGGGGCTTTGGGATCCCTCACCCTCTACTGCCCCCTCCCCTTATCTTTTCTGGCTGGATCCCTCGTTCTCTACAGCCCCCCCACCCCCACCCCGCTGCTCTCAGCAGCCTCTGGAGGCTCCGAACTGACAGGTGAGTGGCTCTTGGCCGGGGTGGGGGCAGAGCCCCAAGCGCTACTAACAAAATACCTTTGCCACCTCCCAGCCCCCTCTTCCACAGGGAGAGGACCTGGGAACCTCTACAGCCCCCCTTCCCCCCGTCTTTTGTGGCTAGATCCCTCCCCCATACTGTTCTCGGCCGCCTCAGGAGGCCCTGAACTGACAGAGACTCCCTCTGAACTGCAACCCCCGCTCTACTCCCAAAGCCCCTGTGCCCCTGCACCGATTGGCTGGCTTTGAACTGTCCTCTGAGCCCAAAAGCCCAACGCGAACTGTACTGCGACGAATGGGCCGCGGCGAAGGGACTGGGACAGAGGGGCCGTGGCCCAAAGTGCTGAGGCGTAATAACGCACAGGCGAAACCCTGGTGGAGAAACAGGCAGCGCCAAGAGTTCGAGTTGAAAAGTCCCATTCCGTTTGGCACGCACTGCGCATGTGTGCGGGAAGCGAACCAGTAGCAAAATGAACCGGTAGCAGACTTCAGAGCATTTCACCCTGGACGTAACCATCAATTAAATATGCTTTTCCTCCTTAATCAGGAATTATTAAAGTTTGTTAAGAAATGATTAATGAGGTGCATTCATCTTGTTCTAGAACCTACAGAGGATACAACCTGATGCCAAGTCCAGCCGATGTGACAGTGGAGAACAACCTTTCCAGAGTGATCTCGGCCGTGTCCCATGCGTTGACGACCTCACCCTCCAGATCCCTGACTGTGAGTTTTGAATTTGGATCCGTTGATGTCAATACAGGTTGTCCCTGACCTACATCAGCTCGTTTAGTGACCATTCGAAGTAACGATGTCCCTGAAAAAAAGTGACTTACGGCTGCTTTTCACAGTTAAGACTGTTGCAGCCTCCCCGTGGTCACGTGATCAAAATTCAGACGCTCGGACTTCTGGTTTGGCATCGCGGCGAGACAGTCAGGGAATTAGTAGGCTCTGATGAGCTCCGCGAAAACCCGTACTGACAAACTGCTGCCGATGGGTCTGTGGGCCAGAACCGTCCTGTAGGGACGGGGAAGAAGGACTCGTATTTATGACGGTCGCAGTGTCCTGGGGTCATGCGATCCGCTTTTGCAACCTTCTGATAAGCAAAGTCAAGGGGGAAGCTGGATTCACTTAACAAACCCTGTCACTAACTTAACATTTGCAGTGATTCACTGAACAACAGTGGCAAGGAAGGTCATAAAATGGGGCAGAATTCTCTTAACAAATGTTTCGCTTAGCAACAAAAAATTTGGGCTCTTTTATACATACATACATACATACATACTATATGTATGTATGTATATAATGTGTGTTTGTGGGGAGAGAGAGAGAGAGAGAAAGGGAGAGAGATGTATACACACAGATATATACATATATACGTATGTGTGTGTGATTGTGTGTGTGTATGTAAAAGGGGAGGAGAATTTACTGCTTTTTATTTTTATTTCATGACCCAGCTAGGGTGGATCCTACATATTAAACGTTACATTTATATGATCAATTTTTCCTCTTTTTTTTTGTAGTCCACAACCTACGACCACAATCGAGCCCAAAATTTACGTTGTTAAGCGAGACATTGGTTAAGTGAAGCAAAGTCGCAAAATAGGGGAAGCCGGATTCACTCAACAACTGTTGTCATTACCTTAAACGACTGCGACGACTCGCTTAACAAACGTGGGAAGAAAGAGTGTTAAATGGGGCAAAGCTCACTTCACAAGTGTCTCGCTCAGCAACAGAAATTTTGGGCTCAAATTATGGTCGTAAGTCGAGGACTACCTATATTTTACCAGTTGGGGCTTTTTTTAAGCATTGCGCTCCTTTCCCGCATCTTAACCATGCCGTTTATCTGTTGGAGCGTGCTGCAAAACACAACCCCGTGCCTCTTCCACATTTCCCTGTGTTCCTGAGCATAATATTTTTCCTTCTTGGTTTTTTCTTTTTTTCTCCAGTTTGGCTGCTGCGAAGCATTGTGTCTTTTGTCCTCATCGTTTCCGGTTTGTACCTGGAATGTGGGATGGCACTGTGGGTAAGTTGCAATTCATTCACCTTCGTTTACTGGAAAGGGAATCCGGAGCAAGGGTCTCCAATCATCATCATCATCATCATCGTATATTTTAAGGAAATACTTGGTCGATACTTAGGATGCTGGCAGCAACCCGTATCAACCATCAGTGCCAGTTAATAATAGTTGTGGTACATTTTTAAATGTTCAGTTGGCTGAGTTTCATGTTTAATGAATAAAGCAAATAATAATAAGAAGAGGAAGAAGAGGAAGAGGAAGAAGAGACTGTGGAAAAAGAAATCGTGTGTTGTCCCGATTGTAATTGGAGCCCTTGGAGCAATACCCAAAGGGCTACCCCGCTATTTAGAAATTCTAAATTTGCCGGACTTGAACATTTTGACTCTACAAAAAACCACCTTACTCGGAACAGCTTACATCCTCCGACGATACCTTAACAGTTCCTAGGTCCTTGGTTAGGACTTGAGCTGCTGAGCTATTAACCAGCCTCAAAGGCTGTGAATCTCACTAAAGATTAAATAATAATAATAATAATAATAATAATAATAATAATAATAATAATAATAATAATAATAATAATAATAATACAAAACACAGCTTACATCCTCCGACGATACCTTAACAGTTCCTAGGTCCTTGGTTAGGACTCGAGCTGCTGAGCTATTAACCAGCCTCAAAGGCTGTGAATCTCACTAAAGATTAAATAATAATAATAACAACAACAACAACAACAACAACAACAATATTGCTTCCTGCAATAACACCAGCGGAACTGCAAAAAACTGCGCTACTTGGAACATGGTACATCTTAAGAAGGTCCTTGGTTGATCCCTAGGACGCTGGCAGCAACCCCTATCAACCATCAGCACCAGTCAATGGTATTTGTGATGCATTTTTGAATGTTCAGTTGACTGAGTTTCATGTTTAATGAATATAGTAAATAATAATATATCTATATTTTATAATATATAATATAGAAATACTTTTTATTCCTCCTGTGGCGTGGAAACTGATGATTTAAAATTGAATTCCAGTTTTTCTCACCCGGGAGGCGTGGAAGAGTCCCAGGAGAAGAGCGCAGTTGGATAGTTGGCTTGCTCCTCTCCCTCCTTTCCTCCGTTTCGTTCCCTCTGGATCTCTCTGCCCACCAAGACGCCTTGATCCTGGCTGGGAATTTGCTGGCAGGTAAGAAAAAGTATTTAATCATCTTCTTCTTTTTTAAATTCATAACCATTTGAATACAGTGTATTGTCAGGGTGTATCATTTACAAAAAAAATAATAAAGAGAAACCAAAAGAAATATTAACACATATACTGGTAACAATACCGTGTTTCTCCGAAAATAAGACCCTGTCATAAGCGCTTGGCCTTATTGCCATGTGCTCAAAAGCCCGATTGGGCTTATTATCAGGGGATGTCTTATTTTGGGGGAGACAGGGTAGTAATAATATAACAGAATAGTTTTGGCTAAGAAGAAACAGAATAGTTTCTCTTTATATTAGCTTATTTATAATTCTGTTAATTATATTGACATATTTATAATTATTAATTTTTATATTTAATTCATATATAACAATAATCTTTCTTCATCTAATTCTACCTCTTATCTCTAACCACTCATAAAAGAGCCTTGGTAGTACAGTGGACTAAAGCACTGTTATTAACATCTGCTGCTTGCAATTACTGCAAGTTCAAATCTCACCAGGCTCAAGGTTGACTCAGCCTTCCATCCTTTCTAAGGTAGGTTAAATGAGGACCCAGTTTGTGGGGGCAATAAGATGACTTTGTATAAATATACAAAAGTATGAAGGCTATTGCTTAACGCATTGTAAGCCGCCCTGAGTCTCCGGAGAAGGGCGGCATATAAATTAAAGCAAAACAAAAAAAAAACTATTCCATATCAAAGTCATATTCTGTGTCTTCTTAGTCTTTTATTTTTAAAGTCAATCTGTCCATCTCTGAACAGTCAAATATTTTCCAAATTACATCCTCATGTGATGGGGTGTTCTCATTTTTCCAATATTGTGTATTTTTTTTTTAATAAGTAAAATATTTAATCTTCACTCGCGGCTTTTAAAACACCCAAGGAGCATTATTTGTCTATAAACAGTTGCGGTCCGTGTTACAATCTAGCAAGACAGATACAAATTCACATCGGGAATATGCTTTTTGGGATACAGGCAATCCTCGATTTTCAACAATTCATTTAGTGACGGTTTGAAGTTACAACGACCCTAGAAAAAGTGACTTAGGACCGTTTTTTCACACACAGCGACCGTTTCAGCAAATCCTGGATCGAAATTCAGGCATTCGGCAACTGACTCGTTTTTATGACAGTTGGAGTTTTCTCAGGGATCATGTTTTTTTTTATTATTTAAATTTGATTTCTATGCCGCCCTTCTCCGAGACTCGGGGCGGCTTACACTGCGTTAAGCAATAGCCTTCATCCTTTTTGTATATTTATACAAAGTCAGCTTATTGCCCCCACAATCTGGGTCCTCATTTTACCTACCTTAGAAAGGATGGAAGGCTGAGTCAACCTTGAGCCTTGGAGAGATTCGAACCAGCAGAAATTGCAGGCAGCTGGTCTTAATCACAATGCTATCAGTCTGCTGAGCCACCAGGCCCTTTGCGAATGTCTGATGAGCAAAGTCAGTGGGGGAGCAGGATTCACTTAACCGTGTTACTGACTTAAGAATGGCAGTGATTTGCTGAATCACTTTGAAAGGTCGTAAAATGGGGCAAAACTCACTTAACAAATGTCTGGCTCTGCAACCTCGATTCTGGTCATATGTCGAGGAGCAACTGTCTGAGTTATTTGGATTGTGGTTTTTTTTGTTTTTAAATATTTTTTTTTACATTCAGTTTTTATTAGTTGATAATATGGCGTACAAAGAGAATACAAAAGTAAATAGGGAAATTAGGAAGGGAAAAGGAGAGAAAGAAAAGGGGGAAAAGACAAAAAAAAAAGGGCATTGACTCCTGATGCAGTAAAATAAGGCCTTAACATCTAACCTCAACTTTTTCCTTTTACATAATAATAAAAACTATTATTTTAGAATAATATAAACTCAACTTTTTACTTTTACATAATAATATAAACTATTATTTTATAATCGTACAAGCTCAACTTTTTACTTTTATAATAAAAACTATTATTTTATAATCATATAAACTCAACTGTTTTACATGATAATAAAAACTATTATTTTATCATCATATAAACTCAACTGTTTTACATGATAATAGAAACTATTATTTTATAATAATATAAACTCAGCTCTTTACTTTTATATAATAAAAACTATTCCTTTTACATAATAATAAAAAGTTATTTTATAATCATATAAACTCAACTTTTTACTTTTACATAATAAAAACTATTTTTATAATCATATAAACTCAACTGTTTTACATGATAATAAAAACTATTATTTTATAATCATATAAACTCAACTTTTTTACTTTTACATAATAAAAACTATTATTTTATAATCATATAAACTCAACTGTTTTACATGATAATAAAAACTATTATTTTATAATCATACAAACTCAACTTTTTACTTTTACATAATAAAAAATTATTTTAAAATCATATAAACTCAACTTTTTACTTTTACATAATAAAAACTATTATTTTATAATCATATAAACTCAACTGTTTTACATGATAATAAAAACTATTATTTTATAATCATACAAACTCAACTTTTTACTTTTACATAATAAAAAGTTATTTTAAAATCATATAAACTCAACTTTTTACTTTTACATAATAAAAACTATTATTTTATAATCATATAAACTCAACTGTTTTACATGATAATAGAAACTATTATTTTATAATAATATAAACTCAGCATTTTACTTTTAAATAATAATATAAACTGAAACACTCTAGGGCTTCCTGCCTAAGCAGGGGGTTGGACTAGAAGACCTCCAAGGTCCCTTCCAACTCTGTGATTCTATTCTAGCCATTTCTATAACAAGAAATCTTATCTAATCATCGGTAAAAAAAAAACCCAAAAATCAAAGTTAGTTATTTGGATTTTTAAGCGCCTGTCGTGCTTTCAGCCACCGCCTCCAAATCTTTGCAAAACCCCTGGACGCACAGCGAGGACGAAGCCAGCGTTCCTGCCGCTAAGCAAGAGGACTCGTGGGTGGCCCTGTCAGACCGGACGCTTGCCCTGTTGGTCGATCACCTGTTTTCCCATTTGCTGAAGATCATTAATATTTGTTCCCACATATTGGATGATGTCGTTCCTGGCCCGACACTGAAGGTACGTTTGTTGTCTGTCGCTGACATTGCTGGCTTATTTTTAGGTAAGGGGAGCATAAGACTCCGTTACACAGGTGGGTTTCACATACCGTGTTTTTGGGGGTATAAGATGCACCTGAGTTTTTGGGGAGGAAAATAGGAAAAAAAATTCTGCATACCAGGTATATTCACTTGGCTAGCGTCCTTAAGTCTGGTCAGCTTCAGCACATTAATTTGCTGGTTTTTTTATCCCCTGCTTGGGGATAAAAAAACAGCTTCTAAAGCACAACGGATCTTTGGAGAGAGAAGCAATGAGAAAAGCAGGCAAAGCACGGCAGTGGTGAAATCCAATTTTTTTTACTACCCGTTCTGTGGGCGTGGCTTGGTGGGCGTGCTGTGGCTTGGTGGGTGGGGCAGGGGAAGGATACTGCAAAATCTCCATTCCTGGGGCAAGGATATTGCAAAAACTCCATTCCCACCCCACCCCTGGGGCCAGCCAGAGGTGGTTCTCCGAACTATTGCTCAAAATTTCTGCTACCGGTTCTCTGAACTGCTGAAAATTTCTGCTACCGGTTCTCTGAACTGCTCAAAATTTCCGCTACCAGTTCTCCAGAACCTGCTGGATTTCATCCCTGAAGCACAGGGAGATGATGACTTTCTTTTTTTAAAAAAAAAAATCTGTTTTTCTAGGCGACGTTACCATCTCTCACCAACCCACCTTCGCTGAGTCCAATTCGGCGCAAAGCGAAAGAAAAAGAAGCGACGGAGCAAGCCACGGTCGCCATAAGCCCTAAAAAGACGAGTGAAAACAGCCCAGGTTCGGAGAACGATGGGATAAAAACCTAATCGATTTAAACAAAACAAAACAAAACAAAAAGATATTGACTATTAATGGAAGGCTCTTCAGAACCATTCCTTTTTCAGAGCCACGGAAGGCTGTTTATTCAGTTATGTCTGCATTGAACCCAATGGATTTAATTGCTTTTAAGGCGGCCGAATTTAAAAAGAAAATGCTTGGCTTTAGAAGAGCAAATAACCATAAAATTAAAAACTACCCTTTGTGAGAAGAGTCATTTGGCCCCCATTTTCTAAAACTGATACAGGCACTTGGCCTGAACTCGGCAAAAAAGCAGCCATAGGATGAGTTGGATTCGGACTTGTCATTCACTTAATGAACGGTGGCTCGCTTAATGACTATTTATAAAGGTCGATGGGGAAGCCAAGATTTGCTTAACCACCGGGTTACTAATTTAACAATTGTGTAGATTCACTTTTAAGAACTGTGGCAAGGACGGTCATAAAATAGAACAAATGTCTCTCTTTACAAATATCTCGCTCCGCAAAGTAGATTTTGGGGGCTCCCTTGTGGTCGTAACGGGGTCCTTGGTGCTCTCTGAGCTTGGTTGTTTCCTTGCAGAAATTTCATGACCCATCTAGGTTACATCATCACTGCTAGAAGGAGGGCTGCCTGGATAGAGACGATCTCGAGAGTTTTAACGTTATTAAAGAATTTCTCTTCTCTCTGCTTTGATTCATAAAGCTCCGAGACAAAGTGACACTTCAAGCTCCACTCCCCCGAGTAAATCCTCGTCCACTCTGGGTAACTTCTACCATCTCCCATCGTATCTCAAACTCTACGACGTTCTGAAGGCCACCTATGCCAACTATAAGGTATTTATTTGTATCAAACTACTTTTCCTGAGCAATCCGCACCGCGTGTGCTACCGAATTCTGGAGACCTTGCAGGCTCGTGGACCCGTAGCTCTGGTTCTTTTGTGTTTTGTAAAATCTGGAGCCCACCCTCTGCCCTGCTTTCTTTTTTTTTTTTTACTTGCAATCTGCAAGGAAATCTGCAATCTGTTTTAAAGTTTAGGGGAGTAATCTGTTCTGTCCCCGTCTCACACACGCACACCAACAGTCGACCAAGAGTTAAAATAAACCAGCAGACAAGAATTTCCTTTGATAACAGAATTGGCAGCAACCCAGTGGCTGCTTGCCAACAGTCTTTACTTACAAAGGGAGGTTTATCTCCTCCGACCGAAAACATCAAAGTCCACAAAAACCAAAGAATAGTCAAGTCCAGTCCAAAAAATCAGTCCAAGCAGAGCATATAACAAAGTTCCAGTCTCTGCTTTTTAGCATGCTGTCTAGATTTGCCATGGCTTTCCTCCCCGGGAGCAAACGTCTTTTAATTTCTTGGCTGCAGTCCCCATCTGCGGTGCTCTTGGAGCCCAGGAAAATAAAATCTGTCACTACCTCCATTTCTTCCCCGTCTATTTGCCAGGAATTGAGATTACCCATGTAGTAGGGCTGTATTGCTATTATCCTTCTCATCTTCTCATCTGTCTTTCTGCCTTCTCCTTTTGGTATCTATGATTTATCACTTGTTGTATTTTAGAATTAATGATTGTAACTATGATATATGAACATTCACTTTGTTGTTTTGTATGTATGCTGAAAGCTTTTGAACAGGAGACGAATTCCTTGTGTGTCGGATCACACTTGGCCAATAAGAATTCCTCTTTCTTTCTTTCTTTCTTTCTTTCTTTCTTTCTTTCTTTCTTTCTTTCTTTCTTTCTTTCTTTCTTTCTTTCTTTCTTTCTTTCTTTCTTTCTTTCTTTCTTTCTTTCTTTCTTTCTTTCTTTCTTTCTTTCTTTCTTTCTTTCTTTCTTTCTTTCTTTCTTTCATAAGGTTACACTCGATCTCCAAAACGTCAATGAAAAGTTTGGTGGATTCCTGAGATCAGCTTTGGACGTTCTGTCTCAAATCTTAGAACTGGCAACTCTACAAGACATTGGAAAGGTGGGTTCAGGCTGGCTTACGAGGTTTTTAAATGTCTCTAAGCCAGATCGATTAGAGCAGGGATCGGCAACCCGTGGCTCCGGAGCCGTATGTGGCTCTTTCATCCCTCTGCTGCGGCTCCCTGTCGCCGGTTGGCTGCACAATTGATAGGGCTTTCGGTTAGGACAGGTAGAGGAAAAAGGATGCCACTCTAGGAAGAGATTCTATGGTGGGGGAACTGGACTTCCGGTCGGCAGGGGAAAAAAGACACCACGCTAGGAGGAGACTCTATGGTGGGGGAACTGGACTTCCGGTTGGCTCCATAATTGAATGGGGGCTTCCGGTTAGGACCTTTGTGGCTCCTTTGAGTGTTTAAGGTTGCCGACCCCTGGATTAGAGGAACATATGAAACCATAATTAATGTTAATTAATGTATAGTTTAGAGCTTTGAATTCAGCTCACAGGGTTGTTGCATTTACACAGTAACAAAACTCCGCACTGGCAACAGGAAAGGCATCCGGCCAGTAAAATACTCTGCTAGCTGCATTCAGTTGCCCAGACTCCACCCCACAAGGGATTATGGGATCGTTAAATGAAGATGATGTTCATTGCTGTCTGGGCAACACCTAATTCTGTCTTTCTGTTTTTAGTACGTGGAAGAAATTCTGTGTTACCTGAAATCCTGTTTCAACAAAGAACCAGTCATGGCAACTGTGTGTGTTCAGCAGGTAACAATGTTCAAAATGTGTGCGCGTGTGCCTTTCTCAGAGAAGAGTTCTCCCTTGAGTCAGCTGCATTACATCCCGGGCACGATCCGTCTGAATGGATTGCTTTAATCCTTCCTAGTGTAGAATTGAACCCAAATTTGACACAACTGTCTGATAGAAGCCTCACTTCAAAATGGGGTCTGTTTAGGACAAACAGCATGCAGAGAGAGAGTGGGAGAGAGAAAGAGAAAGGGAGAGGGAGGGAGAAAGGGAGAGAAAGAGAGGGAGAAGGTAAGGGAGGGAGGGAGAAAGAGAGAGAGGGGGAGGGTAAGGAAGGGAGAAAGGAGAAAGAGGGAGAGAGGGAGAGGGTAAGGGAGGGAGAGAAAGGGAGAGAGAGAGGGAGGGAGAGAGGGAGGGTAAGAGAGGGGAGAGAAGAGAGAGAGGGTAAGAAATCAAATTGTAGCATCAGTAGATAGGTAGGTAGATAAAAGATAGATAGATGATAGATAGATAGATACGGTACGTAGGTAGAGAGGTACGTAGGTAGGTAGGTACGTAGGTAGAGAGGTACGTAGGTAGAGGTACGTAGGTAGGTAGGTACGTAGGTAGGTAGGTAGGTAGGTACATAGGTAGATAGGTACATAGGTAGATAGGTACATAGGTAGGTAGAGAGGTACGTAGGTAGGTAGAGGTACGTAGGTAGATAGGTACGTAGGTAGGTAGGTAGGTAGATAGATGATAGATAGATAGATAGATAGATAGATAGATAGATAGATAGATAGATAGATAGATAATAGGATAGATAGGATAGATAAAAAAGATAAAAGATAAGTAGGTAGGTAGGTAGAAAGAGAGAGAGAGAGAGAGAAAGAAAAAAGAAAGAAAAGAAAGAAAAGAAAAAAGAAAGAGAGAGAAAGAAAGAAAAAGAAAGAAAGAGAAGGGGGTAGGGAAAGAGAGAGACAGATCGTGAGTCTGGGTTGACAATACAATGTAGGAAATAATATATTAAATTAAGGTAAAACCATAATAAAATCACCATAATATGGAGCCATAGCCTTGCAATGGGATAGATCTTTTAATTCGATACCCAAGAAAGGTAACCATCTCACCGCTTCTGGTTTGGCTGTGATAAGATCATCCCAGCTGCCTTGAAATTTCCTAAGGGGCCATTCTTGAGCTAGATGTGTTATAGTTTGTTCTGGAGCCCCACAGTCACAGTATGGACTCAGAAACCATTCAGAAATCAAATCAATAAGCAGAAAGCAATGGAATAGATGGAACGGAGGGAGGGAGGAAGAACAAAAAGAGGGGGCAGGGTCTCTCCTTCTGAGACCTCCAGCTGGGGCGGCCTCTGGTCCCGTCCTGTTCTGACCTAGGCTTCCCCAAAAAGCATGAAGCAGACTCCTTGTCCCGACAAAAAACCCTTTTTATTAAGTTACTGTGAATTCTTCTCATTCACATCCAGCACAGTCATTCAAGGGTGAATTTCCAGTCACAGACCTTATCTGGCTTGGACAGGTGCCAGGCCGATATCTTCAAAGCTTGACAAGGAGTCTCGGAAAGTCACGATCCAATTAAGCGAACTAATTGTCTCCTGCAAACTCCACTCCCCTTTCGCTCCTCTTTCATTCTCTCTGAGAGGAGCCATTCATCGTCCACCTGTGGCTTTACTCCTGAGTCGACCCTTGTTCCTTAGCTGTTCCCTTCTCCTGGCAGCTCTGCGCATGCGCACCCTGGGAACAGGCTCCAACTGTTCTTCTACCTCACTGATGTCCGACTCCGAAGGCAGCTGACAACTGTCAGACGGCCCCGGTCCTCTCTCTGCCTCTGATGCAGAGCCCTCCCCAGACTCCAGGACTGGCCCAGGTTCCTCCCCAACCTCCTCACTGTTCGAATCTGGTGGCCGCTGGCAGACCACAACAATAACATCTCTCCTAAGGGCAGAGCTGAGGGTTCACCTTCTCCTTTTCCTCCTCCTCCTCCTCCTCCTCCTCCTCCTCCTCCTCCTCCTCCTCCTCCTCCTCCTCCTCCTCCTCCTCCTCCCTCCCTCCCTCTCTCCTTCTCTTCTTCGTTGGGCATTGATTTTTCACAAAGCTTCTTCTTTCCCGCCTTCTCCAGTTACTCAAGACCTTGTTCGGCACCAACTTGGCCTCGCAGTTTGACAGCTGGTCTTCCAACTCCTGCCGAGCTCAGGCCAAATGCCAGCGCTTGGGCTCCTCCAGCTTACGGCCGGGCCTTTACCACTGCTGCTTCATGGCTCCTTACACCCAGTTCACCCAGGCCTTGGCCGACGCGAGTTTGAGGAATATGATGCAGGCCGAGCAGGAACGGGACACCTCAGGGTGAGAGCCGCTTCTCTCCTTCCAAACCGGGCACTGGTTTTGCCATCGTGTCTAGATAATTGATTGAAATACAGGTGGTCCTCGACTTACGACGGTTCGCTTAGTGACCGTTTAAAGCCGCAACGGCACTGGAAAAAGCGACTTAGGGCCGTTTGTCCCAGTTACGACCTTTCCAGCATCCCCCGCAATCACATGACTGAAAATTCGGACGCTTGGCAGCCGGTTCCTATTTATGACCGTGCCTGGCCGTCCCAATGTCCCGGGATCCACTTTTGCGACCTTCCGACAAGCAATGTCAGCGGGGGAGGCTGGATTCACTTAACAACCGGGTGACTAACAATATCCCCGGCGGCGATTCACTTAACAACGGAGGCGAGAGCAGTGGCAAGGTGGGGCAGATTAACAAAAGGTTCTCACTTAACAACAGAAATTGGGGGCTCAGTTGCGGTCGTAAGTCGAGGGCTACCTGTGAGCGCAGGAGAAATACACGCGTGAGTCTTGCATGCTTTCAAAGCACAGGTGTCCAATCTTGGCAACTTTAGAACATGTGGACTTCAGCTCCCAGAATTCCCCAGTCGGTTGAAATCCACATGTCTTAAAATTATAGATTTATTGTGAAAAGACTGGACAACGTGCAGGCAGTCTAAATGTTTTAATTAGCGATTTCTTGGAACTACCGTGTTTCCCCCAAAATTAGACCTCCCCGGATAATAAGCCCAATCAGGCTTTTCAGCGCATGCTCTAAAATACACCTCCCCCCCCCGAAAATAACCCCCCCTCGAAACTACTTAAACACATGCGCAGCTGGTCCCCACCATGTACTCTGGTTGGTTGCCGCGCAAACAACACGAGGTGAGGAGGCGAGGCTGGGGGGGGGGGAAAGGAAGGGGGAACATTCCCCCGCACCCCACATGCCTTTACCTAACGGCCGCTCCCGCAATCCTAGCCACCGCACCCCTTCTGTCACGCTGATGGCCGCAGCAAAACGAGTGGCAGTCCCAGCGATGCGCCTCGTGCCCCACTCCCTTACCTACCGTCACCTCCAGCAACCATGGCCACTTTTGCAGCTGCAAAAGCGACAGGAAATCCAGCGCCGCGGCCCACGTCAGGATCTTAATTTCGGGGAAACACGGTAGCAACGAATTTCTCTTGCTAGGAATATCCTAGCGCTCAGAATTGCTACAGCTGACAGCTGGTTGGTTATTGGAAAAAAAACCTTCTATGTTTAGAACCTGATCCAGTTAAACTTTAACATACCGTATTTTTCGGAGTATAAGACGCACCTTTTTCCCCCCTAAAAGGGAGTGAAAATTTAGGTGCGCCTTATACACCGAATGTAGCCCCGCCCACCCACTGGCCCGCACCCTTTGGCCTCTGCCACCCAGCAGTTACCTCCTTGCAGCAAACAGCAAGAAGAAACAGCTCCTTTCAGCTTCAGCACAGCCTAATTAGCACAAGTTGATTGGATCGGCCTCCCGACTCTCAGCTGATTTGCTCTCAGCTGTTTTGCAGGGTCCTCTGCTGCTTGCTGCAAGGAGGTAAATTGCTGGGAGCAGATTTTTTTTTTTTCTTCCTTGTGCTAATCAAGCTATGCTGAAAACGAAACTGAAAGTAAAGCAGGCTGTTTGCTGTTTGCTGCAAGGAGGCAAAATTGCTGGGAGGCAGAGGGAGATTTCTTTTTCTTCTTTTCCTCACCAAAAAAGGTAGGTGCGTCTTATAGTCCGGTGCGTTTTATACTCCGAAAAATACGGTATGCAAAAAGCAGTCAGCAATTTATTCTCTACTATAAAGGTTTTATGCCAAGAATTTTAAGATACCTAGAGGTGCTTTGGGAAGGCGGCATACAAATCTTAAGATATGCTTTCATCTTAAAAGCATATCTTAAGTCTGGGATGCAGGACCTGTTGCATTTATTAATTTAATCTGTTTCCGAGGCTTGCAAGATTCATTGATCGCAAACTAAATGAAATAAAATGAAAAAAAAATGGCTGTGGTTATTAACCTAGCCAATGTGAGGCTTTTTTCAGGGATGTGTTTCAGATGGCGAAAATCAAGGAAGATGGATGGTTAGGAAATGTGAAGTATAAATAAAAATAAATAAAACCCGACGTAGCCCAAAGTTGCTTCATTGTTGAATGAACACACCTGGCAGAAGCTGCTCCTGTTAGCCCAGTTCCATTTAAAATGCTTTTATTGTTGTGTGAATCACGGACGCTAATCCTAACCCTGTATTAATATTTGCTTTCGTAGCTGGTTTGACATATTGCAAAAGGTTTCTGCGCAGCTGAAAACTGGCACCGCGAATATGGCCAAGCACCGTGCTGACAAGGTACAAATGCAAAACACATGTTCCTTGCCATATATGTATATTTTTTTTAAGTTAACTATAAGAGAATACATCAAATATTTAACTGGGGCAGGGTATTTTTCTTCAACCGTAGGCAATTTTAAGACTTGTGGACTTCAACTCCCAGAATTCCCCAGCCAGCTATGTTGGTTAAACTGGCTGGAGAATTCGAGGGGTTGAAATCCACAAGTCTTAAAAGCTGCCATGTTGGGAGACACCCCCCCACCCCGGCCTAAAGTCCTGAAATAAATCGTTGTGTATCTCACCACTCACCACTCCTGAAAAAATGGTTCCAGCATGCATCCGTGTGCCAACCAACTGATTTTTGGGCCTTCTGGGCCCACTGAAAGTAGGGAAACAGGCTGTTTCCTGCCTCCGGAGGACCTCGGGCAGTGGTGGGGAAGGGCCGTTTTTTGCTGTCCCCAGCCTCCAGAGCCTTTCTAGGAGTTTAGGGAGGGCAAAAATGACCTTCCCCACCTCCCCGGAGGCTCTCCAGAGGCCAGAAACTGCCCGTTTGGCAACTTCCATTTTCGCCCTCCCCAGACTCCTAGAAAGGCTCTGGAGTCTGGTGAGAGAGAAAAACAGGCCTACCGGGCCATCGTGTGACAGGAGCGTGAGGGCGGGGCGCATAGAATTATGGGTGTGGGCCCGCACGGACGTGCGCCCCCTTCCTGGCACACGATGGCAAAAAGGATAGCTATCACTAGTGTAGGGTTTCCTGACTTGAGCAGGGGGTTGGACTAGAAGACCTCCAAGGTCCCTTCCAACTCTGTTAATATCTGCCAGCTGGAATCCCTTGCTAAAACAACATCTTGCAGATAATCCTTGTTTTCTGGACTACATGGGTAAGAGATCGAAGTAAGAAAGGTGCCACTTTAAAAGATAAGGTGGAGCCCCCAGAACTTCCCATGAGTCTGTTGGATCTTGCCCTTACAGTGTGGGGGGATTCGAAGTGGGCCTGCGAAGATGGGGTGGGGGGGCATTCTTTCGCGCTTTCCGTCTGAAGTCCCGCTGAGTTGCCGCCCTTCTCTTTCTCCCTTAGAATATCATCCACAATCACATCCGTCTGTTTGAACCGCTGGTCATCAAAGCGCTAAAGCAGTACACCACCACTACGTCCGTACAACTGCAGAGACAAGTCTTGGACCTTCTCGCCCAGCTCGTCCAGCTGCGGGTCAACTATTGTCTTCTGGACTCCGACCAAGTGAGTATTCAGCCTCTGTTGCAAGTCCATCGTCTTCTGCAGCCAGTCCACCCTGTGCTCCGGATCGCGGCCTGTAGTGGGAGAAGAAGGACTGGCAAAATCCAAGGGCGGCATCAAAAGAGGAAGCAGCCTAGAATTGCTGCGTAGCCACAAGTGAACTAAATCAGTTAAACCGAACCGTCTGTGTCTTTCGTGACATTCTGTCCCCTTCAACCCTTTCAGCGCTCATGGAAAGGTGTGGTCACCTTGAAAGAAGGTGCGACATCTGGAGCCATTTCATAACCTGAGTCCACGTGCTCCTCGACTTACAGCAGTTCATTTAGCGACCCTGAAAAGTTACAACGGCACCGAAAAAAAGTGGCTTTACGTCTGTTTTTCACATTTTGTAGTTTGTACTTTTTCACGCCATTGCAGCGTCCCTGGGATCACGTGATGAAAATTCGGACGCTTGGCCACTGCCTCGTGTTTATGGCGGCTGCAATGCCCCCGGGGTCACATAATCCCCTTTCTCCCCCCACACACCCCACCTCCCACTTAAAGCTTTAATAATAGACTTGATTGAAACAATATAGCAATGTATTATGGAAGTGCCACAAAAGTTCAAACTGGCTTACTCACTTAACAACGGCAAAAAAGGCGTAAAGACTAACACAATAGGTAGATCAAATTACAGCTGCCAAGTTTCTGCTCTGTTCCATATTCTATGCTATTTCATTCTATTCTGTTCTATTCTGTTCTATTTTAATTTCATTCCATTCTGTCCCATGTATTTCTGTTCTGTTCTGTTCTATTCTTCTATTCTAATTTCATTCCATCCTGTCCCGTGTAATTCTATTCTATTCTATTCTATTCTATTCTATTCTATTCTATTCTATTCTATTCTATTCTATTCTATTCTATTCTATTCTATTCTATTCTATTCTACTATTCTAATTTCATTCCATCCTGTCCCATGTATTTCTATTCTATTCTATTCTATTCTATTCTATTCTATTCTATTCTATTCTATTCTATTCTATTCTATTCTATTCTATTCTATTCTATTCTATTCTAGTTTCATTCCATCCTGTCCCATGTATTTCTATTCTATTCTATTCTATTCTATTCTATTCTATTCTATTCTATTCTATTCTATTCTATTCTATTCTATTCTATTCTATTCTTCTAATTTCAATCCATCCTGTCCCATGTATTTCTATTCTATTCTATTCTATTCTATTCTATTCTATTCTATTCTATTCTATTCTATTCTATTCTATTCTATTCTACTATTCTAATTTCATTCCATCCTGTCCCATGTATTTCTATTCTATTCTATTCTATTCTATTCTATTCTATTCTATTCTATTCTATTCTATTCTATTCTATTCTATTCTATTCTAGTTTCATTCCATCCTGTCCCATGTATTTCTATTCTATTCTATTCTATTCTATTCTATTCTATTCTATTCTATTCTATTCTATTCTATTCTATTCTATTCTATTCTATTCTTCTAATTTCAATCCATCCTGTCCCATGTATTTCTATTCTATTCTATTCTATTCTATTCTATTCTATTCTATTCTATTCTATTCCATTCCATTCCATTCCATTCCATTCCATTCCATTCCATTCCATTCCTTCTCTAATTCTATTCTAGTCTAATCTATTCTACTCCTCTACCCCATTCCATTCCATTCCATAGTTTCTATTCTATTCTATTCTATTCTATTCTATTCTATTCTATTCTATTCTATTCTATTCTATTCTAGTTTCATTCCATCCTGTCCCATGTATTTCTATTCTATTCTATTCTATTCTATTCTATTCTATTCTATTCTATTCTATTCTATTCTATTCTTCTAATTTCATTCCATCCTGTCCCATGTATTTCTATTCTATTCTATTCTATTCTATTCTATTCTATTCTATTCTATTCCATTCCATTCCATTTCTTCTCTAATTCTATTCTAGTCTAATCTATTCTACTCCTCTACCCCATTCCATTCCATTCCATAGTTTCTATTCTATTCTATTCCTTCTCTAATTCTATTCTATTCTATTCTATTCTATTCTATTCTATTCTATTCTATTCTATTCTATTCTATTCTATTCTATTCTATTCCTTCTCTAATTCTATTCTACTCCTCTACTCCATTCCATTCCATTCCATTCCATTCCATATTTTCTATTCTATTCTATTCCTTCTCTAATTCTATTCTGTTCTATTATATGTGTGTGTGTGTGTGTGTGTGTGTGTGTGTGTGTGTGTGTGTGTGTGTGTGTGTATTTCCCAGTGGAAGGAAATTTGTGCACGCAGAAATATTTTTCTCTTTGGGATCTCAAACCTAAAGAGGGTTTGCCTCCATCCTTGTCCAAACAAGACCAGATGACATGAAAGACATTTGACAGTTGAAGTCCTGTTCGTTTCTTTTGTGCTTTGTTTCCGTTGACATAAAATACGATTTGCAGTAACGAACACCCAGTAATGAGCTGTTTGTTGTTCTCATCAGATGTCACGGTCTGTTTCATTCCGATTTGATGGAGGTAATGTCAGAATGTACCCAGCTGATATTTGCCAAAATTAATCCGGGTGTTTTTTTCTTTTTGGCTTTCAGGTATTTATTGGATTTGTGCTGAAGCAGTTTGAATACATTGAAGTCGGCCAATTCAGGTACAAATTTCAGCTCAGACTGGAACTTTCCTTATATATTTATGCAAAAAGGAGGCTCAACACCAGCGAGCGATTCTGAACCTTGTTTCTTCTTCTTCATTGAAAAGGAAGGAGGAAGGGTAGTAGAACCTAAACTTATATACCGCTTCATGGTGCTTTTACAGCCCCCTCTAAGCGGTTTACAGAGTCAGCCTCTTGCCCCCACAATCTGGATCCTCACTTTACCCACCTCGGAAGGACAGAAGGCTGAGTCAACCTTTGAGCCGGTCAGGATCGAACTGCTGACAGTGGGCAGAGTTAGCCTGCAATGCTGCATTCTGACCACTGCGCCCCCATGGCTCTTGGAACGACTCATACTCCTCTCCTGATGTTGAGAGGGTAGTCCAACATGTCTTTTTCTTTTTTTTTTTTTCTTTTTTTTTTTCCCCACCAGGGAATCGGAGGCCATTATTCCGAGCGTCTTTTTCTTCCTGGTGTTGTTGTCTTACGAGCGCTACCACTCCAAGCAGATCATTGGAATCCCTAAAATTATTCAGCTCTGTGACGGGATCATGGCCAGCGGAAGGAAAGCAGTGACACACGGTAACGGGAAATCAGAAGTCATAGAACTGAACTCCTCACAGGAGGAGTTACTAAATATGGCAGGCACTTAAAATTTACAATGAAATGTATTGTCCTGCTGCAACTTTGCTGGATCTTTATTGCTTTCTCCCTTTCCCTCCTTCCTCTCCCTCTCCCTTTCTCTCTCCCTCCTTCCTCTCCCTCCCTCTCCCTCTCTCTCCTTCCTCTCCCTCCCTCTCCCTCTCTCCTTCCTCTCCCTCCCTCTCCCTCTCTCTCCTCCCTCTCTCTCCCTCTCTCTCCCTCTCCCTCCCTCCCCCCCTCTCTCCTTCCTCTTTCTCTCTCTCTCTCTCTCTCTCTCTCTCTCTCTCTCTCTCTCACATACACACACACACTTTCAAATATACCCCCAGTATATCTTTCTGCGTAAAGATATATTTCTATGGAAATACCATAAAACTGACTTTCCGGAGCCTTTTATGAGGTTGACAGATAATAACTCTGGAAAAAAGGAGCAAAGGCTAAGAAACAATGAAAGCCAATGTAAATATTGGAGACTTTGAAATTTGTGTCACTTTAAATTGAATATGTCGATTAATAACATTAGAAGACGTCAAAATGTCATTTGTTGAGACCCTGATTCTACAGTAGGGGAAATTGTTCTTTGGCATGATTCTTTAGCTAAACTTTAACATCAGTGGTGGGGTTTAAATTTTTTTACTACCGGTTCTGTGGGTGTGGCTTGGTGAGCGTGGCATGGTGGGTGGGACAGGGGAAGGATACTGCAAAATCCCCATTCCCTCCCCACTCCTGGGGAAGATTACTTCAAAATCCCCATTTTCTCCCCACCCCACTAACCAGCTCTGGGAAGGAATCAAACTCCCCCCTCTTCATTTCCCCAAATAAAATATTACTCATAAGAAAAGGCTCCCAGAAAAGCAAGGAAAAATCAAGCTGCTAACAAACAAACCTGCCTGAGGCTCATTCCACATTCCTGCCAGCTGCATAAAGGAAACTTTGTAAGAAAACAACAGCTACCGGTGCTTAGCCGGAAGTTCAGCTCCATTTACAAGCAGGCAGAAAATTCATTCAAGACAGGATATTTCACAATGGAAATCACCCAAACCTTTTTAGAAACACAAAGCCCATGTTGCACAAACCCCAAAACTTCAAAAACATAGAACCGTATAAGAATTCACTCCTCTTATCCAGTTTGTTGTTCAGCTGACCCAGAAACGAACGGCTGAATGTCACTTTGCTTCTGCAAGTAAAAACCTCCTTCCAGCAGCTGCTTCTTGGCTTGTCAATTTAAAGCGACGGTGTCTTCTGGTTTTTGTTTTTTTTTCTTCTTCTTCTTCTTTGTCAAGCGATCTCCTGGCTGAAAAGCGAGCCCTGATTTTGTTTTTCTTTAGCAATCCCGGCTCTGCAGCCCATCGTCCACGACCTCTTCATCTTAAGAGGAGCGAATAAAGCTGATGCCGGCAAAGAATTAGAAACCCAGAAGGAAGTCGTGGTCTCGATGTTGTTGCGGCTGATCCAGTATCACCAGGTAAACCCCGCGGTTGCTCACCTGTGTCTCTGAACATCCTCACAACTCCCAGATGGCGGATTTTATTGCAAACACGCTGAGCCTGCCTGTCTGAGTGATTGGACTGGAGGTGATCTGACCAGGCTCTCAAACACGACAAACCCCCTGTAGTTGAAGCAATGATTCCTTTATTAGGAGCACCAGACTCACCGCAGACTAATAAGTCCATCCAGCTGGGAGATGAATAGTTGTCTGCCATATCTATTCATCTCCACCCCCTGCCTTTGATCCCCAGAGCTAGGGTGGCTCTTCCGTCCCGAGGACCGGTCCATAGATTTCCACTGCTCTTCCTTCCTTCCTTCCGATTAGAATGCAGTATTGTAGGCTGACTCTGCCCACTGCCAGCAGTTCAATTGTTGTGGCCCGTCAGCAGCCTGTGCGGATTGTAGCTGATTCTGACAGCGAGGAGGCTGGTATGGTGCTGCGCCAGCAGTCTGTGCAGCTGGCACTCGAGTCAGACAATGAGGGTGCTGGAGAAGAGGTGGTGCCAGAGGCGGGGATTCAGCCAGGGCCTTCAGAACCTCCAGAAGCTCCCATAAGTGAAGAGGAAGAAGAGGAGGAGCCTCTTCTCGAGGCACGGGTGCGCAGAGCTGCCAAAAGGCAGGAGTGGCTCCTCAGGAGGAGGTCTCCTCGAGAGTAAGGCTTGGGGCTAGTTGGCCACTCCCTTAGCCTATTTAAGGAGGAACGCCAATTGCAGCAATTTGTAGGGAACAACTTTAGTTCACTCTACTTCGCATTTGGATTCTCTGCAAATTGCTTCTGGGCTTTCTGCCAACCTTAGTAAGATTGTGACTACTTTATCTTTGTTTTCTTATAGGCTGTTAAGGAAGTTTATTAACAGCCTTTGTTTGGAAAAGACTGAGTTATTTTAGTAAATTTAAATGTGCGTGCTGTGTTCTTTGGGATCCATAGCTGGGGCAGAAGATCAATCCTGAATCAATTGACTCAGCCTTCCGTCCTTCCGAGGTCGGTAAAATGAGGACCCAGATTGTTGGGGGCAAGAGACTGACTCTAAAGTGCTTAGAGCCCTGTGAAGCGGTATATAAGTCTAAGGGCTATGGCTATTGGTATTCTTCTTTGCTGGCAGGTGCTGGAGATGTTCATCCTTGTGCTGCAACAGTGTCACCGAGAGAACGAAGAGAAATGGAAGAGGCTGTCGCGACAGGTAGCCGACATCATCCTGCCAATGCTGGCCAAACAACAGGTGAGGGTTTACCTTTGGTCACAGGTAGCCATCGACGAAGATATTCCCTCTTTCTGCATGGAGGAAAAACTTCCTTTTCCATTCCGCCCCTTAGGAATCAGGGCCTGGTATAGAGCGGCCAAGCCCTCTCCAGGCGCCTGATGGACATCTGGCCACGTAGCGTGTGGAGAAGCTGCCCTGGCATTTTCTTTTATTTATATATATATATTTATACATATACACACACCGTATTTTTCAGAGTATAAGACACACCTTTTCCCCTCCCCAAAAAGAGGGTGAAAATCTGGGTGCGTCTTACACTCCGAATGTAGCCCCGCTCAGCTTCTCAAACGGAGGTTTCAGAGGCTGAAAAAAGCATCAGAAAAAAAGCTTCAGAAAAAAAGCCTCCAAACAGAGCTTCAGAAAAGAAGCCTCCAAACAGAGCTTCAGAAAAAAAAAACCTCTGAAAGGCTTTTATCTAAAATAATATGGCAAGCAACACAAGAAGAATCGGTAAAGGTTCTAACCAAACGATGCTAACCAATCTGGAGAATGACACCATAACCAACAGATGGGAAGAGGTTAATCTACATACCAATACCAAAGAAAGGAGATTGAACAGAGTACAGATAGTCCTTCAGAATAAACGCCTCTGAAAGGACTCGATTGCAGCCGTCGTTGACCCTGTTGTGTTTGTCGGTTTGTTTTAACCCTCCCCAGATGCAAATAGATTCCCACGAAGCCCTGGGGATCTTGAATACCTTGTTTGAGATCCTGGCGCCTTCCGCCCTGCGCCCGGTGGACATGCTGCTGAGGAGCATGTTTGTGACGCCCAGCACCATGGTAAGGAGGGGGGGGAGAGGCATCTGGCCAAGAAGCCGCTCAGCGAGAGGGAAGGAGGCCTCGCTGCCCTCGGTCCGGGCTCAGGACGTCCCCAACTGCCCTCTTTCTTTTCCTGGGGTGTCCGGGGGTTAAGCATTTGGGTCTGGACGTTCCCTCTCCTTGCAAAGGCGTTGTGGGGAGGACAACAGGGGCAGCCTGCCTGGCGCCTCCAACTCCTGCTGAAAAGCGGGGTATAAATCCGATTCGGTCCATAGCTGGACCGGGGTGCTTAGCAGCCAAGGCCCCTCTGCTGATGCCCCCTCCAGAAGGGCATCTGGGCCTCAAGCCCCCTTCGCTTCGTAGGCAGGCGGCGGGGAAGGAAATGGCTAAGCTGCCAAGGGCAGGGGTGTTACAGAGGAACTGCCTTCCTTTGGGCAAATGATCAAGTGGGAAGGGGAGGGTGGAATGGGAAGGGGAGAAGAGGGGAGGGGAGGGAAAGGGGAGATGAAGGGAAGGGGAGAGGGGATGGTAGAAAGGGAAGGGAAAAGGGAAGGAAAGAAGGGGAAGGAAGGAGAGAGAAGAGGAGGGGGAAGAAGGGGAGGGGGAAGAAGAGGGGAGGGTGAAATGGGAAGGAAGGGGAGGGTAGAAAGGGAAGGAACGAAGAGGAAGGAATAAGGGGAGGGGAGAGGAAGGGGAGGGTGGAATGGGAAGGAGAAGAGGGGAGGGGAAGGAAAGGGGAGAGGAAGGGGAGGAAGAGGGGAAGCTAGAAAGGGAAGGGAAAAGGGAAGGAAGGAGAGAAGGGAAGGGAGAGGAAGGGGACGGGGAAGAAGAGGGGAGAGTAGAAAGGGAGGGGAAGGAAGGGGAGGGGAGGGAGAGGAAGGGGAAGGGAGGGTGAAGTGTGAAGGAAGTGGAGAAGAAGGGGAGGAAAGGGGAGGGTAGAAAGGGAAGGAAAGGGGAAGGAGGGAAGGGGAGGGGAAGGAGAGGAAGGAAAGGGGAAGGGGAGAGAAAGGTGACTGGAGGGGAAGGAGAGTGGAGGATGGAAAAGGAAAGGAAAAGGAAGGGGAGAGGAAGGGAAGGAAGGAGAAGGGAAAGGAAGGGAAAGGGAGAAAAAGGGGAAGGAGACGGGAGAGTGGAATGGGAAGGGAAGGGGAGAGGAAGGGAAGGGGAGGAGGGGAAGGGGAAGGAGACGGTAGAAAGGGAAGGAAAGAAGGGGAGAGGAGAGGGAAGGGAAGGGGAGGGGAAGGAGAGAAAGGTGAGTGGAGGGGAAGGAGAGTGGAGGGTGGAATAGGAAAGGAAAAGGAAGGGGAGAGGAGGGGAAGGGAGGGGACGGAAAGGGGAGGGGAAGGGAAGGGGAGAAAGAGAGGAAGGAGATGGGAGGGGAAGGAGAGGAGAGGGTAGAAAGGGAAGGAAAGAAGGGGAAGAACAGAAGGGAAGGAAGGGAGAGGAGAGGGAAGGGAAGGAGAGAAAGATGGGAGGGAGGGAGGGACTAACTTAAATAATGAATATTTTGTCCGCTTCTCCTCCCCCCTCCCTTTTCAATAGGCTTCAGTGAGCACCGTTCAGTTATGGGTCTCTGGCATTCTGGCTATTCTGCGGGTCTTGATTTCCCAGTCCACCGAAGACATCGTCCTCTCCCGCATCCAAGAGCTCTCCTTTTCCCCGTATCTCATCTCTTGCCAAACAATTAACCGGCTGCGGAACGGGGAAAGCAAAGTTCCTCCCACTCAGGAAACCTCCACGGATGAGCAAGATCGCTTTCTTCCCGAAGAGACCTTTTCCAGGTATAGGTTGCTCATAAGAGCCTGCTATTTATTTATTTATTTATTTATTTTTTAAACCATTAAGAAAAAAAAAAGAAGAGAGAGATAAAGGCTCTGAGATAAGGAATGGAGGAAAATATATATAGGTAGCCCTCGACTTAACGACCGGAGGCGAGCCCAACATTTCTGTTGTTGCTAAGCGAGACATTTTTAAATGAAATTTTGCCCCGTTTTACGACTCTTCTTTCCCACCGTTCTTAACTGAATCACGGCAGTTGTTGAGTCAGTAACAGGGTTGTTAAGTGGATCCGGCTTCCCCCATGGACTTTGCTTGTCCGAAGTTCGCAAAAGAGGATCACGTCACACACACACACACACACACACACACAGGCCACACGGGACACGAGTCAGTTGCCATGCGTCCGAATTCGGATAGCCTGACCACGGAGGTGGTGCAAAGGCTGTAAGTGTGCAAAACGGCCCTCGGTCCCCTTCGCCGCCGTAACTTCGAACGGACCCTAAGCAAACTTTCGTAAGTTGAGGACTATCTGCATCATCAATGTAAACCTTGGAGAAGGCCAAGAAGATGGATGTAACCGCAGAGCTGGCTGTGCATATCAGGGTTCCCCCCCCCCTCCGTTTTGCAAAGTCCTTTTTTTGCTTTTTTCTGGGCTTCATGCTTGGCCTCTACAGTAGTGGCCAAAATTGTGGAAAACTTTTGGGAAAAGTGTATTTTCTAAAACTAGCTAATAACACTATTTTTTTTAGTTGTACCATAAAATTTTATATATATATATATATATATGTTTTCTCAGGTTTTCGCGGGTGTTTGTATGTAGGTCTTTGGTCTTGGCGACATTTCGACAAAGTCTCATTCGTCATCTTCCGGCTGGTGTTCTCGGCTTCGTGCTTCCAGGAGCAAAGGAAAGCACGAAGCCGAGAACACCAGCCTGAAGATGACGAATGAGACTTCGTCGAAACGTCGCCAAGACACTTCCAATTTTACGTGGGAGAAGACCCGAATAACCAAAGACATACATACATATATATATATATATATATATCAGTGATAATAATAACTTTATTGTCATTGTCATTTCTTTCTAGATTCCTCATCCAGTTGGTGGGGATTCTGCTGGAAGATATCGCCAGCAAACAATTGAACGTGGAGACGAGCGAACAGCAGCACACCTTCTACTGCCAGGAACTGGGCACCCTTCTCATGTGCTTAATTCATACCTTCAAATCAGGTGCTACTCAACCCCCTTCTTCTTGCCCCTTTACCTGAAGGGAGGAAGGGTCAAGCTAGCCGTGGGGTCCCCGTGCAGCATCTCCCCTGGCAGAACGGAATGGGACAATGGCCAACTTGCCGTGATCAATTGTGCGGCAGCCAACTTGACATTGGCCAACTCGCCACAGGGCAATTCAACGATTCAAATTAATTAGCTGAAAGAATTGAGACATTAAGTTTTGCCATTCCCCCCTTCGTCTTGTCCCTCCTTCGGCATCTTTTCTTTGATGATCCTATTCCACCATTTCTTCGATATTAGTATAAGTCTTGCCCCACGGAGAGCTGTTCCGAGGCAAGTTGGCGGTGGCAAGTTGTCTCATAGAGAGTTTGACTGTGGCGAGTTGGGCTGTGGTGACTTGGCTGTGGCATGTTGTCTTACAGCAAGTTAGTCATGGTGAGTTGGCCACGGTGAGTATGTTGTGGTGAATTGTCCTAGTCTAGGGGTGCCAATCTCTGACCCGCAGGGTGCTTAGATCTGGCCCGTGTGGCCACCCTGGAAACAGCAAAGGACCGGCCCTCAGTGCCTCTGCCAGCAAAAATGAAGCTCGGGAGCCCTCCTGAGCTCCATTTTCACTGGCAGAGGGTTGCAGGAGGCCGTCGCAGATGAAAACGGAGCTCAAGAGCCCGTTTTCGCTGGCAGAGAGTTGCAGGAGGCTGTCACAGCTGAAAACGAAGCTCAGGAGCCCGTTTTCGCTGGCAGAGGGTTGCAGAAGGCCATTGCAGCTGAAAATGGAGGTCAAGAGCCCGTTTTCACTGGCAGAGGGCTGCAGGAGACCGTCACAGCTGAAAACGGAGCTCAAGAGCCCATTTTCACTGGCAAAGAGTTGCAGGAGGCTGTCACAGCTGAAAACGGAGCTCAGGAGCCCGTTTTCACTGGCAGAGGGCTGCAGGAGACCATCACAGCTGAAAACAGAGCTCAACAGCCCATTTTCACTGGCAGAGAGTTGCAGGAGGCTGTCACAGCTGAAAACCGAGCTCAGGAGCCCGTTTTCACTGGCAGAGAGTTGCAGGAGGCTGTCACAGCTGAAAACGGAGCTCAGGAGCCCGTTTTCACAGGCAGAGGGTTGCAGAAGGCCATCGCAGCTGAAAACGGAAGTCAAGAGCCCGTTTTCACTGGCAGAGGGCTGCAGGAGACCGTCACAGCCGAAAACGGAGCTCGGGAGCCCGTTTTTGCTAGCAGAGCGCTGCGCTCGGGCCCCCACAGGCACCCCTCGACACGAGTGACGTTGAGCTGGCCACACCCACCCTCATCACGTCCCCCAGACCACACCCCTCCAGTCCTCCCCAAGGTCAAATACAACCCTGATGCGGCCCTCAATGAAATTTTGGCAACAGGATAAAACCTTTCATTTCAGGAAAACAGCATCCAGTGATATTCGGCTGAACAAAAAACCAGAGGGGGTGGATTGTACAGGTAGTCCTCGTCTTACAACAGTTCATGTAATGAGACCGTTCAAAATTACGACGACGCTGAAAATAAAATGACTTAGGACCATTTTTCACACTGGCAACCATTGTAGCCTTCCCACAGTCACGTGACCCAAATTCAGACCCTTGGCAACGGACTCACACTTGTGACGGCTACAGTGCCCTTTGGCGACACGCGATCCCCCTTTTGCGACCTTCCAAACAAGCCCAAGTCCACGGGGAAGCCGGATTCCCTTAACAACCGTGTCGCTAACTTAAAACATCTCCGGCAATTCACTTAACAACTGTGGCGAGGAAGGTGATCAAACGGAGCAAAACTCCCCTTAACGACTGTCTCGGCAAGCGACAGACGTTTGGGGGGCTCTATTTTTGCGGTCGTAATTCGAGGACTACCTGTAGGTAATATTTCGGCGGGAACCCCAAGCTATCGGTTGGGACTGATTTGATAACGATGTTTTTTTTCCATCGTTTCGGTCTTTCAGGGATGTTCCGAAGAATCACGGCTGCGGCGACCAAGATTTTTACCGAGAATGGACCGCACGGTCTTCATTTCTACACCCTCGAAAGATTAAACGATCTTGTCAAGTCCATGATAGCCACGCACCCATCCCTGGTGCTTCTCTGGTGTCAGATCCTGCTGCTTGTTAACTACACCAATTCCAGCTGGTGGTCCGAAGTTCATCAGACCCCCAAGTAAGTCTGTTTTTAACAGATTAACAGAGTTGGAAGGGACCTTATAGGTCATCTAGTCCAACCCTCCACTCAAGCAGGAGACCCTACACCATTTCTGTTTTTAAGGTCTTCAGGTCTCCTCCTCGGCCCAGAGTGGATGTGTCTTTGTGATTTCAAACGCTGCCCTTTGCTTTACAAGTCTTATTTCTCGTGTAAATGTCCCTCCTATTGTTCTGTCCCCAACCACACGCACACACACACCAACAGACGTTCAAGAGTTAAAGACCAAACCAGCTGACAAAATCCTTTTCCTTATGATAACGGAACTTGGCAACAACCTAGTGGCTGCCTGCCAAGAGTTTATTATTTACGAAGAGGAGAGATAACTTCTCCCCACTTCTGACACATCAAAAGAAACAGCTCAATAATTACGGAGTTAATCAAGTCCAGAGATAATCCAGCAAAGTCTTATAGAAAAAGTCCGGCAATGCAGAATGGCGTGGAAGCTTTCAGCTTTGTTCGTCACAAGGTTTGACTGGCCACCACGCTCCCTTTTATATCCTGTGGGGTGTGGTCCAGTGACTCAGCCGAATCTCAGGCACGCCTTTTCTTCTGTTGCGCGCGCTTATCTCTGCGACGCTGGCGTGGATCCAGCCAAGACTCATTACCCTCATCACTGTCCATCTGTGGCTGCGTGGACGTGCTTGGCCCCAGCTCTATCTCTTGCCCTTTGGCGGACACCGAAGGCATTGCCAGAGAGGAGGGTCCTGGAGAGGGAGGCCTTGCCAACTCCTCTTCTTCACTCTCGGAGTCCTCTCCTGCTGATGACACAGGCTCAGGTAACGGAGCCACAACACCTATGTAGATATCAAAAACTCTTTCCCTCCTGAAAGCTTCCTCCGATTCTGATTTTAGCAGGCTAATATGAAAATGTCTTGTTTTCCTCCTCGCCTTTCAAAATTCACCTTCCTTTCTGAAGAACTCGATCATCTGGAAAGTCTCATTGTAAAGGAACCCCGAGGTTCCTTGGGGGTAATTCCAGAAGTGGTATTCAGCCGGTTCGCCCTGATTCGCCCGAACTGGTAGCAGAAATCGTGGATGGGCCTGCTCACATGCCCCAGCTCTATGCTATCCTATTTAGGCACATTTTTGAGGCCAGGCACATGTGCGGAAGGTGTGCGCGTGAGCAATGCGTTCAAACCGGATGCGCGCACGAAGGGAGTGTCTGCGCGTGGGGCGAACCGGTAGTAACAATGTGATACCTACCATTGGGCAGTTTCCATCCCCCTTCCCCTGTGGTGTCTTCATTGCTACAGCTGGGCAGGACATTTTGGCCAAGAAGTCATTCGGGTAGAAGCCGGATGGAAGTTTGGGATACATTCAGTGGTGGTATTCAGCCGGTTCGGGCGAATTGGTAGTGGTGACTGCGGTGGGCCTGGCCATCCACCCATCCCGGCGCTATGCCGTCCTATTTAGCCAAGGGTTTTTAAGACGTGTGCATGCATCCAAGCAAAGCACAAGTGCAGAAGGCCGGGCGCATGGTCGGAAGGCGCACGCATGAAGCAAGCATGTACGCGCTCACATTTTCGGTGCGCAGCGAACCGGCGGTAAATAAATGTGAAACCCACCTCTGGATTCATTTATATTGTTCAGCAGGGTTTTTTTCCAGAGGTACAAAAATACAAACAGTGCAGCTTTTTCTTTTGTCAACCCCTAAATTCTTGAATGTGTTAGTTCGATGCTATCGGATGGATTGAGAATGAAGCCATGGCATCGCCTGAGTGTATCTAGAGTGGTGCGGTGGCCTAGACGTCGAGCTCTCGCCTCACAATCAGGAGGCCGTGAGTTCAATCCTAGGTAGAGACAGATATTTCTCTTTCTGGGTACAATGAGAATGTATCTGCCGAACAAAACTCCGCACCGGCGACAGGAAGAGCATCCGGCCAGTAAAACACTCAGCTCCATTCAGTTGCCCAGACTCCATCCCCTCCCCCCAATGGATTATGGGGCCGTTAAAAGGAGATGATGCTGATCGCCTGGGTGGGTGTATGCGTGTGTGTTGTTGTTGTTGTTATTATTATTATTATTATTATTATTATTATTATTATTATTATTATTATTATTATTATTATTATTTATTCAATTTATATACCGCCCTTCTCCTAGTGGACTCAGGGCGGTGCACAGCCAAAACTAAAATACATAACAATACAAAATTTAAAATTAATTAAAAGAATTATATACTTTGGCCCGAATTAAAACAGTGCGAATTAAATTATGTATATTTTAATCAAATTTATTTCATTAAATTTTCATGCCGCCCATCTCACTGATACGGTGACTCTGTTAGTTTGTAAAGCGAATCCGGCTTCGTCCTGCTCGTCAGACGGTCGCAAAAAGGGATCACGTGACCTTTGGGACACTGCGACTATATATCCAGTCTGAATAACTGAAGAACCTGATGGTCACTCGCTGACCTTTGGCTGGCCAGTCGCCCTTCGGTTCTGTTCCTGGCCGCTGAATCAGTTTCTTACTAGCCAACTGCCTTGATCCTTCCAGATTCTTCTACCTCAGGGGTCTGCAACCTTAAACACTCAAAGAGCCATTTGGACCCGTTTCCCACAGAAAAGAAAACACCGGGAGTCACAAAAACCCTTCCCGTGCCTGACTATTTCTTGAGCGGCCACAAAACTAGCACATGTAGTTGAATTAAACGTTCTGTTTTCTTCTGAAACTTTTCTTTTCTTGGATTTATCCATGGTAGGCCTACCAGGGGGTCGAAAAGCTCAATAAATCGCGTGCCAGCGGGTGTCGCACATTGGCGGTTGTGGTGCATATTTTGAGTGACAGGGAGCCGCAGCAGAGGGGTGAAAGAGCCACATGCGGCTCCAGAGCCGCAGGTTGCTGACCCCTGTTCTACCTGTTTCTTCTTTATTTCTTTCTGGCAACTTGACTCCTAGATTTTGTAGTTTAAAAAAAAAAACCCAACCCTTTCCTTCTCTTTCCAGAAGGCAGAGTCTGTCAGGCGCTAAGTTGCTCAGCCCTCAACCCAGCGGGGATCCCCACGAAGACGACGGCGGCTCCAAGCTCAGCATCTGCAACCGCGAGATCGTGCGGAAAGGTTCCCTCATCCTTTTCTGTGACTACGTGGTAAGCGCCGAGGATTGCAGGCGATGCCCACTTTTCTGTTGCCTTTAGTGACTCATCTTCCAGCCTATTTTGTTTTTTCTTTTTTCCCCCTCGCTTTTTTTCTTCTTTTTTTTGTGTGCAAATAACCATCCAAGCTGGGATAGCCTCCCATCGACCGGTACGCTCCCACAGAGAGGGGCTCCTCCGGATGCCGTCGGCTAGGCGATGTCGGCTGACGACCCCCAGGGGGAGAGCATTCTCTGGGGGGGCCCCTACCCTCTGGAATGAGCTGCCCCCGGAGATTCGTAGGATTCCCGACCTGCGTGCCTTTCGTCGCGCCCTAAAAACATTATTATTCCAACAAGCAGGGCTGGCCTAAATTAGAATAATATTTTACTATTTTAATGGGTTGTTTTATTAGAGTTTTCGGCCAATTTATTTAATTGTTTTAAACTGCTTTTAATTTTTATATTGTCATGGTTTTATTTCTGGCTGTACACCGCCCTGAGTCCTTCGGGAGAAGGGCGGTATAAAAATTTAATAAAATAAAATAAATAAATTTTTAACACTTTCAGGTTTTCGGCTCTCTCATAAAGGGTTTTTAAATAACCGTAGCAGCTGGCGTCATAAATTGCACCTGGGAAGTGACAGGCAACTGGGAGGACCGTGAGCTCAAATATCTATGGAGATTCTCAGTCATCCGGGTCAGATTTGTCCCAAAGGGTGTTTGTTTTTTTTTCAATTGGACTTTCTGGTTTTTCTTTTGAAGACGTTTCGCTTCTCATCCAAGCAGCTTCTTCAGCTCTGACTGGATGGTGGGGAATGGAAGGATTGATATTCCTTGCAGACAGCTGGTCATTTGCATCCTTTTAGCGAGTCGTTGAGGCTACTTGGATTCTGAATCAAACCTCCAAGCGGCCCACGGGGTGCTTAGATCTGGCCCGTGGGGCCGCCTTTGTGGAAAACAACAAAGGACCGGCCCGCGGTGCCTCTGCCGGTGAAAACGGAGCTCGGGAGGGCTGTAGGCGGCCCTCCCGAGCTCCGTTTTCGCTAGCAGAGGGTTGCAGGAAGCCGTCACAGCCGAAAACAGAGCTCACTCATTTCCGTCACAGCCGAAATCAGAGCACTCGGCCTCCACAGGCACCCCTGACATGAGTGACTTCGAGCTAGCCACACCCACCCTGACCACGCCCCCCTGACCCCCCCCCGAGGTCAAACACAACCCTGATGCGGCCCTCAAAGAAATCGAGTTTGACACCCCTGTTTTAGAGAGTCATTTAGGCCACTTGGACCCTGAGAACACAGACAAGGTCACCTTAACGACTCACTAAAAGGATGCAAATGACCAGCTGTCTGCAAGGAGTATCAATCCTTTCATTCCTCACCATCCGGTCGGAGCTGAAGAAGCTTCTTGCAGTGAGAAGCGAAACAGCTTTAAATAAAAACAAGAAAGTCCAGTTGCCTCTTGGAAAAAAAAAAGCATCTTGGTTCAGTTCTCCTTGCGCGCTGCTGGCCGTAGCTTCCTGGCGGCCTTCAAGGAGCAGCCCCAGGTAGAATGCATTGCAGTACCCCAGCCATGAGGTGATCAGAATGTCAGTCAATGTCTGAAAGGCCTCCCGGTTGAGGCCAGGGTGCAACTGGAGCACAAGGAAATTCGGGTCCATGTTTGTTTCTGGATTTCTGTCTGAGAATATCTTAAAAGCCTCCATTGTTGGAGCATCCATAACTTCTGGAGGCAGGTTGTTCCGCTGGTTAATTGTTCTGATTTGTCAGGAAATTCCTCCTTAGTTCTCGGTTGCTTCTCTCCTTGATCGGCTACCGTCCGTTGCTCCTCGTCCTGCCTTCTGGGACTCTGGAGGAGCCTTCCATGCAGAGGTGGGCTTCCCGTAATTTAGCAACCGATTCGCCGAAAATGTGAGCATGCGCAGCGCTTTGCTTGCACGCGGGGCTCGCACACATGTGCGCAACTTAGAAAACGTGGCTAAACAGGTTGCTACAATCGGTTTGCCCGAACCGGCTGATTGCCCAAACCGGCTGAATCCCACCTCTGTTTCCATGACACCCTGTTGTCTCTTCCGCTCGAGTGAATCCATTCCATTTCTTTCCACAGTGCCAAAACCTGCACGACTCCGAGCACTTAACCTGGCTGACCGTCAATCATGTCCAAGAACTCATCAGCCTGTCTCACGAACCTCCCGTCCAGGATTTCATAAGCGCCATTCACAGAAACTCGGCGGCGAGTGGACTTTTCATCCAGGCTATTCAGTCACGATGTGAGAACTTCGCCTCCGTAAGTTCTTTGCTTTGGTTCTCGTGATTTCTTTTCTCTTGATGATTTTTCTCCTGCCCAACACACCTCAATTTTCCTGAGGTAAAAATTTTTTTTGCATCTTTAAAGGTAACAACGTCCTTCAAATATTGAGGTTACCGAAACAGGAGATGCGTCTGTTGATCGTTTGGCCATTGCAAATGAGTCGGTTTACTGTCCTGGTTAAAAAATTGGGAGACATGAGTTCTAATTCTGCCTGAGGCATGAAGCAGGCCAGCGGGGTGACTGATCTTGAGCCGGTCCTTCTCTCTCAGCCCTAAGTAGAAGGCAAGAGAAAGCCACTTCTGGATTCTGGCCAAGAGAACTGCAACTGTCTCTGTAAACAGTTGTCAGGAATCCATGTTGACTCTTAACAGATTTTAACAGATTAACAGAGTTGGAAGGGACCTTGTGGGTCATCTAGTCCAACCCCCTGCCAAAGCAGGAGACCCTACACCATTTCCAACAGAGGGCAGTCCAATCTCTTGAAAGTCTCAAGCGATGAAGCTGCCACAACTTCCGAAGGCAACTTCTGTTCCATCGGTTGATTGTTCTCACTGCCAGAAAATTCTTCCTTATTTCCAGGTTGAATCTCTCCTTGATCAGTTTCCATCCATTCTTCCTTCTTCTGGCCTTCAGGTGGTTTGGAAAATAGCTTGAGCCCCTCCTCTCTGTGGCAGCCCCTCAAATATTGGAAAGCTGCTATCATGTGGTCCTTCTCTTCTCTAGACTAGCCAGGCCCAGTTCCTGCAACTGTTCTTCGTATGTTTTAGCCTCCAGTCCAGGGATGAAATGCTCCCGGTTCGGACCGGATCGCCTGATCCGGTAACAATGGAGGCGGGTGGTTCGGAGAACCTGTAGCAAAAATCCCTGCCCCCCCCTGCCCAGCTGAGCCGCACAATCATCAGAGGCTTTTTTTTTTACTTTTAAAAGTATTTTTTCTACAACCTCTTCGGCTGAAAAAATGCTTTTAAAAGTAAAAAAAAAAGCCTCTGATGATCGCGCGGCTCAGCTGGGATCGTCAAAGGCTTTTAAAAACATTTTTTTTCTTTTAAATGCCTCTGACGATCCAAGCTGAGATGCCTGATCATCAGAGGCATTTAAAAGAAAAAAAAAGCCTCTGCCAATCAGGCAACTCAGCTGGGATCGTCAGAGCCTTTTGAAAGCGTTTTTTTTACAACCTCTTCGCCAAAGAGGTTGTAGAAAAAATGGTTTTAAAAGTAAAAAAAAAATTAAAAAATTGGCCACGCCAATTACCAATTAGGTAACATCATCCGATTCACTCAGCAAGCGTGTCACTAACTTTAACAACCGCAGTGATTCACTTAACAACTGTGGCGAGAGAGGTCGTAAAACGGGGGCAACGTTCACTTAACAACTGGTTCACTTAACAACAGAAATGTTGCTGGCTCAGTTATGCTCGTAAATCGAGGACTACCTGCATCACCCCGGCAGGTTTTCTGAACAGATGAGTCTGTTGCAGAATTCATCCAGAGGCTCAACCTGTTCCTCTTAATCCCCAGAAAATGAGGGTTTTTTTGGGGGGCCAAATTTGTGTGAAATCTGTGCAAGGTTACAGGTAAGAAAAAGCCACGGAGGTTTAGCTGATTTTAAAAAGGAACCTGTTAGGTCAGGGGTCAGCAACCTGCGGCTCTGGAGCCGCATGTGGCTCTTTCATCCCTCTGCTGCGGCTCCCTGTCACTCAAAATATGTGTCACAACCACCAATGTGCAACACCTGCCCACATTTTTTGAGCTTTTTGACCCCCGGTAGGCCAACCATGGATAAATCCAAGAAAAGAAAAGTTTCAGAAGAAAACAGAACATTTAATTCAACTTTTTGGGGGCTTTTTATCAGGTTCGCCTGATACGCCAGTTGCGCCCCTTTCTGAGTCAGGATTCCTTATGCACAGTCACTCATGCTCTCGTCACTTCTCGCCTGGACTACTGCAACGCTCTCTACATGGGGTTCCCCTTGAGGAGCACCCGGAGGCTCCAACTGGTCCAGAATGCGGCCGCGCGGGTGATTACCGGAGCGACATGGCGCTCCCATATAACACCTCTCCTGCGCGAGCTGCACTGGCTCCGGTGGTCTTCCGGGTGCACTTCAAGGTGTTGGTTCTCACCTTTAAAGCGCTCCGTGGCTTAGGGCCAGGGTATTTACGAGACCGCCTTCTGCTACCGATAACCTCCCACTGGCCAATACGCTCTCACAGAGAGGGCCTCCTCGGGGTGCCGTCGGTCAAGCAATGTCGGCTGGCGGCCCCCAGGGGGAGAGCCTTCTCTGTGGGAGCACCCGCCCTCTGGAATCAGCTGCCTCCCGGAATACGGCTGATCCCGGATCTCCGCACTTTCCGTAAGGCCCCGAAAATGTTTTTATTTCAGCAAGCCGGCCTGGCCTGAATAGGTTTTATGGGTTAGTTTTTAATTGTACAGCTTGGGGTTTTAAATTGGGAGGCCGATTAATTTAATTTATTTTTAGTTATCTTCACTTTTATATTGTATGTTATTTTAATTTTCGGCTGTTCACCGCCCTGAGTTCCTTCGGGGAGAAGGGCGGGATATAAATTCAATAAAATAAAATAAAATAAAAAAATAAATAAACTACATATGCTAATTTTGTGGCCGCTCAAGAAATAGTCAGGCACGGGAAGTGTTTTTGTGGCTCCCGGTGTTTTCTTTTCTGTGGGAAATGGGTCCAAATGGCTCTTTGAGTGTTTACGATTGCCGACCCTTGTCTGAGGTTGATGAGATGCTTTTTATGCTTTGATTAGTCTGGAAAACAAAAAAGACTCTAAAAAAGATATTTTTCTTCCGGTTTCAGCCGACAGCGGTGAAGAAGACGCTGCAGTGTTTGGAGGGGATCCACCTGAGCCAGTCAGGGGCTGTGCTGGTCTTGTACGTGGACAAGCTTCTCTCGACTCCCTTCCGTGTGCTGGCTCACATGGTCGACACCCTGGCTTGCCGTCGTGTGGAAATGCTTTTAGCGGCGTCGGTGCAGGTAAACCGTGGCGTCATCTGGGCTGGTCGATGGCGGAAGGCCGAGGTTTAGTCTGCCTCCCTATGGGTCTTCGAGTCATCAGCCCTTATCTCTCAGCCCTAACCCACCTCATGTGACTGGGGGTGGGGGTCGGGATTTGTATGGCCGCCCACTCAGCCATAACGTCTGTGGAGACGCTCATCAGTCATTCTCAGGGAGAAAAAAAAAATTGGGGTCTGCAGGGATAAATAAAATGAAAAATAGAATCATCATCTTCTTTTAATGACCCCATAATTCCCTTGCGAGGTGGCGCCTGGGCAACTGAATGGAGCCGAGTGTTTACTGGCCGGATGCCCTTCCTGTCTCCAGGGCGGAGTTTTTGTTCAGCAGATACATTCTTCATTGTGCCCAGAGAGAGAATGGAGCTGAATGTTTACTGGCCGGATGCCCTTCCTGTCCCCAATGCGGAGTTTTACAATAATAGTCATAAAAGCAGAATTAAACTCACCGCTTTGCTTTGCGCTCCTGGAGGTGGGTAGGCTATAAATCTAACGAACGCCCATCACCACATGGCCAAATGCACATCTCAGCTTGATCGGGGAGTGCTGAGAACACCCCACATGTCTAGGGAGATTCTCCGCCATGCAGGTCATGGTTGTCCCAAAGGTTCTTTTTTTTTTCAAGAGGCAACTGGACTCTTGTCTTTTTCTTTTGAAGATGTTTCGCTTCTCGTCCAAGAAGCTTCTTCAGCTCTGACTGAATGGCGGGGAATGGAAGGATTTATACTCCTTGCAGACAGCTGGTCATTTGCATCCTTTTTAGAGAGTCGTTGAGGCCACTTGGTCCCTGTGGCCAACTCACTGTGGGACAATTTAACTCTTCGGTTTAATGCTTTAAAATAAATTTGAAAATTATTTTATGTGCCATTCACATTTCCTCCTGTCCCATCTTTTGTATCCTTTCTTTGGCGATTCTACTCCATTTCTTCGATATTAGTGTAACTCTTGTCCCGTGGCAAATTGGCCGTGGCGAATTGTCATAGCGCCGTTCCTGTTTCTCCTCAAGGAGAACCTGAGCAGTCCCTTACAAAATTGGCCAAAATTGTAGAAACCTTTTGGGAAAAGTGTATTTTTGAGGTTTGATGGCTAATAACACCACTTTTTTGGGTGGAATTTCAAGAGAATCCTTTTCCACTGCTGGAATGGCCTGGGAATAGCCCAGACCTTAACCCAATGGAAAATATATGGAGCCGACCAAAGAAACTTGCTAGTCAGAAGCGACCCAGCAATAAAACCAGTTAATAGAAGCCATCATTCAATCCTGGTTTCACATTATCACAGCTGCAGAACTCAAAGACTTGGTTCACTCCATGGGAAGGCATTGTAAGGCCGTAATTCATGCTAAAAGTTACCCAACTAAGTATTAGTTATTAACTGACATGGGGATAATTTTTGTGTATCTCATTTTTCTATGGTCATAATTTTTGTATATTTCTTTTTTTCTACGGGTTTCCCTTTTCTTCTTTATCCTGTAACTTCTATTCTAATAGCAAATCCTTCATAAAAGTTATGGCATGACATTCTTGATGAAATTATCTTTCCATGGATATATAATTTTATGGTACTACTCCCCCCCCAAAAAACCCCAAAGTGGTGTTATTAGCTAGTTTTTGAAAATACGCTTTTCCAAAAGGTTTCCACAATTTTGGCCGCTACCGTATTCTGAGTTGAGGGGTCAGGGTTGATTCGGTGGTTTGCTTGCTCCTTTCCAGTCCTACCTTGCATGGTTAGCACAAATTCATTCGTAAAACCTACGCCTTGACCCTCTAAGCTAGACTCAGCTCAGAAACGAGCCACGTTCTTTATAACTCAGTCTTTTCGAGTTAAGTGTATTTTACGGCCAGTGTTGGCAACTTCAGCTTTTCATTCTCAAAACTGATGCGACTTTCCTGTTTTTCTTTCTTTCTTTCTTTCTTTCTTTCTTTCTTTCTTTCTTTCTTTCTTTCTTTCTTTCTTTCTTTCTTTCTTTCTTTCTTTCTTTCTCTCTCTCTTTCTTTCTTTCTTTCTTTCTTTTTGATGCAGAACAGCACGGTTCAGTTGCCAGTTGAAGAGCTGGACCGAATTCAGGAATATCTGCAGAACACCGGATTAGCCCACAGGTGAGGATCCTAATGGATTTTTTTTTTTTTTACAGAATATGGAAAGTGGCCAAATATTTGCCAAGCTTTTTCCCCTCTGCCCGAAAATGAATCCCTGCGGATTTTACTCTGCTAGTCGTCACTGACTTTAGGGGGTGCAATTGGAGTTTGTAGTTTTTATCCTTTTGAAGACATTTCGCTTCTCATCCCAGAAGCTTCTTCAGCTCTGACAGGATAATGGGGAAGGGAAGGATTTACACTTCTTGCAAACAACTGGTCATTTGCATCCTTTTAGGGGGTTGTTGAGGCCACTGGGAGGTTTATCTGTGTCCTCAGGGTCACTTGAGTGATGCAAATGGTTCCTGTAGTCTGCATTTTTTTCCTCTGGGAATCCATTCCTACTCCCACACCATTCCAAGGGTCTTCATCCCAAATTGTATAGCTAAAAGTCTGTAGAGATTCTCTATGGTCGTCCCAAAGGTGCATTTTTTCAGGAGGCAACTGAATTTTCTTGTTTTTTCTTTGAAGACGTTTCGCTTCTCATCCAAGAAACTTCTTGGATACTATTCTATCAGAGCCGAAGAAGCTTCTTGGATGAGAAGCGAAAAGTCTTCAAAAGGAGAAAACAAGAAAGTCCAGTTGCCTCTTGAAAAAAAGCACCTTTGGGATTGTCGGGAGACATTTCCGTGGTCATGTGGCCAGCATGACATCACGGAGCGCTGTTACCTTCCTTCCCACCGAAATGGTACCTATTTATCTACTCGCACTTTCGTGCTTTCGAACTTCTAGGTTGGCAGGGGCAAGGACGGGAGCTCACCCCGTCACATGGTGGCACTTGGGTCTTGAACCCAGGGTGCCAGCTTTCAAGCCGACAAGCCTAGCATCTTAACCACTGAGCCACCGTGTCACCCAATCCTAGTTTAGTTTAGTTTAGTTTATTTGATTTGTAAATCCTTCCAGAATTCCAGAAGTTCTTAACTCAAGTCTTAATGATTCTAGGCAAACCATTGTTTAGCTCCTATAATTGTTCTCCTCGCTTCATTACCTGACCCTCCTGCTGTTTCTTGCTTAGTGGCCCATGGTCTTGGGTTTATGACCGAAGCTGGGATTTCTGTCATAACCCAAGGACTATCCATTCAGCATTCATCATGCTTTTAACTGAAACGCTGTCTCGTTCCTTGTTCACCATGTGCTTTTACCAAATCAGTGCATTAAAAATATTTGAAGAATGCCTTCAAATTTACCAACGAAGGAAGTTGTTCCATATTGCAATCTCTCGTTTACATCTGGACTATTATGACTTCCTTTAACTAAATAGCTGCAGTGGAGGACATTTAAATTTAGTAAGTCAGTTTGAACTTCTTCGTGAGACTGATTTCTCCTAAATCCAATTTAGTAAGCTATCAAGGATTGACCATGAAAATAATCCATTCATGGAATTGTTTAAAATTGCACCGTCAAGTCATAAAGGGGCCATATGGTTCCCCACCCCTGCTGTAAAGGAAAATAAATAAATACCGTATTTTTGGAGTATAAGACGCACCTTTTACCCCCCAGAAAGAGGATGAAAATATGGGTGCATCTTATACTCAAAATGTAGCCCCGCCCAGCCTCCCAAACTGAGATTTCAGAGGCTGAAAGAAGCCTCTGAAAGAAGCTTCAGTAAAAGAGCCTCCAAACAGAGCTTCAGAAAAAAAGCCTCTGAAAGAAGCTTCAGAAAAAAGCCTCCAAACACAGCTCTGTTTCAGAAGTTTCAGAGGCAGAAAAAAAAGCAAGGCACAGAGCTCACAAACAATGAACCTGTTGCTAAAATTTACCTCTCGGAACAGCTGATTGGGGATATTCCGGAGGCCGATCCACCCACCAATCAGCTTTTTTTCTTATTTTCCTCCCCAAAAACTAAGGTGCGTCTTATACTCTGAAAAATACGGTAAATAGGGACAGTGCAGCCATCATAATTTTGATCATGTGACCATGGAGATGCTGCAACGGTCTTACATATGAAAAATGGTCGTAGGTCACTTTTGCTGTGGTAACTTTGAAAGGTCACTAAATGAACTGTTGTAAGTCGAGGACCACCTGTATCGCCAGAAGAGTGAGTTCTGTCTTTCTCAAAGTATCTAATCTGGTAGATTTCTTGTTTTTTTTTTTCTTTTTTCTTTTTTAAGACATCAAAGACTCTACTCACTCTTGGACCGGTTTCGTCTAACTGTGGCTCCGGAAACCATAAGCCCCTCACCTTTGGTTACGGCACATCCCCTGGATGGAGGGAACCATCCCGATCTAGAAACGTTAATTCCAGACAAAGTAAGGCTGAGTTGGTTTCCTATTAATCTAATATAATGACCAGGGATTATGGGGTCATTAAAAAGGCAATTATATAAGGCAAATACCTGTTACTAATCTCTTTTGTTTCCCTGCCAGGATTGGTTCTGTTCACTCGTGAGGTCCCAGTGCTACACAAAATCAGCTTTCGCTCTTCCAGAAGGTGCCGAACTGATGAATCGGCTTCCTGAACAGGAATTGATTCCTTTTATGATGCACCAGGTAATACGCATGTTGTCCCACGAAGGGAAAATAGCCTTCTTTCTATAACAAAGGCAGGTGGGAATAGCAATAGCACTCATATACCGCTTCACAGCGTTAACAATCCTTAAACCCCCCCCCAATGCACCCAGTCTCCCAAAGGAGCTGAGGAAGGAATGGGCCAAGGAAACGTCCCCGTCGTTAGGAGACAATCCCGCTGATGATGTTACCCAGTCTGGTAACGTGACGTTCAGAAACTGAATCGAAACAAGCTGGGAGAGCAAACCCCTGCCCCAAATCTAAAACCCGAGCTTACGAGTATTTTCTACTATTTCAGAATCAGATCAGGGAGCTTCCTATCCGCTTCTTTGATGTCCGCAAGCTAGAAGAAATTCGAGAGGGTGTAGTCGGACGTTTTCCCAATCGTCAGCCATGTCTGTCCAAAACGAAGGAGGGGGGAACCATCTCCTCCTTATCAATCCTCAAATTGCTCTGAAAGAAAAACAATAGCCATAGCAATACCTCTTAGACTTATATACCGCTTCACAGAGCTTTCCAGCCCTCTCTAAGCGGTTTACAGAGTCAGCCTCTTGCCCCAACAATCTGGGTCCTCATTTTACCCACTTCAGAAGGATGGAAGGCTGAGTCAGGACTGAACTCCTGGCTGTGGACCGAGTTTGCCTTACTGCTGCTTGGCTCTTTTCAGGATTTCAACATCAGCCTCCTCGCCCCGTGTTTGAGCCTGGGCGGGCAGGAACTCTCCCGAGGGCTGAGGAGCCATTTTGAAGCCGCCCGCCTCGTCACGCTGCACCAGGTGACGGAAGTGGTGAACAAACTCCCCGCCAGCCATCAAGTCTTCCAGCCGACGCAGCCAGTGGGATCGTCCCCGTACTGGAACAAACTCAGCAATATTTATGGTGAGATGGGGCAGAGGATTGGGCTGGCTTTTCTTGGCACATTCTCTTTGGCACTGGCATATCCGGCATGCAAGATCTCCCCATTGGAGCGGGCAACTCCTCACAGCCGGAAGCGCTTTGGCGCCTTTTGTGGGCTGTGTTGTCAGGGGGTCTGCCTCCGTTGGGCTTTTTGCAAACACGGCATCTCTCGTCAGTTGTGTCTTGGTTTACCTGTGACCCAATCACGAGGTCTTGGTTGCGTTTCTTGTATTTGAGAGGAAGGATTGTTGCGACAGGTTCTTTGTAGCGTCTATATTTCCCAAAAAGGAGAAATGGAGAATGCTGTGGCTTGTCGGCAGCCAGCCCCTCCAGCAACCAAATCAGAGGAGGAGGAGGAAGCGTGGGAGTCTGGGTCGTCTGTCAGCCCTCAGATAGAGAGTCAACAGCCCTCAGGTCTGGAAGTGGCTGATGAGGAAGAGGAGGAACAGCTGGGTCCAGTGCCCTGACATGCAAATGCACAGAAGGCAGAGGAGAGGAGAGCAGTGGAAATCTATGGGCTGGTCCTCGGGACAGAAGAGCCACCGCTGCTAACGAAACCCCACCCTATCTCTGGGGATCAAAGGCAGGGGGCGGAGATAAATAGATGTAGCAGACAACTATTCAACTCCCTGCCAGACAAACTTTTTAGCCTGTGAGAGAAAACGTTTTACCGGGGCTGCTGGCATTCCTAATAAAGGAATCTTTTGAGTCCACGTCAGAAGGTTTGTCGTGTTTGGGGAGCTGGGTCAGAACAGAGAAAAAATCTTAACAAAGGCAGAAAGCAGCCCCAGCCTTCCTGCCGTAGCCTCAAGAAGAAGCCTCTAGAGATAGAGATTTTGTACCTATGAAGAAAGTCAAGCCATCTTATTCATAAACAAAACATCTTCAGCCACACAGAAGGCTGGAGCTGATGGGAATTAAGAATTTACATTCCCCCGCCCAAATTCTAAGGACGGGACATGACTTTTAGGACATAATAGGATTAACCCACGGCCATTAGAATAGTAAAAGTCACAAGGCTCACTACATTGCACAACCCCCCTGGAGCATCTCAATCACCAAACGCCAGAACCCTATGAAAATCCATCCACTCACCCAGCCAATTAGGAAGCCACCCCAGAAACATTTTCTGCTGTCACTGAAGTTTCTGGAATCCAAATAAACAGATACCTTCTATCCTGCAGCCAGCCTCCATTTTATTTTCAGTGTCTTTCTCCCAGCTTGGAACCAGAGTGGGTTTTTCTTCCGACAATTGTCGGCTCTTGTTGATGGGAGAATAATAATGCGTGTGTTTTTTCTTGTGGAAAGTGGGTTGAGGGGTAGCTGGAGAAATAGGTCCCTAACGGCTCCCGGAGTGGGACAGAATGATTTTGCCCGTTTTCAAGAAAGGATCTTTTCCGTGACTGAACTGTTTTCTTGGGTCCTCAGAAATTTGAAAGAGGAGACCAAATCACAACGCGGTTTGTGTTATGACATTGTGTGTGTGTGTGTGTATTTTCTCCCCCACACAGGAGACCCAGAAATGTTTCAGTTCGCAATGGTTTTAGCTCAGGCTTTAAGTCAGTATCTGGTGTCGCTTTCCAAACTGCCAACTTCCCTTCGCATTCCTCCGGAGAAGGAAAACGACATTGTGAAGTTCGTTGTGATGCTGCTAGAGGTAAGGGCGATCACGATATTTTGGGGTGGGGGGGAAATGTACCACATTTTTTGGACTATAAGACACACTTTTTTGTCTCCCAAAAGGGGGTGAAAATATCTGCATCTTAAAGACTGAATATTGCCGAAGCCCCACCCATCCGCCGGCCATTTTTTGGCCTCCACACGCCCCATTTTTTGGGCCTTTTCTAGGCCTTTTTTCGGCCCATTTTCAGGGCTTTTTTTCGGCCCTTTTTTGAGGCTTTTTTTCAGCTCGTTTTTAAGGCTTTTTCCGGGCTGTTTTCGAGGCTTTGAAATTACAAAGCTTATTGGAAATATCAGCCCCTTAAAGCTTTTCCTGATCAGAGGATGATGGTACTTTTAAATAATTTATTTCAGTAATTATTGAAATAAACTTTAAATAATCTAAATAATTAAAATAATAATTATAAATAAAACTAACTTATAACTAAATAAAAAAATAATAATTTCAGGCTTTTTTTCAGCCCTTTTTTGAGGCTTTTTTTCAGCTCGTTTTTAAGGCTTTTTCCGGGCCATTTTCGAGGCTTTGAAATTACAAAGCTTATTGGAAATATCAGCCCCTTAAAGCTTTTCCTGATCAGAGGATGATGGTGCCTTTAAATAATTTATTTCAGTAATTATTGAAATAAACTTTAAATAATCTAAATAATTAAATTAATAAGAAGAAGAAGAAGGGGAAGAGGAGGAGGAGGAGGAGGAGGAAGAAAAGAAGAGAAGAAGAAGAAGAAGAAGAAGAAGAAGAAGAAGAAGAAGAAGAAGAAGAAGAAGAAGAAGAAGAAGAAGAAGAAGAAGAAGAAGAAGAAGAAGAAGAAGAAGAAGAAGAAGAAATTGCAACTTCCTGCAATAACAGTAGTGGAACTGCAAAAAAACTGCGCTACTCAGAACATCGTACATCTTAAGAAGGTACTTGGTTGATACCTAAGATGCTGGCAGCAACCCGTATCAACCATTAGCACCAGTCAATGGTATTTCTGACATATTTTTAAATGTCCAGTTGACTTGAGTTTCATGTTTAAAGAATAAAAGAAATAATAATGATGATGATGATGATGATGATGATACATAATTGGTGCCTTGGTAAGACCACACTTGGAATATTGCATCCAGTTTTGGTCACCATAATATAATAAAGATGTTGAGGCTCTGGAAAAAGTACAATAAATCAATAAAGATTATCAGAAAACGGAAGGCTAAAACATAATGGAGAACGGTTGCAGGAACTGGGTATGTCTACTATAATGAAAAGAAGGACTAGGGGGGACATGATAGCCACGTCTTCCAATATTTGAGTGGTTACCCCGAAGAAGAGGGGGGTCAACCTGTTCTCCAAAGCACCTGAGGGCAGGACAAGAAGCAACGGATGGAAACTCATCAAGGAGAGAAGCAACCTGGAACTAAAGAGGAATTTTTCTGACAGTGAGAACAATTAGCCAGTGGAACTACTTGCCTCCAGAAGTTGTGGGTGCTCTAACACTGGTGTCTTTGAAGACGAGACTGGACAGCCACTTGTCTGAAAGGGTATAGGATTGGCTACAAGACCTCCAAGGTCCCTTCCAACTCTGTTTATTCTTGTCCTAACAGATCCTGTCTTGGCACTTAGCACGCAAGCAGGTTCCCCTAAGTATGGATCTCCAGGCTGTGCTGGATTGCTGTTGCCTGGCGTTGCAACAGACGGAGCTGTGGAATCTCTGGGCATCAGCAGAGAACAGCAGCCAGGCGTCCTCCCTCATCCACTGCACCCGATTCATCCTGGAAGCAGGTGAGCCCCCCCCCATCTCCTCTCTCCCCCCCCCCGCCCGGTTTCACCCCCTTCCCTCAGCTTTTCCTTCAGTGCTTTTCACACGTTTTCACTTCAGGGCATCCAGTAAGTCAATTCCCAACCGTCTCGTTTACCTGAATTTGGAACCGTTCCTTTCATTTTATCACCTTCAGCAGCGGAGATGAGAGGCTACTGTCAAGTGTTATTTTATTTTATTTTATTTTATTTTATTTTATTTTATTTTAATTTAATTATATTATATTATATTATACTATACTATACCATACCATACCATACCATACCATATCATATGATATCATATGATATTATAATGATATGATATTCTAATATTATATTTTATATTATATAGTAGTATAATATTGTATTTATATTATATTATATTAAAATTCTAATGTTCTATTATATTTTATAATGTATTTTATATATGATATGATATATTAAAATGATATGATATTCTAATCTAATATGCTAATATATTTTATTTTATATTATAATATATTAATGATGTGATATTCTAATATTCTATTTTATATTATATAATAGTATAGTATAGTATTGTATTTATATTATATATTAAATGATATGATATTCTAATGTTCTATTATATTTTATATTTTATAATATATTTTGTATATTATATTATATTAAAATGATATGATATTCTAATATTCTATTTTATATTCTAATATTCTATTTTTTCCAATATTTATTCTATTCTATTCTTTTCCAATATTTATTTGATTTGATTCGATTCTTTTCCAATATCTAATCTAATCTATTCTATTCTATTCTATTCATTCCATTCCATTCCAATATTATTCTATTCTTTTCCAATATTATTCTATTCTATTCTATTCTATTCTATTCTATTCTATTCTATTCTATTCTATTCTATTCTATTTTTTCCAATATTTATTCTATTCTATTCTTTTCCAATATTTATATGGCTTGATTCGATTCGATTCCTTTCTAATATCTGTTCTGTTCCATTCCATTCCATTCCATTCCATTCCATTCTATTCTATTCTATTCTATTCTATTCTATTCTATTCTATTCTATTCTATTCTATTCTATTCTATTCTATTCATTTTTTATGCCTTCAAGTCAGTCTTGATTTGGGGACCACTCAGACAAGTTCTTGCAGGCTTGGGGGGAAATACTCCCACGAATGGTTTGTCCCAGATAGTTCCTTCCTAAGGCTTGAGGAACAGAGATTTCCCCAAATTCACCAGCTGCTTTTGTGCCTAGAGCAGGTCTAGAAGCGTGTCTTCCTGGCCTCCAGTCCAGTGTCTTTAACCACTGCCCCAGACTGCTCTCCCTGTCAAAGAAAATGAATGTAAATGGGGTGAAGGAAGTTCTAGGGGGAAAAAAAAAATCCGCTCACTCACTCCAGGCACAAGACAAAAAAAAAAAAAAAAAAAAAACCAAAACTTTAGGAGTCGGAGCGAGTCTGTATTCTGAAGTTTCTTCAGAAACTTTTGCTGAAGTTCAGGTGTGCCATCGGAGATCTTTTTTGGAAAAAACGTGTTGCTTCCGTCTGATTTAGTGGCAATTGAACCGGGAAATCGTCTCCTGAGTCCAGAGAAAAGAAAGAAGATTCAGAAGGCTGGCAGTGAGAACGAAAGAGGTTCACAAACACCAAGTAAGGATAAAAAGTTTGTTTGTTTGTTTTGTTTATCTATCTATCTATCTATCTATCTATCTATCTATCTATCTATTTATCTATTTATTTATTTATCTATTTATCTATTTATTTATTTATCTATTTATTTATTTATCGATCGATCGATCGATTGATTGATTGATTGATTGATTGGTTCGATTTATATGCCACCCTTCTCCGGAGAGTCTGGGTGGCTTACAATGCATTAAGCAATAGCCTTCCTACTTTTGTATATACCTGCTTAGTAGGGCTTTCGGGCCCCCCCAAGCGGTGTTCTTTTTTATACAAAGTCAGCTTATTGCCCCCACAATCCGGGTACTCATTTTACCTACCTCGAAAGGATAGAAGGCTGAGTCAACCTTGAGCCTGGTGAGATTTGAACTTGCAGTAATTGCAGGCAGCTGGTGCTACTTAATAGCGCTTTAGTCTGCTGTGCCACCAAGGCTCTTTCAGTTATAGGTCACGATTCTACCTAAGCTTAGAGTTGCATTGGATCTAATGGTGGCTGCAGATGCGTTGCAACTAAAGAGTTAGATGTGAATTTCACTTTAGGTTTACGTGTAGGGAATTGCTCTGAAGACTTCAGCGTAAGATTTACTAGGAGGAGGTGATTTTTAGCCAGATGATAGCTGGAGTTGAAGGCTGTAAGAGAAAGGTTGAGAAATGACGTTTCCCCCATCATGTCTTCTCCAGCTTCAGTTTCCCTTTGGTGGATATCCTTGGGAAATCGGAAAACATACACGCATCAAAGATATATTCATGCATTTAATATCAAACTGGATGGATGGATGATGGACAGATGGACAGGATAGGATAGATGATAGACATGATAGATGGATGAATGAATGAATGGATGCATGGATAAGATATGATACAAGATAGACAGGATGAATGGATGCATGGATGCATGCATAAAGATAAGATATATGATAGACATGGATAGATGCATGAATGGATGCATGGATGCATGCATAAAGATAGGATACATGATAGACATGGATGCATAGATAAGAGGATACATGATAGACATCATGGATGGGTGCATGCATGCATGCATAAAGATAAGATACATGATAGACATGGATAGATGCACGAATGGATGCATGGATAAGATAGGATGCATGATAGATATGATGGATAGATACATGAATGGATGGATGCATGCATGCATAAAGATAAGATACATAATAGACTGGATGGATGGATGCATAGACAAGATAAGCTACTGGGTGGATGGATACTCCCAGTTCTTAACTTCCACTTAATTTATTATAATAAATGTTTGCTTTATTGTCCACTTAAGATTCTGAGTCCATTACGGCAACTTGTGAAGTGGTAGCCGAGTTGGTAGAATGCCTGCAGTCTGTCTTGGCTCTGGGGCACAAGAAGAACAGCCCCATCCCCGCATTCCTGACCCCCGTTCTGAGGAACATCATCATCAGCCTGTCTCGGCTGCCCTTAGTCAACAGCTACGCCCGGGTTCCCCTCCTGGTACGTACTGAACCGGGAAGCGGAAGAAGTTTTCCTGCTTTCTTCTTTTCAAAGGAATGAAGCCACAGCGTTTATATTTTGAGATACCTATATTTATTATCGCAAGCACGTGCTTCTTTTTAATGATCTGTCTTTATTCAGGAACAAAGTGCCCCCAAAAGTACAGCTTCCAAATCGCTAGTATTAGTACACGGGTAGTCCTCGACATATGACAATGGAGCCCCAAATTTATATGGCTTAGTGAGACATTCGTTAAGTGAGTTTTACTCCAATTTACCACTTTTCTTGCAGGTGGTACACAATTGTGGTGTTTTTTTCAGTGATGCTGTAACTTTGAACGGGCACTGAAGTGAATTGTTGTAATTCAAGGAGGACTTACTGTATTTTTCGGAGTATAAGACGCACCTTAGTTTTTGGGGAGGAAAATAAGAAAAAAGCTGATTGGCGGGTGGATCGGCCTCCCGGAATAACCCCAATCAGCTGTTCCCAGAGGTGAATTTTAGCAGCAGGTTCCTTGGTTGTGAGCTCTGTGCCTTGCTTTTTTTTTTTTTTTTGCATTTTTTTCCTGCCTCTGAAAGCCTCCAAAAGAGAGCTTCAGAAAAAAAGCCTCTGAAGCTCTGTTTGGAGGCTTTTTTCTGAAGCTCTGTTTGGAGGCTTTTTTTCTGAAGCTCTGTTTGGAGGCTTTTTTCTGAAGCTCTGTTTGGAGGCTTTTTTTCTTGAAGCTCTGTTTGGGGGCTTTTTTTCTGAAGTTCTGTTTGGGGGCTTCTTTTCCGAAGCTCTGTTTGGAGGCTTTTTTCTGAAGCTCTGTTTGGAGGCTTCTTTTCTGAAGCTCTGTTTGGAGGCTTCTTTTCTGAAGCTCTGTTTGGAGGCTTCTTTTCTGAAGCTCTGTTTGGAGGCTTCTTTTCTGAAGTTCTGTTTGGGGGCTTCTTTTCTGAAGCTTCGTTTCTGATGCTTTTTTCAGCCTCTCAAACCTCCGTTTAAGAAGCTGGTTGGGGCTACATTTGGAGTATAAAACGCCTCCAGATTTTCACCCTCTTTTTGGGGGGTGGAAAGGTGCGTCTTATACTCCGAAAAATACAGTAACCATTTCTTCACCCTTCTATGTCGTGATAGGTCTGGAAATTGGGCTGGTCCCCAAAGCCGACGGGTGAATTCGGCACGACGTTTCCAGAAATCCCGGTGGAATTTCTCCAAGAGAGAGAAGTCTTCAAAGAATTTATCTACCGAATTAACACATTGGGTAAGTCCGGAGACCAGAAATGAGTTTCAGGCATGAAAAGCTGAAGGCGTTTGGTACAGGTTAACATTTTAAAATCCCAGTTAAAAAGTTTTAGTTCTTAGTGAATTTGCCTGCAATTCTCTGCCACCCTAAGCAGCCATTGTAGGTTTGAAGAGCTTTATGTCCCTGAGAACAGGGACATAAAGATAGCAACAGCAATAGCCCTTAGAGTTATATTTATTTATTTATTGGTTCGATTTATATGCCGCCCTTCTCCGGAGACTCAGGGTGGCTTACAATGCATTAAGCAATAGCCTTCATACTTTTGTATATACCTGCTTAGTAGGGCTTTGCCCCCCCCCCCCCAGTGGTGTTCTTTTTTATACAAAGTCAGCTTATTGCCCCCACAATCCGGGTCCTCATTTTACCCACCTCGGAAGGATGGAAGGCTGAGGCCAATCTTGAGCTGATCAGGATCGAACTCCTGGCAGTAGGCAGAGTTGGCCTGCTATACTGCATTCTAACCACTGCGCCTCCGCTGCCCTATTCTGTCCGGTCCAGGGGGTCAGTTCACATCTCCTCTTGATTCAGAGTTGAAGAGAGTCAGCCATGGGTCCACAGATCATCTGTAAAGATCCTCGTGATATTTGTTTCTCGTTATTTTGCCGTCCCCTCCGGTTTTAAATAAAGAAGCCTAAGAGGCTCTGGATTCTGGAAGGCCAGATATTTATTGATGCGTCGTATTTCTAAAGCCGCCCATCTCACGGCCAGCCTGTGGTTTTCACTTTTAGGGTGGACAAACCGCATGCAGTTTGAGGAAACCTGGGCCAGCCTCCTGGGAGTTCTTGTGACCCAGCCGATCGTCATGGATCAGGAGGAAAACCAGCAAGAGGTAAAATAAGCAGGGGTCTTTGGTGCCCTCTGGCCTTGGTGGCGCTCTCTCTGTCTCTCTCTGTCTCTGTCTCTCACTGTCTCTGTGTCTTTCACTGTCTCTGTCTCTCTCTCTCTCTCTGTCTGTCTCTCTCTGTCTCTGTCTCTGTCTCTGTTCTCTCTCTCTCTCTCTCTCTGTCTTTCTCTCTCTGTGTGTCTCTCTGTCTCTGTCTGTTTCTCTGTCTGTCTCTCTCTGTCTGTCTCTCTCTGTCTCTGTCTCTCTCATTGTCTCTCTGTTCTCTCTGTCTCTGTCTCTCTCTCTCTCTCTGTTTCTCTCTGTGTCTCTCTCTGTCTCTGTCTCTCTCTCTCTGTCTGTCTCTGTCTTTGTCTCTCTCTCTGTCTGTCTCTCTCTCTCTCTGTATCTCTCACTGTCTCTCTGTTCTCTCTCTGTCTGTCTCTGTTTCTCTGTGTGTCTCTCTCTGTCTCTGTCTTTCTCTCTGTGTGTGTCTCTCTGTCTCTCTCTCTCTCTGTCTGTCTCTGTCTTTGTCTCTCTCTCTGTCTGTCTCTCTCTCTCTCTGTATCTCTCACTGTCTCTCTGTTCTCTCTCTCTCTGTCTGTCTCTGTTTCTCTGTGTGTCTCTCTCTGTCTCTGTCTTTCTCTCTGTGTGTGTCTCTCTGTCTGTCTGTTTCTCTGTCTGTCTGTCTCTGTCTGTCTCTCTGTTCTCTGTTTCTCTGTGTGTCTCTGTCTCTGTTTCTCTCTGTGTTTCTCACTGTCTCTCTGTCTCTCTCTGTCTCTCTGTTCTCTCTCTCTCTCTGTCTCTTTCTCTCACTGTCTCTCTGTTCTCTCTCTCTCTCTCTCTCTGTCTCTGTTTCTCTGTGTGTCTCTCTCTGTCTCTGTCTTTCTCTCTGTGTGTGTCTCTCTGTCTCTCTCTCTCTGTGTCTGTCTCTGTTTCTCTCTGTGTTTCTCACTGTCTCTCTGTCTCTCTCTGTCTCTCTGTTCTCTCTCTCTCTCTGTCTCTTTCTCTCACTGTCTCTCTGTTCTCTCGCTCTCTCTCTCTCTGTCTCTGTTTCTCTGTGTGTCTCTCTCTGTCTCTGTCTTTCTCTCTCTGTGTGTCTCTCTGTCTCTCTCTCTCTGTGTCTGTCTCTGTCTGTCTGTCTTTGTCTCTCTCTCTGTCTGTCTCTGTCTCTCTCACTGTCTCTCTGTTATCTCTCTCTCTCTGTCTGTCTCTGTTTCTCTGTGTGTCTCTCTCTGTCTCTGTCTTTCTCTCTCTGTGTGTCTCTCTGTCTCTGTCTCTGTTTCTCTCTGTGTTTCGCACTGTCTCTCTGTCTCTCTCTGTCTCTGTCTCTCTCTGTCTCTGTCTCTCTGTTCTCTGTTTCTCTCTCTGTGTGTCTCTGTCTCTGTCTCTGTTTCTCTCTGTGTTTCGCACTGTCTCTCTGTCTCTCTCTGTCTCTGTCTCTCTCTGTGTGTGTGTCTCTCTCGCTGTGTCTGTCTGTCTGTCTCTCTCTCTCTCTTTCTTCCTCTCTGTAGAAATGCATCTTTTTCCTAGGTAGGCCTAAACATCTGATTCTTTTCAAAAGTTTCCTTCCCACCCCACCCCCTATTAACCCCCACTCCCACCTAAATTAGTTTGACACCTGTATCCTTTTTTTTTGTTTTGTTTTGTTTCCAGGAAGACATGGAAAGGACCCAGATCAATGTTCTGGCTGTTCAGGCAATCACCTCCTTGGTGCTGAGCGCCATGACCATCCCTCTGGCCGGCAATCCAGCCGTCAGCTGTTTGGAGCAGCAGCCTCGAAACAAAACCTTGAAAGCTCTTGACACCAGGTATAGCGGGGGGAGGGCGGGGGGGGGGGGCTTTTGCTTCCTTGATCCCTCGTTATGCCTGGATTAGGGGAACGCAACCTATAGCCTCCTTGGTTATGTGATAGCATAATGTGCAAGCCTTCTGGTGGTTTCAGGCAAGTGTCAAAAACCAGAACCAAGAGAAACCTCCAGGACAAGACCCCGGAGTCAGCCACAGACTTCCCAGTGGCAGAACAGAATGGAAAGAGTAGAATAGAGTAGAGTAGAGTAGAGTAGAGTAGAGTAGAGTAGAGTAGAGTAGAGTAGAGTAGAATAGAGGAATGAAGAGTAGAGTAGAATAGAGGAATGTAGAGTAGAGTAGAGGAATGAAGAGTAGAATAGAGTAGAAGAATGAAGAATAGAGTAGAGTAGAGGAATGAAGAATAGGGTAGAGTAGAGGAATGAAGAGTAGAGTAGATGAAGGAAGAATAGAGTAGAATAGAGGAATGTAGAGTAGAGTAGAGTAGAGTAGAGTAGAGGAATGAAGAATAGAGTAGAGGAATGTAGAGGAGTACAGGAATGAAGAATAGAGTAGAATAGAGGAATGTAGAGTAGAATAGAGGAATGTAGAGTAGAGTAGAGTAGAGTAGAGTAGAGGAATGAAGAATAGAGTAGAGGAATGTAGAGGAGTACAGGAATGAAGAATAGAGTAGAATAGAGGAATGTAGAGTAGAATAGAGGAATGTAGAGTAGAGTAGAGTAGAGTAGAGTAGAGGAATGAAGAATAGAGTAGAGGAATGTAGAGGAGTACAGGAATGAAGAATAGAGTAGAATAGAGGAATGTAGAGTAGAATAGAGGAATGTAGAGTAGAGTAGAGTAGAGGAATGTAGAGTAGAGGAATGAAGAATAGAGTAGAGTAGAGGAATGGAGAATAGAGTAGAGTAGAGGAATGAAGAATAGAGTAGAGGAATGAAGAGGAGTACAGGAATGAAGAATAGAGTAGAATAGAGGAATGTAGAATAGAGTAGAGGAATGAAGAATTAGAGTAGAGTAGACGAATGAAGAATAGAGTAGAAGAGAATAGCTTGACTCCCTCTTCTTTGTGGCAGCCCCTGAGATAGTGGAAGACTTCTATCATGTCTCCCCTAGTCCTTCTCTTCATTAGACATACCCAGTTCCTGCAACCGTTCTTCATATGTTTTAGCCTCCAGTCCCCTAATCATATTTATTGCTCTTCTCTGCACTCTTTCTACAGTCTCCACATCTTTTTTACATTGTGGTGACTTTAAGCAGCGGGAGGTCAACCATGGACAAATCCCTTCTAATCCCAACAAGTGATTCAGAAGGATCAAAAGCCGTTTTCTTCTCTCTCTCTCTCTCTCTCTCTCTCTCTCTCTCTCTCTCTCTCTCTCTCTCTCTCTCTCTCAGAACTGTTGTGCTTTAAATCTTGAGTTAACTTTCAGGGGTCCCTACAGTGAACTGTCGTAAGCTGAGGACTCCTCGTAGCCCATTTCAGTTGTAAATGTCACGTGCTTTCAGGAGGGGGGGAAAAAAGGAATCTGTTTTAAAACGCCTCGCTGAATTGACAATATTATTATTCAACAATGCATTTTTTGTTCCGCTGAATATCAGGTTCGGGAGAAAATTGAACATTATCCGAGGAATTGTCGAGCAAGAAATCCAAGAAATGGCCTCTAAGAGAGACAACGTTGCTTGCCACCATGTATATCAGATGTGGGACCCTGTTCCATCCCTGGCCCCCTCTACCACAGGTAAACGATGATTTATATATTTGTCAGTATCTCAACAATCATTGCACTACATGCAGAAACACAGAGAGAGATGCCCCACGCTAGGCATGCTTGGATTTGGGAAGAGAAATCAAGTCTCGCTCAATGTTAAAAAGCTCATGGCTAATTCTGCATTTTTAATTGGGGACAATTTACTCGACTTATGACCACAATTGAGCCCCCCCAAAAAATTCTGTCGTTAAGTGAGACATTTGTTAAGTGAGTTCTTGCCACAGTTGTTCAGTGAATCCCTGGGTGATGACCCGGAGCACGGCACAGAGGCAACAAAGGCAGCTGGCAGTACAAACCGCCCCTTTATTGCTCCAAATTGCCCCAAATGCTCCCACGTTTCTGGCAAGTCCCAGAGCAAAGTGATGACAGGCACGCATTCACACCTCAAGCAGCCTCTGGGCTGTGAATAGTCCAGCCCAACGCTGTGAGCACCATGGCTGCAAAGCAAGAAATCCAGCAGGGCAAGTCAAGGAGTCCAGGAATCCAAGGAGCAAGGCAAATAATCCAGAAATCAAGAAAGAATGCAAGGAATTTAGGAAAGTTCAAACGTCGGCACTCAACACTCCAGGAATTCAGCATTTGTTCCTGACAAATGCCCCTCCCCACAGCGTCTCCTTAAGTCTCAGTCCCCAGGTGTGCCTTGTGAAGAGGGGCGGGGCACTCTCCTCCTGAGTAGTTGGGTCAACCTGCACTGTTCCTGCCTTCTCTCCACTCTCCGTGCTCTGGGATCAGGACGGGGTGGTTCTTGCTCATTGCCTTTGCTCTGTCTCTCATGTTCACTCCTTAGCCTCTCTTGGTTCTCTCTGCCTACAAGCTGTTCTAATCCTGAAAGGCCCTGGCCTGACTTGGCCTGCTCCTCCCCACATTCCTCCGGAGCCAACAAAGCCGCCCCCTCCACCTCCATCTGCTCCAGTTCAGGCTCGTCTTCCCCCGCAGATTCATGCTTCGATGGGGGCCTGACATCCCCTCCTCCCCTCCAGGAACAGACGAGAGGAGAGAATCCCCCTCCTCAGTTTCTTCTTGCAGGCCAAGCCATCCTCCAGATCAGGGACTGGTGTTGTGGCCCGTCAGCGGCCTGTGCAGATTGTAGCTGATTCTGACAACGAGGAGGCTGGTGTGGTGCTGCGCCAGCACTCGAGTCGGACAATGAGGAGGCTGGAGAAGATGTGCCAGAGGCGGGGATTCAGCCAGGGCCTTCAGAACCTCCAGAAGCTCCTTAAGTGAAGAGGAGGAAGAGGAGGAGCCTCTTCTCTCTGCGCTGCACGGGCGCGCAGAGCTGCCAAAAGGCAGGAGTGGCTCCTCAGGAGGAGGTCTCCTCGAGAGTGAAGCTTGGGGCTAATTGGCCACTCCGTTAGCCTATTTAAAGAGGAACGCCGACTGAAGCAATTTGTAGGGAACAACTTTAGTTCACTCTCCTTCGCGTCTGGATTCTCTGCAAATTGCTTCTGGGCTCTCGGCCATCCCTAGTAAGGTTGTGATTACTTTATCTTTGGTTTCTTGTAGGCTGTTAAGAAAGTTTATTAACAGTCTTTGTTTTGAAAAAGACTGAGTTATTTTAGTAAATTAAGTTTTGTACAGACTTTGTGTGTGCTGCGTTCTTTGGGATCCGTAGCTGGGGCAGAACAACTGGAGATCTGTGGGGTTTCACCCCCTTTCGGCTCCTTTTATCAGTCCAACAGATGAATAAACGGAAACTCTGGCCATCCCGATTACGTTTCTTCTTTTCATTTCAGGTTCCCTCATCAGCCACGAGAAGCTGCTGCTTCAGATCAATACGGAGCGTGAAATGGGGAATATGACCTACAAACTAGGACAGGTTTGTTGAAATGTCTGTTAAGTAAAGAAAACAGAGTCATTTTCGGATCCCTAAAACGCAGGCAGTCCTCGACGTGCAAGCTGTTTGTTTAGCGACTGTTCGAGGTTACAGCGGCACTGAACCAAAGGAATCTCTGGCCATTTTTCACACTTACGACCATTGCAGCATCCCCCGTGATCACATGATTTATATTCGGACGTTTTGCAACCGACTCCTATATTACGACGTTCGCAACGTCGCGGGAGTGTGGGATGTCTCACGCGATCCCCGTTTGCGACCTTCCAACAAGCAAAGTCGACGAGGAAAGCCAGATTCCCTTGACAGCCGGGTGACTTAACAACTTCAGCGACTCGCTTAACAACGGTGGCAAGAAAGGGTCGCAAAATTGATTTTAAACACTTGTGCCCACCGAAAATTTTGAGCCTCGGTTTTTGGTCGTACGTCGAGAACTACCCATAAACGGCATTTTGGTGTTGTCATTACTTTTTTTTTTTTTTAATTTGATTTATATGTCGCCCTTCTCCGGAGACTCAGGGCGGCTTACAATGCGTTAAGCAATAGCCTTCATCCTTTTGTATATTTATACAAAGTCAGCTTATTGCCCCCACAAACTGGGTCCTCAATTTACCTACCTTAGAAAGGATGGAAGGCTGAGTCGACCTTGAGCCTGGCGAGATTCAAACCTGCAGTAATTGCAGGCAGCTGTTCTTAATAACAGGGTGCTTTAGACCACTGTACTACCAAGGCTCAATTACTTGACCTATTCTATGCTGTAATTGAGGGTGATGTTTTGTTACGTTGATGTATGCCTTTAAGGAGCTCAAGAATTGTTTTCAATCTTTTTTTTCCCTTTATTTTTACCGTATTTTTCGGAGTATAAGGCGCTCCGGACTATAAAATGCACCTACCTTTTTTGGGGGAGGAAAACAAGGGGGGGGGGGAAATCTGCCTCTGCCTCCCAGCAATTTGCCTCCTTGCAGCAAACAGCGGAGGCCCCCGCTGCAATAGGCAATGGCAATCCCTGCAGCCTGAAACAGCTGATGGTCGGGAGGCTGATCCAACTGACAATCAGCTGCTTGTGCTATTCAGGTTGTGCTGAAGCTGAAACGGGCTGTTTGCTGCTTGCTGCAAGGAGGTAAATTGCTGGGAGGCAGAGGCCAAAGGGTGGGGGCTGGCGGGTGGGTGGGGGCTACATTCGGTGTATAAGACGCACCCAAATTTTCACCCTCTTTTAGGGGGGGAAAAGTGCGTCTTATACTCTGAAAAATACGGTAATTTTTTTTTGCCTGCAGGTCTCCATCCATTCTGTGTGGCTGGGAAATAGCATTACCCCGTTGCGGGAAGAAGAATGGGGCGAAGACGAAGATGATGAGAGCGACATGCCTGCCATTTCCTCGCCCCCTTCCTCCCCCATCAATTCCAGGTGTGTCTCTTTTTTAAAAAATTCATTTTATCTCTCTGCGTGGGCCCATCCGGGAGTTTCGGTTGAGAATAACTTCGAAGCTTTCTGATCCGAGGTGAAATTCCCGTATCTTAATTAGTCAATACAGGGAGTCCTTGACTTACAACACTTCGTTTAGGGTCCGTTCGAAGTTACAACCACTCTGAAAAAAAGTGACTTATGGCCGTTTTTCACACTTACGACCTTTTAGCATCCCCACGATCGGACATGGAGATTCTCAGTCTTCCAGGTCAGAGCAGAAGAAGCTTCTTGGATGAGGAAGTGAAACGTCCTCGAAGAAAAACCAGAAAAGTCCAGTTGCCTCTTGGGGAAAAAAGGACCTTTAGAGGCTTGGCAACTGACTCACATTTACGACAGTTGCGATATCCCGCAGAATTAACGGGATCCCCTTTTGCGACCGTCTGGCCAGCCAAGTTAACGGGTGGCGAGAAAAGTCGTAAAACGTGGCAAAATTCAGGTTAACAGCTGTCTCACTGAAGTTGCGGTCGTAGGTCGAGGACTGCCTGTAGCTTTTCTTATGGCACACATGCATGTGTGAGGAACCTGAGTTTCTGGCCAGCTGGTCTTCATGCACACATGTGTGCTAGAAACTGGAAGATCAGGTGACCAGCGCACATGCACACTGGGGAATTGCTCTTCCGGTTTCTGGCGGTGCCCCCCGCATGTGTTCCCGTTTTGGCACTCGGTGCCAAAAAGGTTCGCCAATTAGCGGATGGTGAGTTCTAGTCTGTCTTAGGCATGAATGTTGACTGGGTGTCTTTGGATCCCTGTCACTGGGAGACAGTGAGTTCTAGTCCCACCTTAGGCCTGAAAGCCAGCTGGGTAACAATTGGATTCACTCTCTGTCAGCCCGACCCACTTCATAGGGTGGTTCCTGCTTGAGCAGGGTTCAGACCGGATCACCTGATCCGGTAGCCATGGCGGCGCATGGTAGCAAAAATCCCTGCCCACCCCCATGCCCAGTTGAGCCGCGCGATCATCAGAGGCTTTTTTAAAAAACTTTTAAAAGCATTTCTTCGGCTGAAAAAATGCTTTTAAAAGTAAAAAAAAAAAAGCCTCTGATGATCGCGCGGCTCAGCTGGGATCGTCAGAGGCTTTTAAAAGCATTTTTTCTACCACCTCTTCGGCCGAAGAGGTGGTAGAAAAAGTGCTTTTAAAAGCCTCTGACAATCCCAGCTGAGTTGCCGGATCGTCAGAGGCTTTTAAAAGCATTTTTTTCTGCAACCTCTTGAGGTTGTAGAAAAAATGCTTTTAAAAGCTTTTTTTTTTAAAAAAAGTTGGCCACGCCCACCCAGTCACATTACCCACCCCCACCACCACGCCACGCCCACAGAACCGGTCGTAGCAAATTTTACATTTCACCACTGCTTCCAACTCTGTTATTCTGTTACGAATGAAGCTGGTTTGTATGTGACCAGGAAGGACCAGTTGCAATCACTTTTAAGGAACAAGGAAGTGATCTGAAGCCACTTCCTACAGTCCCAAACTGCGGGGGGGGGGGGGGGGGGGAAATGACCCCAAATGAGCTTGTATAGTAGCAGTGACAAAAGAAGAGAGAGAGCTAGCTCTTGCAGCTCATGATGAGATTTCCGGCACCCCAAACAGCAGAGGTGTAGAGAATTATGGCCCTTTTTATGACTTGTGGACTTCAACTCCTAGAATTCCCGAGCGTGGTAATGAAACGTTCGAGAACTAGCGAGTGGTGGGTTGCACATTATGTTGCTACTCATTCGCCCCGTGTGCACGCTCACTTTGTGCACATGGGCACCTGCTTTGCCCATGTGCCTGCCTTCCACACCTGTGCCAGGACTCAAATATGTCCCTAAATAGGACAACACAGAGCTGAGTCGTATGGGCACCTGTGATTTCCGTTATCGGTTCGGGTGAACCGGTCCAAACCGGCTGAATACCACTTGTGGAACCAACCCACAAGTTCTGAGAACGAACTTCCACCCTCATCCTATACCCGAGTTACAGATATTCGCCACCATCACGACTCTTAAATATTTACAGTGGATTTCTGTCAACTTATTTAACTTCTCTTGATTTGTAGGAAGCACCGCGCTGGGGTAGACATTCATTCGTGTTCCCAGTTTCTGCTGGAATTATACAGTCAATGGATTCTCCCATCCAGCCCCAACAAGAAGACACCGGTTACCCTGATCAGCGAAGTGGTCCGATCCGTAAGCTTTTCAGTCTTTTCGTTCTCATAAATCACGCTTTGAATTGTTGACGGTACAGATGAGTTCGGTGTTGTGGTCCGCCAGCAGCCTGCAGAGCTGGCAGTGGAGTCGGACAGTGAGGAGGCTGGGGAGGAACACGGGCCAGTCCTGGAGTCTGGGGAAGGCCTGGACGAGGGCTCTGCGTCGGAGGCAGAGATGGGCCAGGGCCATCTGGGAGTGATGCGTGGATTCCAGAGCCCCCAGAGTCAAACCGACACTGCTGTTGGCTAACTAGCATGCCGGTTGTTAAGTGAAACTGGTTTTCCTATTGACTTTGCTTGTCAGAAAGTCACTAAAAGGGGATCGCGTGAAACCGTCGTAAATATGAGTCAGTAGGCAAGTGTCTGAATTTTGATCCCGTGTCCATGCTCCAATGGTCATTAAGTGTGAAAACGGCTCATCGGTCACTTTCCCCCCCCCCCAGTGATGTTTAGTGACTTTGAATGGTCACTAAATGAACTTCTTGTAAATCTATATTAAAGACCTGGATTTAAACATTTCCTTTCCAGGCTTCCTTCTGCCCAAACTGTTATGCAAATACGTAAGATTTACGACGTTAAAGGTCCCGCTTATTTTCATTCGTTTTCTGGCTTATATCTTCGCAGCTTTTAGCCGTCTCTGATTTATTTACGGAGAGAAATCAGTTTGAAATGATGTACGCGACGTTAACTGAACTGCGGAAAGTCCATCCGTCGGAAGACGAGATCCTTCTTCAGTATTTGGTCCCCGCTATGTGCAAAGCAGCAGCTGTCCTTGGCATGGTAAGATTTTTGGAGAATCACAGGCAGCTGGCAGTTCAAACCGCCCCTTTATTGCTCCAAATTGCCCCAAACGCTCCCACGTTTCTGACAAGTCCCAGAGCAAAGTGATGACATGCACGCATGCATACCTCAAGCAGCCTCTGGCTGCAAATAGTCCAGTCCAATGCTGTGAGCGGCACGGCTGCAAAGTAAGAAATCCAGCAGAGCAATTCGAGTAGTCCAGGAAGCAAAGGAGCAAGGCAATTAATCCAGAAATCCCGAAAGAATGCAAGGAATCCAGGAAAGTTCAAATTTCGGCACTCAACACTCCAGGAATTCAGCATTTGTTGCCGACAAATCCCCCTCCTCACAGCATCTCCTTAAGTCTCAATCTTCAGGTGTGCCTTGTAAAGAGGGGCGGGGCGCTCTCCTCCCGAGTAGTCAGGTCAGCCTGCGCTGTTCTCGTCTTCTCTCCACTCTCCATGCTCGCGGATCAGGAGGGGGTGGTCCTTGCTCATAGCCTGAACTCTGGCTCTCAAGTTCACTGTTTAATCTCTCTTGGTCATCCTGCTCCCCTTCCTCCCTGCCTACAAGCCGTCCCAATCCTGAAAGGCCCTTGCCTAAATTCAAACTGACACCCCCCCCCCTTTGTCTTCCTTGCGTTCCATCAGGATAAAGCGGTGGCAGAGCCCGTCAGCCGCCTGCTCGAATCGACGCTCCGCAGCACGCACATGCCGAGCCGAATTGGCGCGCTGCACGGCATCCTGTACATTTTGGAGTGCGATCTCCTGGACGAGACAGCGAAGCAACTTATTCCGGTCATCACCGAATACCTGCTGTCCAATCTGCGTGGCGTAGCCCAGTAGGTCTTGATAGAAGAAACTCCTCGCTAAACTTATCATCCGACGGGTGGGGTGGGGGCCCGCGAGGGACGGAATTGTGGAGGGGGAAAAAAAACCACGCATCAAAACCTAACATGGTTATCTATTTTGGAGGGGTGGAAGAGGCGTTTTATTGAAATGCTAAAACAGCCCCGAGAAACTTTAGTTCCTGATAAAGGAGAATATTTGTAGCTCAGGGTTGAAATGAAGGGTGCTTGGTGCTCTCTGAGCTTGGTAGTTTTCTTGAAGACCTTTCATGACCCAACTAGGTAACATCATCAGTGTGAGGAGGGCGAGGAGCGCTCTCAATTTATATTCTAGTGGCTGGCCCTGTGAATGTTGGCGGGAGTGCTTCTTGGCTATTTACTGTTAGTTGTTGTGGCTCCGTTGCCTGAGCCTCGGCTATCGACAGATGCAGACTCTGAGAGTGAGGGAGAGGAATTGGCAAGGCCTCCCTCTCCAGGACCCTCCTCTCTGGCAATGCCTCCGGAGGACCCCAAAGGCCAAAAGATAGGCTCAGAGCCAAGCACGTCCCCGCAGCCACAGGTGGACAGCGACGAAGAAGATAAGTGCTGGCTGGATCCTCGGCAGAGGCGCAGGGAGAAGCGTGCGCAGCAGAGGGGAAGGCATGCCAGAGATTAGCTGAGTCACTGGACCACACTCCACATGTGGGTGTGGTGGCCGGTTCAGTTTGTGACAAGCAAAAACTGGAAATAATCCATGATCTCTGCATTACTGGACTTTGCCTGCTTTATCGGACTGTATTTGGATTAATCCTTGTATTGTTGAAACGCTGCCTGTTTTATCGGAATGCTTGCAGTCTAATCTTTGTTTTGTGTGAGTAAAGTCTGAATTGGCAGCTAGCCACTGAGTTGCTGCCAGCTTTATCTTCAAAGAGTTTTGTCGTGTGGCTTATTAACTCCGGGCCGTCTGTGGGGGTGCGTGTGTGGTACTCTTAGTTGGTAAGTGAATCCCTGCAGCCCGATAAATTAATAACCCCGATTGTTCAGTGAATCGGGCTTCCCCATTGAGGTCACAAAAGGGAAACAGGAGACCCTGGGACGCAGTAACCGTCACAAATATGAGTCAGTCACCAAGCGTCCGAATTTTGATCACATGATCATCGGGATGCTGCAAAAGTCGTAAGTGTGAAAAACGGTCGTAAGTCGTGTCTTTCAGTGCCGTCGTAATTTTGAATGAACTGTTGTAAGTCGAGGGCTACCTGTAATTGCTTCTTTTAAGGAATGGTTTAGTCCTCTTTTGCATTTCTTCAGTAGAAAAATGAAAGAAGAGAGTGTTTTTAATGCTGATCTCTGTCGTATGTTGAACTCCTATTTTTTTTTTGGTCTCTCTTTAACAGCTGTGTGAACCTCCACAACCAGCAACACATCTTGGTCATGTGCGCAGTGGCCTTCTACTTAATCGAAAATTACCCGGCTGACGTCGGACCTGAATTCTCTTCCGGAATTATTCAGGTAGGGTTGAGGCCTCCGGAGAGTTTCTGTTGTGACCCAGGCCCAAGTAGGTATTAACAGACGCAAACAGTTCGAAACAAACAGACTTTATTAGAACAGCTGAGAATTAACTCATTCTCAGGGTAGTCCGAACTAATTCAAAACAAATTCTTCATAACACAAATTCTTCAGCCTTATCACCGACCTCGGTCTAATTAGGCAACCTGCCAAAGGCTTTTCTTGGCAAAAGTTCAGAAGCAGAAGACGCCGACAAGAAATAAATGCAGCAAGACAAGAAACAAATCTATCAACGTTGTTTTCCGACAAAGAGTCCAAGAGCCGTTGCTGGTATTTTAAGCCTTATGGGAGGGGCCAATCATCTCCTGGCCTTACTCCTGAGTCGTCCCTTTTGCTTTAGCTGCTCCTCCCTTCTGGCAGCTCTTCTCATGCGTGTACTAGGAACAGGCTCCTCCTGTTCCTCTGCCTCTCTGCTGTCAGCCTCTGGAGGCTCCGGAGTCCGCACATCACTCCCCGATGGCCCTGGCCCCATCTCTGCCTCTGACGCAGAGCCCTCATCCGGGCCTTCCCCAGCCTCCAGGACTGGCCCATGTTCTTCCTCAGCCTCCTCACTGTCCAACTCCGCTGCGGCTGCTGGCGGACTACAACAGTTTCCCACGTGGCCTTCAAGGAAATGCTGAAGTGAAAAGCCTTAGCCGATCCTCACGCCTTGCATTGGCCAGTCTCAAAATTTTGCTCAGCCATCCTTCTTTCTGTCAGGCCTGTCCCAACTTGGGCCTTTAGGAAAGAAAGACTCTCGACTCCACTCATAATGAAAAGCCTACAGGTAGTCCTCGACTTTCAACAGTTCGTTTATTGACCATTCAGAGTTACAGTGGCACTGAACCCTGTGACTTAACGACCGTTTTTCAAAGTTATGACCTTTGCCGCATCCCCATGGTCACGTGATCGAAATTTGGAGGCTTTTTAACGGGTTCATATTTAGGACCGTTGCTGCGTCCCAAGGTCACACAATCCCCTTTTGCGACCTTCTGACCAACAAAGTCAGTGGGGGAAGCAGATGTTCATTTAACAACCGGGTTACTAACTTATCAACTGCCGTGATTCACTTAACAACCGTGGCAGGAAAGGTCGTAAAACAGGGCAAAACTCACTTAACAAATGTCTCACTTAAGAAATTTTTAGTCGCAGGTTAAGGGCTACCTCTATTTTTACTAAAGGCAAGTGATTACAAGCCAGATCTGAGGATTCCCACGTAAACCCAGTATTTTTCCCCCTCAGCCAGGCCTTCCCCCTCATCATCCTGTTTGCGTCGAGTGAGGTTCAAATGAGTAGTTTTGGTAACCGTTCTGAAGTTTGGTGCCTCTTCGCATGTGGTTCCCACGCCTGTGTCTTTGGGTGGTTCAACCGTTGTGTCTGATTAGCACCTCTGGTTCCGGTCATCCCTGTGTCCCTCTATTCCCCCCCCCCCCCCATTTCAGGACAGGCTGCTATCAAAGCAAACTGGGCCCGGCGCGACGGCAGATCTGACATTTTCTCGTCTCTTCCAGATGTGCGGAGTGATGCTATCCGAAAACGAGGGATCCACCCCGTCGGTGATCTATCACTGTGTGATCAGAGGTCTGGAAAGGCTCCTGCTTTCGGAGCAGCTCTCTCCGCCGGACTGCGAAGCGCTGGTGAAACTGAGCGTGGACCGTGTGAACGTCCTCAGTCCGCACAGAGCCATGGCCGCCTTGGGACTCATGCTGAGCTGCATGTACACAGGTAAAGCGGTTTTTGTCGTTTCCTTGCCCTTCTCAGCGACTTGTTGTTTAGGCCACGATCCGTTGACTCAGAAGGAAAAAAAAAAGTAAGAAACACGGGTATCCGGTATACGACTGCAAATGAGCCCCAAATGCTAAATGAAACATTTGTTGAGTGAATTTTGTCCCAATTTACTATCTTTCTCGCCGCCGTTAAAACGAATCGCTGCGGCTGTTAGTAACACAGTTCGTAGGAAAATCAGGCATCCCCCTTGACTTTGCTTGCAAAAGATGACGTGCCAAGCGTCTGAATTGTGAACAAATCACTTTGGAGATACTGCAGTGATCCTAAGTGTGAAAAAAACCCGATCATAACTCACTCCTTTCAGTATTGTTGTAACTTTGAGCGGTCACTAAATAAACGGTTGTAAGTCGAGGACTACTCGTATTGTCTTCCATCCTAGCAAGCAAATCATCATCTTTTAATGACCCCGTAATCCCTTGCGGAGAGGAGTCTGGGTAACTGAATGGAGCCGAGTATTTACTGGCCAGATGCCTTCCTGTCACCAGTGCAGAGTTTTTTCCTCAGCAGATATATTCTCCTTGTGCCCAGAGAGAGAAATATCAGCCTCTACCTAGGATCGAACTCTCAGCCTCCCAATTGTGAGGCGAGAGCTCCACCTCTAGGCCACCGCACCATTCATCCTAGCAAGCAAATGCTTGTGTTTAATTCATGTGCCAGTGGGACAAGTGTGGGATTAGGACAGTGTTGACCTTTTCTGGACCGAGTGCCCAAAGAGTCTGAACCCGAAAACGCAATGCGCGTGTGGCCCCCCTCACACACCCCGCCACCCATGCATGCGTGGCAGAGACCCGAAGACCAGGTGGCCGGCAGGAGGCGTGTGAGTATGCACGGCGGAGCTGAACTGGGGCAACGGCTCATGTGTCCACAGAGAGGGCGTTGCATGCCACCTCATCACGGGAGTAGGATTTTTTACGGCTGGCTCAAAATGAATCGATCTTGACGACTGAAGTGACCTTCAATTTGTTTTTCTCAACAATCCTGGTTTTGTAGATCCTTGTTTGTCTCTAAGCTGGGTTGTTTTTGTGCAGATGCTTCGTTACCTGACCTAGGGAGCAACTTCAGAGCTGTCAGTTCTCCTGGTCGGATAACGAGGCATCTGCACGAAAACAACTCAGCTCAGACATCACCGAAACCCTTCACAGCTGACACTGCGTTCTGTCAATCTTCCTTTCTTGTCAATTCCCTTTGATCGATATCACGAGATTGTAGTAACGATTCTTATTTTTATCACCCACCTACTCCCGATTGCGGCTTTAGGAAAAGAGAAAGTCAGTCCCGGACGAAGCGCAGATCCCCACTCGGCAGCTCCGGACAGTGAATCGGTCATCGTGGCAATGGAACGAGTATCTGTCCTCTTTGACCGGTAGGAACAAAAAGCCAGGAAGAATTAGTCCCTGCACAAAACAAATACAATTTCCCAATTATTTTCCATTTATAAATGTAATTGTATTTATAATTACACGGTCCAGCACCGGACCTTGACCCCTTCAAAACTGGGCTGCACTCATCTACGTGAGTGGCGGGCGCATGCACCTGTTGTGTGTGTAAATGGAGCTGCACGCACAATAGCGCGGCCCCACTGCAAGCACAGAACCATCTCCTCTTTCCCACCGTTCCTCTTGTGAATCCCGGACAGTCCCCCTTTCCTTGGTCTTTGGAGCAGAGAGGGAGTAATTGGGCTGACACCCGGGACAAGAAGGGCCTAGAAGCAGCCTCCTCAGAATGGGATGACTTGATAGCGTTCTGGGCAACTGAGCTTGTAAAGGGAATGTCTCAGAAAGCCCACAGAATACAGGTAGTCCTCGACCTACGACCACAACGGGGCCCAAAACTTCTGTTCTTGTGAGACATTTGTGTGAACTGAGGTTTGCCCCATTTTCTTGACTCAGTTGTTTAGTGAATCATTGCAGTTGATAAGTCAATAACCCGGTTGTTAAGTGAATCGGACTTCCCTATTGATTTTGCTCGTCAGAAGGTCGCAGAAGGGAGATCACACCACCCTAGGACACTGTAACCGTCATAAATGGCAGTTGCCAAGTGTCTGGATTTTGATCACGTGACCATGGGGATGCCGCAACAGTCGTTAAGTGCGACAAAGGGCCCTAAGTCACTTTTTTTCAGCGCCGTTGAAACTTCAAACGGTCATTAAATGAACTGTTGTAAGTCGAGGACTACCTTTAGCTGAGAGAGAGAGCGAAGGTGCCCCAGGTGCACTCAGTGGGCCTGCTTCAAGCATCCTTTGCTTCCACGAAGAAAATGGCCACAAGGAAATTGGCAATTAGCTTTGCAAGGCCACACAGAGCACAGAGTCAAAACGGAGCTTCAGAATTTAAACTAACCAGCACGAACAAAGTTGCTTCCTGCAAAGGCTCACGTGCCTTTGCTCCTCCTTTATGTCTTATGCGAGGGGCCAATCATCTCCAAGCCTTACTCCCAAGTCGCCCCTTTTGTCTTAACTGTTCTTGCCTTCTGGCAGCTCTGCGCATGCACACACTGGGAACAGCTCCCCCTGTTCCTCTGCCTCGCTGACGTCAGACTCTGGAGGCTCTGGAGTCAGCACATAACTCCCCGATGGCCCTGGCCCCATCTCTGCCTCCGACGCAGAGCCCTCGTCCAAGCCTTCCCCAGACTGCAGGACTGGCCCATGTTCCTCCCCAGCCTCCTCACTGTCCAACTCCACTGCCAGCTCTGCAGGCTGCCGGCGGACCACAGCACTGTGGGGAGGGCCCACATTGTGTTTCCACTTGCTCTGTTGTGCTTTCTGCTGTTAGTTGCCATCCCGGTGCAGGTAGCACATTTTGGAAAACTTCTGTGGGAGGGCCGGGTGTCAGTCTTGCCCCAACTTCGTCCCTTAACGAAGAAAGACTCTCGACTCCCATTTGGTGTGAAAGGTTTACTATACTACAGGTCAAATGGATGACCGTATAGCAAAGCCAGAATTGAAATTTCTGGTTAACTTTCCCTGTCCAGTTCCTCCCCCCCACCCCTTGGTCTCTTATTGTCCAATTATATTTGAATAAATTGTTTTGGGAACTGTCTCTTCAACAGGGGGCGGGCTGGTGAGCCGTTGCCTTCCGTTCCCAGCGCTTTGACCTTAAGCTGGTGTCTCGTAATGGTACGACGAGTAGTTAGCCTTCCCCCCCCCCCCTCCCATCATGGCAGACTGGCAGCTAGCCAAATGCGAAGCTCAAACCTACGATGGCAGTTCTGTCATTGGGGGCCCCTGAAGTCAGGGAGAAGACTCGGAGGGAGGCGCTGGCTGCCCGGCCGACCGGCCCTGGAGACTGACGGCCGGGGTCTCTCCGCAGGGTCAGGAAAGGATTCCCCTTCGAAGCCCGAGTGGTAACTCTGATCCTCCCTCAATTCCTGGATGACTTTTTCCCCCCGCAAGACGTGATGAATAAAGTGATTGGGGAATTTTTATCCAACCAGCAACCCTACCCACAATTTATGGCGAAAGTACTCTACAAGGTAAGGTTTTGTGGCACAAGGTAAGCCATGGTGGCTCATTCTTTCTGTCTGTCTGTCTGTCTATCTAATCCAATTATCTATCTATCTATCAGTCTAATTATCTGTCTATCTAATTAATTATCTATCTGACTATCTAATTATCTAATTATTTTTATCTAATTATCTATATATATCTAATTTAATTATCTATATCTCCATCTAATTATATTTATCTAATCTATCAGTCAATCTAATTATCTATATCTGTCTATCTGTCTATCTAATCTATCTAATTATCTCTATTTCTATCTATCTAATTATCTATATCTATCTAATCCAATTATCTATCTATATTTATTTAATCTAATTATCTATCTATCTATATCTATCTATCTAATCCAATTATCTATATATCTATCAATCTAATTATCTGTCTATATCTATCTAATCTAATTATCTATATCTCTATCTAATTATATTTATCTAATCTATCAGTCAATCTAATTATATCTGTCTATCTGTCTATCTAATCTATCTAATTATCTATTTCTATCTAATTATATCTAATCTAATTATATCTATATCTATCTAATTTAATTATATCTATCTCTATCTAATTATCTCTATCTAATCTAATTATCAGTCTATCTATCTAATTATCTAAACTAATTATCTATATCTAATTATCCATATCTATATTTATCTAATCTAATTATTTATTTATCTATCTATCTATATCTAATCTAATTATCAGTCTATCTATCTAATTATCTCTATCTAATGTTTGTCTGTCTAATCTATCTAATTATCTCTATTTCTATCTATCTAATCTAATTATCTAGCTATCTAGCTATATCTCTATCTATCTATCTATCTATCTATCTATCTATCTATCTATATATATATATGTAGTCCTCGGTTTACAACCACAATTGAGCCCAAAATTTATGTTCCCAAGTGAGAAATTTATTAAGTGAGTTTTGCTCCATTTGACGACTTCCCTCGGCACATTTGTTAAATGAATCCCTGCAGTTCTTAAATTGGTAACGCAGTTGCTAAGTGAATCCGGATTCCCCCTTTGTGACTTTGCTGGTCACAAGGTCACAAAAAGGGGATCACGTGACCCGGGGACACCGCGACCGTCGTAAATATGAATCCATTACCAAGCATTTGAATGTAAATCACGTCACCATGGGGATGCTGCAATGGCTCTAAGTGTGACAAATGGCCATTAGTCACTTTTTTCATTGTTGCAAGTTTGAATGGTCACTAAGTGAACTGCCATAAATCGAGGATTACCTGTATTCTTAAGTAACAGATTTTTCCCAGTCCCCAGAAGGGGCGTTCAGGTAAGTCAACGCCCATTTTAAAAAAATCGTTACGCCTGAAATCCCTTACTGGATGCGGAACGCGATCAACACACCCCGAAATAATAGCGTTTTAGATATTTGTCGCCTCAGCCTAACGGCTTCTCCCGAACTTCCGAAGGATAAACGATGGCTCTTGGTTTCTCCAGGTCTTTCAGTCCCTGCATACGACGGGTCAGTCCTCCATGGTCCGAGACTGGGTGATGCTGTCGCTCTCCAACTTCACACAGCGGACGCCGATCGCCATGGCGATGTGGAGCCTTTCCTGTTTTTTCGTCAGCGCTTCCACCAGCCAGTGGATTTCAGGAATGTATCCTCCTACAGATGTCTATGGAGAGTCTCAGTCCAGGTTCATGGTTGTCCCAAAGGTGCTTTTTTTCCCCAAGACTTTTTCTTTTGAAGACGTTTCACTTCTCATTCCGAGAAGCTTCTTCAATTCTGACTGGATGGTGGGGAATGGAAGGATTTATATTCCTTGCAGATAGCTGGTCATTTGCATCCTTTTTAGAGGTTCATTGAGGCCACTTGGAGGTTTGTCTGTGTCCTCAGGGTCACCTGAGCAGTGCAAATGGGCGTGGAGTCCACAACACAGATCCTTTCAGCAGCTCCAAGAAGGCTCCACGCCCATTTGCACAACTCAGGTGACCCTGAGGACACTGATAAACCCTCCAAGTGGCCTCAATGACCCTCTAAAAGGATGCAAATGACCAGCTGTCTGCAAGGAGTATCAATCCTTCCATTCCCCATCATCCAGTCAGAACTGAAGAAGCTTCTTGGATGGGAAGCGAAACGTCTTCAGAAAAAAAACCAAAAAGTCCAATTGCCTCTTGAAAAAAACGCACCTTTTGGTATATCCTCCGACAGATATCCTATTTGGTTTGCAGAGTCTCCTTTGGAAGGGAAGAGCAGCCCTTTGGTTCCCAGGGGGAAATCCGTGTGCGTGTGTGTGTGAGAGAGAGAGAAATACAGGTAGTCCTTAACTTACGACCACCACGGAAATTTATGTCATTGAGTGAGGCATGTATTAAGCGAGTTTTGTCCCATTTAACAATCTTCCTTGCCACCATTGCTAAGCAAGTCACTTCAGCAGGGGTTAAGTCAGTAGCCTGCTTGTTAAGCGAACCTGCTAAGTGAGACATTTGTTGCTCAAGTGAGCTCTGCCCCGTGTGACCAGACTTTTCTTGCCACAACGGTTCAGTGAATCACTGCAGATAAAAAATTTTTAGGGCCGTGATGGCGAACCTGTGGCACACGTAGCCATATTGGCATGTGTGCACCAGCTAGCTGATTTTCAGGCCTTCTGGGCCTACCAGAAGTAGGGAAACAGGTTGTTTCCTGCCTTCGGAGGACCTCGAGGGGTGGTGGGGAAGGCCTTTTTTTCTCCCTCCCCAGGCTCCAGAGCCTTTCTAGGATCCTGGGGAGGGCGAAAACAGCCTTCCGCACCACCACCCCGGAGGCCCTCCGGAGGCCGAAAATGGCCCGTTTGCAAACTTTTGATCCCACTGGAAAAATGGGTCTTCCAGTCCCACCGGAAGTTGGCAAACGGGCCATTCCCAGAGGGCCTCTGTGAGGGGTAGGGAAGGCTGTTTTCGCCCTCCCCAGACTCCTAGAAAGGCTCTGGAGCCTGGGTAGAGAGAAAAACGGGCCCACTGGACCATTGCGTGCCAGGAGTGGGGGGAGCGGGGAGGTGAATGCATGCACGGGGGCGGGGCGCATAGAATTATGGGTGTAGGCACGCACGTACGTGACACCCCCCCTGCACTCCCCCGCAAAAAGGTTAGCCATGATTGAGTTAGGGGGACACCATTGTTGAGTGAATCTGGATTTCCCGTGAGCTTTGCTTGTCCAAAGATCGCAAAAGCGGATCTCGTGACAATGCAACCCATCATAAATACGAGCCAGTTGCCAAGCATCTGAATTTTGACGCTGCAACGGTCGTACATCTGAAAGACGGTCGTAAGTCGCTTCTTCCAGGGCCGCTGTAACTTTGAACGGTCACGAAACGAACCGTCGTAAGTCGAGATCTACTACCTGTCCTCGTTGCACTGAGTTAAAAGTCCGTTACACTTTGCGCGAAGTTTTAACCAAGTGCCTCTCGGTTATATCCTTGACTCCGTTTTTTTCTCCCCCCGAAGTCTCCCACACATTATCAGCAGAATGGGAAAATCGGAACAAGTCGACCTCAATTTGTTCTGCCTGGTGGCCATAGATTTTTACAGGCATCAGATCGACGAAGAATTGGATCGCAGAGCCTTTCAGTCCATCTTCGAAGTGGTCTCTTCCCCGGGAAATCCGTACCACCGCCTGCTGACCTGCTTACAAAGCATTCACAAGATCACCCCGTGTTGAAGAAGAGAGCAGACGACGGAAGGAAAGGCGTCTCACGCCGCGGAGGTCCCTCGTAACCTCTCGGCTTTCTTTTATTAAATTTCCAAACCCAAATGACTCCGTAGGTAGTGGTGGCTGGGCCATGCAAGACAAAAGCCTGGAATTTTGGGGGGAAGAAAGAAAAAACAAAAAAAGAGCGAGACCTAGTGAGATATGGACAAAATATGGATGCAAAACAAATTTGCTCATCTCAGCTTAAATTTATATATATCGTTCATGCTGAACCTCGTGAATTCTGCAGTATCGGCTCCGGGGCATTTAAAAAGCCTTTGGTTTCATCTAGCTACAAGTCTTCTTTTGCAATTTGTACTTCTTTCTTAATGTGACAACGAGAAAAGGGAAAATGACTTTTAAAGACACTGAAAATTCATGTGTGTGTATATATATATATAATTTTTAGAATGGTTTGTTATATATATATATATAACAAACTATTCTAAAAATTCGTGTTCCAGGTATATTTGTAAAGAAAGAAGCAGACATTCTGCGAACTCCGGAACTAAAACAATTACAATTTTATTCTACTAAGCTTTCGTCAGCCATGTGCTGACATCGTCGGAGTATTAAACTACCATTACTGCATATAAAGGCAGAGATCTCTGTAATGGTAGTTTAATACTCTGATGATGTCAGCAGATGGCTGACGAAAGCTTAGTAGAATAAAAATTTAATTATTTTAGTTCCGGAGTTCGCAGAATGTCTGCTTCTTTCTGTATGTATGTATATGTATATGTATATGTATATATACATACGCACATATGCACGCACTCTGTCTCTCTCCAAAGTAATTCATTCATATATATATATGTGTGTATGTATATATATATATATATATATATACACACAAACACACACACATACATACATATATACACTAAGACACACACTCCAAGGTATTTTGATGTACAAGTGTGGGAAAATTAGACCTTCAAAGATATACTTTCTTTTATACCTCTAGATGTAAAAGCTGGATCGATTATCTTGGTTTTAAAAAAACAGCCAATGTAAATAGTTCTAAATGATGTATAATATGGTAAGATACAGGAATGGCGTGGAGGCTGGGGAAGCACTTAACACAATTAAAAAAAGAATATTTGCCACGTATGTTGAATAGCTCGTTACCGTTTTTCCTATCGTATATTCTTTAGGTCTATTTTTTTAATGCACTCCCGTGTCACCTTTTAAACTCATACTTCCATCTTTTGTACGCTTACTCTTTGAAAAGTTTAAATATATTCGATTCGTTTTCAGTTGGATCTTTTTTAAAAAAAATAGAGGATTTTATGTAGGTGCTTTGGATTTACCGGATAAGAAATCGGGGAGGAGGAGAGGAGGAAATGAACTTGGATACTTTGCAAAACCCTTCGAAATAAAACACATTAGGAAATCTCCCCTTACAATATTGGCGTTTTAAGAGAAGTCACACACATTTGATTTGGATTAAGAAAAATCTCCGCAAACCAACCGAGAGCCAATCCTGATTCTTGTGGCTTTTTGTGACTCTTTATTAGAGGACTTGGGGAAAAAAAACAGGCAAATATTATCTTGTGGTCAGCCAAGAGTAGCTTTGAAAGGTGGGGAGGGGGGGGGCGCAGTTCAGGATCTGTCGTTCAAAACCGGACCGACTGGATCACAAAAACTGGCAAAAGACACGGCCCTTGTTTTTCTCTCTCTTTCACACTCACACACACACACACAAATCCCTGCACAATTTCAACCCTCCTGCCTCCTGTTCGCTCTGCATGACTTCTGCTTCACGGGTTTTCGGGGCGCCAGCCTTCTCTCTCTCCCTTTCCTACTGAAATGTGATGGGCCCTTCCCCTCTTTTTCCAGATCCAAAGGGGTTCATTTCAGATCCCTTCGTCCGGGAAAAGCAGCTGGCAAGAGGCTGGGCTGGCCCAGGCAAGCAGGGCTCCTCTCAGAGCCCTTTCATTCCCTCTGCCCAGCAAGGGTGCCAGAAGCCCTTGTGCCAGCTAGGATGCCAGCTGTGAAGACTGCCCAGGGCAATCCGAGAGGAAGACGGGGCTTCTTCCAGCCACTGGCTGTCAGTACCGCAGAAATTCTTCCGAACTTTTCTCTCCCCAGCCCAATTGGGCATCTGGTGCACACTCAGAGGCCCATCATCCTGAGCTGGAGGGTTGCAGGACCATGTGCTTTTACCAGGTGGAGCTGTGGGTGCCCTCCTTGTGAGACCAAACGGGTTTGGGACATTTTGATTATTACTTTTTTTTTTCTTAGCAACGTTCCTGTAATAGAATTCATCTCCATATTTTTTTTCCCCTCCCCCTTGCTAACAAAGTGAAATTTTATCAGAACTGCATCGGTGTATATAATGTACGTAAAATATATGCAACTGCATTGGATGTATGCATACAAATTATTTATTAAACAGAGTTTAAACTACTTTAAATTTGCGGGCCAGCTATTCTTTTTGTAATATCTGCGTTCTTTAATTTATTTTTTAAAAAAATGGCTCCAAATAGAAAAACTGCTTTTCATGGGTCTAAAATCAAAAGGTAGCAGGAAAAAAACCCATTATTTTTCTGTGCTCAAGTTTCCAGTGTGTTCTGCCCCAGCTACAAAAAACGCAGCACACGCAAACTCTATACAAAGCTTATTTTATTCAAATAACTCAGTCTTTATCAACCAAAGGCTGTTAATAAACTATCTTAACAGCCTACCAGAATTCTAAGATAAGGTAATCACAGAGTTGGCAGAAAGCCCAGAAGCAATTTTGCAGAGAATCCAGACGCAAAGGAGAATGAACTAAAGTTGTTCCCTACAACTTGCTGCAATTGGCGTTCCTCCTTAAATAGGCTAAGGGAGTGGCCAATTAGCCCCAAGCCTTACTCTCGAGGAGACCTCCTCCTGAGGAGCCACTCCTGCCTTTTTGGCAGCTCTGCACGCCCGTGCATTGAGAAGAGGCTCCTCCTCTTTGTCTTCGTCTTCTTCACTTAAGGGAGCTTCTGGAGGTTTACAACAGTTGGTTTAGTGGCCATTACAACGGCACTGAGACTGATGACCCTATTTCACACTTACGACCATGGCAGCATCCCCGTGGTCACGTGATAAAAATTCAGGCACTTGCCAACTGGCTCGTATTTATGATGCTTGCAGCGTCCCATGTTGTGTAAAATGGAGCAAAGCTCTCTTTAAAAAAAATGTCTCATTTAGCAACAGAAATTTGGGGCTCCATCGTGGTCATAAATCGAGGATTATGTACTCCCAAAGGTTGAGAGGACTCGTGCCTGAAGGGGTCTATGACAATTCCCCATGGCCAACTCCCCATGGCCAACTTTGGCCAACACACCACAGCCAACTCCCCATGGCCAACTATGGCCAACACCACAGCCCACCGGTAGTAAAGGTAAGTAGAACCCACCCCTCGGGCCCACATTGCATTTTGGGGGTTCAGGCACACACATTTGCACGCACGTTCACATACTTTGGGCACTCCGTCCGGAAAAGGTTAGCCATCACTGAACTAAGGTTTTCCTTTTTCTCTACTTCCTTCCGGCGCCCCGAGTTTATCGATTCATTCTTCTAGCTGAGAATGCCATCAAGAGGTCCAAAGAATGGAGAGAAGTGCAGGAGGACACTCAACCCACAAAGATAGTGTCAACCATCTCTTGGACGGTCCTGATGTTGGGCCTTTCCCGATACACCCTCCCTCTGGGGTTTCTCTTGCTGGCCCCTGTCCCTTCGGTGTGTCTTTCAGTGACTGACCTCTGCCTGCCTCTCTCAGCCATTTGGCCCCTCAACCTAACACCAGAAGGGTTCTGGGATGGCACAGCTGGGATCCCTCCACCGCCTAACCCAAGAACCACAACGTGGCTGGGAAGCAGCTGCGGCTGGGAGTCCTCTGGAACCTGCATCCCTTCTTCTTTCATGTGGCTCTTTCACCCCTCTGCTGCAGCTCTTCTCTCACTCAAAATATGCGTCGCAACTGCCAATGTGCGACACTTGCAGGCACTCAATTTATTGAGTTTTTCAACCTCTGGTAGGCCAATCATGGACAAGTCCAAGAAAAGAAAAGTTCCAGAAGAAAACAGAACGTTTAATTCAACTACATAGGTTAGTTTTGTGGCCGCTCCAGAAATAATCAGGCACGGGAAGGGTTTTTGTGGCTCCCGGTGTTTTCTTTTCTGTGGGAAACGGGTCCAAATGGCTCTTTGAGTGTTTAAGGTTGCAGACCCCTGAACTATACCATTTCAGACAACTGACTGTCCAGTCTCTTCTTGAACACCTCCAGGGATGGAGCTCCCAAAACTTCTGGAGGCGATCTCGTAAGAGAATTTACGAGGCTATCGGCCTTTTGCCACCGATAGCCTCCCACCGGCCAGTACGCTCCCACAGAGAGGAACCCCTCAGGGTGCCGTCGGCCAAACAATGTCGACTGGCGACCCCCAGGGGGAGAGCCTTCTCTGTGGGGGCACCTGCCCTCTGGAATGAATTGCCCCCGGAGATACGTCTGATCCCCGACCTACGTACCTTTCGCCGTGCCCTTAAGACTTTACTGTTTCAATAGGCTGGGCTGGCTTCATAACAAATTTTAATGGGTATTTTAGTTTTTTTTAATATACGGCCAAATTATTTAATATGTTTCTAAACTTATGGATATACGTGTTTTATTGTGGCTGGGCACCGCCCTGAGTCCCTCGGGAGAACGGCGGTATAATCCCGGACCTCCGTACTTTCCGTCGAGCTTTGACGACCTTCCTATTTCAGCAAGCCGGGCTGGCTTAAAATTTTAATGGGTTATTTTATGGGCAAAGGGTTTTAAATTTGGGGAAGCCAATTTAATTTAATTCTGCTTTAATTTATTTTAATTTTTATATTGCATGTATTTTAACCATGGCTGTTCACCGCCCTGAGTCCTTCGGGAGAAGGGCGGTATACAAATTTAATAAACCATAAAAATTTAAATAATAAATAAATAATGAATAAATAAACTTCTGTTCCGCTGGTTAATTGGTCCTCACTGTTAGGAAGTTTCTCCTTAATTCCAGCTTGCTTCTTTCCTTGATTGGTTTCCACCCATTGTTTCTCCTCCTGCCTTCAGGTGCTTCGGAAAATAAATTGACCCCCTCCTCTTCTTTGGGGCAGCCCCTCAAAGACTGAAAGACTGAAATACATGTCCCCCCCTGGTCCTTCTTTTCTCTAGACTGGCCATACCCGGTTCCTTGGCATGGCGTAATCTTGCCCTGCAGCAACGCGGCCTCGGATCTGAAGGTGCCCTCCTCGCTTTGCCGGAGCCGAGGCTGCAGGGGGGGTCTCCCCAGAGACCCCTGACCCACACGGGCAGCTGCGGGCTCTGCCGTAAAGCTCGCAAAGCAAGGAATCTGCAGTCTTTCCAAGGGCCTTTCCAGCTGCCTCCGGGCTGTGATGCTGCTCTGATGGTGGTGGGGAGGAAGAGATGCAGGGGGCCAGCCTGCCTGCTTCTGTGTGTGTGAGTGTGTGTGTGTGTGCGAGTGTGTTTGTGTGCACGGAAGGGTGAGCGTGCGGCTTAGTTAAGCCTAATGTGGTTAAAAGCTTTAATATTGATGGCCTGTCAACTTTGTCCCGATTCTTTGCCTTTCAGTTAAAAGGTTTTTGTTGTTGTAGCTTATGCAGTGGCTCCGTTGCTATGGAAACATGACATCGAAATGACGTCCCTCTGTTTAAAAGCTTTTAGCTAAATTCCAGCCTGTCAGATGGTAGGCCCCATCTTGTGCTACCAGCCGCCGCTTGTGTGCTGCCCGGTGCGAAGAGCCTCCTCGGCCGGCAGCTGCCATGGCTTCAGCTCCGGCTCCTGCTTGCCTGCTGTCGGTCCAGAGCGAGAAGCACCGACGAGCGCGTAACTGGACCGAAGCCGAGATGCGAGGCCTGATGCTGGTCTGGGAGGAATTCTTCGAGGAGCTCAAGCAGACCAAAAGGAACGCCAAAGTTTACGAGAAAATGGCCAACAAACTCTTCGAAATGACGGGCGAAATCCGGCACGGGGAAGAGATCAAGATTAAAATCACCAACATGACCTTCCAATACAGGTAAGTCGAGGATGCTCGGAGATGCCCGGGTACCTTGAGATCTTCTATGGATCCCTCTGCCCGAAAGAAGGATTTCGGGGCATCGCCCTTGCTACCCACAAAGGTCCCAGCAACCTGGGCACGGACAGGAGCCGATGGTGCCAGGCAAGCCAGGGTGACCCACAGTGATTCTGCGGGAGTAAGATCCGGCCAAGCCAAGTCAACCTTTCCCAGGGAACCTCTGTGCCAATCTTGGTCCTTCTTGCCTCTGAACCCAGCCAGATAGCCTCTCTAGAGAGTGGTGCCCGGCATTGTCACCGTCCTGAGCAAATGAGCCAGACCCAAGAAATGTCATTTATGCCAGGCCAAAGGGAGAAAAGAGGGAGGGGCACAGTTCCTATTGGGCCAGTCAAGAGGTGCTCATTAAATGCCCACCTGGTGACGTGAGAATCCTTTGCGGCTCCCATTTCTCAACGCGCGATCCTGCCAGGGTACCAAAGTTATTCACAAGTGCATCGAACTGGCATTCCTTGCTTGAGTGAGAAGATCATCTAGTCCTCCCTTGGTCAACCGAGGACAACTCCAAAGAGCCCGGGAAGCATTTTAAGATGCCATGGTTGTCCCCAAAGGTGCCTTTTTCAGGAGGCAACTTTTAACATGTGAAGCGTTTTTGTTTGTCTTTTGATCCGGGTTGCCTGCACCCCAAAGCAGGGCGTGGCATTAGGGGCCGCCATTTTGACTTTTTTGCCTCCTCCTCAATATGGTTTCATTTTCACCGCAGGGAAACTTTCCCCAGCAAGTTTCCGTGTAGGCAAGAGGGTGGAATTCTAACGTCCTTCAGGTCGGAAAGCTGGAGGGTTCTCAGGAATGGTTGGGGAAAAAGCCAAGGAGGCAGAAAGCGCTGAGAGTTGATCCCAGTCTTTGTGCTCCGAATTTTTTTCCCCTCAGAGTGAAAAAGAGAGGAGAGAGACGGAAAGGAGGGAGAAATGCTTTTAGTTAAGAGTTGTCAACTCGCCACGGGCCAACTTTCCGCGGCCAACTCTCCGCAGGATAAGAGCTCCTACACTAATATCGAAGAAAATAATAGAATAGAATCATTAAAGAAAGGATGCCGAAGGAAGGGCAAAATGAAACAGTTGGCAACAGTTAAAATAACTTTTTAAATGGTTTTAAATAATTGAATTGAATTGTCCCACGGGGAGTTGGTCACGGTGAGGTGTCCCGAAGCGAGTTGGCTTTGGTGAGAGTTGGCCGCGGTGAATTGACTGTGGCAAATTGGAGATAACAGTAGCGGCCAAAATTGTGGAAACCTTTTGGGGAAAGCGTATTTTCTAAAACTAGCTACCTCTTCTCTTCTCTTCTCTACTCTACTCTACTCTACTCAACTCTACTGTTTTCTATTCTATTCTATTCTATTCTATTCTATTCTATTCTATTCTATTCTATTCTATTCTATTCCATTCTATTCCTCCTCCTCCTATCCTATCCTATCCTATCCTATCCTATCCTATCCTATCCTATCCTATCCTATCCTATCCTCCTCCTCCTCCTCCTCCTCTTCTATTCTATTCTATTCTATTCTATTCTATTCTATTCTATTCTATTCTATTCTATTCTATTCTATTCTATATTCTATTGTATTCTATTTCATTCCATTCCATTTCACTGTATTATATTCATTATATTATTCTATTCTATTCTATTCTATTCTATTCTATTCTATTCTATTCTATTCTATTCTATTCTATTCTATTCTATTCTATTCTATTCTATTCTATTCTTTCCACGTGTGATGCCCCTTTGCATACGTGACTGTGTTTTTATCATCGCAGGAAATTAAAGTGCATGACTGATAGCGAAACTTTGGCGCCCGATTGGCCTTATTTCAAAACCATTGATAGAATATTATCTAAAGTCCCGGAGCACAACGACGTGAAAATTCACGATAGCCAGCAACCGGGTCCTTCCACCTCCCAGACCGAAGCCTCACAATCGCCTTCCACCAAATCGGCGCCTCTTTATTTGCCATATAATCAGTTCCCGTACGAAGGCCGAGAAGAATTCTTCGAAGATGCCCATTCAGAGAGCTCCTCCAGCTTAATTTCGTATAAATTAAGGTAAAACCCCTCCCCCCACCCACATTTTGACTTTCAAAGCTTTTTTTTTTTAAATCAAGTTTTATTGGGTTTTTTTGCCCCCCCTAAGACACACCCACATATTTTATGAAACAGAGTATTGACTATAATCATATCATATCATATGCAACTTATCATATCCAAATATATTTTACTTAGTGACAATTTCTGCCATATTCTGTTCTTTTTCCGTATTTTTTAATCCAATCTTAATCTTTCTATTCTTATTTCTATAAACAGTATCCTCTTTCGCCATTTTTCTCCATTTTAAATCATATATATGTATTCTCTTTTAATATTTAATAATTTATTCTTTATCCTAATATATTTAAACGTGTTCGGGGATGCCTTTCTTCCATTTCATCTTTATTGTTTTACAGCAATCTTTCTTCTCTTTTTCTTACTCTCCCTCTCTTAGTTTATCCTTTCTACCTTCTTCCCTCCTCTCCTACTCCTTCTCTACTTCCCCTTCCTTTCTTCCTCTCCTCCTTTCTTCCCCCATCTAACCTTCTCTCCTACTCTTATTTCCCGTTCCTTTCTTCCTCTCCTCCTTTCTTCCCCCCATCTAACCTTCTCTCCTACTCTTATTTCCCTTTCCTTTCTTCCTCTCCTCCTTTCTTCTCCCATCTAACCTTCTCTCCTACTTTTATTTCCCTTTCCTTTCTTCCTCTCCTCCTTTCTTCCCCCATCTAACCTTCTCTCCTACTCTTATTTCCCTTTCCTTTCTTCCTCTCCTCCTTTCTTCCCCCATCTAACCTTCTCTCCTACTCTTATTTCCCTTTCCTTTCTTCCTCTCCTCCTTTCTTCCCCCACATCTAACCTTCTCTCCTACTCTTATTTCCCTTTCCTTTCTTCCTCTCCTCCTTTCTTCCCCATCTAACCTTCTCTCCTACTCTTATTTCCCTTTCCTTTCTTCCTCTCCTCCTTTCTTCCCCCATCTAACCTTCTCTCCTACTCTTATTTCCCTTTCCTTTCTTCCTCTCCTCCTTTCTTCCCCACATCTAACCTTCTCTCCTACTCTTATTTCCCTTTCCTTTCTTCCTCTCCTCCTTTCTTCCCCCCTATCTAACCTTCTCTCCTACTCTTATTTCCCTTTCCTTTCTTCCTCTCCTCTTCCCTTTCTTCTATTCCTCTCTCTCCTTCTCCCTTCCTTCAATCTCCCTACTCCTTCTTCCATCTCTCTATATTGCTGTATTCATTTTCAATTCATTGTTTTTTTTTTCTATAGTGTCCAGGCATCCCCGATTCTCTCCATTTATTGCATATATTCCTCAAGATTCACATCAAGTTTTTAAATTCTTAACAGTGTATTTCAACTGATTCCATTTTTACCTTAAAATCTTTCAACTGAATTAACCTTCCTCTTATGTTCTTTAATTCCTAATTTCTTATTCCCACTTCAATCATTATTTTGCTCTTTTCCTAATATTTCAATTACTTTCACTTATTTTTACATATAAACCATTTTGTATCTGCAAAATGGTTTATATTTATTTTGTATCTGCTGGTCTATTTTACATTGAACAATATACTTTTTAAAAAAAAATTCTTACATATATTTCATTTCATCTTGACTTACATCATTGACTTACATCATTTACTAACATTTTAATTTTATTTTTTTAAATTCAATTTCCTTTGTTTTTTCAATCTTTGGCACACTTTTCTTTACCCTCAACAGGTGTTTCTCTCCAATCCTTAAATCCCCAGACAACAAAATATAAACCTTTCTATCTTTCACATTGTTTCTTTCAAAGCTTATGGGTTTGGCCTGGTGTGACTGGGAAGTCCCAAGGAAATTGCTGAGGGGTTTTAGAATTGCACACCAAAACGAGAAATCTATGTTGCGTTTGTACCAAGGGACCGTTCAGATTAGTGGTGGGTTGCTACTGGTTCGCCCCAGTTCGGACGAATCAGTAGCAGCGGCGGTGGTGGGAGGCTCCGCCCATCCACCCATCCGTCAACAAAAACACTCTACCGAACTGGTAGCGCCGGGATTTGAAATCCACTACCGGTTCAGATCAACCTTTGAATTAAGGTGAGACGAGGAAGGAAAATTGCAAGCAATGCCATCGATCAGAATAGAGCCGGAAGGGACCTCAGAGGTCTTCTAGTCCAGCTCCCTGCTGAAGCAGGAGATCCTCTACCATTTCAGTCAAGTGGCTGTCCAATCTCTTCTTAAAAATCTCCAGTGATGGAGCACCCACAACTTCTGGTGGCAAGCTGTTCCACGGGTTAATTGTCCTCACTGTCAGGAAGTTTCTCCTTAATTCCAGGTTGCTTGCCTCCTTGATGAGTTTCCATCCATTGTTTCTCATCCTGCCTTCTGGTGTTTTGGGAAATAAGTTGACCCCCTCTTCTTTGGGGCAGCCCCTCAAATACTGGAAGACTGCTATCATGTCATCCCTAGTCCTTCTTTTCATATACACAATTCCTGCAAACATTCCTCATATGTTTCAGTCTCCAGGCCTTTAATCATCCTGCACTTTTTTCAAAGTCTCAAGATCTTTTTTGTAATGTGACCCAAACAGGATGAAGTATTCCAGGTGTGGCCTCACTAAGGGTTTATAAAGCGGTACTAATGCTTTACATAATTTTGATTCAATGCCTTTGTTTATACAACCAAGGATTGTATTAGCTTTTTTAGCTGCTGCCGCGCACGGCTGGCTCATGTTTTAAGAGATCGCCCACCAGGACTCCAAAGTCCATCAAATCTCTTGCTTCTTCTGTCTATAACTTTTTCAAGCTTTTTTCGTTATTTTTATTCTTCTATGTTACCTCATAGTTTAGTTTAGTTTTAGTTTATTGTCACTGCACATGGTACAACGAAATTAAATGCCTTCTTCCGCGTACATTGCAACTATAAAAATAAAGACAGAAACTTACATCCTTTGCATTCTATATAATTGCAATTGAAAACCGAATAACTTAACAACTTATTGTTATTATACAGGATGGGATGGGATGGGATGGATTATTTTGAAATCGCGACATTGCAAAGACGATCGCGGTGCACGAAGGGGGTTTTAACGCCGAAGTTTTTCCCGTTTCAGAACAGAAGAGCGACCGGTGAAGAAAAGAAAAGTGCAAAGCTGCAGTTTTCAAAAGAAGAAGTTGAAGCTGATGGAAGCCATGCTGGAAGAGCAGAAAAAACTGAGCCGAGCTATGGAGGAAACATGTCGAGAAGTCCGAAGGACTCTGGACCAACAGAACATTATCCAAGTCCAGAGTTTGCAGCTACAGGAAAGAATGATGAATTTACTGGAGAAGATGATCACCAAAGCCAATGTTTAAATTTCTGCCTGGGGGGAAAAAGAAAAAAGAAAAAAAAAAAAGGAAGGAAACTTAACCTGTTTTGATAGAAATGGCTTATTTCATATCCCTAGGATAGCTTCTTCCTTCCAGGTAAATCGAAACGGGAAAGAAACAGCTTGACCTCCTTGTAGGCTAATTCTTAAGCAAATAAAATTTGGGCTTGATAATATGAGTTAATTTGGGGGGGGGGAACGGGAAGGGTGAAGCCCCAGAGCCGCGGTGGCGCAGTGGTTAGAGTGCAGTATTTGCAGGCTACTTCTGCCGACTGCCGGCTGCCTGCAATTTGGCAGATCGAATCTCACCAGGCTCAAGGTTGATTCAGCCTTCCGTCCTTCCGAGGTCGGTAAAATGAGGGCCCAGATTGTTGGGGGCAAGAGATCGACTCTGTAAACCGCTTAGAGAGGGCTGTAAAAGCACTGTAAAGCGGTATATAAGTCCAAGTGCTATTGCTTGTCCTTCCTTCCTTCCTTCCTTCCTTCCTTCCTTCCTTCCTTCCTTCCTTCCTTCCTTCCTTCCAGTGGTTAAAATGCAGTATTGCAGGCTGACTCTGCCCACAGCCAGGAGTTCGATCCTGATGGGCTCAAGGTTGACTCAGCCTTCCGTCCTTCCGAGGTGGGTAAAACGAGGGCCCAGATTGTTGGGGGCAAGAGGCAGACTCTGTAAAACTGCTTAGAGAAGGCTGTAAAAGCACTGTAAAGCAGTATATAAGTCTAAGTGCTATTGCTATGAAGGAAGCAATTTCGTGTCTCGGCTACGTCGAAGCAAAACATGGTTCCTAAGCTATGTGGGGTGATTTCACTGAGGGTTTACTTTGTTCCAACCTTATTGGGGGCCAGTGAAGAGAGACTGATGGAAGAGCAAATGCAAAGGCCAGGGGTGAAATGCTACCAGTTCGCTCCGGTTCGGGCAAACCAGTAGTGATAAAAACTACTGGTTTCTCTGAACCAATATTTCCAACAATCAGCTGTGCTGCACTGTTTAGCTTTGCTAGAAAGCAGGAAATCCTGCTTTCTAGCGAAGTTAAATCGCGCGGCACAGCTGATCCCTCCCCCTCACTGTTCTACTTACCTTCCAAAGCCTCCTTTTGGTGTGTACTGTGTATGCGTGCGCGCAACGCGCATTTGGCACGCACTGCGCATATGCGTGCAGAGTGCGCTTGGCAGCAAACCAGTAGCAAACCGGTTCGGATTTCAAACCACTGGCAAAGGCTCTCCGGGCCAGTTCCTGATGACCTCCGTGCCAGTTCCTTTGACTGCTCATCAGTGGTGTTCCTGGAGGAGGTCACAAGAAACCCAAAAGACAGGGATGCAGGTGGAACTTTCATGTTGGGGACCCATCGCTCAACGTAGGCCCACGGGGAGGGCCCTGAGACTGTCACCCAACGATTGACACCAGGACTGTCCTTGCTGTCTGCAGATAGCTGGCACGAGGGCCAGGAGGCATTGGTGGTTCGCTTCGAACCAGGAGGGTCAACTAGGGCCATCGGCTGTTTTCTAGGCCTGCCTTTTGGCAAGCAAGAGGAGTGGTGCGGTGGCCTGCAGGTGGAGCTCTTGCCTCACAATCAGGAGGCTGTGAGTTCGATCCTAGAGGTAGAGGCAGATATTTCTCTCTCTCAGCACAATGAGAATATATCTGCTGAACTAAACTCCGTATTGGTGACAGGAAGGGCATCCGGTCAGTAAACATTCAGCTCCATTGTTGATCTGACTCTGCCCCGCATGGGATTATGGGGTTGTTAAAAGATGATGATGATAATTTTGGCAGATGGGACCTTTCACCTAATATTGTTGAATTCACGTTGAGAAGTTTTGCGGAATGGGTGGGGGGGCCTTCAGGATGTTCTGCCAGGGGGACAGGGTGGGTTCTACTTACCTTTACTACTGGTTTGCAATGGGATCGTGTGAGAGGGTTTTGTTCGCATGTGCGCCTTGCTTCTGCGCATGCGCAGATCGCTAATGACGACATCCGGGGTGGTTGGCGGGGCCTCCTGACAGTTTTACTACCGGTTCTTGCGAACCGGTCTGAACCGGGGGCAACGCATCACTTCAGGGGGACCTTGAATGGCATGAGATAGAGAAAAGAAAAGCCCAGAATCCGCTTAATCCATTCAGCCTCCTCTTTCTGTTTTTCTGTTTTGACAGTTCACCGAAATTTAAATCCAACCCTGATCTCCATGAATCTCCTTTCATGAAAATCCACGACATTTGGTTTCCTGCTCGAGAAAAAGCACCGATCTTAGCGGTGCCGAAGAGGGGGGTGGGGAAAAAAACTAAGGCAAATGAAGGAAAGAAATCTCCGGAAGCTTACAGGACCCAAAGATGGACTCAACTGCTGCGATTCAAGCCTTCGGTCCACGGAGACCACGGAGAAGAGAGGGGAGCAATGCAACCTCAAGGACGAGGCTCTAAGGAGGCTGCACTGAACAGGGGGCAGGAAAACAAGAGCTGGGAAGATAGACACGGGGACGGTCCCTGCAGAAGAAGCAGGAGGTCCCTAGAAATTCCCCCACCAACCCAAAAAAGATCCGGGAACGAATAGCCGAATCTCTACCATTAAGCCTCCTCATCCCCTTCCTTACTCTCTCATCTGAAGCTCCAGGATCTCTCGAGGATAATTCAATACACTGAATGATCACCTACGATGGAAAGAAAAAAAAATAATAACAACAGGAAAATTCTAAAAGGATTCTTGTACTTGCAGATACTGTAGTCTGTGGGGGAGGAAAAATATGCGAGAAGGATTATATGCCACAAATTTATTTATTATGTTCCTTTCTACAAAACATAATTATTTCCCCTACAGCGTACTTGCTAAAATAGGGTTAGTTTTAAAAGACATTTAAAGAGCGACAAGGAAATGTTATTTATATTTTAAATATAACGCGAAGGCCCAGCGATCCTATTCCAAAGTTATACATTTTCTTTCTACGTCCTTATTCTAATTTCAGGAAAAACAAAACAAACAAAAAAAAGAATATTCTGGATCATATCAGAATCAGCGACCACCGTGAGTGAAAGGGATATTAAATCTTCAGCTTTTACGCTGAATGCTAAAAAAAACCTAGAGTTTGATTTTATAGTCGAATTCGGGCGAAGAAAAAGGGCTTTGGATTGAATTCGGAATGCTGGCACCAAATTGATGTGATTGCGGAAATAGCAAAAGAAACTCGATTGTTGAGGATGGAATATGGTGACATATCCTACTACTCTGTCTGCTCGGGGCTGGGAGAGTTTGAGTTGAAAGCCAAGCTCGTGATGGAAGAAGAAGGAGGAGGAGAAAACATGATGGTTTCTATAGACAGGGCATCGTTAAGTAAACATAGCGAAGAGAAGCTAAGTAGAAACCCTTTGGGTAAGAGAATGGGGGTCATGAGATGGATGGTTGGATGGATGGGATGCATGGATGGATGGATGGATGGATGGGATGCATGGATGGATGGATGGATGGATGGGATGGGATGGGATGGGATGGGATGCATGGATGGATGGATGGATGGATGGATGGATGGGATGCATGGATGGATGGGATGGGATGGGATGGATGGGATGGGATGGATAGATTGGATGGATGGATGGATGGATGGGATGGGATGGGATGGATAGATTGGATGGATGGATTGGATGGATGGATGGATGGATGGGATGCATGGATGGATGGATGGATTGGATGGATGGATGGGATGGAATGGGATGGGATGGGATGGGATGGGATGGGATGGGATGCATGGATGGATGGATGGATGGGATGGGATGGGATGGGATGGGATGGATGGATGCATGGGATGGGATGGGATGGATGGGATGGGATGGGATGGGATAGATTGGATAGATGGATGGATGGATGGATGGATGGATGGATGGATGGATGGATGGATGGATGGGATGGGATGGGATAGATTGGATAGATGGATGGATGGATGGATGGATGGATGGATGGATGGATGGATGGATGGGATGGGATGGATAGATTGGATAGATGGATGGATGGATGGATGGGATGGGATGGGATGGATGGATGGGTTGCATGGATGGGTTGCATGGATGGATGGATGGATGGATGGATGGATGGATGGATGGATGGACAAACAGATGGATAGATGGATGGATGAAAAGATGAATGGATTGATCGATAGGTGGATGGATGGATGGATGGATGGATGGATGGGATATTCATCTCAGAATGCACAGAAAAGGAAGCTGTGTTTGTGTTTCAACTTGGAGAGAGAGACAAAGAAGTCCAGCTTTGGTTGGACTTTAAGGAGCAGGAGCTAACCCAGCCAGAAGGACCATCAAGCTGAAGAGACATGTTGGTCTGTGGCCATAAGAGTCTTCAAGGTGAGGCAGGCTAAAGCTGTTACTGGATGCCAGGAGGAGGATGATCCCACTGAGCCAAAGAGTTTGGAAAAGTCCTCTTTTGTGTATCTTTTGGTTCTTTTTTTTTTTTTAAATTTGATTTACATGCCGCCCTTCTCCGGAGACTCAGGGCGGCTTACAATGCACTAAGCAATAGCCTTCATCCTTTTGTATATTTATACAAAGTCAGCTTATTGCCCCCACAATCTGGGTCCTCATTTCACCTACCTTAGAAAGGATGGAAGGCTGAGTCAACCTTGAGCCTGGTGAGATTCGAACCAGCACAGGCAGCTGTGTTAATAACAGGGTGCACTAAACCACTGTACTATCAAGGTTCTCATCCTGTTGATTGAAAATTCCCTCATAATGAATGTAGCTGTCGAACATCTGTTATTAACACAAACTGACCTGGACTGTTAAAGATATAGATATACAGGAGTAGTGGAATAGGATTCTCTTGAAACTCCAAAAAAAAAAATAAGTGGTACTATTAGCCATCAAACCTCCAAAATACACTTTTCCCAAAAGGTTTCCACAATTTTGGCCACTACTGTATGTATATATATATATTAGGGGATTTTATATTACGTCAGCTTTTCCAGAGGATGTATGTTCGCCCAGTAGAATCGTAAAATGCAGGTCTCGTGTATAGAAAGCAAGCACAAGAAATCAGCTTGATCAACGGGCAGGCGGTTCTCGACTTACGACCACCATTTCCGTGGCTCGGTGAAATGTTTGTTTAATGAGCCCTGCCCCGTTTTTACGACCTTTCTTGCCACAGCGGTTAAAGCGGATCATTAAGCAGGTGTTAAGTTAGGAACACGGACGTTAAGCGAAATCCGGCTTAACCCCCACCCCCACCCCAGGGAACCTGTGACTGTCATAAATACGGGTCAGTTGCCGAGCCTCCGTGTTTTGGTCACGTGATCGTGGGGAGGCTTGCAACAGTCGTGTGGAAAAATGATCATAAGTCACGTTTTTCAGTGTCGTCGTAATTGGTCACTAAACGAACTGTTGTAAGCCTAGAACTACCGTTAGAATCCCAAGTGGCGCATAACGGGGTGAGCTCCCGTGACTTGTCCCAGCTTCTGCCAACCTAGCAGTTCGAAAGCAGGTAAAAAATGCAAGTAGAAAAATAGGGACCACCTTTGGTGGGAAGGGAAAAGCGTTCCGTGCGCCTTTGGCGTTAAGTCATGCTGGCCACATGACCACGGAGACGTCTTCGGACAGCGCTGGCTCCTCGGCTTTGAAACGGAGATGAGCACTGCCCCCTAGAGTCAGGAACGACTAGCACCTATGTGCGAGGGGAACCTTTACCTTTTATACAAGGGCTCTTGACTTCAGAAGATGGAGCAGGCAAGAGGGTTGTGAGGGCAACAGGAGCTGTGATGGAAGGGAGGTTAGACATTTCTCCTGGTCTCTTCTGCCACTTGTTAAATAGGTTCACGATGGAAAGGATGAGAATGTGGGATTTTAATGCCGCCTTTCTCGGCGTGCTTCGATTTTCTCTAGGTACGGCTTCGTTCTGGAGAAAGCCTCGCACCCTAGGCGATGGCAAAGAGTTTGATTGTCGTTTGATGGCGCAAACGTCAATCGATCGGCATGCAGGCACTCTGAGCTGTGTTGTAACTTTTTGTGTGAAAGGTAGAAAAGCGACAGCAGCAACAGAGAGAGAGAGAGAGAGAGAGAAAGAGAAATAAAGAGAGAAAGAAAGAAAGAGAGAGAGAAGGAGAGAGAGAAAGAGAAAGAAAAAGAGAAAGAGAAAGAGAGAGAGGAGAGAGAGAAAGAGAGAGAAAGAAAGAGAAAGAGAGAGAGAGAAAGAAAGAGAAAGAGAGGAGAGAGAGAAAGAGAAAGAAAGAGAGAGAGAAAGAAAGAGAGAAAGAGAGAAAAAGAGAAAGAGAAAGAGAGAGAGAGAAAGAGAAAGAGAAAGAGAGAGAAAGAAAAAGAGAGAGAAAAAAGAGAGAGAAAGAGAGAGAAAGAAAAAGAGAAAGAGAGAAAGAAAGAGAAAGAGAGGAGAGAGAGAAAGAGAAAGAAAGAAAGAGAGAGAGAAAGAGAGAAAAAGAGAAAGAAAGAGAGAGAAAGAAAAAGAGAGAGAAAGAGAGAGAGAAAGAGAGAAAAAGAGAAAGAAAGAGAGAAAGAAAGAGAAAGAGAGAGAGAGAGAGAGAGAGAGAGAGAGAGAGAGAGAAAGAGAAAAAGAAAAAGAGAAAGAGCCATGACCTACCTATTATATCCTCTGGATGGCCAGGGAAAGAATGTCTGAATGGAGCCACTCTGGACAGTGACCGAATGAATCATAGACACAACAGAGACTGATGTGTCTGGAGAGAAAGATAGTCTGAGATTTGAAGACAGAGCTGAGAAATAAGGAAGGTGAGCAAGGAGCCAGGGAACTCAAATTCCTTCCCCAGTGCTGATTCGCGTGCAAAGAATGAGGAAATCCAGTGATTGGGGAGACTCTGGTGGATTCTCACGGAAGCCTCGGCTGCCAAAAACGCCGACGCAATTCTAGGCTGAATTAACAGAGGGAAAGTATCAGGATCACACGAAGTGTTAATACCACTTTGTAATGCCTTGGTAAGGTCGCACTTAGAATATTGCATCCAGTTTTGGTCCCCACGATGTAAAAAAGATATGGAGACTCTAGAAAGAGCACAGAGAAGAGCAACAAAGATGATTAGGGAGGCTAAAATATATGAAGAATGGTTGCAGGAACTGGGTATGTCTACTTTGATGAAAAGAAGGACTAGGGGTGAAATAATAGCATTGTTTAAATATCTCAGGGGCTTCCACAAAGTAGGGAGAGAGTCAAGCTATTCTCCAAAGCACCTGAAGGTAGGACAAGAAGATGGGTGGAAACTAATCAAGGAGAGAAGCAACTTAGAACTAAGGACGAATTTCTTAGCAAGTAATGAGTGGAACAGATGTTGCCTTCAGAAGTTATGGGTGCTCCAACACTGGAGGTTTTTAAGAAGAGGTTCGACAATCATTTGTCTAGGGTTTCCTGCTTGAGCAGGGGGTTGGACTAGAAGACCTCCAAGGTCCCTTCCAACTTCTTTTCTTCAGAGTCTGTTGAGTCTCTCGAGGAAGATACACCCAACCCAACTCTAGGAAAGGATCTCAACTTGGGCGTGCTCCAAGACAAGTCCTGAGAAAGGAGAGTTCAGTTCCTATAATCCAGGCTCTCCCTGTCCAGGTTTGAGGTGATGGAGAGGCAAGACAGAAGCTAGGAGACGGTACCCAGTAGGGCCCAGAGCAGGTTAAAATCTTTCAAACAAAGAACATAAAAAAATGAGGTTGGCATGAGGGACATCAGAGCCCATAAGAGAAAAGAAAAAAAAAATTGCAATTGTTAAAAAGAAGCTCTCCACCCCGTCGATTAATTCATCAGTTTGGTTTTTTCGCAATAAAATATTCGTATTCCCAAGTAACGGCGCTGCTCCGAATACTCAAAGTCTCTACAACGCAACTTGTTGTTCTCCTTCTTTGAGACAAATATGACTTTTTTTAAAAAAAAAAAAATGTTTGCAAACTGTCTTTTTAAAATATGATTTTGTATGTTTACGTCTTTTTCAAATTTGAAATGAGTTCGTTCATTGTTAATACCGCTCGGTAAAGATTATTTGTTATATCCCTTTTAATTAAAAAAAACAAAAAACTTTTTCATTGATCTATACATACAGTAAATGCTCCTAAATTGATAAGTTTGTTCCTGGCATTTTCTCTGTTGGGTTACGAATCTCTCCTGGCCTAAGTTGACTAACCAAGGAGAGGAGCAACCTAGACGTAAGGAGAAATTTCCTGACAGTTAGAACAATTAATCAGTGGAAGGACTTGCCTCCAGAAGTTGCGAATGCTCCAATACTGGAAGTTTTTAAGAAGAGATTGGACAACCATTTGTCTGAAAGGGTCTAGGGCCAGGGGTGAAATCCAGCAGGTTCTGACAGGTTCTGGAGAACCGGTAGCGGAAATTTTGAGTAGTTCGGAGAACCGGCAAATACCATCTCTGGCTGGCCCCAGAGTGGGGTGGGAATGGAGATTTTGCAATATCCTTTCCCCCAGGAGTGGGGAGAGGATGGGGATTTTGCAGTATCCTTCCCCATCACTGGTCTACGGTTTCCGGCCTGAGAATTCTGAGAATAACAATTCTGTTATTCTGACCCACCAGAGGAGCCACCCATCGGCCCTCCCCGACGCCGTTCATCGGAAATCGGGGCAGAAATCCCAATGGAAGAATGGCAAGTCCACCCCAAAGCACCAAAATGAGAAATCCTGAGTTCCTTGAAGGACATCTTGATTTTTGGAGTCCGTTTTTTTCCCCCCTAGTTCTGCCAGCACCAGAAAAAGAAAAGTTTGGTAGAAAGAGCATTTGGTATTGTCAAGAAGACCGATTTGGGAAGTTGTCCCGTGGATACCAGGCGAAGGGGATCGGTCCCTCTATGAAGCCATCATTCCTTATCCTTTGGGCGGGCGATGTATCTCCTGGTTGATCCAATTGATGTAATTGATCACCTTGGTGTAAACTCCCGGCTTCCTGGCTTTGCCGCAGCCGTCACCCCAGCTGACGATTCCGTAGAGGTAGAAGACTCCGTCCTTTTCGCAGGCGAGGGGTCCTCCCGAATCTCCCTGGGACACAGAGGGGAACGTGAAGGTAAATAGAAGAACTATGCAACATCACAAATCTCAGCCAACCAGAGTTTTCTATCCTTTTGTGTTTTTTCTGTAACTTGTTTTTGGTGTTTGTTTGTTTTTTAGTTTATTTATACATTTTTCTTTTACATCCATAAGTGCTTTGCAAACAGTGTATTGTCTGGATCAATTTGCTTACCCATAATAATATTTATCCGATTTCTAATCTCTATTTTCATATCAAGCCATTGATATGGCTTGATAGGGATAAAACAAGTTCCATGTTAGAAAATATTCCGTATCTTCTTTATCCTTTATCTTTAATGTCAACCAGCGGTGAAATCCAGCTGGATCTAGCCAGTTCGTGCGAACCGGTAGTGCTGGCAGCGGGAGGCTCCGCCCACCCACTGGGACGTCATTACATCATTACGTCCCGTTTTTGACCCTATGCTCATGTACAGAGGGCTCTGCAGATTTGCAGAAGAGGTACGTGCGTTCACATTCCCAAACCGGTAGCAAAGATAAGTGCATTTCACCACTGATGTCAACCTATCCATTCCTACACAATCTAGTATTTTTTTTTTAATTGCAGTCTCTTCTGTAGATGGAAGAGCTAAGCAACATCATAAATCTCAGCCAACCAGGCTTTTCTTTCTTTCTTTCTTTCTTTCTTTCTTTCTTTCTTTCTTTCTTTCTTTCTTTCTTTCTTTCTTTCTTTCTTTCTTTCTTTCTTTCCTTCTTTCTTTCTTTTCTTTCTTTCTTTCTTTCTTTCTTTCTTTGTAACTTCTAACGGTAGCTGTGTTTCAGCTGTGGGGCACCGGATGGGTAGATCCCCTCAGCGCACCTGAATATCTCTGTGAATATGGAAACGGTCCTCGTGAATTGGGAAAAAGAGGATCCTGGAAATCCATCATTTCAATGAGGGGAAAAGACATGGGCTGCTGAGCGAATTGTTTGGCCGCTCAAAAGTTTTTGGTTAAGGTCAAAGGTAGAACAAAAATGGAGAGGGAACAACTAGAAAAGCTAAAGGGGAGAAGGAAGTTGGGCCCACTAGGGAAGATAAAAGCAATGAAAAAATGGTAAAAGCCAGAGACAAGGGGCTCCCTTGATAGGAGAAGACATAAGGGGGTGGGGACAGGCGAAAGTGGGGAGGGCAGAGCCTCCAAACTCTCGTGACCCCACTCCTCTTCCATGTTCAAACTGAGCAAGAGCCAACAGCTGGATGCAGCTGGGAAATTTTAAAAAAATCAAAGTAATACAAACTCCCTAGGTTGGCTCAACAGAGGCCCAGCTCAGATTTCCTTCCTTCAAAGACCTCCCTAAAATGCACAGCTCAGAACGGGAAGCAATATGGTTGGGAGGGAGGAAGGAAATAAAAAAATAGAAAAAAGAAAGAAAGAAAGAGAAAAGAAAGAGAAAAGAAAGAAAGAAAGAAAGAAAGAGAAAAGAAAGAAAGAAAGAGAGAGAGAGAGGGAAGGAGGGAGGGAAGGAAGGAAGAAGGAAGGAAAGAAATAAAGTAGAAAAAAGTGAAAGAAAAAAGGAAGAAAGAGGAAGAGAGGGAGGGAGGGAGGGAGGAAGGAAAAGGAAGGAAGGAAGAAGGAAGGAAATAAAGTAGAAAAAAGTGAAAGAAAAAAGGAAGAAAGAGGGAGGGAGGAAGGAAGGAAGGAAGAAGAAGGAAGGAAGGAAATAAAGTAGAAAAAAGTGAAAGAAAAAAGGAAGAAAGAAAGAGGGAGGGAGGGAGGGAGGAAAGAAGGAAAAGGATGGAAATAAAGAAGTAGAAAAAGTGAAAGAAAAAAAGGAAGAAAGAAAGAGGGAGGGAGGGAGGGAGGTAAGAAGGAAAAGGAAGAAAAGGGAAGGAAGGAAGGAAATAAAGAAGTAGAAAAAGTGAAAGGAAAAAGGAAGAAAGAAAGAGGATGGAAGGAAGGAAAACAGGAAAGAAAGAAAGAAAGAAAGAAAGAAAGAAAGAGGGAGGGAGGGAGAGAGGAAAGGTGGGAGAGAGGGACCTGAGCTTCAGTAACTCCCCTCCCCCCCCAAAGACTTCTTGGGGTACAGCGAAAAGCTGTGGATGGATTTCCAGATTCCTTCTCTTTTGGGTATCAGAGTTGATCCTAACTCAGCCAATGAAACCCCAAGCCAGGCTCTGCCGTGGGAGGAAAAGGAGGGATGGCACCGAATCTCAGAAGAAGAAACGGAGAGAACCGCAGAACCTCCGATATATTTTTTTTTTAGGCTTAAGCCTGACTGGGCGTGTGCACCAGCGGCACCCACAAACTCCCGGCTAAAAGCCAGGGGAAAGCATCGGTTTCGGTAAAAATCGCACAGCCCAGCAGGCGGTTGCATCCGGTGAGGGGACCGTTGGCTGATAGGCAAAGAACGCAGCCAGATCAAAATTGGCCAGATTTGTACGGAACCATTAAGGCTCCTGGGGAGGAACTATTTCTTTTATATTCCCAAATTCCTTGCAGAGGTCAACCCAGAGAAAACTGAAGCCAAACTGACCAGGTGGCTCAGTGGCTAGGACACTGAGCTTGTCGGCCAGAAAAATCGGCAGTTCGGCGGTTTGAATCCCTACTCTCTCCTGTGTGAGCTGGGGGTGGGACTAGATCAGAGGTCACCAACTGGTGGTCTGCGAGAAAATTTGGGTGGTCCGCAGAAAAATTATTTGCATTTTTCATATTGCACTAAATCAGGGGTCCTCAACTTACGGCGCCTGGGCCGGATACGTGCCATGAACGTTTGTGTTGCTCTGCAGAGAGTCTCCCCCTTCGGGGACTTTTTGTGCGGGTCGGAGGGGGGCAGAAATTCCGACTTGGGGTCTGCTTCAGCCTCCTGGTGGGGGGCTTTGGGCGAAGGCTGGAGGGAAGTGCCGCTGGTGGCGAAGAGCCGGAGGGCCTCGTTCCAGTGGGACTGCGTCATGGCCTGGAACTGGCTGACCATCTCAACCCGCTGAGCCTCCGGGTGCCGGTACCTGGCCTTGCACTCCCGCAGGTCTTCCCTCTGCTTGGAAAGCCTATGCTCCTAGTCCTCAGTGAGGTGCTTCTGCTGAGCCTCCTTCTCGGTCGGATCCAATTTGAATGAGCTGTTTTGCCGACTTTTTCTCGTGGCGACTGCTTAGTTCCAACAACTGCTCCTTGTTGGGGCCCTAAGGAGTCCGGATGGGGAGGCGAGGAGTGGCTGGGAAGGGAGGGGTGAGTAGAGGCCGTCGAGGCGCCCTCGATGTGACATCGAGTTGGCCACGCCCACCCAGTCACATGACCACCTAGCCACGCCCACCCAGCCGGTCATTAGGCAGATCATATTCGTGGTCCGCGGGATTAAAAATTATGAATTAAGTGGTCCCTGAGGTCCGAAAGGTTGGGGACCCCTGGATTAGAAGACCTCCAAGTTCCCTTCCAACTCTGTTACTATTAAAAAGTTGCAAAGTTATTTTATACGCTATAAAGACCAGAGCGCACGGTTCAAGCTCACTTTATTTCCCCCCCAAATCTGACCCTTTTGCGGATTTTACTATTTTTGTTAACGGCCAGCATCAAATGTGGCGAGACGTAAAAAAAAGGATAAAATATTGCAATGGCTGGCTATACAATCCCTAGGAGAATTATTGCAGCCACTTCAATGGAGCTTTATAATGCTGTAAATACACACACACACAACACACACACACACACACACACACAGACGGGTATATATGGTGGCCTAAAAGTGGAGCTCTCGCCTCACAGTCAGGAGGCTGTGAGTTCGATCCTAGGTAGAGGCAGATATTTCTCTCTCTGGGAGCAATGAGAATAATATCTGCTGAACAAAACTCCGCTCTGGCAACAGGAAAGGTATCCGGCCAGTAAACACTCTGCTAGCTCCATTCGGTTGCCCAGACTCCACCCCTGGGGCTAATTCCTGCAGAAACTCAAGAGGATTACCTGGCAAGCGTCTGATCTGCCGTCGAGGTAACCAGCGCAGAACATATTTTCGCTGATTTCAGCGCCATAAACGTCCGCGTTTTGACACTTGTAATCTGGGATAATCGGAATTAATGCTTCTTGCACCACATTGGAGTATCTGGAGGAATCTGCTCAAACGACGAGAAAGAAAATAAGTCTGAGGAACAGCAGCTGGGCCTGAGAAGGGCACCCACAAACAGAATGGGACAACTCGCAGTCACCAACTTGTCATTGCCCACTTGCCATGGGACAACTCAGCGCAGGGCAATTTAACAATTCAATTTTGCCGTTGCATTTTGTCCCTCCTTTTGCAACCTTTCTTCAATGATTTTATTCCACTATTTCTTTGAGATTAGGGTAACTCTTCTCCCACAGTGAGTCGTCCCGCAACAAGCTGACTGTGGTAAGTTGACCATGGTGAGTTGGCCATGGTGAATTGGCCATGGGAAGTTGGCTGTAGTGAGTTGGCCGTGGTGAGTTGGCCATGATGAGTTGGCCATGGTGAGTTGACCGTAGAGAATTAGCCATGGTGAGTTGGCCATGTTGAGTTGGCCATGGGGAGTTGGCCATGACGAGTTGGCCATGGCGGGTTGGCCTTGATGAGTTGGCTGTGGTGAGTTGGCTGTGGTGAGTTGGCCGTGGTGAGTTGGCCATGTTGAGTTGGCCGTAGTGTATTGGCCATGGGGAGTTGGCCATGATGAGTTGGCCATGGCGGGTTGGCCTTCATGAGTTGGCCGTGGTGAGTTGGCTATGGTGAATTGTCATAGACCCCCCCCACAAGAGTTTTAGTAAGAAATCATTAGAAATGCCCCTCCCACTTTTTGGTAGGCACCCTTGTATGTTCTAAAGTATGACCAGCATTTGCCTCATTTGACCGACCTTGGAAGGACGGAAGTCTGAGTCAACCTTGGAGCTGGCCAGGATCGAACTACTCGCTGTGGGCAGTGCTAACCTCCAATGCTGCATTGTAACCACTGGGAGGGAGGGAGGGAGGGAGGGAGGAGGGAGGAGGGAGGGAGGGAAGGAAGGAAGGAAGGAAGGAAGGAAGGAAGGAAGGAAGGAAGGAAGGAAGGAAGGAAGGAAGGTTGGTTCAACCTTGAACCAGTCAGGGTCGAACTTCCTGGCAGTAAGCAGTCGGCCTGCAATACCGCATTCTAACCACTGCGCCACCAGGGCTCTATTGAAAACATCCGCTATCTAAAAACGGAGTGTGATGTGCAGACATCCTGAAGATCGTCCTAGTGTCAGCTGAAACTCCTGGCTATAGGGGGTGATCAGCTTCCCCAACGGTCATCTCTTACTTTCGTGCAGGTATCCCCATCCAACAACGTAGCATTTGTAATGGTCTGGAAAGGACATGGAAGCTTCTGGCAGGCATATGGGTTGAACAAATCGGGATCTCACCGCGCAGCGTTGCTTGATTTTCTTCAGTTTAATTAAAACTGCAAGAGAGAGGAAGGACAGGTGAGTTTCTTGCAAAAATCAAATCCAGAAGCACGCACAGTTAACTGAATCAGCCGGATTCGTTAACTTCTTTATATTCATCATAACGCATAAAGTATATTTACAATACCAACAGTTGATTTGTCAGCTCAGATCAGCAGACGTGTTCACACACAGAGTACAGCAGCTCAGAGCTTAACACACACTGGTTTCAGTTTCTCTTTCTCTGCACAGAATCAGGAGCTGCAGACTAAGACACGCCCTGGCTCCAGTCTGTCTTAGCTCCCAATGGGCTGACTTAGTTGCTATGTCTATTCATTGGCTGACCTTGTTACCATGTCTTCCCAGTCATGAATATTCTGACACAGTATAGGTGGTACCTGGCTCAATAGTAGTAACTGTGAGAGGGACCTTGGAGTCCCAGTGGACAATCACTTAAAAATGAGCCAGCCATGTGCTGCAGTGGCCAAAAAAGCTAACACAGTTCTAGGCTGCATTAACAGAGCGATGGAATCAAGATCACTTAAAGTGTTAATACCACTTTATAATGCCTTGGTAAGGCCACACCTGGAATATGGCATCCAGTTTTGGTCGCCAAGATGGAAAAAAGATGTGGAGACTCTAGAAAGAGTGCAGAGAAGAGCAACAAAGAGGATTAGGGGACTGGAGGCTAAAACATATGAAGAACGGTTGCAGGAACTGGGTATGTCTAGTTTGATGAAGAGAAGGACTAGGGGAGACATGATAGCGGTGTTCCAATGTCTCAGGGGCTGCCACAAAGAAGACGGAGTCAAGCTATTCTCCAAAGCACCTGAGGGTAGGACAAGAAGCAATGGGTGGAAACTAATCTAGGAGAGAAGCAACTTAGAACTAAGGAGGAATTTCCTGACAGTGAGGAAAATGAATCAGTGGAACAGAAGTTCCCTTCAGAAGTTGTGAATGCTCCAACACTGGAAATTTTTAAGACAAGATTAGACAACCATTTGTCTAAAATGATGTAAGGTTTCCTACCTGAGCAGGGGGTTGGACTAGAAGACCTCCAAGGTTCCTTCCAACTGTCCTGTCCTGTTCTGTTCTGTTATCTACTCCACTCCACTCCATTCCACTCCACTCCACTCCACTCCACTCCACTCCACTCCACTCTACTCTACTCTACTCTACTCTACTCTACTCTACTCCTCTTCTCTTCTCTTCTCCTCTTCTCTTTTCTCCATTCCATTCTTCTCTTCTCTTCTCTTCTCTTCTCTTCTCTTCTCTTCTCTTCTCTTCTCTTCTCTTCTCTTCTCTTCTCTTCTCTTCCCTTCCCTTCCCTTCCCTTCCCTTCCCTTCTCTTCTCTTCTCCATTCCACTCCACTCTACTCTACTTTACTCTACTCCTCTTCTTTTCTCCATTCCATTCCATTCTACTCTATTCTATTCTACTCCACTCCACTCCACTCTACTCCATTCCATTCCATTCCATTCCACTCTACTGTACTCTACTCTACTCCTCTCCTCTACTTCATTCCACTCTTCTCTTCTCTTCTCTTCTCTTCTCTTCTCTTCTCTTCTCTTCTCTTCTCTTCTCTTCTCTTCTCTTCTCTTCTCTTCCCTTCCCTTCCCTTCCCTTCTCTTCTCCATTCCACTCTACTCTACTCTACTTTACTCTACTCCTCTTCTCTTCTCTTCTCCATTCCATTCCATTCTACTCTATTCTACTCTACTCCACTCCACTCCACTCTACTCCATTCCATTCCATTCCATTCCATTCCACTCTACTGTACTCTACTCTACTCCTCTCCTCTACTTCATTCCACTCTTCTCTTCTCTTCTCTTCTCTTCTCTTCTCTTCTCTTCTCTTCTTCTCTTCTCTTCTCTTCTCTTCTCTTCTCTTCTCTTCTCTTCTCTTCTCTTCCCTTCCCTTCCCTTCCCTTCCCTTCCCTTCCCTTCCCTTCCCTTCTCCACTCCACTCCACTCTACTCTTGATCCAATAAATGGAATTCAGTCTTTATATCAGTGGTCCCCAACTCCAGTCCATGGCCCAGTGCTGGGTTGCAGCCCATTTGGTACTGGACCACAGAAGTGCTGCGCGAGCGCATGTGCGCTTGCACAAAGCTGTATTTGTGAAAACAGCGTGTGTGCAAAACCATCCCCGAAAAGGTTGGGGACCACTGCTTTACGCGGCAGTAGAGAAAAAGAGCTCACCGATATCGTTTTCGGTTGGGTTGAACACGGAGTAGTTGGGATGCAGGATGTACTTCTCTATCTTAAACTCTTGAGTGACGTCTGTCGTTTTGTTAAAAAAATGTTGGCCCAAAACCACGTGGATGGTTGAGGTCAGCGGGCTGAAGGGAACGAGAAAGCCCTGTTAATGGCACCCTATCCTGAGCCTCCACCCCACCGTCGGGGCAGTTGATCACTGACCCAAACTTTCTCAGAGCCAAAGGTGAATGTAAGGATGCCACTTCCAGGATCCAAAGCTTTCCACCTGTGCAGAGATTTTCCCCGGGCCTAACCCAGAAGGTCTGTGAGATGCAGCCTTTTTTTTTTTTTTTTTTTTTAATTTGATTTATATGCCGCCCTTCTCCGAAGACTCAGGGCGGCTTACAATGTGCTCAGCAATAGCCTTCCTACTTTTGTATATTTATACAAAGTCAGCTTATTGCCCCCACAAACTGGGTCCTCATTTCACCTACCTTAGAAAGGATGGAAGGCTGAGTCAACCTTGAGCCTTGGCGAGATTCGAACCCTGCAGTAATTGCAGGCAGCTGGTCTTAACCAGCTTAATAACAGGGTGCCTTAAACCCCTGTACTACCAAGCCTTCCCTTCCGGCTTCTCTGCCTGCTGAGCGATGGGGCTCCACGCTTCTCCTAATGTAAATGAAGCGGGCTCTGATAGATAACCACTGGATAACTTTCTATTCACTCTATTCTAAAGGCAGGAAATGCATCCGGTTGGAAAAATTACAAACTCAGCCAAAATCCTTTTGATACTTTTAGGAGGCCTGTAAATTGTCAGAAGAAAGGAACATTCTAATGACATACAGCTTAAAGGTTGGTTAGGTCAAGGGGATCCACATGAGCTATAAGTCATTTATCAACAGAAGATAATTTGAATCTATGCTCCAGTAATTTACAGAAGAATTATGATTGTTTGGCAAGAATAATATGAAACTTTAGTAATTAGGAAATGTCAATTAAATATAACAAATGTATATGACCATATAAACTGCTGAGTTAACAGAATCCTTTGTTTGAAAATGTATAAAACTGTGGTCTCAGAATCATAAGTTGTTCAAAGCTTCATGTATAAAACTGGCTCTGAACCTATTGCGCAATACATTGTCTCTGACTAACCTAGAAATGTTGCGTTGGTCTCATCATTCCACAACATTCCTACCTCCTTGCTTTAGTCCCCTGGGAGCTGGATGCGAGCAGAGGTGGCCATAGGGTGGGGTCAAAACATCAAGATGGCCACCGCAGCACATGTTAAAAAGGGTGGAGGGGGTGGAGGTTGGGGGTGACATCTGGGATTCTTCTGTCACCCTCCTGCATACAATGCTGCACTCAATGGGGCAACTGGAGGAGGTCCCTGCAAGCAGGAGCAAAGAGAGGAGGAGGAGGAAGGGGAAGAGGGAAAGGAGAAGGAGAAGGAGAGGAGGAGGAAGATGGAAAGGAGGAGGAGGAGAAAGGAGGAGAAAGGAGGAGGAGAAAGGAGGAGGAAGAAGGGGGAAAGGAGGAGGAGGAAAAAGAGGAGGAGGAGAAAGAAGGGGGAAAGGAGGAGGAAGAGGAAGAAGAATAAGGAGAGGAGGAGGAAGATGGAAAGGAGGAGGAGGAGAAAGGAGGAGAAAGGAGGAGGAAGAAGGGGGAAAGGAGGAGGAGGGAAAAGAGGAGGAGGAGAAGGAAGGGGGAAAGGAGGAGGAAGAGGAAGAAGGAGAAAGAGAGGAGGAGGAAGATGGAAAGGAGGAGGAGGAGAAAGGAGAAGAAAGGAGGAGGAGAAAGGAGGAGGAAGAAGGGGGAAAAGAGGAGGAGGGAAAAGAAGAGGAGGAGGAGGAAGGGGGAAAGGAGGAGGAAGAGGAAGAAGAATAAGGAGAGGAGGAGGAAGATGAAAAGGAGGAGGAGGGGGAAAAGGAGGAGGAAGAAGGGAAAAAGGAGGAGGAACAGGAGGACGACTGTCTGGCCCATTTTAGAGCTCAGGGAAAACATTTGCACTGGGCCCTTCCTGACCAATTAGCTCCCAGAAGAACATCGCTGGAAAGAAATTCAGAGTTTGAGACCCATCAACGAATTGAGCAGCCTCACCTGTGAGCAAAACAGTGGGCCGATGTGACCAGCCAGCAGGAGCGAATTAGACTTCCGGCACAGAAATTCCTGCCGACGTTGATGCTGGCCAGCCAGGGGTAGGATCCTGGCAAGGCAGAAGATCCCCCCACAATCCTGGGTCTTACAAACTTCTGCTTCTTGTGCCTCCTCCCACACGACTTCTTGACCGCGGCAAGCTCATCGGCTTCTGGAAAAAAGTTTGGCGGCGGCGGCGGCGGCTGCCTGCGCCCACTTTCTGAAAGAAGGGAGGGGATAAGGAATCACTTTATTTCCTTACTGGGTTTTCCTTCCGTTTGCTTTTCAGAATGTTATTGCACGGGGGTGGGGAGGCATGATGGCTCAGTGGTTGAAGTTGCTGAGCTTATCAGCTGATAGCCCGGGTTCGAGACGCGAGCGCCACGCGACAGGCAGAGGTGAGCGAACCAGTAGTTAAGAAATTGTGCAGTTGGGCGAACCGGCAAATCCCACCTCTGGCTGGCCCTGCTCCCGCTCATTTTCTGTGCTGTTGTCCAGGCTGTTTTTTGGGCCAAAAAAGCCTGAAAACAGCCCCCAAATGGCCTGAAAACCAACCCAAAATGGCTGAAAAATGGACCAAAAACCTGACTGAAAATAACCCAAAAAGTGGCCAAAAATGGCCCCCAAAATGGCCTGAAACTCTCCAAAAGACAGCCTGAAAAACGGCATGAAAACAACCCAAAAAACATCTTGAAAATGGCCTGAAAAATGACCTGAAAACCAGCCCCAAAAATGGCTAAAAAACAGCCCAAAAACCCACCTGAAAATGGCCCCAAAACCAGCTAAAAATGGCCCCCAAAACAGCCAAAATGACCAAAAAACAGGCAAAAAAACAAGTTGAAAAATGGGAGGGGAGGGGCCAGCCAGTGGTGGGATTAGACCCAACCGGCTGAATCCTACCTCTGCCTTTGAGGCCAGTGGCCGGGAGGCGGGGCTGGGTGTGATGAGTGACGTCACCCACCCAGTCACATGACCAACCGGCCACGACTACCCAGCCAGAGAATCGGTTGTTAAGTTGTTCAAGTCCCACCACTGGCGACAGGGTGAGTTCCGTCCTTGTCTCAGCTCCAGCCCACTAGCAGTTCGAAAGCATGCAAATGCGAATAGATCAATAGGTACCACTTTGGTGGGAAGATAACCATGTTCCGGGCCCCTTTGACGTGTAGCCATGCTCGCCACATGACCACGGAAAAGTCTCCAGACAATGTGGACTCCTTTTTCCTAGAAACGGAGATGAGCACCGGGCCCTAGAGTCGTACACAACTGGACAGCGAATCTTTTACCGTTATTCTAGAAGGGAGGAACCTGTCCTTGCTAAGCCTTCTGTAATAAAGGCAGTCCTTGACATACAACAGTTCATTTAGTGACCATTCAAAGTTACCACGGCACTGAAAAAAGAGACTTAGGACTGTTTTTCACATGTGTCACCGTTGCGGCCTCCCTGTGGTCACGCAATCAAAATTCAGACTCTGGGCAACTGGCATGTACTTATGACTGTTGCAGTGCCCCGGGGGGTCACGCGATCTCCTTTTTGCGACCTTTCTGATCACCAAAGTCGACGGGGAATCCGGCTTCATTGAACAACCATGTTATTCGTTTAACAACTAATAACAAAGTTCAACGATCCACGTCGCCATGGTGGCCGGAAAAGTCATAAAATGAGGGCCAAACTCACTTCACGACAGAAATTTCGGGCTCAGTTGCAGTCGTAAATCAAGGACTGCCTGTAACGAGGAGAGACTGACTAAAGGGATAGTATTGGCACGAAGATTGATATTGACGTGACACTGATTGATGACTGCATTTTTTTTTAAAAAAAAGTATACATTTATTTAAGAACCCGTCTGTCGATCCTTGGGCTAATTTCTTGGTACAACCCAAGTTGAATCCTGCAGTTTACAAATTACTTACGGCACGCTGACACATTGCAGTATCCCCAAGACAGACTGCCGTCCTTAATGAAATAACACCACGGCTGCTCGTCCTCATCTGGGCTTCTATGGCATTGGAAAAAAGTTAAGGAATTAACTCTTTGAGTAATCCGTTGACTTCCAGGCTCGATTTCTTCTGTTTTTTTTTTTTAAGTTTTTTATTTTTAATTTTTTTTTTTTAAACAAACATATCAATGAGTGAACACTGTGGCACAGTCATACATTCTAATACAAATAAAACTAGTAGAATTAATCATAGTTATTACATTCAATCAACTTATATATTTTTAATAATGATACACAGTTATATTAAGTTGCAGTTTGTCATTCAATTATTCCATGCTTTCTCTTGCTTTTGCTTTTATTTTATTATATAAAAGGGCATACGGTAATATTCCCCCTTCTCTTATTTCTATCTCTTATTCTAACTTTTAATCATGTCACCTTTATTAAAAAATGTTTTCTTTCTATCCTACCTAACTTCTAGTCATGTCACCTACCTAAAAAAAAAAAAGAGAGAGAAAAGAAAAAGAAAACCAGAACTACAACAAAAAAGAGAAATCTTCTATCCATCGTCTCTTGCCCGCTTCAACACTTTAATTGCTATGCTTTTTTTTTGACTTGCCTCCCATATTCTTCTCTCGGATCTTTATCTCTGTCTGCATCTGCTTCTTGACTGTTCAATCTAGGTATTTCTCCCACCTCTACCCTCTTCCACTGCCTAGTTTCCAAAATTTCTGTCCAACCCCCTATCTTCTGGTTTCTTCTGGTTTTGCTAGGAGTTCCCGTGCTTCAAATGTGGATTTGATTTAGGATTTTCTAATGTCAGAGGGAAGGACGGGGAAAGGACTCCATGGTGGCTCCTTGGTGTTTAGGAGGTGCCCAGCTATCTGTGAGGGACCTCTTTGTCATCTGGGGTGGCTTTGTGGGAACCTCCTCATATTCCCTCCCTCCAGGGGCCATCCTAAATGGTGGGTCTCGAGTCTCAAATCACTCAAATCGATTCTCCCTTCTCTTTGTCTTCTCTCCCTCCTCACTCTTTGTCTCACTTGGCACGGCCCTTCTTCTTGGCCCATGGTCTTGCCAGCAATTTAGGGAGTCTGTTAACCGATGATGCCGTATACAGCAGGGGTGTCCTGTGGACTTCAACTCCCAGAATCCCCCAGCCAGAATGCTTGGCTTGGCTTGACTGAGAAGCGAAACCATGTTTTGCCTCTCATCCAAGAAGCGTCTGTCAGGTTTCGAGGTCGTCTCAAATAAATTGCATTTCAAACAAAGTCTTTGAAGAAAACTTCCATTTATTCAGCACGACATTCAAAGTCTGACTCATCGTAGCCAACACTGACTTCCAGACCCAAAACCCTCCCTTTCCGTTCCCCACTCCCCTGCACTCATTGGCCATCTTCCAAGTCACTCTACCCCTATCTACTGCTCCAACTCAAAGGAATTTCCCCCCTCCCATCCCATCTCCTAGGGGATATTATCTCCAGGGAAAATAAGTAGGTGAAAAGTCAAACGTCCCTTTCCAGACGCCTCCGCTCCTCCTTCTTATGTCAGCACTAGAGTAAAGACAGCTTGAAGTGCTGACAGTGTCTTCACCTGTCTTTTGGGAAAAGCCCCTCTGGATGATTGAGTATCTTCCTAGACTTCTCCAAGCTGTTCTTAGAAAGGAGTTACTCCTCTGACGTCTTACCGGCAGTAGGAATGCGAGCCCAATCCCAGCTGCACTGTGTTTGTTTGAGGGTCGTCATAGGAGAAGAGGTCAGAAGTCCACGGGAGACAATCATCTCCAGAAATGGTCTTCTTGGCCAGGCCCAGGTAATTGGTCGCATTACCCAAATAACAATTTTGATTCGGAGCTGATGAAGAAGGAAAGGCAAAAGATTCAAGTCAGTGCCCCCAAAATTGATTGGACCCTCATTAGTCAAATCCCAGTCAATAGTTTTATCAAAATCGATCCATAGTGTCAGTTATTCCAAAGCACCAGAAGGCAGGACAAGAAGCAATGGATCAAAACTAATCAAGGATAGAAACAATCTGGAATTGAGGACAAACTTCCTAACAGTGAGAACAATCAACCAGTGGAACAGCTTGCCACCAGAAGTTGTGGCTGCTCCATCACTGGAAGTTTTTAAGAAGAGACTGGGCAGCCACTTGTCTGAAATGAAGACCCCTCCCAGCTCTATTCTGATTCTTGGCTTTGACAGGAAGGTGTCAGAACTGGGAATTAATATCGGACTGAGATATACAGTAAATAAAATTCAAATGGAGAAGATGGATTTGGAGGCGGAAAGTCACGGACGGAAATGTATCGGAGCTCGTGGAGCAGGGATACCATTTCTGAAATGGATATCCAGGGCACCGATGTAGGATATGAGTACCTGCCTCGGTAATAGGGCATGGAAAGAGGTGTCATTGTGTCAGGACTGCCATCTTGCTACGCCACACATTGCCTGCTGTTGGCCTGCTATACTCGACAAGGGGAAGGGAAATTGCCGGGTTGGGATAAGAGGAGAGTTAGCATGTGGAATCAAAACTATGCCGTCCGGTGAAAACCACCGGCTGTTCCAAGGTCACACAAAGAAACGCAGAACCACCCAGCCCGCGAAGACAAGGGACTGTTACTCAAACAATTTGTTAGCAAACTGGACACTCGTTGATAACCAGGGGATGGATAGGAACAAGGGAAAGTTAACCCTATGCTTTGCGCGTGAAAACCTCAGATCCGGCTCTGCTTCTTCTGTAACCGCTTGGCTTTTGTAAAGGATCATAAACATCATTATCATCAATCGTGATCATCATCAATCATGATCATCATCATTCTCGTCGTTGTCTGTCCACTGCAGGATGAAGGCCTCTTCCGCCTGTTTCCAACCAAGACAGTCCTGAGCTTTTTTTGGGGTCAATTGGGCCCGCCATACAGACTGATGACGACTGAAGTTATGACGGCATTGAAAAATGTGACTGAGGACCGTATTTCACAGTTACGACCGTTGCCGCATCACTGAGGTCACGTGCTCCAAATTATGATGCTTGGCCACCTATTTACGACAGTCACAGTATCCCAGGGGGGGGTCACAAGATCCGCTTTCGCGACCTCCTGACGAGCAAAGTCAAAAAGGGGGGGAAAGCCGGATTCCTAACTTACCAACGGCAGGGATTCAGTTAGCAACGGTGGCAAGAAAAGTCATACCATGGGGCAAAACGCACTTCACACCAACCTCTCCCTTGGCCACAGAAATGTTGGCCTCAATTGTGGTCGTAAGTCGAGGACCGCCTGTGCAGCAGAGGAATTTGAATTTGCCAAAGGAAAAATAAACCCGCTCGCAAAGCGGGCAGCTGAGGGCCTCGTGATTTAAAAAAAGGAGATAAAACCAATCCAAGTGGACACAACTTTGGACACAACCGGTCACAACTGGGGGGAGGGAGGAGTGGAGGGGGGGCTCACCCATGTTGCAGTGTCTCCCGCTGAAGAGGTGGCTGCACACGCAGACGGTCGTGTCCGAGAAGAAGGTCCTCCTGCAAGAGCGGCTGCCCCGAGGCAGGCAGGGTCGGAGGGACAGCCTGGAGGGGAGCCAAGCAGAGGGAAAGGGGGCCCTTAAAATCTGACATTTATGAAACACGAGAGCTGCGGCTTGAACTGGCGTCTCTGTGGATCCTTTTTGAGACTACTCTGGCCACCACGAAGAAACGTTTGAAGAATTCTCCCCTGCAGAACAGGGTTAGGTGTTTTCACCTTAAATATCGGGAAATAGTCAGCCACTAGTGAAATTTGGCGTTTCTCCCGTTTCCTTCCTTCCTTCCTTCCTTCCTTCCTTCCTTCCTTCCTTCCTTCCTTCCTTCCTTTCCTTTCCTTCCCTTTCCTTTCCTTTCCTTTCCTTTCCCATTCTTTTCTTCTTCTCTCTTCCTTTCCTTTCCTTCCCTTTCCTTCCCTTCCCTTTCCTTTCTTTCCTTCCCTTCCCTTCCCTTTCCTTCCTTCCTTCCCTCCCAGTGGTTACAATGCAGCATTGCAGGCTAACACTGCCCACAGCCACGAAGTTCAACCCTGACCAGCTCAAGGCTGAATCTTCCTTCCTTCCTCCTGACCCGCTCAGAGTTGACTCAGCCTTCCTTCCTTCCTTCCTTCCTTCCTTCCTTCCTTCCTTCCTTCCTTCCTTCCTTCCTCCCTCCCTCCCTCCTTTCCTTTCCTTTCCTTCTTTCCTTTCCTTTCCTTTCCTTTCCTTTCCTTCCTTCCCAGTGGTTACAATGCAGCATTGCAGGCTAACACTGTCCACAGCCACAAAGTTCAACCCTGACCAGCTCAAGGTTGAATCTTCCTTCCTTTCTCCTGACCGGCTCAAAGTTGACTCAGCCTTCCTTCCTTCCTCCCTCCCTCCCTCCCTCCCAGTGGCTAAAATGCAGTATTGCAGGCTAACTCTGCATTCCACTGCCAGCAGTTCAATCCTGACCAGCTCAAAGTTGACTCAGCCTTCCTTCCTTCCATCCTTCCTTCCTTCCCTTCCTCCCTCCCTCTTCCTCTTCCTCTTTTCTTTCTTTTCCTTCCTTCCTCCCTCCCTCCTTCCTTCCTGCCTTTCTTTCTCTTTTTTCCTCCCTTCCTTCCTTCCTTCCTTCCTTCCTTCCTTCCTTCCTTCCTTCCTTCCCTTCCTCCCTCCCTCTTCCTCTTCCTCTTTTTTTTCTTTTCCTTCCTCCCTCCCTCCTTCCTTCCTTTCTCTTTTTTCCTTCCTTCCTTCCTTCCTTTCCTTCCTTTCTCCCCCCCTCCCTTCCTCCATCTCCTGCAACGTCCCTTCCAGCTCTATTCTGATTGATTGGCCTCTTTCCAATGCCTCAAAGGGAGCCCTCTAGTGCAGGGGTCTCCAACCCTTGGCAACTTTAAGACTTGTGGACTTCAACTTCCAGAATTCCTCAGCCATCTGGGAGTTGAAGCCCAGGGGTCTTAAAGCTGCCAAGGTTGGAGACCCCTGCTCTAATGAACATTTCCCTGCAATACCTGTATACATTTCCGGATGGCAATCGGTTGTGCCGTTAACACAGGTGCACGCTTGTATTGAGCCTTGGTAGACTCTGGCCCAACTGTCTCCAATCTCAAAGTGTTCATACAGAGTCTCATCAAAGCATTTCGCTGTAATGGAGGAAAGCGGAAAAGCCTTTAGCCTGGACCACAATTTCTGCAATCAGAGCTGGATCCAACAATTCAATTTAATCATTTAAAGTAAAGTTAAAAGATTTCTTAATGTTTGTCATTCACATTTCGTTCTGTCCCTCCTCTTTTATCCTTTCTTTAATGATTCTATTACACAATTTCTTAGATATTCATGTAACTCCTGTCCCTCAGCAAGTTGGTTGTTGAAAGTTGGCTGTAGTGAGTTGGCTATGGAGAGTTGACATGGAGAGTTGGCCATGGTGTGTTGGCCATGGTGTGTTGGCTGTGGTGAGCTGGCTATGGTGTGTAAGCAATGGTGAGTTGGCCACAGTGAGTTGGCCATGGTGGGTGGTCATAGTGAGTTGGCCATGGTGAGTTGGCTGTGATGTGTTGGCCATAGTGTGTTGGCCATGGTGTGTTGGCCATGGTGTGTTGGCTGTAGTGAGCTGGCTGTGGTGTTTAAGCAATGGTGAGTTGGCCACAGAGAGTTGGCCATGGTGGGTGGTCATAGTGAGTTGGCCATGGTGAGTTGGCTGTGATGTGTTGGCCATGGTGTGTTGGCCATGGTGAGTTGGCTGTGGTGTGTAAACAATGATGAGTTGGCCATAAAGAATTGGCCATGGTGAGTTGGCCATGGTGAGTTGGCCACGGTGGGTGGTCATGGTGAGCTGGCCATGGTGAGTTGGCCATGGTGGGTGGTCATAGTGAGTTGGCTGTGGTGTGTTGGCCATGATGTATTGGCCGTAGTGAGCTGGCTGTGGTGTATTAGCCATGGTGAGTTGGCCATGGTGGGTGGTTATAATGAGCTGGCCATGGTGAGTTGGCTGTGGTGTGTTGGCCACGGTGAGTTGGCCATGGTGGGTGATCATAATGAGTTGGCCATGGTGTGTTCCCTGTGGGGAATTGTCATAGACCCAGTGGAGAATTTCAGCTAACCAAATGTCCATGACTGTCCATCTCCCACAGCCTCCAATGATGAAGCTTCCAGGATGGGGAGAGAAACATCTTATCTTTTTCCACAGAAAAACCAATCCTTTTCAAAATAAAAACCATAGAGACTCAGCTTACCAACTTCACACTGTGTCCCCGTGAATTCAGCAGGACAGACGCAGCGCTGAGAACACTGGTCACATTCCCGGAAACACGTGCCCCCATTTCTACAAGGGTTACGTCCGCAGTCGTGGGAACCATCTACACAGCAAAGCAGTGAAAGAGAAAATCAAGAAAGGCAACAGCGGACGGGCCCCGGGTATTAATGAACAGCACAAAAGGAAGGAGGATTGTTATGGGCCACCAAGCCAGGATCAGACCTTTAGAGGCCAGGTGGAGAGATCTCCTCTGGGGACTCAGTTCTTCACTGCACTGCTCTCCTCTGTCTGGGGGTCCCTTGACCGTTTTCTCTTCAGGAGTGTCCTTGCTGTGACAATTCTAATTCGCTTCTTTCTTTTTAAAATAATTTTTACTGAGGAAGGGTTTTTTTTGACAGAGCTAAAAACAGTACAAAAATTCTGAATGAAAGAAGAATAAAGAAGGAGGGAAGGGAGAAGGAATTGAGAAAGGGAAAGGAAGGGAAGGGAAAGGTGGGAAGGGAAAGGTAGGGAAGGGAAACGGAAAGGAAGAGAAAGGAAGGGGAAGGGGAAAGGAAAGGAAGGGAAGGGAAAGGTGCGATAGGGAGGGGAAGGGAATGGTAGGGAAGGGAAGGGAAACGGAAAGGAAGAGAAAGGAAGGAGAAGGGAAGGGAAGAGGAAGGGGAAAGGAAAGGAAGGGAAGGGAAAGGTAGGGAAGGGAAAGGGAAAGGAAGAGAAAGGAAGGGGAAGGGGAAAGGAAAGGAAGGGAAGGGAAAGGTACGATAGGGAGGGGAAGGGAATGGTAGGGAAGGGAAAGGTACGATAGGGAGGGGAAGGGAATGGTAGGGAAGGGAAAGGTACGATAGGGAGGGGAAGGGAATGGTAGGGAAGGGAAGGGAAAGGTACGATAGGGAGGGGAAGGGAATGGTAGGGAAGGGAAAGGGAAACGGAAAGGAAGAGAAAGGAAGGGGAAGGGGAAGGGAAGGGAAGGGAAAGGTGCGATAGGGAGGGGAAGGGAACGGGAAAGGAAAAGAAAGGGGAAGGGGAAGGAGAAGGAGAAGGGGAAGGAGAAGGAGAAGGAGAAGGGAAGGGGAAGAGGAAGGGGAAGGGGAAGGGAAGGGAAGGGAAGGGAGGGGAGGGGAGGGGAAGGGAATGGTAGGGAAGGGAAAGGGAAAGGAAGAGAAAGGAAGGGAAGGGAAAGATACGATAGGGAGGGAAGAGAAAGGGAGGGAAGGAAAAGGTAGGGAAGGGAAGGGAAGAGAAAGGTGTGATAGGGAGGAGAAGGAAAAGGTAGGGAAGGGAAAGGGAAGGGAAAAAAAGTGAAAAAGTGAAAGTGAAAGTAGGATAGGAAAGGGAAGGGAAGAAAGCAGGAAGGGGAAAAGGAAGGAGGAGAAAAGAGGCAGCTCAGCACAGAGCTACATAGGAAGCAGAGGAAAGAGTCAGGATAGCCACTCCCTAGTATCTCCTGGGGTGTATATCTATCAGGAAAAGAATAGTGAGAGTTGACTCTGGCAAGATTCTGTCTGCTGTGTGTAAGCAATTAAAGAATTAAATTCTGACCAGATTGTTCCACGTCATTCTTTTCAGGACCTTGGCGTGGATAGATTTCATATTCCGGTTCAGCTGTCGTCTTAGCGCCCGCTGTTATTTCCTCCTAGGAATAATAGCAATGCAAATTTCTTTTGAAGAAGCCATTTCTCAAGAGTAAATTGTGTGACTAGTTGACTTTTTTTTTTTTTTAGTAAACAGATCCTCTGTCTCTTGCTCTAAAATTGAGAATGGTAGGTAAATACAAGGTAAGTCCTTGGCTACAATTGACCACAATTGAGTCCAACATTTCTGTTGTTCTTGTACAAAGCCATAAAGGACTCCAAAGAGTAATCTGTGTGGTTGTTTTTTCTTGGAAATCGAGAGTCATGGAGCTTTTGTAAAACTTGCAAGACAAAATTGCAAGTCGACGTATTCTCCAAAGCACCTGAGGGTAGGACAAGAAGCAATGGGTGGAAACTCATCAAGGAGAGAAGCAAGCTAGAACTAAGGAGGAATTTCCTGACAGTGAGAAAAATTAATCAGTAGAACGAGTTGCCACCAGAAGTTGTGGGTTCTTCAACAGTGGACGTTTTTAAGAAGAGGTTGGAGAACCATTTGTCTGAAATGATCTAGGGTCTCCTGCCTGAGCAGGAGGTTGGACTAGAAGACCTCCAAGGTCCCTTCCAACCTTATTATATTATGAAATTATGGGTGGACTCCATGCCTAAGAAAGAGAAGCACTAGGAGTGACTTGATAGCTGTCTTCCAATACTTCAGGGGTTGTCGTAGGGAAGAGGAGGTCAACCTGTTCTCCAAAGCAACGGATGGAATCTAACCAAGGAGAGACCCAATCTAGAACCAAGGAGAAATTTCCTGGCCCTTAGAACAATCAATCAGTGGGACAGAAGTTGCCACCAGAAGTTGTGGGTGCTTCAACACTGGAGGCTTTTAAGAAGAGACCGGACAGCCACCTGAATGAAATGGTCTAGGACAGAAGTCAGCAACCTGCAGCTCTGGAGCCGCATGTGGCTCTTTCACCCCTCTGCTGCGGTTCCCTGTCGCTCAAAATATGCGTCAGAAATGCCAATGTGCGACACCCGCCGGCAGGCGATTTATTGAGCTTTTCGACCCTCGGTAGGCCAACCATGGAGAAATCCAAGAAAAGAAAAGTTTCAGAAGAAAACAGAACGTTTAATTCAACTACATAAGCTAGTTTTGTGGCCGCTCAAGAAATAGTCAGGCACGGGAAGGGTTTTTGTGGCTCCCGGTGTTTTCTTTTCTGTGGGAAATGGGTCCAAATGGCTCTCTGAGTGTTTAAGGTTGCTGTTGTGGCCCCGCCCTCTGAGCCTGTCCCATCGGAGGAAGAAAGCTCCGAGCATGAGGAAGAGGAGTCAGCCAGGCCTCCCTCTCCAGGCCCCTCCCCTCTGGCACTGTCTCAGGTGCCGGCCGAGGGAGAGGAGATTAGCAGGGAGACAGGTGGCTTGGATGAGAGTGAGGGAGAGACATCATTCCTGGACGCACGCCTCCGAAGGCGTGATAAACGATTGCAGCAGCTCAGGAGGTGTGCTAGGGATTAGAACTGAGTCACTGGACCACACCCCAGAGACTATATAATAGAGGGTGGTGGCCAGTGATCCTTGTGACGAACAAAAGTAAACCTTGGATAGTCACTAAAGCCTCGTCCGGAAACTGCTGAGAGGAATATTATTCTGATTGGACTTTTGTACACTAAGTATCTTATCTTTCTGTTTTGTGGAAATAAATGCACTTGGCAGACGGTGTGTAAATCGCTGCCAAGTTGGAGATAAAGACCTGGGTGTGTGCCAAAGTGTTTCCTTAACCCTCGGCTGGCTGTGTTTGTGTGTGTGTGTGGACGGGGACAGATCAGTTGCAGACCCCTGAACTAGAAGACCTCCAAGGTCCCTCCCAACTCTGTTGTTGCTGCTGTTGTTAAATCTCACTTACTATCCTGCTTCCGTAGTTTGGAAGGTGAAATTCCCACGCAAGCTGAAGGATGTCATGGTGCATTTAATAGAAACAGGGTTGAGGAAAGAGACTCGGGACCTCAGACAAGGGCGAGGCGAAGACTCCAGCAGGTTGGAGACAAAACAATCCTCAGCTTGTTCGTTCCGGCAATTTCTCTCTCTCTCTCTCTCTCCCCGAGGCCCGTGTCCTCTCTTGCTCTCCTCGGGTTGGTCAATCAATCATCCATCACGTCATCAAAGCCATTGGTCAGAAGTGGGGGGAGAGGGATTCCCGGAGAAGGCCTGTACTCTGAAACTAATTTTCCAAACTTTTTTTGGAAAGTTTGGAAAGTTTTGGAAAGTTTGACCCCTGCAAAATAAATTGGGTCCTTCACTCTGGCCATCATCGCTTTCTTTAATCTCTTTTAGGGAGAGGTTCAAGGGACGAGGAAGATCATTCCAGAAGGTCTTAGGGGCAGGAGCAGGACTGCCACCAGGTTAGTCCTCGACTTACAACAGTTCATGTAGTGACCGTTGGAAGTTACAACAGCACTGATAAAAGTGACTTTGAGTTATGACCTTTTTTCATAGTTAACAATTCTGGCGGCCTCCCCGATTGTCACGTGATCGAAATTCGGACCCTTGACAGCTGACTCATATTTATGACGGTCGCTGTGTCCTGGCCACCTTCTGACAAGCAAAGTCAGTGGAGGAAGCCAGATTCACTCAATGACCAGGTTACTGACTTACCAACTGCAGTGATTCACTTAACAACTTTGGCGAGAAAGGTAATGAAATGAGGCAAAACCAGTGGTGGGTTGCCCCCGGTTTGGACGAACCGGTAGGAAAACCGGCGGGAGGCTCCGCCCACTGACCCGGACGTCATCAAAGGTGATCTGCGCATGTGTAGAAGCTTCTGGGCATGTGCAGAAGAGCGTGCGCGGGTGCAAGTGAAGTGAGCGCACGCAGGCGCGATGCGAACCGGTAGTAAAGGTAAGTAGAACTCACCCCTGGGCAAAACGCAACGTCTCACTTAACAACAGTAATTTTGGACTCTATTTGTGGTCATAAACCGAGGATTGCCTGAATTTCTTCAGGCAAGGATTTTGCTCGCTACCTGCTTCATCCAATCCTTCCTAACGTGCAAAGGCCTACGTACCGCATACTCCATTTCCAGTTGTAATCCAGCTAGTCCTCGAATTACGACCGCCATCAAAGTCCAAAATTTATGCAGCTAAGGGAGACGCTGGTCAAGTGAGTTTTGTCCCATTTTACGGCATTTTTTGCCACAGTGAATTCGCTGCAGCTGTTAAATTAGCTGCCCCGGTTGTTAAGTGAATCCAGCTTCCCCGTTGAGTGTTCCTTGTCGGAAGGTCGCAAAAGCGAATCACACGACACCCCTCCCCCCCAAGGACACTGCAGCCATCAGAAATATGAGTCAGTTTCCAAGACTCTGAATTTTAATCACGGGACGCTGCCACGGTCATGTGAAAAAAAAGTCACACCAAAAGTGACCGTCCAAAGTCACTTTTTTCAGGGCTGTTGTAACACTGGTCACTAAACGAATCATTTGTAAGCCGAAGACTTATCTGCTCCCGCTAGCAAGATCTGGGTCTCTGTAAGAAGGACAAGGTCTTGGCCACAAGGATCATTTCTCGGAACCCACCGTTCTGTTCCCGATATCATTACCAAAATTCTCATTTTTCTGACTCCGGATTCAGCCGGGAAAATGTTAAAAGCAAGCAGATATATATATACACACACACTTACCGGACGAGTAGTAGCGTTCCTCAGACCCGAAACCAGAGCAAGCGTGATGGAAAAAATATAAATTTTCATCGTCTTCTCTTTCACTAATTTCCCCCCCTTTTTTTTGCTTAAATTAAAGTACAAAACTACCTTGGAGTTTTCATGGAGTAATTATATCTTGGATCTGGATGAAATGGGAACTTAAAGCAACATTGGGATGTATGCAAATTTGCTTCGTTTTCGGATAAGTTTAACTTCTGCAACCACTTCCAACGAGGGTTAATCATTCACCTGCTCACCGACCGATCGTCGGGGAGAGAAATGGAAGCCAAACAAGGCAGGTTGCAGAGAATTGGGGATGGATCAATATTTGCAGAATGCGCCACTTGTTGAGAATGAAGAGTCCCGCCTAGAAGGATCCCTGTTGAGTAAACGCTGCCCGACGACGCGGAGTAATTTTAAAATATAGTTTATTCTTAAATTAAAACCATTCAATTTACACACCATTGACCAAATGAAAAGCTTACAGGCAAAACGCAAAACGTCCAAAAATGATAGGCAACTTCTTCTTCCTACTGAATTCCAGAACAGGGTTCGAATTCCGCTTCGGTTTTTTCTTTCTCTCTCTCTCTCTCTCTCTCTCTCTCTCTGTGTGTGTGTGTGTGATGGCCCAGCACGTAACGCCAGAAACTTCTGCTTTGCTGTGATTGACTGGTGCAGTGATGGCTAACCTTTTTGCCGTTGCGTGGCAAAAGCGGGGAGAGTGCGGGGGGTTGCGTGTGTGCGTACACCCATAATTCAATGCCCCCCGGCACCCCACACCCTCGCGCATGCATGTGTAACCCTCCCATGCTCCCCCCGCTTTTAGCACGCAAAGGCAAAAAGGTTACCAGTGGGCCCAGTAAGCCTGTTTTTCACCCTCTCCAAGCTCCAGAGACTTTCTTGGCGCCTGGGGAGGGCAAAAACAGCCTCCCCACTACCTGGAGGCCACTGTTTTCATTGTTGTCATTCCCATTTCGTTTTGTCCTTCCTTCAGCATCCTTTTTTTTAAACGATTCTATTCCACCGTTTCTTTGATATTGGTGTAACTCTGGTCCCGCAGAGAGTTGTCCATGGAAAGTTGGCCGTGTCGAGTTGTCGTAGATCCGGGGAGAAATATTCAGATGCACTTGGCCTTTTCCGGACCTGGGACCAGTGAGGGGTTGCCCCCAGTTCGCAGCGGTTCTAGAGAACCGGTAGTAAAACCGGCGGGAGGCTCCACCCACTGACCCTGACGTCATCAAAATCCCTCTGTGCTCGCTTCGCTCGGGCGCGCGCGTGCGGCCCCATTGCGAACCAGTAGTAAAGGTAAGTAGAACCCACCCCTGCCTGGGATCAGCCGTATTGGAAGTTGGAAAACAAACGAGCCAAAGAGGAACGGGATTTCCGATGGGAAGACGATGTCCGGCCTACGGTGAAAATGGAACACCACGATCACCACGAGGTTGAGAAGATAGGACCATCAGGAGATCCTTTTTGCTGATTCGCTTCTCGTTCGTTTTTGACCCATGTCTGTGGCCGACAAACTTCATAATTCCTAAACACTCAGAGCAAAGGGCTAGAAAAAATACATTGATGTTCGTTCAAGCAGGGTGGTCCTTTAGAATAGGACTGTCGCTAAGCCCCTGTCTCTGGACCGGCAACAGGCCACGATATGCCACAAACTGGTCTGTGCAAACAAGCAAAGCTTCATCCGTGGGACGCAGGCAGCATGTGAAACCACGGCCCCTCCGGTCCACTGAAAAACCTCTCTCCAAGGAACTGGTCCTTGGTGTCTGAAAAACTGCATTAGATATATTTGTACAGTAGTGGCCAAAATTGTGGAAACCTTTGGGGAAAAGTGTATTTTTGAGGTTTGATGGCTAATATCACTTTTATTTTTTGGAGTTTCGAGATAATCCTACTCCACTGCTGGAATAGTTTGGGAATAGCCCAATAGCCTTAACCCAATTGGAAATCTATGGAGCTGACTAAAGAAACTGGTTACCCAGAAATAAAACCCAGTTAATCGAAGCCATCCTTCAATCTTGGTTTCACAGAAGAACAACTCCAGAACTCAAAGACTTGGTTCCCTCCGTGGGAAGACGTTGTAAGGCCGTCATTCATGCTGAAGGTTACCCAACGAAGTATTAATTGACACGTTAATAATTTTTGTACATCTTATTTTTTTCCTATGGTGATCATTTTTATATATCTCGCTTTTTCCTACGTGTTTCACTTTTCTTCTTTATACCGTGACTGCTATTCTAATAGCAAACCCTTCCTAAAAGTTATTGCATGACATTCTTGATTAAATTATCTTCCCATGGATATATCATTTTATGGCACTACTCCAAAAAAAAAGTGGTGTTATTAGCTAGTTTTAGAAAATACACTTTTCCCAAAAGTTTTCCACAATTTTGGCCACTACTGTATATACTTGGGCAGCTGTGGAATCGTGTCACCGGCAAAGGAAGTAAGAAAATCCCTAATTTTTTAGGGGCTGCCATGGTAAACTCAGGATTGGAGTATCACGCGAATCCTCGGTGGACTGCGGTGAATTTTGCAACATCCATTTGGGCCGGAGTCGCTTCTCCTCAGTGATTTTGCCAGGACGGGTACACAAGCAAAGAGTGAAAGTGACATATGTCGAATAGCATATTTATAGTTGCCGAACCTACAACGGGGAGAAGCTTCGGTGTTAAGGTTTGGGACGAATGCATCTGTTCCGCGTTCTCAAACGGGCGTCACTAAATTCCCTTCTGCCCGGTGACGGTTGGGCTGCCCAGAGTATTCGCTACTCGAATAGCGATAACCCTTAGACTTATATACCGCTTCACAGTGATTTACAGCCCCTCTCTAAGCAGTTTAGAGTCAGCCTATTATCCGCAACAATCTGGATCCTCGTTTTACCGACCTTGGAAGGACGGAAGGCTGAGTCAACCTTGGAGCAGGTCAGGATTGAACTGCTGGCATTGGGCAGAGTTAACCTGCAATACAGCATTGTAACCACTGGGAGGGAGGGAGGGAGAGGAGGGAAGGAAGGAAGGAAGGAGGGAAGGAAGGAAGGAGGAAGGAAGGAAGGAAGGGAGGGAGGGAGGAGGAAGGAAGGAAGGAAGGAAGGAAGGAAGGAAGGAAGGAAGGAAGGAAGGAAGGAAGGAAGGAAGGGCAATAGCAATAGCACATAGACTTATATACTGCTTCACAGTGCTTTACAGGTCTCTCTAAGTGGTTTACAGAGTCAGCCTCTAGCCACCCCAACAATCTGGATCCTCGTTTTACCGAACTCGGAAGGACGGAAGGCTGAGTCAACCTTGGAGCAGGTCAAGATCGAATTGTTGGCACTGGGCAGAGTTAACCTGCAATACTGCACTCGAACTACTGGGAGGGAGGGAGGAAGGGAAGGAAGGGAAGGAAGGGAAGGGAAGGGAAGGGAAGGAAGGGAAGGGAAGGGAAGGGAAGGGAAGGAAGGAAGGAAGGAAGGAAGGAAGGAAGATAACAATATGACGGTTGGGCTGCCCAGAGTATTCGCTACTCGAATAGCAATAACTCTTAAGACTTATATACCGCTTCACAGGGCTTTACAGCCCTCTCTAAGCAGTTTACAGAGTCAGCATCTTGCCCCCAACAATTTTGGGGCCTCATTTTACTGACCTCAGAAGGACGGGAGGCTGAGTCAACCTTGAGCCTGGTGAGATTCAAACTGCCAAATTGCAGGCAGCCGGCAGTCAGCAGAAGTAGCCTGCAGTACCACATTCCCACCACTGCGCCACCGTGGCTCCACAGGTGAATGCCACAGGTAGCCAAAGCCCCAGGAGTTGTCGTCTCCAGACTTTCAAACGAAAGTCGCCTTACAAGGACCCTCGTTCTCCGCACTCCCGGCCGCAGGGACAGAGGGAAGGTTGGATGTCCTTTGAGTTCTCGTTTGTCTTTTCGGCTGGCCGGCCCTGAGCTCCGAGACGCCGCCGTCACAAAGGACATGGCTCTCCGGTTCGGGAGAAGACCACCGCGGGCCTGGCGATGTCGTAACACTGTCCACATCGATGACGCAACGGATCGGGAGTTCAGGCCTACAAGTTTCCTTTCGGATCCCGGCGGGGTTGAAGTCACGACGACGGTTTGGGGAGGTTGGGTCGTCAAGGCTCCCCTCGCTTCCTCGGGAGTGGGTTCTAGGCTTAGGGAGCACACCTAGAACACAGAGGAAAAAGGGAAGAGGGAAGATGACAGGGCTTCACATTGTGACGTGAGTTGCGACGCTATTTCTTTCGCTCTGTTTCCTGGCTTAGAATGATCTTTGTCTGAAGTGGCTTCCTGGCTAAGCAAGGGGTTGGACTAGAAGATCTTCAAGGTCCCTTCCAACTCCTATTCTATTCTATTCTATTCTATTCTATTCTATTCTATTCTATTCTATTCTATTCTATTCTATTCTATTCTATCCTATCCTATCCTATCCTATCTTCATTCCTTCCATTCCATTCCATTCCATTCCATTCCATTCCATTCCATTCCATTCCATATTCTATTCTATTCTATTCTATTCTATTCTATTCTATTCTATTCTATTCTATTCTATTCTATTCTATCTTCATTCCATTCCATTCCATTCCATTCCATTCCATTCCATTCCATTCCATTCCATTCCATATTCTATTCTATTCTATTCTATTCTATTCTATTCTATTCTATTCTATTCTATTCTATTCTATTCTATCCTATTCTATCTTCATTCCTTCCATTCCATTCCATTCCATTCCATTCCATTCCATACTCTATTCTATTCTATTCTATTCTATTCTATTCTATTCTATTCTATCCTATCCTATCCTATCCTATCCTATCCTATCTTCATTCCTTCCATTCCATTCCATTCCATTCCATATTCTATTCTATTCTATTCTATACATTCCATTCTATTGCAATATTATTCTATTCTTTTCCAATATTGTTCTGTTCTGTTTTGTTCTGTTCTATTCCAATATTATTCTATTCTTTTCCAATATTATTCTGTTCTGTTTTGTTCTGTTCTATTCCGTTCTATTCCATTCCATTCCAATATTATTCTATTCTTTTCCAATATTATTCTGTTCTGTTCTGTTCTATTCCAATATTATTCTATGAGCGTGGGGATGCCACAGAGGCCGTAACCATGAAAAAAAAGGCCGTAAGTCCCTTTTTTCAGGGCGGTTGCAACTTCCAACGGTCACTAAGCGTTAACGTTGTTAAGTCGAGGACTGCCTGTCCCAGGATCTTTGGGCATAAGCCGGTGTAACAAACAATGCCACGAACAGCATCACAGTGAATGATTCCCAAGCCATTCGACATCTGGAAATACCTGGTCTGAATTTCTCGGAGGCGCTTTTGGTCTCGGTGGGACTTCCCGTCTCGGGGAGGGTCAGCCTGCGGTTTGGGGGGCTGGCGATGTCCCCCTCGGGCACAAGGGTCACGTCTGCCAGGACGTCTTCCCCTCCTCCTCCTCCTCCTCCATTGTCTCCACCTCTTCTTCCCACCTGTGGTTGCCCTGCAGAAGCAGATTCGGAGGGCGGGGGGCAGTGCCAGGGCCGGTGCCACCGTTGGCCGCTTGGTTGAGGGCCACGGGCACCCCCAGAGCCTTCTCTGGACCTCTTTGTCCGGCTGCCGAGTCGCTTGGGGTTTGTGGGCATCTCCTGTCCTCCTGGCTCCTTTTCTCCTGGCCGTCAGGATGGGGCGTCCTCGGAGAAGTGCCTGTAGCATCCCTGGGGACAGATGTGCAAACGCCCATCTGGCATGGTGGCATTTGAAGGAAGTCGGGCAAAACCAGGTCTTCTTTTCGCAGCAACCCTCGTTGGTCGTCGGCTCGGTTACTCTGGACTTTGGATATGAGTTCGAAAAATTCTAAATCAAGAAAGCCAGAAGGTGAGAATCAGCATTGCAAAAGCCCGTCACAGTTAGACGCCATTTTGAATTCAATAATCATCATCCTCTTTTAACGACACTCATAATCCCTTGTGGGGTGTGTGTGTGTGTGTGGAGTCTGGGCAACTGAATGGAGCTAGCAGAGTGTTTTACTGGCTGGATGCCCTTCCTGTCACCAACACGGAGTTGTGTTCAGCAGATATACCGTATTTTTCGGAGTATAAGACGCAGCTTTTTCCCTCCTAAAAGGGGGTGAAAATTTGGGTGCGTCTTATACACCGAATGTAGCCCCGCCCACCCACTGGCCCCCACCCTTTGGCCTCTGCCTCACAGCAGTTTACCCTCCTTGCAAGCAAACAGCAAGAAGAAATAGCCCATTTCAGCTTCAACACAGCCTAATTAGCACCAGTTGATTGGATCAGCCTCCCGACTCTCAGCTGATTTGCTCTCAGCTGTTTTGTGCAGGACTCTGCTGCTTGCTGCAAGGAGGTAAATTGCGGGGAGCAGATTTTTTTTTTCTTCCTTGTGCTAATCAAGCTATGCTGAAAACGAAACTGAAAGTAAAGCAGGCTGTTTGCTGTTTGCTGCAACGAGGCAAAATTGCTCAGAGGCAGAGGGAGATTTCTTTTTCTTCTTTTCCTCACCAAAAAAGGTAAGTGCGTCTTATACTCCGAAAAATACGGCATATTCTCACTGTGCCCAGAGAGAGCAATATCTGCCATTTTGAATTCAATACTAATTTGGTTCTCCGTCCTCCAAAGGGTTTATTAAAAAATCTGGGAAAAGCAGCATCGGAACTCACAACCCTGGTGAGTATTTGGAGCAGATGTGATTTCATATAAATGTCATGTATCAAGACCACAGGTAGTCCTCGAGTTACGGCCACAATTAAGCACCAACATCTATGCTGCTAAGGAAAACATTTGTCCGGCGAGTTCTGCCTCCCTCTTATGACTTTCCGTGCTGCAGTTGCTAAGTGAATCACTGCGTTTGTTAAATTAGGAACTTGTTCAGTGAATTACTGCATAAGTTGATAAGTTAGTACCGCAGGCTTTCCCCCATGGGCTTTGCTTGTCAGAAGGTCGCAAAAAGGGATCACATGACTTTGGGACATGGCAACCGTCATAAATATGAGTCAGTTGCCAAGGGTCTGAATTTTTGATCACGAGATCATAGGAATGCTGGAAAGGCGGTAACTGTGAATAATGGTCCTAAGTCACTTTTTTTCCAGTGTCGTTGTAACTTTGAACAGTCACTAAATGAGCTGTTGTAAGTCGAGGACTACCTATAGCCTAAACCCGTGATGGTGAACCTGTAGCAACGCCTGCCACAGGTGGCACGCGTAGCTGTATCGGTGGGCACGTGAGCTCAACTCCGGCGTGCATGTGTGCGCCAGCCAGCTGATTTTTGGGCCTTCTGGGCCCACAGGAAGTAGGGAAAGAGGCTGTTTCGTGCCTCCAGAGGGCCTCGGGGTGGGGCTGGGGAAGGCCCGTTTTTCGCTCTCCCCAGGCTCCAGAGCCTTTCTAGGAGCCTGGGGAGGGCAAAAATGGCCTCCCCCCCCCCGAGACCCTCCAGAGACCGGAAATGTCCCATTTGCCAACTTCCGGTGGGACCCCTGTGGGGGGTGGGGAAGGCCGTTTTCACCCTCCCCAGGCTCCTAGAAAGGCTCTGGAGCCTGGGGAGAGAGAAAATCGGGCCTACTGGGCCCACCGTACCATCGTGTGCCAGGAGCGGGGGTGGATGGGGCTCCTGGCACGCGATATTAAAAAGGTTAGCCATTACTGGCCTTCCCTAGAATTCCCTTGTAATAAATTCTTCTTAGGAAGAAATTTTTTAAATTTTTAAATGTTTAATTGGTTTGTGGTTTTTTAAATTTTGGGCCAAATTTATATAGATTTTAATTGTTTTTAATATTTGTATTTCATGTTTTTAATTCTGGCTGTGCACCGCCCTGAGTCCTCAGGGAGAAGGGCGGTATATAAATTGAAAATAAATAAATAAATAAAATAAGTAGAAATAAATCAAATTGTTAACTAAATAAATTCTATACTTTTGGGAACAACTTTTAACCTGCCTGAACTAGCTTCTATTTTCTTGCAACCGTTTTTCAGGTATTTCCCTCTGGAAAGAGTAAGAGTTCATTCATTCCCATTTATTACAGAAAACCGAATTAATAACCTTGGCCAAATAACATGCAAACTGAATAAAAGACGTTAACTAAACGAAAGCAAAAGGATTTTTGGAATTGCAACCTAATTGTTGGATGGGAAAGCCCCTTACGACTGCGTAAATTTGGCAATTGGGTCATTGCAAGTCCCAACTTGGTTTTAAGGAATCAAATTCGATTGTTTTTAAGCACTCGTTTTTTAAAAAATGCAACCCAACCCTTACGTGTAAAAGCAATGGGATTTTTTTCAGCGTTACGTCACAAACTTTTCTATTAAACACAGTAGACTCGCATATAAAGATTAAAAGATTCGAGGAAGATAATAGGGGATTCGAAATTGGTTATATTATATTGCGTGGCAGAGAATTCTTTTTCAATCCACAGTATTTTATCTAGGAATGAAGAATTATTCCATAAATTAATCCACAGGTCTTTCTCTCTCTCACTCACTCACTCACACATGGCTAATATTAGGCTACATATATATTGTAAACATGTCAATTTGTCTTCTCGGATTTGTAAGAAGATGGTATATACAGTAGTGGCCCAAAATGTGGAAACCTTTTGGGAAAAGTGTGTTTTTGAGGTTTGATGGCTAATAGCACTCTTTTTAGAGTCTCAACCTCTTTTTTTATAGTGTGGGGACCAAAACTGGATGCAGTACTCTAGGTGTGCTCTTACTAAGGCTTTACAGAGAGGTATGAGTACCTCCCTTGATCTTGATTGCATCCCTCTGTTAATGCAATTTAGGATTGCATTGGCTTTTTTGGCTGCTGCTGCACACGACTGTACACGATTTATTTTATTTTGTTTATTTATTCATTTATTGGTTCAATTTATATGCCGCCCTTCTCCGGAGACTCAGGGCGGCTTACAATGCGCTCAGCAATAGCCTTCATCCTTTTGTATATTTATACAAAGTCAGCTTATTGCCCCCACAAACTGGGTCCTCAAGTTACCTACCTTAGAAAGGATGGAAGGCTGAGTCAACCTTGAGCCTGGCGAGATTCGCACCTGCAGTAATTGCAGGCAGCTGGTCTTAATAACCAGCTTAATAACAGGGTGCCTTAGACCACTGTACTACCAAGGCTCTTTTATTTATTTATTTATTTGTTTGTTTGTTTGTTCGTTCGTTCGTTCAATTTATATGCCGCCCTTCTCCGGAGACTCAGGGCGGCTTACAATGCATTAAGCAATAGCGTCATACTTTTGTATATACCTGCTTAGTAGGGCTTTCGGCCCCCCCCCAGCGGTGTTCTATTTTATACAAAGTCAGCTTATTGCCCCCACAATCTGGGTCCTCATTTTACCTCCCTCGGAAGGATGGAAGGCTGAGTCAACCTTGAGCCTGGTGAGATTTGAACTCGCAGCAATTGCAGGCAGTTGGCTGCTAAGTGCTATTTAACAGCGCTTTTGTCCGCTGCTCCACCAAGGCTCATATTTAATTGGTTGCCCACTAAGACTCCAAGATGCCAATGGCTGTAATTTATGGAAGATTTCCACCCCCCCCACCTTGAGATTTACAGGTAGTCCTTGAGTTACAACCGCAATTGGGCCATTTTATGCGCCCGAATGTGTTTTTCCGCAGAGAACACAGCTCTGGCTAGAACTAATGTCGCCACAGAAAAGCAATAAGAGGACAAAGGGACAGCTCAACAACGTTAACAGACCAACTCTCCGGTGCACCCTGTGTGTAAACTACTCCAGGACAACCCACGTGGGTTCTGGGAGGAGAGCCACAAAATCAGATCAAGAACGGGGACATTAAATACAGCTCGTCCTCACCTTACGACTACAATTGTGTCCAATGTTTATGTTGCTAAGTGAAATGCGGGTTAAATGCGTTTTGACCCATGTTACGGCCTCTCTTGCCATGGTTGTTAATTGTTACGTCAGTAAAGCTAGTTCCTTGCTTTACGACCACAACGGAGCCTGGAATTTCTGTTGCTAAGTGAGACATTGGTTAAGTGAGCGCTGCCCCCATTTTACAACTTTTCTTGCCGCAGTTGCGAATTGCCGCAGCGGCCGAGTTAGTTAAACCCGGTCGTTGTTCAGCGAATCTGGCTTCCCCGCAGGAGTCAGTTGCCGAGCGTCTGGATTTTGATCACATGACGGGATGCTGCAATGGTTGTAAGTGTGAAAAACGGCCATAAGTCCCTTTTTTCAGCGCCGTTGTAACTTTCAACGGTCACTAAATGGACTGTCGTAAATCAAGGACTACCTGTGATCATATCCAGTATAGGTGGCAAAATAGCCGGAACAGAAGTCTAGAACCTGGATAAGAGTTCAACTGGCCTTAGTCTAGATCTGTGTAACACAGTGGTCCGTCCCCCCCCCCCACAATCTTTTGGTTTTGCGTGCTACCTGCATCCCGTGGATGGGGCTTCGCTTGTTTGCGTGGCCCGGTTGCTGGCATGCCACGGCCCTGTGTGGGTCCATAAACCGAGGAGTGGGGGACTCCTGGTGTAATAGATATGCATCTCCACAAGCAGAGAGAAGCAGCCTAGGATGAGTCCCGAAACTGAATTTTCCCTTTGCAAAGTATTAACAAGGTTGGGAACTTACCTACCTACCTGGTGGGACAGCCAAAACGAGGGATCTTCTGGTACCGGCTGTCCGAAATTGCCTCGGATGCAGAGTCGGCATCATGGTAGGATCTCAGACCTGCCACTCTGATCCTATAGTCCCTCCTTAGGCATGAAGCCAAGCTGGCTTTGGGTCCAAGGCGGGACTAGAATTCCTGGTCTCCCGCTTTCTAGCCTGGCGCCTTGGCCACTAGACCCAACTATCTCTCTACTTAGCAAGAAATGTT